ATTCCTCCTCAACCCCGTCGCCAGGTCATAGCTCCCATATCACGCAACAACAAAAGAGAGCAACACAATCTTCACCTTCTCTCCCTCTTTCTTCTCGTTCTAATTGTTCCTCCTCCAATCTTTATTCTTCTTTAGCCACAGCACCTTCGCCAACAACAGCAACAACAACAACAACAGCACAAGCAATGCTCCAATCATTTTCGCCATCCTTGACTTCTTCCCCCTCCCCTATGCACCCTCCTCATCTTCAATATCCTTCTCATCACCATCGTCCACATCACAACTATCACCGTCAACAACAACAACAACAACAACAACAGCTGCAGCAACAGCAACAACAACAGAGACAGAGGAGACTGCAGCAGCAACACACTCGCATGCGATCGACAGAGGAAGAAGGCTCATCCTCAACCTCAACTACTACTCATGTCTCGTCCTCCTCTTCTCCTTGGTCTACTGCCATGCAAGGTAAGGAAAAAAAAGAAGGAAAGAAAGCAAGGAAAAGAAGAAAAGAAAGAAGCAAGGAAAGAATGGAAACATAGCCTTCGCTAGTAGCTTTTTCTTTTACTTTTCTAATACCCCTATATCCCACTCACTCCCTGTACATCCCTATTTTTTTCATTCTCGCTTCTGCTGCATCGTTTTCCCTTTTTACGTTTTTTATTCCGCGTGCAAATACGATGCAAAGTCGTACAATGGGAGAGATAGAGTTCTTTTACTTTTTGTTTTTACTTCTCTGTCATTTTCCGTTTTGTTGGTTCATATATCGAGTGCATTTCCTTCTTACATGCCTCCCAGTTTTCTTCTCTGTGCAGTGGGCAGGCACTGCCTAACAATGTCAGCAGGCATGAGAGGACAGACAACAAAAAGAAAAGGGGGGTGAGGTTGCCTTCGTACAGCAGCACTCCATATCCGTTCTATCCGTTCTATTCTCCCATCCATTTTCTTTTCCTCTCCCAAAATTCACCCCTCATTTTCCCTTCTTGTACAGTACATTGTCAATCCCTTTTTTTTTATGTCCGCCTTTTCCTTTCCCCTGCACCACCGGGAAGAAATGAAGCACGGGATGTAGAAGGAGATAGTAGGAAAGAGAGTGGAATGGTATTTTGAAAGGACGGGTCATGAACAGACATCATCGTACACCTCAGTCAGTTCCTGATCGTTAGAGAACGAGGGGTGAAGGCAAGTCGATATACAGAGAGACTGTGTGAGAGAGGGCGAATGAAATCAATGAATGAATGAATGAGGGACCAAGAAGAAGGAAAATAAGGGGGGGAGCGGGGGCAGGGTAGTAGTAAGTGAATTGAACAATGGTCCGAGAGATAGAGAGAGGTCGATGGATTGGTCTGTCCTGACATCCAAAGGGAGTGAGGGCAGGAAGGGAGAGACAGGGGGTGAATTTGGAAAGGGGGAGAGGAGGCGACGGAGGAACAGAAGAACAGATGAACAGAGTGACTTGCAAACATGACAGGGGACGTGGAAGAAAAAAGAAGAGAAAGAGGTGAATTGGATTCATGATGACGGTGGTGGTGATGAGAGTCTCGTTCGAGACCGGGTTCATGGGTCGTTGATCCAGTGCCACAGCCAGTTGCGCCCCCGAGCACCCCATCCTTGACGCGTTTATTCCCAGAAAAAAATAAAACATCGCCACCTTTTTATTTCGCCTCTTTCTTTTTCTTTTTGCACCATTTTTATACTCGACAGTCATCACTACTATCTCACTATATCTCGTCTTCTTTTCCTCCCTTTTGCCTTGTGCTGCATTGTTTTTTCCTCCGAGGAAGCAAACCATTCTCTTTTTGAACCCTTTCAAATCAACAAACAACAAAAAAGCAACCACACTTTCCCTTTTTATTCTCTCTTCCTCGTTCACTCTTCTTTCTCTTCTTTCTTTTCTTCTCCTTGTACAACCCCTACCTTCGCACTTGCCTGAACCCCTACTTCCACTGCCCACCTTCACCTTCACCTTCACCTTCCTTTCCCTTTTACATCACACGCCTGTATTCTTACGCGTCTCTCCTGTCTGCTCTTTCGTAACACCTGCCTGCAACCATACCTGTAAATAACAGCAACCTACCCCTGCCTACACTCCTCTTTCATTACATCACACGCACTTCACACACACCTACACTACACAAGCTCATTTGCTCATCGAAACAACCAACAACCAACACCTACCCAACCATAAGCTGCATCATTTCCACTCCTCTCATCACACTTGACCCCCCTTTGGCAAAGTGAAAGCTCAGCCGCATCACTACATTCACATACAGACTGGTCTGTTTCTTTGGTGGTGGTGGTGGCGGTCTCGTATTCTCCTGTTCGTGCTGTTGCCTCGTCTCTTCTTTCTCTCTGTGTTCTTTCGTACCCTTGTGTAGGTCTGTGTTTGCTGCTCACCTTGTCCCGCTCCTAGTTTTCTCAGTGTTTATTACTTTCTTGTTTGCACTGGCTGGCCTGGTTGTTGTCACTTCCTTTCTATCTATTACTGCCTTAGCAAGTGAACGGTCATTTTTGTTATCTTTATCTCTCCTCGTACCCTATTCTTCTACTTTTTTCTTCTTTCTTTTCTTTTCTTTTCTTTTCTTTTCTTTTCTTTTCTTTCACTTCTTCTGCTCCTTTGTCGTCTTTTCTTAACACCACTGCACAGCACTTGCCTCTACCGCTACTCTACCACCTTCTTCTTCACTACTCCTGTATCCGTTACCTGTCTTGACCTTTTTTTTTAAAACTCTCGACAACACCAACACCAACACCAACACTTCTTGGGTATGCATTTTCTTTTGAATGAAGAATGAGAAGCTGCCACAAACAGCGAGAGAATAGGAATGAACAGAAACAAAAAAAAATGTTGGTGGCCAATGCATTTCGACCTATTGACCTATTGCTCGGTTGTCGGGGGTCGGGACAGACTGAGTTAAGAAAAAAGAGAGTGTTGACGGGGTTGACCCTTTTGCTTTGAGGAAGTAAAGACTGAGTGAGTGAGTGAGTGAGCGAGTGAGAGCCAAAAAAAAAAAAGTAAAACTCTGTTGTCCGCCTCTGTCACTCTTTCTGCCTGTTAGATCACTCTTTATTCGCACTGCACTCTATTCCCATTCACACGCACACACACATCCTGGACACACCACTGGTGGCCCATCTCCCTCTTCTCTCCTCGAGATCCGATTTGATCAAAAATAACTGGACCCTTAGAGTGAGTGGTGCTCCATTCATCCCGCTCGTCTGTCCGTCGTTTACTCTTATCCCACTTGTCACTCTAACCCTACCCACCCTGGAGACCCCCGCTCAACTCGTCAATTGCTCAGAAGGGAAAGGGAAAAAAAGTGTACCATCCCCGAAATGTACTACTCTATCCATACATACTCTTGGGAGGGAAACGAGGGGTCCGTGATATGTGAACAACCACTTTTATTTCACTGCCAGCCAGTCACTTGTCTTTCGGTGTCTGTCCGATTGGTATCTGTCCGTCTCTATCTCTCTGTCTTGCTCAGTTCACACACTCACTCTCTACGCATCCAATGCGGCTCCCATGAGCATCGTTCTTTTTACTTTCTTACATATCTTCCCTGGTGTACATGGGTATGATTATCGAGGCAATTCCATACCTCTGCAATCTTCTGGCCTTTTATTTTATTCTTCCCTTTACTGTTACCACTCCCAGTCAGTCTTGTCTGCCTCTCAGTATCCATCCCTAGTGTGCGCTTCTAAAAACATCCCCTTTACATCATTACATCCCACACCATCCATCCACTCTACTCCACTCCACTTCAATCACCCCCTTTGCTCTTTCGTGTATGTCTGTTCATCCTACCTTTCCTCCCTTATGCCCCTTCTCTTCCACCTCGGGTCAGCGAACAACTTTTGGGCCGGGCCCTGGCCCATCCCCATCCCATCCCATCCTTCCACCTTCCTTGCTCTGGGTATAGCTGCATTGCACACCCGTGGAATCCAATCCATCCCCCTTCTTTCTCTCCCATGGTTGGGGTACCCTTCTCGTCCTTCCTCCTCCCTTCCTCCTCCCATCCTATCTTCCCCCTTTTCCCTCTTTGTACACCCTCGCAACTCTCTAGTTCACTTGCCCCTGCTTCGACATTTCCCTTTCCTACAGCCATTGTCTATCTCTTCGCCTTCACTGTCCTCTGTTCTTTCTTGTTCACCCCTTTTGACCAAAAGAAAGTCCTTGCGAATATCCACATTTTCCGCTCCCGCACGCATGTGCACACGCACCCACACAAACAACAGACAAGCACACCCTCACGCAGTGCGCAAAGCAGGTCCAGCATGATCTCTCTCGCCCCCCCCTCCTCTCCTGTGTGTTGTCCTCTGCGCTATTTCCTTCTCCCCTTCTCCTAGCGTGTTTGTGTATTTTCATGTGTCTGAACACCTTACCTTTCATTTCAAAACCTGAACCATTGTGTCCTTTTCTACATGTCTCTAGTCGAGTGGTGTGTCGCTGTGGTTGTGTTGTGTTGTCTGCCTACCTATCTATCAATCTACCATCTATCTATTATCTGTCTACCCTCCTCCCTCCTTTCGTTTCGTTCCGTTTCGTGTTCTCTTTGTTCTTTTTTTGTTGTGCTTTTTGTTGTAGCAAATCATCCTCCAGATAACCCAATGTGGCCTTGTGTCCACTACACCAATCAGCGCCCGGTCCTTCACCCAGCTCACAAAGACGACTTTCTGGTAAACTAACCTTCCATTTTCATGTCTTTCTTTTTTCCTTTCACTCGTCTCTCCCTTTTTTCCTTCCATTCCCTTCCCTCGTCAATTGATTCCTTCCCTACCATACTCCACTCCACTCCACTCTTACGACCGTCACTTCAATAGAATCTGAAGAGTCGAGCCATACCTCCCCACTAGAAAACTCCGCTACCCTTGATCCGTCGTTGCAGGACACGGTCCTATTCAGTGACCGAAATCAATCTCGCTCAACGTCCCGGCCGCTGCCTCAGCCTCATTCTCGTTCCCAACCCCCCTCAAAAGGACGACCTCTAGATATGATGATGGAGCACCCTCAACAGCCTCTGGACTTGCGCCAGTTCCAGCCTGCTTCTCAACAACAACAACAACAACAACAACAGCAACATCAACATCAACAACAGCAACAACAACAACAGCAACAACAACAACAGCAACAGCAACAACAACAACAACAACAACAACAACACCATCAGCAGCAGCAACATCAACATCAGCTCCAACACCAACAACAACAGCAACAGCACCCCATGTCCCATTCTCAGGCTCTGTCCCAGGCCCAGGCTCAATCGCTGTCCATGGAGTCTGCTCACCCCTATCATGTCACCCTCACCTCAATGACCTCTGCCACTTTGCCCACTATGGAGACCAGTATCCACGCCCAGACCATGTCTCACGCAAACACCGTCACGCCAAGACCGCTCTGGCTCGAAAGCCAAGGCCAGGGTCTCACTCATCGAGCATCCTTCCACTCTCTCTTGTCCATGGGAAGCAGAGAGGACCGACTCCGAGCTCGTCAGGATCGTGGCAGCATCATCAGTCTGGCCTCTACAGTCGGTGACGATTCACCTTCAGACTTTACCCACTTTGACTTTGAGCACCCCGTCGGCGATCTTCATTCTCAACAGAGCTCATCCGGTGGTGGTCTAGGATATGAAAATGACGAATACGACCACCACGGAATCGGGACAGGATTAGCCATGATGAGCTTTCTGGACTTTATGCCTCAGTCGCGGTCGAGCCCGGGAGACAATAGCGCTGATGGCGATGTGAGAAGCGCACAACCCTCCAGGAGTAATAGTGTCATCCTCGATGCCGATACCGCCAACATGATCCGGATGAGCTCGATATTTTCGATGGGAGAGGAGCCACTCCACCTTCAGCCTGAACAATACAGCAGCACCAGCAGCAACAATAGCAACCACGGTTCGGCGCAAATGCACCCATTGTCAAAGGAGTCATCGTCTGACTTGTCACTGGAGCAGTCTGGTCAGATCCCTGGTCAACATCCTAACGAGACAGAGGGCATGTTGCCGTCCATCTGGTCCAACAATTCGGTGGATATGATGTCAGCCTCTGTCCATCCCTTTTCGATGCCTGCCTACGAGAACAAGTCACACCCGCTTTCCAACTCTTCGGACCCGACACTCCTGGAGAACAATGGCGGCAACGAGCAGGGATCATTGGAGCACGCACGACCAGGATTCCAGTCATCGATGCCGCCAGCCTTCACCAACTCGTCTGGTTACTTTGTAAACAACGACGCCCCTATTCCTCCTTTGACAACTCACATATCTATGGCCAACCTCGTTCAGCAACAGCAAGCACACCAGCATCAACAGCAGCAACTCCGTCTTCAACAACAGGCCCATCAGCAACAACTACAGCATGCTCAGCACCAACAGGCACTGCAACAACAACAGATGCATCAACAGCGAATTCATCTCCGGTCCCAAACACTGGCAGCATCGCAGTCGCCCCATGTCCGCAATCTGTCAAGTCCGGGTGTCGAGTACGCCAAGAGCCCTCATTCGTTGACGCCGCCATTGCACCCACAGCAGCAGCAGTTGAACCAAAAAATGTACGGCACCCCAACTGGTGCCCCGACCTTTGCGGCAGGCAAGGCCGCTGCACGAGTCCGGAACAGAACCATCAGTAGTCCTGCTGGATCCTTCCAGTACTCTCCCTCCAGCATGGGCTCGACTCCCACCAGCATTCAAATGACACGGCCTCCTTCGGGTCTGTCCTTTGGTCCCATCCCCGTCCGGGAACGCAAGCGGTCGTTGATGGATGCCAACGTGGCGCAGGGTCTGGATCAAGTACGTCAGTCGCTCCCGGGAGTGAACCAGCAGTCCTCAGCACTACCTTCATCGGACAACAGCCATTTAACGACACCCTCGGGCACCAGTAGTGGTATCAGCAGTGGCGATGACAAAGGACCCAATCACTCGCCCTTCCACATTAAACAGGAACCCAACCTGGATCACAACTTGATTGGTTTAGGGTTAGGCGCCGCCAACAACAATAACGACAACAGCGCCGCTTCTCCTGAGGAAAATTACCATCGCAAGCGGACAAAATCCGTCGACATGTACAGCAGCTATATGGGATCTCTCAACTCGTTCAACCCTCCAATAACGACAGCCGAGATGGGATCGTCTGGTCTCTCAGGTACCGCCAATCAAGGCACGTCGGTCCAGAACTGGCAGCCACCAGATATGGCACTCCACCTCCAGGTCTACCATAACAGCATCAACAACATGAACAATGGTCTCGGCTCGGTGATGCCCCCAGCGTCAGTTCCTTTGCACATGCAGATGAACGGTCAAGGAGTCCATCCCCATCACGTCTCGGCTGCAGGTGGCCCAATAGGCAGCGAGTCCAACTTGTATCAGCTCTCGAACATGCCCTTGACTGAGCCTGTCCACACTCTTCGCCACTCGATCTCGCATGATCGCATGGACCCCAGCTATGGTTTGCCTCCACAGCAATTGAATGGAGGAGTTACCGGAGCCAAGGCCAAGGCCAAACCCAAGGCGACCAAGGCTGCGGGCAAGGGCGGCAAGGCCAAGGGTCGATCCATGTCAATGGGCGATGCCTTGGATCCCGAGGCTGTCGCCGGGTTGGTCAACGGTTTCACAGGCAACAATGCTGGAGCGAGTGGAGCCGATGCTGGAGCCAGTGTTGGAGGTGAAGACGAGGAAGGCGGTGCTGGTTTTGACGATGCTTCCGGTACCGCTACCGGCGCAAATGGATTGGAATTTGAAGGCAGCGAGCTCCATGGCGACCCCACAGCCAGGAAGCAGAAGCTGCGATACGAGGGCGACCAGTACACACCTCAATGGGTCCGTAACGTCGGTCAAGCCAAGGAGGGTTTCTGTGACACTTGTGTTCCCGGCAAGTGGCTCCAGCTCAAGAACAGTGCCTTCTGGTAAGCCTCTTTTCGATTGGTTGTGCTCTGTAAGATTACACTCGCTATAAAAATGACAATTAACTAACTGCAGTTTTTTGCTCCCTGCTACAATAGGTATCATAAGCAGTTCTTCCATGGAATCTCGTCGGTGTCGGGCAAGTTGTTTTCGAACCCGATCCAGACGCGTCAGATGGAGCAGGACGATATCGAGGGATTGTGCCACCAGTGCAACGAGTGGATCCCGATCTCGAACCACAAGCGTCAGAACTCGATGCTGTGGTACCGCCATGCACACAAGTGCCATATCTACCACAAGCCCAAGACCCAGGGTCAGAGCTCGAACCGGTCATCTTTCTCGGCTGGTCCAGGTCAGCCCATGGCTGCATTTACGGATGCCGCCACCGCTGCTGCCTTTGCAGCCAACTTGAGCAACGGGAACAGCTTGATGAGTGGAGGAATCCATCCCTTGAGCCAGAACCATGGACATGGACACGGACACGGACATGGACACGGTCTCGGCCACGGCCACGGTCATGGGATGGGGAACGGAAGTGGATCACTGAGCGCGGAGCAGGCAGCTGCTGCTGTTGCTGCAGCTGCGGCCGTCGGCAATGTTGTCGTGGTTGCTAACCAGCACCATTGATTGTGACCAAGATGGAGGAGGATATTATCATACCACGTCTTTGCTTTTATTGTTGCGTTTTTGTTTATGTTTTGTTTGTTTTTCTCTATATTTTACATTTGCTTATTTGTAGTTGTTATCATCATTATTGTAGAGTTGTGTGGTCGTCATTGTCTAAAAAATCAGGATGAGTGTTGAACCTGTGTTCGTTTCTTTATTTTTTTCTTTTGTATGAATAAAAACATATTTGAATACCATTGATACCTATGCTTCGATGAGGGATCGTGGGCGGATGCTTCACAGATGAACATGTGCATTCTGCGCTCGTCCTGTCGAAAGTTCTCCGAGTCAATTTCTTCATGATTGGCTAAGACGTGTGCAGATTTTGCTTGTATCTTTATCTCTTTGCGCGAGCAGCAGTGATCGATCGATCAACATGAGAGTGATAACATAATAACGAAAGAGTAGGTAAGCAATTGACTTCGCCCACAGGGTTTATGCTCGCTGTTTATCTTTTTGCTTACGGTAATCCGCATATGCTCTTTTTTGTTTCACTGTTGACGATGGTGACTGTGTGCCATTGTGCGAATGTGTTTGAGAGAGAGAGAGAGGGAGAGAGAGGGAGAACTTTTTTTGAGAATCACAGAGAAGAACCATGAAAATGATGTAGAATGCAGAAGCCAGAATTCAAAAGAAACCCCTTCTTCTACTGAAAGGATCCTTTCCCCTGTATTCTATTGTTTCTTTCCCCTCTCCACCTCTGTCCTCACATAGGAGTAGTACTAAAAAAAATTCACATACACACATTAAAGACACACAAACACACAATCAAACATACAAGGGGAATATGCAAGAAACACATATGGAGACTTGGAAGGAGAAGGTGACCCTGACCAGGCCCCTCGCCTTTTATGAAAGGTACCTCGCTTCCCGTCCTTGAATTCGAAGTTGTTATTTTTTTTGTGATCGGATCCCTCCGTCTGTTCTTTCTTTTAACTTCACCTTCCACCTTTTCCCACGCCCCCTTCTCCCTTCCCCTTTTTTTTACCAGGACGAGTGCTGTAAATCTCGCGTACTTTTTTTTTCTGCCTTCCCCGAGGTCAATTTTCCAAAAAAAAAAAAAAAAAAAAAAAAATCAATTCTTCACATCCACACGTACCTTCATCACCCTCTCAACAGCCATCCTCCTCGCCAGTGGGCCGAGGTGGATGTGGAAGAAAGTAGGACTTGAGAGGGTGGGAGTATGAATGGTGGAGGGGGGAAGACGGGAGGGGATTTGATTATGCGAGCGAGTTCAGAGAAGCATTTCTTTCCCCTCACCGCTTTTTCGTGATGTCTTGATGGAAGAGGGAGAGGAGGGGGGGGGGAGGTGCTCCAAGTAGAGGCGATGATGAGAGGAAGAAAACTAACAAGGATCATCATCTCCCTTTCTTTTCTCCTCTTTCTCCAAGAAACAATGCATGTTTTTTCTCATTTTCTCATGGGTATGACTTTGTTCGTGCAAAACAGAAACCACTAAAAACGAAATGGAAGGGGGGTTTGTCCCATACATCATCCTTCTAGACATTGCGACAACGACAAAAATAAAAAAATCACGAGCTCAAAGAAAGACAAAGACCCTTGTATAAGATTGGGCGCTAGACAGGTTCAAGGTGGTGGACGCGCGCGCAAAAAAAAAGCTAGGAAGACAAGCTTAAAAATGTATCATTACATTTTCCTTGGAGGTCATGGGATCATCCTTGTTTTTTTTGGGAAGAGGAGGGAAGGGGGAAGGGAGAAATTGCTCGTGAAGTATGTGGTTCTTGGAAGTGAAGCGAGAGAAGGGGAAACAGTAGCAAGATTCGCGTAAAAAAAACGCGACAGAAAATATCGCACGAACCAATAAAATAGGGAAACAATACAGTCTGCCCAATAAAAAAGTCTTCATTTTCTCCCCTTAGTCGCCCTCTCCTTCTTCTACTTTTCCTTGTTTTTCCCCTCTCGCTTCTCTCTCACCAAATTACTTCAAAAAATATACACATATTACAAGATGTTGTCCTTCCCACAAGGAGCAGGAAATATTTCTCGCCTTCGCCCTCCACCTGGTTCCAACGCTACCGGTATCTCAAACTAAGGTTGAATAATATTATGCCGTTCTATACCAATCGAATCCCGCGCGGGGGGGAGTTTCCTCCAGGCAAAATATCTTTCTCCTCCCCTTTAATCATCAAAGCATCAAAACCACACTACTCTTCCCTCACCTACAACAATACTCAAAAAACACAACAACAACAACAACAACAACAACAACAATGAAACAAACATCCGCACAGAACTTCAGAGCCTTGTCGGTAGCCGTCCTCTTGGCCCCCCTTGCCACGTCTGCCATCACCCCGGACCTCTGTAGCGTCGTCGTTCAAGCTGCCCCTTTGCGATTGAAAAAACAGCATGTGGATCCATAGCTTGCAACTCCTCCCCTTTTTTTTGTGCGCTTATGCGCGCCAGAGTGAGGTGGGATGGTGGTGGTGGTGGTTAGAGAAAGGAGGACGAGGGAGAATGAGGGATGTGGACGGACAGAGGGATAGTTCAACGATGGACAGTTTATTTGCTTCTTTTGGGATGCAAAGGTGGAATTAAATACAAAGAAATAGGTACGGAGTGGTGTATACAAAACGGATCATGCTTATGGGATGGCCGAAGTTTGGTGGGATAAAAAAATTCTACGCGGCAGGGTTAGGAGGCTGGAAGCAGTCGAGAGGATTGCGAGTACAGAAACCCTGGTTCAAGGGTCCGGCACGGACACCGCGAAGAACCAACTGCTCGCGCCATGGGAGTAGACGCAAGATAGCATCGGCACTAACCAACTCCTCACCCTTGGGGTTCTCGTATCCGGACCAAAGACGCTCTGAAAAGGCAGCAGCACGGGGCCAGAGACGGTCCTCGACATTGTTGGGATCTGCGAGCTCACCCCACATGGTGGCCTCGGCACCGAGAATCAAATCAGCCTCTGTCTTGGTCAGGTTGGCGCGCATGTCGTATGAGTAGACACGGTTCCAGTGATTGAATCCTGCACCCTGGACCTCGGGGTAAGGGTTCGAGCGAGGGCGACCGAAGCCGAGATCGAGGTACCAATAGTCCTGAGCAGAGACGATGGTCTTGTATCCCTTGGAGGTGACCTCCTTGACACCTTCAGAACCAACCCAGACCTGGATGACGGTATCCTTGGGCAGGTTGAAGTGGTACTCGAGCAACATCTCCTGCCAGACCATGACAGTCTTTTTCTTCTGGCGGACGTGATCTTCCATGTCGAGGACGAAGTTCTCAAAGAGCTGCATGAGGGTCTGGTTGGTGTTTTGGAGGTGGTTGGTGATGTATGTGTCGTTTTCCCAGCACTTCATGACGACTTCGTCTCCGGCAGCGTGGAAGAACGAGTCGGGGAAGAGCTCGGCCCATTCGTCAATCAAGCCGTGGACGACTTCTTTGGTCTTGGGGTGGGCAATGTTGAGCTGACCTGCGGGGGGTTGGACCGTGTACCCAAAGTAGGGCTGGGCGTTGGGGCACGAAGCAATCTCAGGGATACCTACACGAATGAGGGGGACAAAGAACAAATATTATATTTAGATTAGAATTATTTCTTCTGCGCACATGGACGGTAAGGAATTGGAATGAAAATAAAGACAGAAAATTACCATATCCCCAGGAGGTGGAGTGACCGGGGGCTTCCATCTCAGGAATAACGCGGACACCGCGCTCCTTGGCAAACTGTACAATGTGCTTGATGTCCTTGGCGGTGTAGACGTGGCGGGAAGTGTAGGCACCATGGGTAGCAAGCTCGGGGTACTTCTTGGAGACGTAAGGGAACGAGGTCGAATCGATCATGTGCCAGTGGAAGACATTCAGCTTGTTCCATGACAGGGCTATTAGCAAAGGAATGGGTAGGGAAGAAGAGCGGGAAGTGTACATTGGCACGGTAAGTCACACAATCAAAATTATGATCTTTTTTGCCAGTCATGGTGCATGCATCTGAACTGAGGAGTTGACAAGGTAAATGTCGCAAAAGAAAAAAAAAGAAGGGGCTTTGGTAACTTACTGTCGATAAACTTCTCGATCACCTCGATGGGGTAGTAGTGGCGGGCGGTATCGAGCAAAATACCACGGTGCTTGTACTTGGGGAAATCCGATATCTTCCAGGGAGCATTAGGGACATAGTAGGACTTGCGCTCAGGGTAGTACTGAACCAACTGCGAAAGGGTCTCAAGACCATGGAGGGCACCATAGATAGTTTCGGCCTGGAGGACAGCCTTACCACTGATAGGGACCGTCAATGTATAGCTCTCATCGGTATCCAAGTCGAGATGGTCGTCATTGGACTTGATGTCAATGACAACGGTGCTCAGAGTCGAGCGGGAGGGCTTGTTGTCTGTGGTGGACCAGTTGTAGGGGATCATGGGGTAGTCCTCCTTCTTGAACATGAGGTCCTGGTAACGCTTGATGGCCTTGGAGACAATTGGCTGGCGGGCTCCTTTGCCCTCGAAGCGGATGCTCTTGGAGACCTTGACGGTGTTGGAGCCACGTTCCCAGTTCTGGGGGAGAGGCCAGATCCAGGGCTGCTTGACGGGGTTAACAGCGGGGATGCCTTGGATCTCTTGGATGGGGAGGGAAGAGGAGTAAGCCAGGGCTGAGGGCGCCTGCGCTGTGACGGTTGTCAGGGCAACAACTGTTGCCAAGCAGAGCGACAATGAAAGCATGTGGAGTGAAATATTAATAAAAGGAAACAGGAGGTATAAAAAAGAGGAAGGGATGAAAGACGGAGAAGAAAGGATGAGGATGAGCTGGAATCGACTCACAAACGGGCTTGCCCTTTTTATACAAAAGACAGTGAAGGGTGAGAGTCGTTACACTCTGTTGAACAGAAGGTTTCGAGACTGACCATTCTGCGAAGCAAAAGGGATGGAAAGCGTTGCCGTTGGCTGTTAGTCCAGATCGTTATCTAATGTGACACAACACACAATACATAAGCAACACAACAGTACAACACCAAACTGGGTTCCTTCTTTTCTTGGTTCATTACCCTCGTCTACCCCATGATACATCTTACCAACCAACTCCCATAGAGTGGTTGGAGAGAGCGGAATAGAAAGGGGATACCCAGAAGGAAAAAAAACTAAGGGGGACAGAGACAGATAATGAAGTAAGTTCACTTAGCCGAGGGAGATAAATATTAAGGTTCTATCCCATTGTTGATCTCCTTTGACCCTTTCGCAGCATTGTAGTGTGTGTGCGTACCGGACAAGAGATACTTCTCGTCCTTCTATTCCCCATTGGGCTACGATGCTGATTTTGATTGTGATTCGATTCAGTCAGGGGTATTGGGGTGGTGTTCTCCAGGGGCGTGGGATTCAATTCGACTGGAATTTTGATCCGTGTGTGTTTGTCTGTTGGTTTCTTTGGCCAATCAAATATGAAGAAGCGAAGGAATGAAAACACTAATTACCACACTCACTCAACAAAAACAAATAACGGGGAAGGAATGGATATTCTCCGTTGTCTGTTTGTTTTGTGGGGGGACGCATGATGATGATGACTCGATATGCTATCAGCCAATCCACGCTCGTCTTTGTTCTGTTTGTTCTTTTTTTGCCTTGTCTTCCGAACCCCAGGTTACGTCCACGCATAAAAATGGTGCTCGCTCCATTATTCGGCTAAAAGAAACATAAGGCAGTGCGAAATCAATGAGGAGTTCACATCGGTTGCAAAGATCCAAGGAACGGATGGCAAAAGAGGGAAGAAGAAGGTGATGGAGGTAAGGACCCGAGAGACTGAAACCGGAAACATGATTACAAACACCATCTCTCATCATCCCCCTCTTTTGTTGCTAGCCTCAATTGGGCTCTTCCCGGGGAAGAGGGACAGTAGCAAGGGTAAAGGTGAGGTGTGTGAGAGGCACCTGTTTTTGTACACTGTACACTGGTTCCATGACACGCACGAAACATAACTTTGGAAGGTTTCTTGAAGAGACAGACAACAGAGAAGAGATGGACAAAGACAGAGTAACGACGAGGGATGGGTGAGAGAGAGAATGGAGGGACGTCTGCAAGGCGAAAGCAATGGGTCCCAGAGATGCAAGTTCAGTCGTTCCACTCCTGTTTCTGATTATTGCTGTGTCTTTTTCTCCCTGTGCCTTTCTCTCCTCGCTTGAAATATGGAATTTGTGTCACCCTGGATCCAAAATGTGGTGAGAATGAAAAAAAAAGAACAACAAAACAAGGAGAGATCAAGCGAAAATGAAGAGAAGGTCTAAGGTCAGATGTTGTTGATGTCGGGTAGGTAGAGTCTAAAATATATTTTTCCTGACTGATCATTCCTTCGCCATCATTAGGGTGTAGCGTCTTTCTTGATGTTAAGCACACCTTTGTCGCCGTGGATCACACTCGTTGCGGATGAGATCAGCCTAAATTAATTTCGCGTTTACGTGACTCAAAAATGTAGACAGGTACACGCCACCTACAACAACACTATCTTCTTCCTCTTTAGTCGACGGGTCATTTTTTAAGTTGAGAAGCATGAATGACAGAGAGAAAGGCAAGGAGTAAGACAGCGGAAGATAGATAATAGGGAAAGGGCGATCGAGAGGAAAAAGGGAGCAGGCAGAAAGGAGGACAGGAAAAGCGAGAGAGGGAGAAAGAGAGTGATGATGCTCTATATCCCCATCCCATTTCTATCATTATTCATCACAGAACACTACTAACGAAGCGGGAGCCTACACATAAACAACACATATACAAAAAAGATAGAGAACAACGTCTATGTAGAGGATGTAGTTTCCTTCCCATTTCAATAGGAAAGACTTTTGGCAAGAAAGGCAGGTCACTCTCGCCCTGATGTGACTCTCGGGTTGCTTTGAGTTCTGCGAGCATGTCCGCTTTGATCTCCCTTTCTACTATTTCTAATTCTCACCTACCCGTCGTGACATAAATACTCCCATCATATTATTTTCACAAAACAACATTACCAAACACCCAAAAAAAACTGACCTTATTCACAACCTCATATATTATATCTACATACAACAGCAACAACCGCAATTCCGCCAACAATGAACACACATCCGGACACACCTTCACAACCCTATCGATGGCCGTTCTCCTTACCCTCCTAGCCCTTCTTGGGAACAACTCCGGCAACCTCAACGGCACCATTCAACCATACCATTTATCGCTGCCGTTGCTCTCACCAGTACCTCAATAAACACAATGGCCGCCTACATAATGCTGGAGGATATTCGGACGAAACTTCCGATTCCTCACTCCTAAGAAAGCGTGGTGGTTTTGTGGGCGGGTTCGCGCTGGATTTGGTCAGGGCGGCAACAGAGGTGATAAAGGCGGTGGTGGTGGTAGTCATAAATGGGTTCAAGGCGAGGGTAAAGGTGATGGTGGTGGGCGAAGAGGATGAGACTGGAGGTGATGGTTGCGACTGACGGAAGATGGAGAAAGAAGACGTTTTGGAAAAGCGGGGGAACCTTAGGTGGGAAAACTAGAGTTGTTTGTACTATTGTCCCTCGCCTTCGTTCTCCAAAATGTAATACAAAAAGATATGCAACGCAAGGATGTGCAATGATGTTGCTGTTGTCGTAGACCTAAAAAAACCCCCCAAAAAAAAGAGGATTGTTGAGCGCAATGGGCTCATTTTTATCGGGCACGCGTTTTCATTTTCGTGACAAGCTCTCGGCACGTTAATTCTATTATTTTTTTTTATCAGACTCAGGGTCCAGACTCAGGGTAGAGTCGCCTGGCGCAAGTTTCAGAAAACGCAAAATAATGCCGCATCTCTCCTCTCCTCTCCTCTTCCCTTCCCTTGCATCCCTCACCCCCCTAAACAGAATTCAGAATCCATTCCCCTATGGCTTGTGACCACACTTCTTTTTTGTTTCCATCGTTCTTTAACGAAACCAACCATGCTTTTGCATGAACCTAAGGATTTGTACTCAGAGCTGGATACCATCCAGATCCCTCCTTACTTGCTCTCGGTAACTCTGCCCATCTCACTTCAGGTTTTCATTCAAAAACGTGCACATTTCATATTTTACTCCTTTATACTCTCTTCTCCTCTCCTCTCCTATCCCTACCAATCAAACACCTCTTTCCAAAAATCAACAACAACACATCATGACATACATACGCGACCTTGACATTGACCATCTCCATGGTCATCGTCACAGTCCTTACACGGTCTACCTCGGCCAATCCCACCGCCAACGACAATACCCACACGGTCGTCGAAAGTGACACCGAAGCCGAGATCGAGCTCGATATCGCCGCTGTCGCTTCTTCATCCCTGCCGCCACAGAATGGTGATGATGTCGATTGTCTGGACTTTGCAGAGCGGCTGCCTATCAATAGCGGAGTGGGAGGTGAGAGCGAAAGAGGACGAGGTGGTGGAAAGGGCGAGCGAAGAAGAGGACGTGGGTATTCGTGTGGACGAGGTAGACAAGGCGGAGGAGGAGGTGGCGACCGTGGAATGGTAGGATTAGGTAGATGAGGTGGAGACTCATGACCGCAGTTGAACACCGAAATCGGTCGTACGATTTTTTTTCTTGATTTCAAGATGGCATTGGGGATAGGGCAAAGAAGTTTGTCGCGTGCCCGATAGATGTTGGGTACTTGCCAATGCATTCCCATCACTCTTTGCCGAAGAGAATAGTATTTAATATTGTGGCGCGTTATTATTTATCCTGCACAATGTCAGGCAGCCAGCATCTGAGCATCCCTTGGAGAATTCGATAGATTCCCTACCGCTTCTTACATTGTGGCACTCTCACTCCCCATTCTCTGCAAAATGATATCCAAAAATAAGGGAAGGACAGGGGATGTTGAGTTGGTTCCCCTCTCTTCACCTCATTCTCACCGTTGCTCTATTCTAGTTGGTCGCCTATCGCGCTGTGGTTTTTATGTTTTAGTTCGCGTCTTTCTTCACCGTTTGCTGGCTGTCTTTTAATATTCTTTTATCGTTTCTGTTTTCTTGGATAGTGTGGTATATTTTGTGGCTTTCCTCAGCATCCGAGATGAATAAAAAATAATAACTGACTAATGGCCTTGGCCATAAAAAAAAGACGTGTCGTCCTACGCTATCTTTCTTTCCTATCACTCCTACGCCGTCTTTCTCTTCACCCCACTCACATTTAACTCCCCATCACAAATACAAAGCATTTCCGATAATCACATTGCGCTCTATTGTCATCCCGCATTGGTCAGTGCAAAAAAGGGCCATGCATCCAACTCTTATTTTGCATCTTATCCATAAACCGCATAGCAGAAAAAACGTGTCGATCCAGAAACTTCTCATACTCTCAGCCGTGACCATATTTGTACTCATCATACCCTCAACCGCTTCATCTATCGCCAATGGCACCTACGCGCTCCAGTTCTTTGATCCCTTCAGTGGATACGCTAAGCTCTATATGACCTGCTACCCTGACGGTGGACATTACATAGTCCAACTTGGCCTCCCAAAAGACGAGAATTAACTCTTCAAGGTGACCAACATTCCCGATGGTGGTAGTAATGTCGACAAGATCACCCTCCAGCCGGCCGATCCTGATATATACGTCGGTGTCGTTCATGTTCCTTTTGTAAGCACAGACGCCGGTAGTGTGGCGATTGAGGCGTATAATATTTAGCTGACGTCTAGGACCCGGTCTTGGTCGCTGTTCCCTTCCCCTTCTGCCCCTCCTGCCACCACTGCCGAGGAACTCAAGAAACAAACACTGTTAGGTACTCGATACTATCCGGAGGACTCCAAGCCTATGGCATTCAATGGACAGATTTACGACCACCCTATCATCGGGCCAGATAATAAACATACTTTTCTTGTCTTGAACAGATGGATGGGGAGTTTGATCAACAAGTGTCCTACAAAGGACGGACTACTTGTATTGTCATAGGTGCCATGGACATATGTGTGGCTCTTTTTTAAAAAGAAATAATAAAGGCCCTTTTCGTCACTCACAGGAACACATCCGTAATACGAGAGCCCCTATGAGCGACATTCACCCTACCGACAATGATTTCACCCATCTCTCTCACGACATGGCTTCTACGGAGGCCACCCACTCTTCATTCACTCATTCATCACTTACCCTCCCTCCAACAGCCATCGACCCTCCCAGGATTCAACAACTGGTTGTCACTGACACCCTCCTTCAACTTATTCCTTCGTTATCAGGAAACGACTTCTTCGCGGCACCTGTGATGAATGAGTGAATGAAGAGTGGGTGGCCTCCGTAGAAGCCATGTCGTGAGAGAGATGGGTGAAATCATTGTCGGTTGGCAACAGAGATGACCTGGGAACAAATTGACGAGTTCATGACTTTTTTTGTTTCGTTGAAAGTTGCGAGGACATTGGGCGGCGTTGTGTACTACGTGTTTGCTGTCTTTGTTTTCCCTGTTGCTAACAATTGCGTATTTTTTCTTCTAACCGAACCGGTTACGTCTTTCCTTAAGCATTGAGAGTGTCTGGCCACCCTTTTGTCTTGTTCTTTGCAATTTTCGATTCCATACCCATTACACTCCCTTCCCTTGTCTCTTCCATTCTCGTTTGAAATACTCTGATGCTTGAAGAGGAAAGATAGGAGGAAGAGGGAGGAAGACACCAGACCGCTAACTTGCCTGTGCTGTGCATGCTCATTCTTGACCTTCTCTTTGCTCCCAACCGTTTTTTAATGATTTTTTTCTCTTATTTCAAACAACCCTGTTAGTTCTCCGTTATCCCTTTTCTTGTACGCTGTGCGGGCCTGCTTCGGCATTCAAAAAGAAGAGATATGTCATAAAAAGATATGATATCCCCTCCCCTTCTTTCTCTCTCTCTCTCTCTCTCTCTCTCTCTCTCTGCCAGTCCCTCAACACCTTATTTCCTCATCCCCCTACCTCCTCACTCGTCATCCTCCTTCATTCATAAACAAGGTAATGCCGGACACACACATCCGCTCGCCGTGATCATTCGTTTTCTTCTTGTTGCGATAATGTGTTACCATTGTAGTATACCTCTAGTAGCCTATAGTCTATTCCACCTTGCATTCTTATCCACATCTGCTCCTGCGAAAAAATAAATAGATGTCTATTCAGAGGCGACTACTTGGTGCCTTCCCTGACGCTCCTCTTCTTCGTGGTCCAACACTCGGCCGCGACTGCGTTGTCTCCCTCTCCCATCGCACATGGCGTTTACCAACTCCAGGTCAACTATTGGCACCATAGCGTACGCATCCTGTTCTTGACCGTTGATCCCAACGCCAGCATTTGAGCTCTCAAAAACCAACTCTGCAAATGTACAGACTGGTGGCAAAATAGTTGAGTCGTATGTGGTTTGTGTGGTCGAGAATTCTGGCTCTGGCTCGGGTTCGCATACAGGTTCGGGTTCGGGTTCGGAACCCACAGCAATGGGTGTTGGTCCCCGCTGCTTTTGGCGGCGGAGAGGAAAGGCGATATTTTATGGTGAGCCGTTGACGATCGGCGGCGAGTCATTCGCGCACCCTACTAGGGGGCTGCAGGATAGAGCGCTATTACTATTGCCGAGTGGGAGGGCTGCACATCCTCTATTTCCGCTTTGATTTAGTGCAATATCCCTTCGGCTGTCAATAATGGACAACGCTGGGATAATGGTGACTGCGTTTTCGGCGCAGGTAACCAGTCTAGTTCGAATTATGGAGGTCTGGGGACCATGCAGACTGTTCACTTGGGCTCTTGCGACTCAAAGGCGTCGGCCTTGTCAAGGTCCGCATCCAAACCTCGCCTGCAGCGGCAATGTTGTGTGCTCCAACAATATCGCGGTGGAGCCACCTTCCGCATGTCAAGCACACGCATGACCTCGTGGTAGGCTTGGCGAGACGGGATACCTCGTTCGACTCGAGGCAGGTGGGACAAATGCTTGAAGTGAGGTATTCATCGACCAACACCACGATGTGCCCAGCAGCAACAGCCTATTTTCATAAAAATGAACAAAATGAATATGATCAGTATTTGTTTTTTCTGTATCGGACAAATACAACTAACAGGAAATACAGAAAAACCCGTTACCTTTTGCGCAAAGACCGCCTTGAAGGACTCATGGGGGATGCGAGGTTAATGCCTGTACGGAAGGACCCATTTCCATAGCAGAATAGCGTCTTGGTGGTGCACTCCCTGAGGATGGCATCGATGGCGAGGTCCATCTCTGCCTTCTTGGCCTTCTTCAGATCCCAGCCCATGGCTTTCACTCTTGCAGACCCATAGAATCCATGCAAGATATCCTGAACAAGGAAAAATCGGAACGTGGATTGCTCCATGTCTGCAACTTGTTGGTATTGTCGGGATGGCAGCACGTTCAGGATCTCGCTGATACTCAGAATCGACGTTCCTCCATCCGCTTGCCCGTCCTTCTGCTCGGCCCATAACTTGCCCTCAATCGTCTGACCTGGACTGACGGTGATCCTCGTTGTCGACAGATCCTGCATTTTATTTCGATGGGCAAACACAGGCTGGTAAAGCGATTTTCTGCTCACGACCAGATTCTTGGCTTCCAGACCAGGAGGGAGGATGCTGTTGGTGGATGCTTGGTAGTTGCGTCGATGTTGCGGTTCAGCGTCATCATCTGTCGCCACATTGGTGTCAATTGAAGTGAGATAGGTCCGCAAGATCCTACAAAATGCTGCCGTGTTGACCTCACCGGGGTCAATACCCCAGACATCAATCTCCTCGATAGACGACACGCCAAACTCGTCCAGAATTGATTGTAGTGTTGGGAATCTGTTTTCGATCCGATAGATAGGGTTAAAGGCGAACTTGCTCCTGTAGGGCTTGGTGGTATCAAAGCAGGTGACATGGAGTTCCTTGCCGTTTGTCGAAAAGATGTTGTTGAGCGCGAATCGTTGCGGGCATAGGGTCGGGTCCTGTGAGAGGAGACTTGTCGGCAAGGGAGGGGGACTCTTGTCGCATGCAATCCCTTTCTCTCGACAGTCACTGGCGTAGTTGATGAAGCGGAACTTGTTGTCCAAGTATGAGTGAAGGATATTAGGATCAAAGATGGCCGGATGATTGTTGGCAAGAGCTTCCATAGTTGTCGAGCGTCTCCCGTATGATGTCTGCCACACGGAATGTGACTTCCTGATCTCATCTGGTTCTCCATAGAATAAGATCCTGATCAATTCCCCATGCGTCAATTCGACGAGTGCGGATGCTTCTTTGGCGGTCATGATCTTGGAAGCAGCAACAGCGCACGGGTTCGGATTCTTCTTGCTCGTGGACCACAAGATTGGCGGCAGAGCCCGCTCCTCAAATGTGATGAACGGATCGGTGAAGTTATGTCGAAGGCAGAAGAGAGGTTGCATAGCCGGCGGCAGACGTTCGGCCTCTTTCCACCAGTGACGGATGTATCCACCGGCAAATCGCATGCTGGTATCGTTGTCGCCCTCGTCCTCATCCTCGTCCTCTACGTCCTCTTCGTCGTCATCCTCGTCCTTCTCGTCGTTATCGTCATTCCTCTCCTCCGCTGTAGTTTGTTGAATTGCTCCAACAGTCTGGGATCCCGGCTGCTCCTTAAATGATCCAGCTGGCAGGTCGATCTCGCTCCAACCACACTTTAACATCTATTTAAGAGTCGAGCAAGGACTGTGAGTTAGTATTTAAAAATGGTGTAGGCTAAAAGGATCATGTAGCACTACGTATATGGACACATACCCTAGCTCCAATGGTGAATGGCAAATCCCGAAAATGTTTTCTCAGCTGAACAGAGAATTCCGCCGCTGCATCAACAATCAACCGTCCAACGCAGATGGAGTCCTTGTTGACAGGCCGAAATCCTGGCAGGATCTGATGGAGACGATCATAAGCAGCCTTCGAGATGTTCTTCGCGGCCTTGGACTTTTCCTTGACTGTTTTAGGGCGACCGCGCTCGATCTCTCCGTTGAGGATGAGGGAGAACATATGCTTGATAATAGCGGTCCCGGCGGCCTTCTCCAACAGTAACTCAAGCACGTCAAAGGGTTCTCCTGCATCCTCCTCGCCAGCGACAGCATCCAGCGCTCCCGAAATGCCTTCTCCTCCCAATAGCTGATCAAGGATCATAATCTCTACTGCTCGAAAAACAAACATCCTGGCCTCTGCCATCGTCGCCACTGCCGAGTCGATCCTGACCGCTATATCCTTGATGTCCTCGTCGCTGAGTTTAGCAAGTCGCCCAGTCTCTCGTGCCGGCAATAGTGATCGTCGTAGGCACCCCAGAACACTACCGATCGTCTGTGTTGAAATTGCAAAGGTGCTTGAGAATCCGGATTTAAGTTGTGCAACTTCAGACTTCGGCTTCCTAGGTTTGCGCTTCCTAGGTTTGCGCTTCTTCTTCTTTTGTTGGGAGTTTTCGCTGGATTTCTGCTGGGACGAAGAACCGTTTGTTGTTTTGGATGTATCTTTGGCGTTGTTGTCGGAGACCGGGTTGTTGATATACGGAGATGACTGTTTCTGGGAGCGAGGCTTAGGCACAGTCATATGGGAAAGCTCAGCCTCATCGACGTTTGGGGCGTCGTGGATGTTGACAGTTCTGACTGAATACCTCTTCTGAATATCGGTCCTTGATTTGAACCTAAGTTGACAGGAGTATTGGGAATAATGAATAAAAAATGAACTTTGCAACGAAGCGTAGGAATTCAACGAAACTTGAAACATCTTCAAAGTGTAACTAAACTTACTGTGACTCTCTCCACTGCTTGTGTTTGGCTTCTGACTTCTTAGCCTTGAATCGATCCTTCCGCTGCTGCTTGTGTTTCAGGGATCTTTTCCGCTTCCGGGTGCATTCGGAGATCGTCTTGGAATCATATTGCGTGGATGTTGACGAGGGTGCTGATTCGATGTTCGTATCGGTGTCCATGCCCATGTCCTTGGTAGAAGCCAGTTTGATCGGGACTCGCTCTGGTGGTAGGTGCTGTGTGAAGGTGTGGGTGTCGTTCCTGGGTTGCTGAGGCTGCTGTTGTTGACTTTTGCGAGAGTACAGTTCCTGTAGTATCATGGTAATGATATCGTGAGAGTGAGGACTCTCGTCGTCCTGCTCCAGCGGTTCTTGTATAGGCGTCTCCATCCTTTCGAAAAATGCGGTGATTGCATGGCGATAATATTCCGGGCCAATGTGGATGATTTCCTGTTGCTTGTGTCGAGTAGAAGTCTGCTGTATCGATCTTTTCTTCAGTTTCCCCAGTTGACGCTCAACTTCGTCCAGGTAGTTTTGAATGAACGGCATCAATGCCTCGGCTCTGTGGTCGTTGTCTCCAGATCCTCCCAGCGGCCCTAGGCTTGTCAGATCAAAGTCTCGTATGATGTCGCAGTTCTTGTGAAGCCCAAAGTACGGAAGATTCTTCACGTAATCGTTGGAGGTTACGATACAGACAAGGAGAAGGTGCTGTTCCGACGGCAGATCTAGACGGTCCAGGAGCTTGGTCTTGTCGAACAACTGCAACTCCCTCGTCTTGCCCACGGGCATCATGATGTGGCGGATCCCCTCGTAGACAATTAGATCACTATCAGAAGTGACGATCATGACAGAGTCGGGGTCTGGGGCGTCCTGACACACTCTTGAGAGGCATGTATCCGCTTGATACGGGCACAGGTGGATCCACCAGCCCTTCTCTCTCAACACCGGAAGGATATCCTGCTCGAGACTCCCTCGGGGTAGGCGGTAGTTGTTCTTGCAGGTCTTGAAGAGCTGCTTTGTTGACCGGGTTGAACCGCTGACCTTCGTCTGTAGCTTGTCCAGTGCTCGCTTTAGGGTCGCGTTTCTCTGCCGATGTTCTCCTCGCTTCTGCTCTGATGGTGAACCGTCCACATGAATGATGGTGAGCTCTTTGTCGAATTCCTTGGACAGGATATCATCCAGGACGTGTCCTACTGCTCGGAAGGTCTAATAAGTTATGTGCCCAAAAAAAAAACAAAGGGTAGAGGAATCAAGGCGAGCGAGCACTTCACTTCTAACGGAATGAGTAAAAACACAATTGTAGGTTACCTGCAGATTCTTCTTGTCGACAGGGGACAGGCCTTCTGGGTTGAGGAAAAGGTTCTTGTAGCCGAGTCTATCAATACTGTCCTCGATCAGCTCATCTAATGTCTGTTTGGGATCAAAAGGAATAGTGACATCAAGGGAAGGGGTATTGGGGGTTGAGTTGTGCTCGGCGATGTTCTTCCTTTTTCGAGATCTTGCGGGCACCTAGGTCTCTAACTGCAGCTCTGGGGCAGGCGTGATTGTGGCAGAGTCAGACCCGGCCTTGATGCGTTGTTGGAGAATTTGGAATGCACGTGCCTGTAGCAAGCGGAAGAAGCGGCATAGGAAATCCACGTGTGTTGATTTTCCTGCATCCTTACAAGACCCCCCAGGTATTCCCTCGCTATCGTGCAGCTCTTTGGGAAGGCCACGGATTCCCATCACGACAAAATGTAGAAATGTTACGCTGTGTTCTTAGGAATGGAGGCCCGTGCTAGACTAATGGAAATTAATAACGACAACGATGGTTAGGATCCATACATGGGCTTCCTGCATCGACTTGCACGTTCATTCGCAACTTGCATCAACTTACTTGACGGTGGCGGGTGGGTTGGGCGGACAGGCGGTAAAGAAAAGCAAAACGCGTTTTGTGTTGGCAACGAGTGAAAAGGAGAAAAAAGGAAGGCGTGTACGTGTATATTTTGTTTTGCTTTGTGATAGTATAATGGTGGTGATGAAAGGAAAGACGGAGAGAAAGGAGGAAAGAGGTAGGAGAGGAGGAAGGAAGGAGTAAGTAAAGAAAGAAAAAATAGAAATAGAGGAAAGAGGGGCCTTATTTATATGTGTCTGTCCTTACGGGTGACAATGTGTTGCCGTCATGTCCTTGATCGTTGATCATGGATAGACTCGCGGCTCCCTACGTGGGTTGGAGGACGAGGGTCATGCGAGGGGTTTAGTTGATCCCTTGATACAATCATTGATTGTGACACATATGTCATTTCCTGTGAGAAGGCCATTTGCATGGCCCAAGTACACCCTCCTTTTTAGCTTTACGACCCAATAACTCTCAGATCCCCACTGGCCGTGAGGGAGGCATTGTGCCGTTCTCAGAAAAAAATGACCCTCCTCGTCAATACCGCGCGAGCTCCAACTGTCCGTAGATGTGTGGATAGGTCTCCTGACGCTCAGCCATGGTTGTTGTCCTCTTCCCGTATGTTGTCTGCTGCTTGTTCCTGGCTTCCTCGATGGCATCCCGGTCCCCGATGAATAGTTCCTTGATCACCTCTCCGTACGAAGAACGCTGTTTGGCGGCTGCCCAGTTGTGAGTGTAGCGGGTGTCCTTCTATACGTTGTCTAGCTGAACTGTCTTCTTCCCCAGAGAAGCGCAACCAACGCTTTCTCGTTGATGTCGATGAAAGAATCGCTCATTTTGGCCTGAATGCAGAACTGGAGTCGCTTGGATGATGCTAAGCGGAGGAAGTATCACCAGCAGAGTTGAATATGACCCGGTTTGAAAATGATCTTCTTGGGTCGCTTGAGGGCGTCATCGTCGTCCACATCCTCGTCAACATCAGTAGCACCGGCATCACCACCAGCGTCTGTGTCATCTTCATCCATTTCAGGAAGACCATCGCAACAATGGACAACTTGGAGAGCTGGCATCTTTCTTTTATTTAATAGTAGCAGTAACACGCGATGCAAGGTGGAGAGGGCACAGGACCTTAAAATTCTAACTTCACTTTGAGATAATCTATTCTAAAACCTATGGCGCGTATGATACTCCTCAATCATTTTTGGTGCAAAGAGGAACCTTGCAGAGAGAGCAGATTCGCTGGGCGGTTGAGGATATGCTTGTGTTATATCTTCTCGTTTCTTTTATCTGCACAGGATGCAGTAGGGGCGGTCCTTGACTCGGACGGGGAAATGGGAGCCAGTCATGAGCAGTTCAGTAGTTCATCGTTTGGTCCCTTGAATTTTTTCGAGACATAAGGGGATACTTGGGTAGGGGTGTCGCGACATTTGGCGGACACCATCAGATCCTTAGCTTGGAACTGTCGGAGCCCCCTGTGATGCATGAAAGAGCCGAAGAGTTTGTTGATGAGGTACGCGTTGATGGTTGTTGTATCCAGTAACCAGAAGAAGATCGGAGCCCATGCGCGATAAGTCCTGAGCTGAGTCGAATAGTAGCTGCGTAACTGGTCGGCGATGTCGACTCCGTTCATGTGGTGGTTGTAGTCATCGATGATTTTTGGGATGGGGAGTAACGCCCTGGAATGTCCTTTATAAGCATCCCGCACTGACTTTGCGTTGGCGCTTGTCTCTCGAGGGCGTCTGCGATCTTAGACAGCGGATCAGTCGTTGTCGCCGAGGCTGAGGGCATGGACGGTGAAGAGCATGGAGACAGGTCTATTGTCCATCCAGAACACGGTAAGAACCTGAGGTGGATCGGGCGATTGTCCGCAGCTAGCTTTTATAGGCTAGCAGAGGGCAAGAGTGGTGACTCTCTTCGTTAAGTAAAAGAAAAGGAAGCGAACTCATAGAGAGAAATGCACCCATCTATCACAGGCTCTACCTTTGAGAACCAATGTTGCTCAGGTTCGTTGGGGTTGGAGACATGAAAAAAAGCCTCAGTTGTTCGAAGCGGACGAGGGAGATGAAGTTAGTGATGTTGTGTTGAGGACATTCAGGGAAGGTTGAACAATACTCTGAGACAGAGTTCTGCCTGAATTCGCCCATGTAGACAATGATGCCGAGGAATATGCGCAGTTCGTCAGGTGTGGTCTTTACCCATTGGCGCAATCCCTCTCCTGTGCCGGCTCCTTTTGATGCTGCATATGCGTTAGTGAAGGTGGCCATATCCGAAAATACTTTGCCGCTGAAGAATAGGCTGAATATGTTTATTGGTGCCAGTTCTTGGTCGAGTTGAAGAGCACGGGGAAGGTTGGATTGTGCTGGGTGTCCATCCTTGTAGTAGCGAAAGATATTGTCGAAATCTGGTACAGGCGGGAGTTCTCTAGTCTCACGAACGGGCTTCTTAGCAGCCTTCTTGGCAGCCTTCATTTTCTTTGTCGGTGGGGCTGGAGCATCTATCACCCCTTCATCTCCTGCCTTCCCCTCCTCCTCGTCCCCAGAGCTATCTGTACCAGGCGTTGGTCGAGTACGACAACGGACCGAAAACAACAACTCCTCCTCCTGTGCCTCGTCAACCTCCTCCGCAGATGCTACTACGGTGCCTTGAGAGTCAGAAACGTCAAAGGAACCGAGGAACTCGAGACTGGAGTCCATGAGCGAGTAGGGTGAAGTCGATGTGTGAGAAAAAAAAGGTAATGGGTTAATGTGACGAAGACGACAATGACACTCCCACGATGTAGTCTTCTAACCCGTTTTATTGGAAACCTGGATAAATCGAAAAAAATGTGGTGCAAATTTGCACCACAAACAAACTAGGGGATATGGTGAGTGAAGGGTTACGTGTAACGGTAATGATGGTGTGGTCGGACCATGTTAGTTTTACGCCACTAAAATAGTTGTTATTTGTATCCGCTACCTGTGCAAAGCATTGCGTCGTCGCAAGGGAAGCAGGATGAACTGGTTAAAGCGAGCAAGCTACGTGAGTGGGTGAAAACACGCTTGTTGGATCCATTCTTACTGTGTGCAAAGCATGACATATCTTCAGAGGCCCAAACGACCAGAGCTCGAGCACACGCACGAGACAAAAGCACTGAAGGGAAAGGAAGACACGTAAGGTTTCATTCCACAACACAAACTTGCTTTCCTTCTTTTTCTTTTCATCTCACTTTTCACTTTTCACTTTTCACTCCACTCCACTCCACTCCATTCACACCCTCATTCCTACAGTCCCATTTCAACTCCATTCACTCGACTCATTTCACCCTCACTCCCCTACTCTCTCTCACTCGATTGAATTCTATCACTCAAGCCCACACACTCACAAAAACAATAACATAGAGGCTATAAAAAAAGCCCAGAGAAGTCTCGGCCTCTTTTTCTTCTTTCCTCCGCTCCTGATTAAGACAGTCGACATATTTCATGCAAAACAACCATACCGACAGCATTACCAACGAACACGTCTCGATGGCAACTTCCCCCTCCTCCTCTTCCTTCTCACTCAGCAACACGAACACCAACACACCCGATTCCTCAGCATCAAAGGCCGGGGACCCACACCACCCACAGCGTCTCCAGAAGACCTTCTTCATTGAAAAACAAGACGACGATAACGAACAAGAGCAAGAGCAGCGTCTGGATCTCGATATGGCCGAGACGATGATGACCATGATGCAAGGCAACAACTCCAGCCGATCAACAAGAAGTACCAGCAACAACAACAACAACAACAACAACAACAACAGCAACAAAAACAACATTAACACTTTTGAGCCCTTCGACCAGCAGCAACAACAACATCAGCAAACCAACGAAGGCGACAGTGAGAACAACAGCTTGAGCAGCTACGACTTGGGCACTGACGACGGAAATATCGATAACAAACAAGACACCACTGCCACCCCTCTCACGCCCTCGCAACGCCTGACGCCACAGCAACCAACACATCTGCAGCATCAGCAGCAGCCACATGTGCATATGCAACAGCCTGCTCCTCCGATCACAACAGAATCAGCAACAACAACAGAATCAGCAACAGCCACAGCTGAGAGGCTCAAGAAACGACGCATCTCACTCCCTCCAACCTCCTCCCTCCCTCCAACCTCCTCCCTGCTGCAAAACTCACATGCGACACAACGCCGACGATCATCCACTACCTCGTGGGCACACGGCGAGAACGGAGCCCCATGGTCGCCTTGGTCTCGATGGCGTGTGGTTCTCAAGCTCCTCTATGCTGTCGTTGTCCCTGCTGTGATCATATATCTCCTCAAAAACATGGACGAGCAAGTCGCCTCTCGACGGAATCAGCAACAGCAGAACAATCGATATTTCCAGCGTTCGGGGCCCGGAGAGGGAGGAGATAAGGTGTCGTTGTGGGGGCATCATCGTATGACAGGTGTCCCTTCTCAAGTGCCAATGGGACAGCCGACCAAAGAGTCAGCGTGGTGGAAGAGAAGGGGGGCCAACTCTGACGAGCAGCATCGGTGCACAGGAGGAGAGGCTGTGAACGAGCCGCGGACGAAGACTCACTGGTTCTCGGATGGGGATCATCAGCCCAGTTGTTGAGCCTTTTTTTCTCCCTTTGGTGCACTAGAGGCTAGATTCTGGAGTTTTGGGGCCATATGAGGGAGGAAGAAATGAGGAAGGGCTTGGTTATTGGTTGCTTTCATGGAGTCTAGTCGAAACCGTTCCCGACTAGGAAAAACGGTGTCAATTGGTACCCCTTCCAACTTGTATTCATGCAAGTACACCAGAGGATAGTTGATGACTACATTGCAGGAGATAAGGAAGAAGAATAAACAATGGTAGCTATGCTTCATTTGGGCTGGTTCATTGCAATGCAAGGAGTTGCCATAAAGAGGGCCCAGCAGTAGATCAACTTGTTCGTCATTGTTCGTTGTTTGTTGGAAGTGCACAGGCCTTTTTCTTCTTTCTCTATTGTACGGCAGTGATATCTATATTTTGCTTGGGACCGTCAAATAAATGAGCAAATGGGTCAGTGAGACAGTCGAGACCCGCCTCCTACTTCCTCCTACAATCTTGATTTGATCATCACATTCATTAGAAACCGATGGTCGCATACACCTCATTCGACAGCTTCCTCCTCTTCGGAGACTCCATCACCCAGGTACACAAGCACATCATCATCTTATTTTTATTTATTTTTCTCAATCGTTTTAACCAGTCTTCGCTCCTTTACATTTTTTTCTCTAGTTCTCGTTTGATATCATTGACCGCGGGTGGGCCGCACAGCTTGCAAACGCCTACCAACGCCGTCTGGATATCATCAACCGCGGCTTCTCAGGTACACCCTCACCCCCCCCCCTCCTCCAGCACCATCCAAAATCAGACCCAAAAACCATACACCATCTAACCCCACGTCCTCCAACCGTCCCTCAAAATAGGTTACACATCCGAACAAGCCCTCCACCTCCTCCCGCAACTCCTCCCTCTCGCCAACACGCCAACACATTCAAAGATCCAATTCCTGACCATATTCTTTGGCGCAAATGATGCCTGCCTCCCACCATCCTCCCAACATACCTCTCTGAAAAGATACGAAGAAAACCTCCGCGCCCTCATCGAGATGGTCCACTCCCCAGCATCACCCACCTACTCGCCTCATACAAGGATTATCCTCATCTGCCCACCACCCGTGAATGAGGGCCCGTGGGAGAAGGAGTGTCAGCAGAGGGGTATGAGCATGAATCGCGATTGGGAGGTGACGAAAGCCTATGCGGAAGTGTGTTTGAGTGTGGGGAGGGAGTATTCGGAGAGGAATGGGCAGGGGGAGGAGTGTCAGGTGGATGTGATTGATACTTGGGGGATTATGATGGAGAAAGTCAAAGGTGGGGAGCGGACGTTGGGTGAGTTTTTGAAGGATGGGCTGCACCTCGCCGCTGCAGGCAACGACGTAAGTTTTTCTCTTTGCCTCGGTTTTCTATCTGGTAATTAATTATTCGCCCCCTTCCCTCCCCCCCAGTCGCGGGGTATGTCCAAGATGTTTTCTAACATGACCGATCACACCCTTTGCGTGTTTTCGTTTTCATGACGATCTAGGTGATTTTCGAAGAGATCATGAAGGTTTTAAGAACCAAATACCAGGCCTGGCACCCGGCCAAGATGCTAATGCACGGACCGTGGTGGCGCCATTTGGATGTGGACCATCCCAAGACGGACCTCTTGATCTGCGCCAACAAGCCCCCGGTCCCAGCGTCAACTGTTTAGACAAACGTGTATGATTAATTATAGAGCCATTTTAGACTTTTTGCTTTATTGCTTTGAGCGTGTGTGTGAAGAAGAGAGACGACTGAGGTGAGGAAGAAATTAGGCGTTGTATTAGGGTGACTAAGAAAAAAAGAGCTATGGTACAAGGGATTGATTACACTTGAGAAAAAAGAAGAACAGCATCAATAAACGAATGAATGGCCAGGTGAAAACTTTTAGAGGATGGTGGTGACGGTGGAGTAGGACCCCATGATGACGACGAGGGCTTGGATGAGTCCCCATAGCATGGGCACCCATGTCGACATGCGATATGCTCCTGCATTGTAGATCGCCGCTATCGCCAATCCTATTATAGATTTGTGTTGCAAATTTAAGAGAACGAGAAATGGAGGGTTAGTTACTGCCCTGAGTAACCGCTACGTTTGGATTGTATCAAAGAGCCGAGTGGTCCCTGGAAATCCATGATATGGTATCATGTGGAGCGAGCTCCCTCCTGATGGCTGGTTGGTGTTCTGGAAGGTCGATCGAGATAGCGACGCCGTGCTGTCCTTTGTCCAGACATTTGTTGAGTTGTATATTCCATTGATGAAAAAAGAAAAATGAATGTCGATTCATTTTTTTTGACGGCCTTGTCCTTCCCCCCCTTTGTCAAAAAATGGTCCTCCCCTGGAATTCATGCCATTGTGCTCTTATCGCTTGTCTTTTGACCCTTTCTATCGCCAGATGGTGTTGTTTTTGTTTGTATGTTGAGTGCTTCTAATGAGGTGTTGACCATGTGCCAGTTCATCCTGTGATTTTTTTTAGTCATAATTCCTGTTCGAATCTCGTGTTCATCTGCCCACGCATTTGGTGACATCCTGAGTTTCCTTTCCATCGATAGCTAGTTTGCCCCGTTACGAAATAACTGTGGCGTTTTGTCGCTTAGGATAATAACCATCCTGGTATCCTGGTTCTCCCTTTGCCTTTCCATCTAATGTCCTCGATTCCTTATCGACAGAAAATAAAATCCAGATCGTTCCAACAGCCTCTTCATACTCATCCTTGAAGTCTTACATCCTTTCCCTCCCTTTTCTCTATCTCTCCTCGTTCCGTTTCGAAACTGCTATCCATGATCCATAGTCCATGGTGGTGCAAGTGCACTGCGAGCGGAAGTTAGTTCTCCCTTACCGACAAGACTCCCGCTAAGAAAGGCAATAAAGGCACCCATGACGAAAAAGAAGACCGGGAGGAGAATCGCCCATTTATACCGCCTCCTGCTAAACACGATGAACGCCCATAGTCCTGCCATGGTGTAAATACTGACGATGAAGATTAGCGTCCAGTAGGTGGTAAACCGCCAGATGTCTAATTGGAACGAGAAAAAAAAGAGGTGAGTGGGTGGGTAGTGAAGATGGTCTAGGTGTGATACACAGGAAGGGCTTTGGTGGTTTTGTTGTAATCTAAGAAGAGAGACTTGCCGTTGGGGTAGTACATGAAGTAGCCATGGTTGAGGGGGTCGGTGACAGGCCAGTAGAGAGAGGGCCATGGTGGGGTTTTGTAGTCGGATGGTGGGAGGAAGCCAGAGGACATGGCCCGTTGATGTATTGTGTTGTTGTTGCTACTGTTGTGGTCGCTGGGGCGTTTAGGTCGTCAAGGATAGAAGGTTGTCGAAAGAGCAGGAGGAGGAGAAGGGAGGGTGGATGGGAGGGATGAATGTGAATGTGAATGGAGAGAAGGGAAGGATGTGACAGTGAGTGTGTGTGAGTGAGAGAGAAGGAGAAGGAGACAACACAAGGCAACGAGGATTTGGAAGAGAGTGATATGAGAGCGGAGGGCTGGATGAGAATGGAGGTGAGTGAAGCGTACAGTACATGGACGTTGAGCGACAAAGAGGGACATCAATTGAAGAATTATACGGAGTGTCCACCGTTGCCGACATACTAGACCATGATCCATGATCCAGGGCCATCATCATCGCCATCAAGATGATCCCCGGCCATTGTTGCTAAGCCAGCCCCAGCACCCCGGCATCCAATTTGCCAGTTAATCTATTTTTGTGGGACATGACATGAGACATGTGCCACCAAGTAATGAACGCTGTTTCCGACTCTTTTTAGGATCCTCTCAAACCAGGTTTTCTTTGTCGTTGGTAGAATGAACAATTGGCAGGGGCGTTACCTTGCCACTAATAAGAGGTCGAGTTTCTTCTAACCTGATAGTATTCTCTCACCTGACCATCAAAGATATGAGAAAGAGAATTGTTGGTTGACATCTCCTTATCTCCTTTGTAACGCGAGCGCATGAACACCCACTGGCAAATAATGAAAAATGCCTGCTCAGACCCTCTACGGAAACGGCCATCCACCTTTCGACACAGTCGCGACTTGTCACTCCTATGTTCTCTCCTTCCACAAGATTGGAAAGACACATTCTGGATTTTTGTCTCGCGTTGTGATGTACAAGACGCGGTCTCGGATGCTCTATCCTTCCGGGGTCCATCGATCACCTTTCCATCCTCATTCAACATCATACCCATACCTGTATCCACATCCATGCCAAAAAAAAGGTACCTTGTCCCACCACCATCACCTAAGATCCTAATTGATGAATAAGTATCATGAAATATGTATCGCCACCAGTCTCAGAGACTTGAGTTCGCAAGGATCTGCTGGATCTGGAGATATTTCTCGTTTTTATTTTCCTGTTGGCCGAGCCGGTTCCTTTGTCTGGAGTTATATCATTACTAAGCAAAAAAAAAAAAAAAAAAAAAAAGTTGTTCGTTCGATAGTTTGACCTCCTTCTCCTTGTTAGTCTAATTCTTCCACCGCATCACATTCCTGATCTTCAAACATAGTCAAAAAAACACTGGTAACTTGTTTCTTATTGATCTTCTTGGCGGTGTTTGGGCTTAGGCCCTTCCTTGTGTGCCCAGTTTCTGTAATAACCTCTCATTCTCATACCTTCTCAGCCATTTCCTCTCTTTTGTTTTTGTGTTTTGGATTTCGCCCAAAGGCATGCTACGCTTACTCTAGCGTAGATGCTCTGGCTCTGGCTCTTTTTTTTTTCTTTTTTTTTCTTTTTTTCTCGCTCATACGAGATATGGTAGACGCCGTCTGAAGCTTAGGGGGAGTGGACGGACCTATTGACTGGCGGCGCAGGCAGGCAAGCAGGCAGGCATGCACTGAAAATAGAAAAAAAAAACCACAGTTTGTAATGTTGGAGAGCGTCCAAAAAAGAAGAGGGAAAACGTCCTGATCTGGAGATATTTTTGTAAACACACGGGATGGGATGGATGCATCGATGGATGGACGGACAGACGGAGATGGGGGAGAGGCGAGGCAGAGACAGGGCATTGATCGATCGCATGATGTCTTGTTTTTGAGAGTGGAGAGCGCGCGAATGGATGATATGAACGGAAGGGAAGGGAAGGAAAGAGGCGGGGGAGAGAGGGTCAAAGCCGCATCTGCTTTTTATTTGCTCACTTTTGAAAGGGACATGCTGTTGTATGAACTGAATGGATGGAATGAAATGAAGTGAGCTAATATTTGTTGTTAGCAAGTGAAGTGAGTGAGTGAAGTGAGTGAGGGTGGGGGGACACAGTGCACACATCGAAGATTGCCGCCAAAAATTCAGGGGGAATCTCTGTAGGTCACTGAATGCCATCCATCGATCGGTTATGGGATGATGAGCTGGATGCAGCATGCGAACGGTACCTAAACTGGCATCATATTAAAGTAAAAGATGGGATCTGCAGAGGCAGATGATAAGTCGTGAGACATGGAGCATCCGAGCGGGTGGCCAAGTGACAGTAGGAGATGAGGTTTGATCCTCGTGACAATGCAGGTGCATAGTCTTAAAGCGAGTAAGAAGTAAGGAATGCTACATCTGTCCGTACGCGGAACTGGTGTGGTGGCAAATTGTGGTTTAGTTGAAATAATCCCTTGGAGTATGTGTATGTGTGTTCGATGGGGGGATGAGCAAAGCTGTCGGGTCCATGGTGATCGTACTGTAGAACAACCAAGGGAATCCTTTTCGATCCAATGGTGGACATACTTATGCTTTTTATTGTAGTACCACCCACTTACCCATCATCCCTTTCTTTGGTCCTCCTTCGTTCGTTTTTCGCTGTCGTTTCTCTCCTTCCTTTCCTTTTCTCTTTCTCTTTCCCCTTTTCCTTTTCCTTTCCCTTCTCCTTCTCCCCTGTCTGTGAACAAGGTTATTTGATTTGTTGTTGTTGACTTTTGTTGACTTCTTTTTCTCTTTCTCGTCCCTTTTTTTTTTGCGTCTGACCACGGGATCCTTTCCTTCTCGTTCTGTCTCTTTCTCTCTCTCTTTCTCTCACCCTCTCTTTTTCCCTTTTCTCTTTTTCTCATCAATCATTCCGACTCACTCTTCTCTTTCTCTTCCTTTTTCATCTTCATCCTCCGACATCACTCACTCACTAGCTCACACACTCAGTCTTGCCTCTTTTCTTTTCTCGTCATCCACTTCCTTCCTACCTTTCCCTTCTTCAATCCTCGCTCCTCACTCTGTCTCATCCTCATTCACTCCCTCACTTACAGCCATACACTCACCTCTCGCCCATCCTCATCACACAAGCAACAACACAAACAACAGACAACAATAACAACTGCAACCCCGCATTCAATTATTGACGACACTCTCCCGCCACACCCCACACTCAATCTCATTACCCAACCTCACACACGCGCACGCATATACACATATACACACACGCACACGCTATCTTTCTATCACACCACCCTCACAACAACAAACAACAAACAAACACAGAAAAACACAAACAAATCTTCAACTACACTCCCACCCTCCTCGTCCACCTTTTCTGGTCCTCCTCCTTCCTCTCTTGTTATACTCCAGTCTCTTCACCTTCCAGTATATCTATTCTATACATCTAATAATATCTATCCCCTCCCCTCCCCATGAGTAACGGACACGCCAATATGGAGCCAGGCGGCATGGCTATGGCTTCCTCCCACGATGATGCGATGCGTCAAGAACAGTTTCAGGAACACCAACTTCGCCTACAGGAAAAATATGCCCGTCTCGCCGCCCAGGAGAACAGCACCCACCCACACGACCTCTTCAACGACGGCTCCTACATCAACGCACAGGGACAGATTGTCCGTCCATCAAAGAGTCCTTTTTTTGAGGCCACACCTCAATATGGCCTCAGGGACTTTGACCTCTTGGAGACCCTAGGTAAGCAACAACTATGGCAAGAAGATAAAGGACAGAGCATTTGCCGATTTTGATAAATCGCCTCGTCCCTTTTTCATTGTTTATTATTCACCCCACCTGCACTACCCCACCCAATCCACTTTCTTTCGACGAGGCGAAACTTTTCTTTTCTGCCCCTCCATTCCCCTCCCCCACACACAAGAGCAATTCATTCAATGAATGATTGACAGCACACGCACCCTGTGAGGATGAAGAAGGAGAAGAAGAAGAGTAATATGAAGCCAAAGACGAAAAAGACCGACCACACCTACAGTTAGGAAGGAACAGCGAGCCTTTTATTGGGGATCGCTCTTTTTATTTTATGATTTCGGCTTCTTTGTTGTTGCTATTGGTCCATCAGTTTATTCATTTTCTTTTTTTCTTGTTGAGAGTGAGTGCGTTGAGGAAAAGGGACGAGGTTAACCTTTGCAGGCAGAGGACAGAGAGGCATCAGACAACAGCGACAGGCACCAGCCCCAAAGGGGAAGGAAGGGAAACAGAGAAGGAGGTTTGAGAGTAAGTGGTTGTCTCTCCACTTACCCCTCCTCCTCCTTGTTCTTCTTGTCCGGGACTTTGAGGCACAATGGGAAAAAGAACAAAGGAAAAGAGAGGAGGTCGAAATCAAGGCCGAATTGAAGAAAGGGGAGGGAGATGCTACGAGTTGGAGACTCCGGGGGAAAGGAAGACCTAAAAAAAAGAGGTGGGTTGATAAAATCGTGATGGGAGGCACACAAACCTTCACAAGCCCACTGAGTTGAGGGAACAAAAAAGAATATCAAGAGGTTTCTGGCACTTGATTGATTGTTCCTGGGCGGATTGAAGTGATTGTTCCTGAACTGATAGATCACCACTGCTGTTCTGTTCATTATGGATGGATCATCCAAGAATGAACAGAAAGAACCATCTATATATGAAAAAAACCGAGATCGAGCCATTTGGGGTCAATGGAAGAGAGCTCGCCTGGATGAGGTGGAGACTCTGTCTGCCCATCCATCATCACAAACCAGACCGACAGGCAGGCGGAAAAGAGCATAAACAAACAAACAAAAAGTGAGAAAGAGATAGAGATAGAGTCAGAGAGCAAAAAGGACAGAGAAAACAAACGATGACATGGTTTGGTGTGGGCGTGAGGGGATGAATGCACAACCGTGTGCGACATGAGAGCAAAGTGGAGAGAGAAAAGTGAATGAGAGAAAGGGCACAGAGAAACAACAACAACAACAACAACGCAAGGACACATTACCCATCCAATCCTTGCATCGGGCATAATAAAAATGAAGAGGACTACCATGTAAAATCTGTGAACAATATCAACAGAGACCGACGGTCGGACACGACAAACGGAACGGACAGAAAGTTGTTACCTTGACCACACGCCTGTCTCCCTCATCACTCACTCACTCACTCACATACCAAGGGTTGCGATGTGCCTCTTTGGAGAGATACTCTTGGGAAGGAAGACCACCTCAGTCTAACACGGTCAGGATGAACAAAGGCTTTTTTTTTTATATTTAATCCACTGTTTTCCGACGAATGCCTGAGGTGACTCGCACATGCCCGTATTTTTTTTCTTCGATGCTTCTTTGTCTATGACGAGTTTGTTCCTGGAGTGAGTGAGAATGGACATCGTACACACAGACACGTCCTCTTCTTCTGTCCCTTGACCCTGTTCTATTCCCTCTCTCCTTCCCCCCTTCCCCCCATGGACAGACGGATGGCCGAAAGACCGTTTTTGCTGTTTTGTGTTTGTTGTGTGCGAGTGTGTATTTTATGGTTTTTTTTTTTTTTTTTTTTTTTTGTTGGTTTAAACATACCTCTGGTCAAGTATTTTGGGGATGATGGGAGGAGGGTTTGCTGGTTGTTGGTCAAGCACACATATTCCCAGAGTGGTAAAAGGGACAAGCAACTCAATAACAACAACACCAGCACCAACAACCAACAGCACACACACATTCTCTCATTTCTACCAACACACACGCAGCGCACCGCACCACCACAAGCAACACACGCACAACTCTTCGTACCACACGGATGAAGTCAATTCGCTATGCCCTGGTTTCTTCCCCCCGCTCTCACACTGTCCCTTTTCTTTACATCCCTCAGTCCATTTTATTCTCCTTCGTGCACCACATCCGATTGATCCCCACCCAGCTATTTTTCTCCCTTTGTCGCCATCACAAGTGAAGCGAACGATACAACAACAACAACGAGAGCACCAAAAAAAAGAGAGAAAAAGAGAAAGAGATCAAGCCAGTGGAGAGCGGACTTTTTTAGTCCAAAATGACGCTGGATGATGACGAGCGTAAGCGCGGGAAGGGAAAGAGAGAGCAGACAGAGACATTGAGGCAATGAAAGAGAAAGGAAAAAAGATCCTCTATGAGTGCCGTGTGTGTGTGTTTATCCTACGGGAAGAAATAGATCTAAACCAGATCAACCCATCAACACTTGTCACGACCAGAAGCACTCACTCGCCCTTGTCGTGTGTCCTTTCTTCTTGACCGAGGAGAAATCGGCTTTTGCCTTGTGCTCACTGGCTTTTTTATATTTTTTTCTACATTTCTTTTGTTGACTCTCATCGATCGGGGATGGGAAACACGAAGGATGGCTTGACAACAACAGCAACAGTTTGTTTGTTCTATTGTGGTCTATTCTGTTTGCTTCCTTTGTGTATCATTTGTGCACCCTGCCTGTTTCAACATCACTCTTATTTCAGGCACAAGCGGTTTTGAATGATTGATGATGGTGATTTTGATTGATCACATATACACTTTGGTGCGACTGGATGGGTTCCACTCAGACTGATTAAAATATGAAATGGGGTCACCACTGTCACTGTTACTGATCATTCCGACTCTCTGGGACAACATTCACACACATTTCCGCCCTCTTCAATCGCTCTTCCTCTCATTCCTCTACCCTTTGTCGCGGAGTAGTAGACAATTCTCATTCATGTCTTTTTTCTCTCCCCTTCTCCACTTCCCCCCTTCTCCCCCAAAGCTCATTTGACGACGCTCTCGTTTTCTTATCTTTCTCTCTGACGAGATGGACAATGTGGTCTAAAAAAAGTGGGACAAAAGGGCGAATGTGAAATAAAGATGTACACGAACAGAGGGAGAGAGGCGAGAGAGCAGGACACATCAAAGCCCATGTTTTCATTTATCTTTCATTTGTACATTCATTCCATCGGCATTTTTTTAAGGGAGGCCAATTCAAACAGAATTGATTCAATTCCAATAACACCCATTACAAAAGCACAGTGAGGGCATTGGACAAGGGCTAAATGGGACCATGCTCAAAAACAAGCGGAAAGGAAAAAAAAGATGAGAAAAAAAGAGACAGTGCGCTAAATCATGCCTGGAAATGGTAGACCGATCTTAATATCCATAATCTAACCCCCCTTATTCTTTTCTTTGTTTGTTTTCATCTGATATCATTCACTTTGTGGAAAAATAGGAACGGGAACTTTTGGACGGGTCTACTTGACAAAGTTTCGACAGAACCAGACGTTCTATGCCATGAAGGTCCTCAAAAAGTCCGAAGTTGTGCGGCTAAAGCAGGTTGAGCACATCAACTCGGAGAAGCAGATCCTTGCACAGGTTCACTACCCATTTATCGTCAACCTGTAAGTTTTTTGTCTCTGTATGGCTGCAGGCAAAAAAAAATGATGCTAATGAATCGTTATCTGAAAACATGTCCGACTTATCATTCTCACTCCTATATTTTCATTTCATTTTTACAAATGACGCGATCGAACCAGGTTCACGACATTTCAGGATGATCGCCACTTATACATGCTGTTGGAGTATGTGATCGGAGGCGAACTTTTCTCACATTTGCGCAAGGCTGGACAGTTCACCAACGATATGACGCGGTTCTATGCAGCAGAAATCGTACTGGCAATCGAATACCTGCACTCGAAAGATATTATCTACCGTGATCTGAAGCCAGAGAACTTGTTGCTGGACTCGGCTGGACATGTCAAGATTACTGATTTCGGATTCGCCAAGCATGTTGTGGACCGGTACGGCAACATGCCTTCATTATTGTTATCTGGAGCATACATTTTGTTCGAGAAGCCATGGCAGTCTCGATTCAGAGATCTTTATCCTAAACGCCTATCATATTTCAATGGACAACGAAAAATAGAACCTGGACGCTATGCGGAACACCAGAATACCTTGCACCAGAGATCATCCAGTCGAAAGGACACGGCAAAGCGGTCGATTGGTGGGCACTCGGTATTCTGATCTTTGAGATGCTAGCTGGATACCCACCCTTCTTTGACGACAACCCTTTTGGCATCTACGAAAAGATTCTTGCAGGACGGATCTATTTCCCTCCGCATATCGACCCTACCGCCAAGGATCTCATCAAAAAACTCCTGACCGCTGACCGAACTAAGCGACTCGGCAACTTGAAGGTATGAAGAAAGAGGAATGAGCATTTAGGAGCATGGGCGCTTGGAGTGGCCTGTCTGGGCTGGGCTTGGTGGGCTGTTGTTTAAGCTGTTGGAGACTCATGTCGGCTATTTGAGGCTTGATCACGACTGTTAGCGTTTTTTTCCGCTGTCTCACACTTCTCTTCTTTCCCAAACTTTATAGGGTGGATCGGATGACATTAAGAACCATAAATGGTTCCGGGGCGTGGATTGGCAGGGCTTGTTGGACAAGACCGTGGGCGCACCGATAGTTCCACCAAGTATTCACCCAGGCGACACCAGCAATTTTGAAAAGTATCCCGAGGTCGTCGACGAAGAAGCTGGACAGACAGGCGATCCTTACCGTTCATTGTTCATGAACTTTTAAAGCAAGGGCACGCAAGGAGCGTGCAGGTTGTTCCTGATGTCTTTTTTCATGCGACTGAACTGAGGAGACAGCAGCCACAACAACAGCAAACCAACAGCAAACCAACACCAAAATACAACAGTTTACCATCATCACCTACCTACCGCCTTACCATTATCACCACGACATCGGCAGGAAAAAGGGAAGGGATAGACAACTTTCAAGTGCTCTTTGTTTGTCCTCCCATCTTCTCATATTACTTTTTTGCCGATCCTCCCTCCTCCTCCCTTCCCACACTTTGGTCCCTCCCCAACCATCCTCTCCCGTCGACAGAGTTCTTCATGCATCGTCACCAGGAGCAGGAATGCACAATTAGGCTGTAAAAAACCAAACCTTTGTTTTTTTGGCCATTTCCACGTGTCATTCCTGTTATCTTTTCTACCCTTCTTTTCTCGTCTCTTCCCTTTTTTCCAACGCCACTTTCCCCAACCCATCCAAATAATTCTTTTTCTTTCTCTTCTTTCCTTTTTTCTGTATCATATCCATTAAAAAACCATTCTCATTTTGCCCTTTTTGCCAACGCGTTGAAATGGCTAGCTTGCTTCATGGGTTTCTGACAGTGGTGAGGTGAAGAAATGGCCGATCGTTTTTTTTAATACATGATGAATAGTGAATGGTTCACAAATCGATTCCGACAGTGCCGGATGCTTTATTTTTTTTTTCTTTTCAAAACATTCTTTCCTGAGGGTCGATTTCCATACTAATTTTTTTTTGTTGCTTTTTTCATTTTTTCGAGAGTAATGATGTTTCCGGGTTGATAGTCTTCTAACATCGGGCGAGCGGGGAGGTTGGTGGGTTGTAAAGAAAGATCCTTGTTCATACATGATTCCTGCATATTTTCACAGTCCTGCTGAACATCTTAGTTCTTGACACCCTATTTTGTTCACAAAAAGTCAAAACGAATGGCCGATCTAACCGTTAGTGATTACAGCCAATGATGCGCAAAATGGCACATTGATAGCAGGGAGACAAAGTACAAAAAAAAAAAACGAGGAAGAATACTTACGCGAGCCATCTTGGTGGCGCCGTAAAGGGCTCCGATGATACCGACGGTCACGAGGGTGCCGAACCCGGTCATGATGAACTTGTCACCGCCACGTCTGAGGTAGATTGGGACGTGGGTGGGCTTCTGTATAGCCGTGATATCCAATGGCCAGTTGCAGAGAGAGAGGGAAATAGAAAGAGAATGAGTGGGTTAGAGAATGAGTGGGTTAGAGGAGTTGGAAAATTGGGTTGAGAGTTCGGCGCCTTGACTGGATTTGGAAGAAGGGGGTTCGGAAGCGCGTTTTAAATTTTTGTAGGTGGGATTTTTTTTTGTGTGTGCGGGACGTGTGTCGTTAGGGTTAAGTCCGAAGGTGGTGCGTGAGTGGTGGTTGGGCTGGTTCATGGCTCAAGAGGGGGGGCTTCTACTATTGCCGAGTCTGACGCCTTCAATGGTAAGTGATGGGTTTGTCATGGTGTTGGTGCCTTCCTTGTTGTTCTCTGTGAAAAGGAGAGCAATCCAATGGTGTCGGCCCTAAATATTCCGAGCACTGGTCGCATGGTTGTTCGGCGCCTTCTTCTTCTCTCACGCTTTGGGTTGGTCGTGTTCCTGAGGTCCGTCACGAAAGGGTGGCCAGCGAAGGAGACGGGAATAAGTGAGGCACAGGAAGAACTGGTCATTGTACCTGGTAGAGGCGCTGGAGGTGGGGGACGGGGTTAGGGCGGTTGATGAGGGACATTGTGATGTGGTCGTTAGGAGGGTGGTGGAGTGTGAAAGGTGAATGGATGGATGATGGTGCAATGACCTTTTCTCCCCTCCCCTCACCGAAGCCGAATTCTACGTCACTGGTCAAGTCACGTGGGGTGGAGATGGGCGCTCTTTGTGTCTTAGTGAATGACTGGAGGCGAGCGATTTGGTACTCCCTCTTTTCTACCCTCTGTATCCACGATGACCAAAGGTGTGGATCTTTGAAATTATACATCCGCAAGGGGGACATGGGGCCATATCCATCGATTGAGGCATCCAACCATCGGCATACTCTTCAGGACGCTATCTTGCAACACTCCGGCATCGTTGCTACTGGCAGGAGGAATCGAGGCCAGTGTTATTTTTTTGGTTGCGGGATCATCGACTTCAACTTTTTTTCGATGGGAGCTGGAAGGAAGGGTGGGTGGGACCCATGGTCTGGATGAGCTGTTGGTGGGGAAAGCGAGATACACACAACAGGAGGAACTGCTGTCAGCTAGACAGCTCAACAGTGTTTTGTTGGAGGGAGCCCAACATCGTTGCACTTACTCGGCATCGACAGCCAGCAGCTTGCTACAGGAGGAATCTACTTGCAGGAGCTATGTCTTTTGCCTATAAGCAGAAACAGACATCGTGCACCCTTTTTGCGACAGGAGGATCACACTTTCTACAACAGGAAAGCAGGACATCCACCAACTTTCTCTTTAGCTGGGAAGAGGAGTGAACCCAACGATCAGGACCAAAACAAAACAGCAATCCACCAAGATCCAGTCGACTGATCTCTTCCCCCCCCAACCACCTTCCAATAGCTGCTCCTTCGGATAAGAACAAGGCTCTCGCCGCCAAGAAGGCTGCCTTGAAGGGCGTCAACGGCCAGAAGGCCCGCAAGATCCGCACCTCCACCACCTTCAACCGCCCCAAGACCCTCAAGCTTGCCCGTTCCCCCAAGTACGCCCGCAAGTCTGTTCCTCACGTTCCCCGTTTGGACCAGTACAAGGTCTTGAAGACTCCCTTGAACACCGAGTCTGCCATGAAGAAGATCGAGGAGAACAACACCCTCGTCTTCATCGTTGACGTCAAGGCCAACAAGCGTCAGATCAAGGATGCCCTCAAGAAGATGTACGATGTTACCGCTCTTAAGGTTAACACCCTCATCCGGTACGTAACCCTTTGGTCTTTTTTGTTGTTTTTCCGGTTACTTGGAGAAGCAGTTGTTTTCGATGTCACTTGTATTTCCTTCACTCTCGAGGCATCAACGGTTCAGGATCAACAAGCAAGTCAGGATATCGACATAGCAGCAGGGAAGCTCGGGAAGTATTCGTCAACACACTTGCGATTCGTACCGCAGGAGCGACGTGATCAATTGATCTACAATGATTCAAAACCGCCAGTACTTTACGCGAGCGTACTTTATACCACATCCACAACTTGCGACAAACCAGTAAAGCAGCTCCAACCTCCTCCAAGTACCACCAAACCCAGCAACTCGAGATACTCAGCAAGGGAATCCCTATGGTCTGCGAAAGCCCATACGACAAACGCAAGATGATTCCCCTGCCTAAACAAGGCTTTCGACTTTATAGCTCTTCAAAGCGGCACCAGTCATTATAAGAATGAGCAGGGTTCTACACAGCACAGATGAAAAACTACAACGATCATGGACGCACTCGTACCCTCTTTTCTCGACCGAAGGAATGGCCTTTCCATCTTTTCCCTTCCACCTTTTCTACGAATATAGCTATCACAAACCCATGGACTAACATTTTATCCATTTGTCCATGTTCCTTCAATGTTATTTAGCCCCGATGGTAACAAGAAGGCCTACATCAAGCTCACCGCTGATGTCGATGCCCTCGATGTCGCCAACAAGATTGGATTCATCTAAATGCTTCATCCCCCTCCAACCTCCTCCCTGCAAGAAAAATAAATCACATTTGCTGCTGAGCATCTGCAACATATTTTTTCTTTTGACTCTGTTGGCATGGCAAAGCAAGAAAAACCATCATAATTCCTTCTCCAAGTTTTTTGGTTTGTTATTGCGTTTTTTTTTATTGCAAAGGTTCGCTCGAAAGCGAGGAGGGCAAGGGAGAAAAGCAGCGGAAATGATAGGACAAAAAAAAACACGCTAGGAAGGTGAATTAGTGGCGGGTTTAAGTGGATTGTTGATACAGTATTGGTGGCAAACAAGGAGATGATGTACATAGTGAAAACAAGAAGTATGGAGGGTAATTGGGGGATGAATAGCGAGAGAAAATGATGGGTGGATGTGGGTGAAGAGTAAAATCGAACTAATGGAAGAGAATGAACAATGCAAAACCAAAATTGCGTACAAGTCCTGCTGGATAGAGAGCAAGAAAAAAAAGTCTGCAAGAGGTGGAAGAACGCACTTCCTTTATCGGATGGTGGTTATGGCGCCAGAGAGTCCGTCGTCGTCGCGTCGTTCAGATTTGCTCTTCTGAAAGACGTTCCAAAATCGAAGAGTCTCGTCTCCAGCGCCCGTCACAATCGTCTGACCATCGGGCGACAACGCCAGGTAGAGGACACGAAGCGTGTGTCCTGGGAGTGATGCAATCTGATGCATCGACGGGTATTTCCACACGAGCACCTGGTTCTGAGAGTATCCATGAGTCGATACCAGTTCGTTCGTCGTCTTTGACCAGGCGAGATTGCACACCTATGTTTTGTTAAGACGCACGGTGGCCGAAACGATTAGCACGAATGAATAAACGACAATTGCAGAAGTGTATTGCTAGGCGTAGAACCTACTTGAGAACCAGTGTCGTGAGCTCCAATGGAGGTCCCTGTCATAGTGTTCCAGAATCGGATGTGTCGATCAGCCGTACCACCTCCACTGGCCAAAACTCCTGCCTGGTGAGGGTTCCAGTCAATGGCCTTCACAGCGGCCTGATGGGTCCGGAACTGAAACTGCGGTTTGGTTGAATCCTTGTCCCAGATAATCAATCGATTGTCGTTTCCTCCGCTTGCAAGCTGAGTTCCACTGCCGTTCCATTTCAGTCCACACACCTAATACATCATTGACAACTTGTTGTTGTTAGTTCTGAATCATGTTCATATCGGAAACGTGCTTCAATTACTCCATATATCACGAGAGTAACAATCACCTCTCCAGAATGGCCGATCAGGGTCTGTTGATACATATCCTGCGTCCTCACATCGCGGTGATAGATCTTCCGGTCTCGACTGCCTGATGTCAACGTATGGTCAGACCATGCCAGAACTCCGACTCGCTGAGTATGTCCCGTCATGGTTCTAATTCGCTTCTGTGCAGCAACGTCCCAGATCTGAATGTCGCCCTTGTCAGTTCCCACGGCCAGGTATGATGCCTATGTATAACGAAACAAGGAAACGACTGTCAGAATGTGAGCTTGCAATAATAACACTGCGAGGATTGTAAGGAGTACCTAGTTAGTCTTACCGATCCAGTCCAGCTGAGAGAGGTGACAGTGTCGGGACTTCCAACATCACAGAGCTGGTGCACATTTCCTGATGCTGCGCTCCAGAGATAGACACTACTACCCAAACCCACTCCGAGCACATTCTTGGAAGACCAATCCACAAGATTGAGATAGAAATCGTCCTATTCGTCGAGTCAAATGAGAAGCGCGGGTTGGAATCGAGGCAAGACATGGCTTTTCTCTTCCCAACAACAATAGCAAGACACTCTATGCGAGGAAGCGTGTAAGGTACCTTCAGGTCAGGAGCATCCAATACTTTGAAGGGCACACGGCTGATGGCGCGCTGACCCTTCTTGGGACTGAGAAGGATGTTGCGACTTTCCTGCGAAACGGGTGTCGGGGCGTAGATTTGGCGGGACGGTGAATCAAAGTGCATGGTGTTGTGTGTTGTGGTTGAAGAGTAGGTAAAGAGTCGCCGAGGAGAGTTCAATGAAGGGTCGTGCGGACTGCGGGGGTCGGTCAACATCAGCTCGTTTGCGATCACAGAGTCATGAGCCTGGTTTTGAGCTATTGAGTGATAAACGAAGAGGGAGGGAAAGGACAGATCGATGGTTAATCTACCGCGGCATAAACTGAATGATAAAGTTGCATGGAGACAAGCAGTACCTTGACGATAGTGGTCTGTGACATGAGTCTGGCCTGGAGTCATTGGCTGATTCTTGCTCCGCGGCCGCGTTGGCGTCGAGGGCGCCTCGTGAAGATCGTACAGCTCTGAAAGGTCTCGTTCTCGCATAGGAATGTATCTATTGAGGCAAGCATGAGGCAGGAGAAGATTGAATGTTAGTAATCCGCAATGCTTCAAAGTACTCTCTCGTCGATAACTTTGCGAACAACTTTTAAGAGAACTTACCTGTCGTAGACAAGCTTCTTTGACGGTGACTTCAGGCCAGGTGACCGCATCGTAGGTGACTTCATGCCACCAGACGGGGAGGGTGGGTAGTTGTGCGAGTCAAACATACTCGATGATGATGATGAGGCGCCTTCAACGGGACGAGTTCTCCTAATGATAAAATCTGACCGGGGTGGTGGTTTGAATCCTGGAGGGGCATTGTTCTCCGCATCAGAGTCGTGTTCACTGCTGTCGCTTTCGTTGCCATTGTTGGAGTTGTTGCTGGAGATGTTGGTTTCGAGAAGGGCGCGACTGTTAGAATCTCCGTTCCCATCGCAGTTGTTGCTGTTACCGTTGGTACTACTCCTAGTGGTCGGAGCGGAGGTGTTATGACTTGAGGTAGAGGCAATCGTGCTGGCTATGGCGGTATTGCGAGTGCTGTTTCGAGTTTCTGACCGGTTTGGAGCACTCGAAGCGCTGCGAGTAGTAGAAGAAGCAGCTTGGTTCGCCGACCCAGCTGCCGTTGCCCTTCTCGTCCTAGATCGAGTAGGTGATGCACGACGGGCCCTTGTTCCTCTCCTCGGTGTAGGTGCTGGTGTCGGTGATGGTTCGACCTCAGAAGATATTGCTGATGCTGCTCGTGCTGCGGCTGCGAGTGTGGATGTGGAAGGAGAAGCTGAGGCAGAGGTATTTGAGGCGTTGGAAGACGCTGTTGACAAGGAGGTGTTACTGCTGTTCCCAAAGAGGCTCCGTCCTATGCCAGCACTTGTGGCGGGAGGCACCCGGACTCTCATGGCTCGAGCAGCAGCAGTGTTGTTCCGGACAGGTCCACCTATGGTCCGTCCGGCCATGTTGGTGTTGGTGGAAGTGGGTGGGTTGGTCATTCGGGGAGGAGAGAGCATGAGCGGTAGGTGCTGAGGCAGAGGTTGTCTCGCTGTGCTCTGCTGTATCGCTTGCAGTCGTTTCTTGAACTGCGAATCCATGACCATGGAGTGTGTGAGGAGTGGTGGTTGAGGGAGTTGATGTGCTACTGGTTCTGTTGATGAGTGAGTGAGTGAGTGGAGGAAGGAAGGAAGGAAAGATGAGTGAGAGGCGATATGTAAGTTTTGGCGTCAGAGTGAAGAGAGTGACAGTGTGTGTGTGTGTGTGTGTGTGTGTGCTATACTTGTGTTTTTTTGGTGGCGGTGGTGGGGAGGCGAAGTGCGTTGTGTGTTGTGGACGGTGGTATGGTGCTGTCTGTCCTGGAGCTGACTGACAAACAAGTGGTTTTGGGGGCGTCGTCGTACGTGGGTGGACGTAGAGAAGGAAACAAAGGGAGGAAGGAGAGAAGGGGGGAGTCCAAAAGAGATTGACAGTCAAGGAAAAGGATGGACAGGGTGTATGTGGACTATGTTGGAAGGAAGAGAAGAAGAAGCTTCTGGGCGGGTGCAAGAGAAGTAGAGGGAGGTGGTGGTCAAAGGAAAGGGAGTAGAAGGGGAAGAAAGGGTAAAGGGAAAATAAAAAAGGGATCGATGACAACAGAGATGTACTGGAATCAAAGGGAAGGGATGACAAGGCAACCAAGTTGGCACACACACACACACACGCACCACACACACACATAAAACTGGTCCTTGGAAATATATATTATCCCATATTGCAAATACACAATAAAGAAGGCATCAGGGATCACTATTTCTTTATTCTCCATTTTCTGACTTTCTGTCATACTCTATCAACCCACCATCATCCACATACCACATACTCCTTATGACCCAGCATCATCCTTGTCTTTGTTACATTCCCTTGAATTCTCTTTTCTGAGGAAAAAGTTGATGAAGAAAATGTGTAGTACGCACTTGATTAATTCATACGGTGATGTCTCAAAAGGGGCCTGAGCGCTGGAGGAAGGTAAAGACCGAAACGTGCGAGTGCCTCCTCAACCTTGTGTTTGGGTGGCTTGGCACAAACCCTTCTTTCACAAAGCTTCGCTTTTTTTTTTTTTTTTTTTTTCTCTGCACCATTCCAACAACCTCCCCTCCATCCCCTCCACCCACCTCCCTCACACCCTCAACATGTCGGCTATGGAAGAAGACACCCAGACCGCAAAGGACTACTACTTTGACTCGTATGCCCACTTTGGTAAGGACAACTAACCTCTATTACTCCTGTCTCGTCCAACTGAGTATGAGGAGAAGAATGCATCGAAACTAGCCTTGGAAGGTTACTTTTGCGCTTATTTGCCAAGAAACAACAGCTAACCATACGCCTTTCTTCTCACTTGCCCCGTTTCCTAAACCATTGGTCCTTGACAACAACAGGCATCCACGAGGTATATACCGGCTTCAGTCGCTCTTAATCATCTATTGTTATGTTTTCCCTTCAAATGCCTCAGACCAGATCACTAACATATTTCATTTTAACTACCTTTATATGTGATAACAGGAAATGTTGAAGGACGAGGTCCGCACCTTGACCTACCGTGCCTCGATCTACCAGAACCGCCACTTGTTCAAGGACAAGGTCGTCCTCGATGTCGGATGCGGCACCGGTATCCTCTCCATGTTCGCAGCCAAGGCTGGTGCCAAGATGGTCATCGGAGTAAGTCTTTCCTTATACTTTGTTACCAAGACATACAAAAGAAGTTTTGATTCGTCTGACAATGAGGAGCAATTAGTGAAGACCTTAGCAGTAATACTAATCCTTTTCCTCTTCGTCATGTCTCCACGTCCTCCCTCCTTACAATAGGTTGATATGTCGAACATTATCAACAACGCCAGAGAGATTGTCAAGGACAACAAGTTGGACCACATCGTCACCTTGATCCAAGGCAAGATGGAGGAGGTTGTTCTCCCCGTCCAGCATGTAGACATCATCATCTCCGAGTGGATGGGATATTTCTTGTTGTACGAGTCCATGTTGGACACCGTTCTTGTTGCCCGTGACAGGTACCTCGCCCCTGGTGGTCTCATCTTCCCCGACAAGGCCACCATGTACATTGCCGCCATTGAGGACGGCGACTATAAGGATGAGAAGATCGGATGTACGTTTATTTACTGCTGGGTGCTTGTTTTCGCTTCATTATGCTTGGACTACCTGATGCTGGATACCGCCTTCGTAAAGCTAACCTCTGTGTTATCCTTTTATCTAACAAACAGACTGGGACAACGTCTACGGATTCGACTACTCGTCGATCAAGAAGATCGCCCTCAAGGAGCCCCTTGTCGACACCGTTGATGCTAAGGCCATAGTCTCCAGCGCCTGCGGTTTCAAGGACATTGACATCTTGACCGTCAAGAAGGAGGACTTGAACTTCAAGGTTCCCTTCTCGATCACCGCCAACCGCGATGACTATATCCACGCTTTCATCTCCTGGTTCGACATCTCCTTCGACGCTTGCCACAAGCCCGTCAACTTCAGCACCGGTCCCCACGCTCAGTACACCCACTGGAAGCAGACTGTCTTCTACACCCAGGAGGCCATGACCGTCAAGGCTGGAGAGACTATCTCAGGAGAGTTGACCTGCTCACCCAATGCCCGCAACCCTAGGGATTTGGATATCATTATCGACTATGAGTTCAATGGCCAGCAGATGTCTATCAAGGAGAAGAACGAGTACCGCATGTGCTAAATACTCTCTCTTTTTCTGCCTGTTTACCTATTTTTGTCGCTGCTTTTCTTTTTCTTTCATTCATAATTCATCGGTCCTTCTCACACAACCTATCTCAAGTCCCTTTTCGCCTTTTGCTGGACTCTGTGTTTTTATTTTCTTTTCTCTCCCAGAAGCATTTCATGTACCATACTATTGCATTCAATAAATACAAAAAAATACCTCGTTTCTCTCTGTTTAGCTGATTGGCTGTTTAAAGGTTGGACATGAGTGCTTCGGACTCTTCTCACGCACGCACCTTTGTCGCGCTAAGATGTGCCAGGGTCCTTAATCGACTTTTTCGCATTTCGGAGAAAACAAACAAGTAGTGCAACAAACACTCGCACGATTAACGACTGGCTAAAAAGTTTTTTTTTTCCCTATGTACAAATATGCGATCTATGATCCTCCCACTGCTACTGCTACTAGCACTACTGCTGCACCCCTTTTTCCTCTCACCCCATCCATTCCTTTCCTTTTCGACCAAACTTATTCGGTCTTCTTGTCATTCTTCTTCATAATTCCCTTATCCTGCGCAAACTGCTCGGCCTTGGAATAAACAGACGAGAACTGCTCTTGAGCAATCTGTCTTCCCTTGCCCACATGAGCTTGAACAAGCTCGTTCGTCTTGGCCACCTGGGCATCGATCAAGGTTTGGTTATCGATGTAGATTCGGGGTGCGGCGAAGAGCGAGACGAGGATCATGGAGATCAGGGTTGTGGTTGAGAACCAGGTGCGGAGGGTCCAGATTGCGTAGAAGATTCCGATGAACTGAGGGGGGAAAGGAGTTGTGCGTGAGGATGGGAGAAAGAGGGGAGAAGGATAAAAGGGATGCGGAAGGAAAGGTGTAAAGAGGGGTGTTAGTATCACCGACGAAAAAGATGGCCATTTGTTCTCCTAAATTGCAGTAGTAGCATTAGTATTGTGTCTTCGTTGTTGTATTTATTACCTTGAGAGAGCGCTTGTTATCCTCGATGAGGACGACTTTGGCCAACTCAGTCAAGACGACATTAAGGCCATCGGTGATATAGTCGACACGGCGGTGGAGTTTGTCCGCATCCAGGTGCACAAACTCTGCTGAGCGAGAGTAGTATCTCCTATTTGAAAAGAAAGAGAGATGACAAAAGTGAATGCGTTAGCTTTTTCCCTGTTTTTTTTTTCTTTCCTGTAAGATTAGACACCAGGGGGTTGGCAAAAGAAAGGAAAGGGAGGGAAAACAAGAGGGATTTCTCGCATCCTAGCGCAAAAAGGCAGGGAAAGGACAAGGAGGGACAAACCAAAAAAAAAAAAAAAAAAAAAAAAAAAAAAGCACGACAAAATACACCAAACGAAAAGAAGACACTTACTCCAGGGGACGAACAGTAGGCTTGCTGGTGACACGGTTAAAGAGCGTCAATCCGTTGACATAGACAAACGAGGCCGAGATGCCAAAGACAAAGAGCGCAGAGACCAGGTTCAGGAGCGACACCCAGCGGCAGAGGAGAACTGCAGTCAATGATCCAGCAAGGACTCCTCCTGATAGACGGGGTTTCTCCCAGAGGAGGAGGCTTCTCAGACGGGGGTTCATGTACTCCGAGTGGCCTATAAGAAAGGTAATGGGGAGGGAAGGGTATTGTGTGGTGTAAGTAATTGGTGGATGGCGTGTCTATTTATCTTGGATCATCACGTTTCATCTTGGTATCTGCCCCGTTTTTGTCGTCAACAGATATCCTGCTCCGATGGACACCTTGGCCCTCTTGTTTCGTGTTTCATGGCAAGACAAAAGTGGGAGTAGCACAACAAAGCAAATCCGTCATAATTACCAGGAATTCCATGCTTGCCATCGAGAGCGGGCTTGGGCGAGTCACTGCTGCTACGATCGCGGGGGGCGGGGGCGGCAGAATCGACGGCGTTCTCAGTCAAGGTGCTCTGGTGCTCAGCGAATGGCTTCTCAATCTGGGTATCCATGATGTTGTTATCGGTTGTTTGCTTGTTTGTTTACTGTAGTGTGGTAGTCTGGGAGAGGAGCGAGCGTGGGCAACAAGAATGTCGGAGGTAGTGGTGGGAGTATGGATCGTGCCAAAGAGGATGAAAGAAGAGGAGAAGAAAAGAAGAAAGAAAACATGGTCGCATGGGGTTGGGTGGGTGGATTAAATAGTCGAGTCGAGAAAATGATCCCGTCATGGTTTGTTGCCTTATCACCCTGGCTTGGTTAGTCCAGTCAGCGTTCGCTTTCATGAGGCGACGGTTCCCTTACTTCTTTTTCACCCCCTGCCGTTTCGTTCACTTGTTGGCTTTTCGTTCGAAAGGTCAATTCCGACATGTTCTCGTCCCTTCTTTCCCTCTGAACGTGATTGTTGCACAGGGGACAGAAAGGGAGGAAACCTTGAGCGGAGAAGAAAGGAAGGGGAGGGAAGGCGAAGAAAAAAAAGGGTAAGATGGACGGGAAGCGACACTTTGCTGCGACTCACCACCATCCTTCGGACACAAGATGGTAAAGGGGCAGAGAGGAAGGGAGTAGAAAAGGAGGAACGGGAGAAATAAATTAGAGGATGGTTCAGAATCCCGTGTAGATTGTATGCTCGTGTCCATGTCGCTGACATGAGGGGCAAGACAAGAAAAAGAAGGAGCCACCCTTCTTTTGCACAACCTGAGACGGGAGAAGTGTGATGGTGAATGGTATGGTGATAATAATAACTTTCCTCTGCTAGATACTCCTGAATACTTGCTTGGGGGGTGGAGGGTTGAACATGCAATGGTTGCCACCCGTCGCCTTTGCCTGCTTGTGTCATTCTCCTGTTTGTTTGTGCCTATGATGACAAAAACTTACCCATGTTTGACAGCGTCATCTCTTTCGAGCTAACAAATCAACTTCGTACCCTTTTCAGTAACTACATAGCTGGGCGTATCGCTAGTCTGTGCCAGCGTGTGGACGAAAAGTGAGTGTTCTTCATTGCATACATCATAGATGAGTACCACTGCACTTGCATGAATAGCACCTCATAGTACAGTACTAGTGATTGAATGTCGACGTAGATCACTCCAACCTTGTCGGGTCTCTTTGGAAAGAAAAAAGACCCCGTACTCTTTCCCTTCTTGAACCCTCTTTCCATCATTTCGACTCGCACTCGCTGAGTGGGTCAATCTACCATTCATTCCTCATTGATCAAAATAGTCAATCGGTCTCACCCTCATTTATCATCGATCAACGATGAGTATTTCTAGGTGTGCGACACAGCAAAGAGAGGGCCAATCGACTCTGACCCCGGACACTGACCATGGGCGCTCTGGGAAAGTTCCAAGAAGCACCACAAGCTCGACTAGGCACATACTACATAGCTCTCTCTCTCTGCGATTCTCTTTGTACAAGGTGTACAATGGGACCCATCCTTGTCCTGTTCAAGGGCTCATTTAACCATCCAAGTTATCCTCACCTTCACCTACTCCCTCTCGCTCTCTCCCTTCCTCTCATTCTACATTCGCTTTATCACTCCCTCTTCCTTCCCTTTCTCCTTCTCCTTCACCTTTTTTCCTGTGTTATCTTTTCTTTTTTTTTCGTACTGTACAGATGGACATTCGTCTCCTTGGATTTTTTGTCTGCCCAATCTACGATTCTGCTTCACAACAACACCAGTCTCCTCTTCCTCCCTCTCTCTTTCTCTCTCTGCCTCTCTGCCCCTTGACTTTTTTTTTCTTTCTCTTGTTTTTCTCGAACGTTGTTATTGCGAAATGCAAAACGCGGAGATGGATCGGTCTATTTGGAGGCGCAAAGGTGTGAGACCTTTTAGTATATGGATATGGCCAAAAGTTGCCCCTTACAAGGTTATGCATCTGATGTCCTGCTTTAGGAGCCACGAAGCAAGAACGCAATACAAACAAGCCCAGACAGTCCCTCACATCGCCAACCGTCTCTGTTTGCCACTCCTCGTGGCGACACTGACAAGAACGTACCGAGTTCACCTGTCTCTCGAGGAAAGGAAAGGGAACTCGGAGTCTAGGATAGCTATTCCCGCATTCTCGTACTCGTGTTCTTTGTCGCATATCACTAATACTCTAGAAAGGGATCCAACAAGGCTCCTTTTCCTCTCATCGTCGTCTTCTTTGATGTCTTCTTCCAGTGCTCTCTTTTTTTTGTTTCTTGTGTCACCCCATGGATCCTTGTCGCCTCATCCGCGTCCAAACGGGTACAGGACATGGTCCCTCGCCCCTCTCTCTCTCTCTCTTCCTCCTTTTTGCCACTCTTTGTAACATGATCCCACCTCCTTTTCTTCTGCCAGAATAGACAAACACCCGGTCAATGGTTTGGATGGTCCAAGCACTTGAGCGCAGTTCTTAATTTACACTCTCGAGGAGCTGGATGGTCGGTGCTCATTGAAGAGTTGAACTCCGTTGAACCATCCTAGAGACACACACATAGACACATAATTCGTGGAAACTAAAAAGGGTGCGATGTGTCCATGAACCATGTCGATGCTACGCAAACGGACTTTAACAATTGTCAAACACGAAACAAAAAAAAGTGTAACGTAACAGCCCACCATGAACCAACTTGATGGGCTTATGGAAGAGTACATCGTAATGCATTGACACTCTCGTTGTCTTTTGTTCAGATCTGCATCATCTCTATTCCCATCCCCATAAGCCCTTTTTGCATTCGCCCTTGACCCTTTGTTGGTTGCAACTTTTTTTTTCTTTTTCTCTTTCTTTTTGTTCCATGATCCCCTTTGACATACCTATAACCCAACATCCTAATCCTAATCCTAATCCTAATCCTTGATCCCATCCTATCTCTGTACTGACACCACACTTCCATCCCTTCCTCCCTACTCTTCCCTTTCTTCTCTCTCTTCTTTCCTCTATTCCACTTTATTCTCTTTCTTTTCTTCTCTCTTTTGTTTACGTTTCTGTCCTTCACTTCCTCACCTCCTCACCTCTCTTCTCTGTTATTTTCCCTCTCATTTCTCACTGCAATCTGCACCCTCTTGCGTTCTGCGAAACAAACCAATCCTCAACTAATTGCCCCCTATCCTCTCTCGCACGCCCACTCTCTTTATCAAGCCTTTTGTAGCACAACTAATTCGACACGACAACAAATCAACAAAAGCAACCAACTCATCCCCCTCTCCTCTCGTCCTCCATTCCATAACAATACTAAAGGTTAGCAGCACATCATACTCTGTCTCCCTGGACTTTCGACAAACGGATCTTTATTAAACCCACAATTTCTTTGTACTACAAGGAACGCACAATTGAGGACAGACAAAGACTTCCCCTTCTTTCTGTGCTCCTTCAGCAGTTGCCTCACCTTTCTCTTTAACCCCTTTGACCTTCCTTCCTTCCTTGGGACACAACTGTAAAGTCACCTCCTCCCTTGTTCCGAAATTAACAAGGAAGTGAAAAGAAGAAGCATGGGGTGGAAGGAAAAGAAGAAATGGACAACGCCCACCCCCTCGCGAAAAAAGCGCCTCCAAAAAGAAACATCTTGCCCATTGCTTCCTTGCCTCGGTTGCCACCTACCAACCAACCTACCCACCCTTCTTTCTTTTACGCTCCATCCACCCCCCCCTTTCTGTCTTTTGGCTCTCTCTCTCCTCTCTTCTCTCTACTGCCCTTCATTTCTCGTTTCTTTGCCCTCTGTATTCTATCATTGTACATTCTCCTGTCGGCCTCTTCACAAAAGCACCTTCCTTCCAAAAAGAACAAAACAATAGGCATCAGCAACAACCCTCCATCTGTTTTCCTCCTCTCTTCTCCTTCCCCCTCCCCCTTTCGACTTGTCCCTATTATATCTCTTTGTTGACATCCCCACCCATAATGCAAAGATGAGAAAGCCCGCTGACAGTTTTATCTTTTATCTCTTTCGTTTACATCGCCAAAAACGGGAACGTTCCTCTACTGTCGGTGGTATTGGTGTCTATGACGACCTCGACACTCGGCAACTCGACCACCACGATGAACCACATCATGGAAAACAACAACAATTACCGTCGACATCGTACAATAACATTCCACCTCCTGCTGGATATAGAATGAGTACACTCAAGTTTGCCGAAGGATATGTCAAGCCAAGGTATGTTGGAAAAATATTTGGGCCGGAGAGAGAAGGGATCTTGCATCCGCCAACCATTCAGGATGCGCACGGAGTATTGAAAAGAGAAATGCTGCACTCTCTGTGTCTCTGTCTCACTGTCACACTCACACGCATACAGGTGCCATGGTCAATGCACCTCGATCCATGCGATTCCTCTTTCTATTATACTGATATCCATTATTCTTTTTCTTTATTCATATTCTTCGGAAATGACACAAAAAACAACAGACAAGTGAGGCAGCTGTCGAACAGCGCCAGGAAGAGAGCCAGCATCCGGGCATTGGGTTCCATCACATACCTGCAAAAGTACTATGCCTCTGGCGGGGCCATTAGCGAGGGGTAAGTGTTGTTGTTTCTGTCACACATGCGCCATTTTTATTTTTGCCTTGGGCATGCATGTACCTTGCATCAAACAACGGCAACAACAACGATGCAACAACCTCCTTGAATCCCGAACGTTATGACCTCTCTGCTCAAGGATGTGTATGCTATGTGCATAGTGACCTGACCTAACGTCCTCTACTCTCTCCCTTGTTTTATAATAGAGTATTGAACTTTGACTTTGCCAAGATGAGTTTTGTCGATTCGATCGGGCCCCGCGCAGGATTGATGGCACCTAGTCCAGAAGTCCTGCTGAGGAACTGCCACGAAGACATCCAACAGGTCCTGGAGATCTGGGGCATCATCAGCTACCCTTCGCCTTCAGCACATTCCGGAAACGGACGACAGTACCACGACGAGTCACCATTGGACTCGCCCATCTCGGTCGACGAGAACGAGATGTCGCACCAACTGGGATACGGCAAAGAATTCTCGAACAGTTCGCTCAACACACAGCAACAACACCGGTACGATAACGTCTCTGTCGACATGCTAGCGCTGCTAGAGTCCTCGACCAAAGCCATCTCGTCCATTAGGACCTACTCCATGCATGCCCCTGTCCTCTCGGCCTCGGCTTTGATCATCCATCGTCAGGCGGCCCTGTCTGTTATCGAGATGTTGTCGCTTATGGAGCAGTATAACCGGGTATTGGACTCTGAGAATGAGATGGACCACCCGGAGGACTATTGCTATGCGCGACTCAGTTTCGGAGACCTGGAGGCTGAACGGGCAGAGATGAAGGAGTATCTTGCCATTGTCCAGGAGCATCTCTTCAAGCCTCAGGTCGAGAAGATTGAGACCCAGTTGGAGCAATTGCTGATCTCAAGTGGTACCGGCAACGATGGCTCTGAGGCTGCTACCCAGGCTTTGCCCAAGTGGATTAATGATGACGAGTGGACGACTGAGGAAGGGGAGCAGATCTCCTTGGGTGAGTGTTCTTTCTAACAAACAACGAGGCATCTGAATTTACTTCATGATCCTTTCTAGATTCCTTTGTCAAGATGGACGAACGTAGACTAACCGACTGCCCTCATTAATCGCATGGTGATGACTATGTTAATAGACCGCTGCCATGCATTCCTCGAGTTCTTCAAGCCTGCAACTCGCGACTCGCTCCCTTCTCCATCCACCGACAAGACCGCCTTCTTGAAGGCCCTTAGGTACATAACACGTCGTCTCCTCCTTCTATGCTTAGAAATGCCATATGCAAGGAATCATTTGCTTTGTCCCACAAAAACTGACCCTGCATGCCTTCTTTTTTTTAATCTTCCGATGACACAGCGACGGCTATGTGGTGTGCATGGTGTTCAATGCATTCATCCGTCTTACCAACATGCCCTTTGGAGTCGTCGACAAGGCCCACGAAGACACCACACGCACCTGGCGTGGCGCCGACAACTGGCGCTTCTTGATCCAGTATGTCCCCCCTAGCCTCTTCTCATTCTTGTCAACTATTGGCACTCGAACAATCAACAACAAATCCTTGGCCCTCACCCTAACACGTTTTTCATTTCTTCCTTTGTGTGTAGGGCATGCAAGTTCCGGTTGGAATTCAAGATCGACCAAGGATCCTTCAACCCTATCGATATTGTCAAGCAGACCGCCCTGGGTCGCCATCAACTCGAGACCTGGGTCAAGCTCATCGTCATGCGTGGGATCCATGAGGCCAAAGAGACCCTTGAGGCCAAGAAGGCTGAGTCCCCTGTACTTGCTCCTACCTTCTTCCCTTTTGATTTTTGAAAGGAGTAAGGATAAAGATAAACCAATACAAGAAAACAAAATAGGTGATGACAAGCGCCTGTCGCTAATTGAGACTTGCCAAACACTTCCTGCTAATGACACTTATGACCCTCCAACAACCCATACTTTTCTAATCCCTAATATTACAATACTTATACATAATAAAAAGGCTGTGCCTTTTGGACTACACTTAGTTGTTTGGTGCAATGTGCCTCTGTGCATTCTAATTTGAACTGACCATAGCAAAGAGTCGAGATTTGAAAATCGCCGGGCGGTGTTGTTTGTTCTCTCCTCAGTCAGTCAGTCAGGCCGGGCTAGGCGTGTCAGGGTGGTCCGTGTGTTGTCGATCCCTTTCCTACGATTGTCATTGTCACTGCCTGTCCACCCCTCGCCTCCTCTCTTTTGTACTTACTTGACCTCATTCCCTTTGATTTTCTTAGCTTTCACTTTCTCTCTCCTTTTGCTTGGTGTGCAGCAATAATGGGTATCCCCATCCCTGTCATTGAAGTAGATGCAGATCGAGGTAACAACTGCACACGATTAATATTTTTTCGTACCCTTCAATCTTGCTTCCCTATCATACCAACATAGTCCCATCAATCGCCCTCTCTCTCTACCTCTCTCTCTCTCTCTCTCTCTCTCTCTCTCTTCCTAATAGCACGGTCGAATATCTGTCTAGCAGCAGACTGCCAATGCCCCGAATGCCGTCACCGCCATATCATCCGCCTCGGATCCACCATCCGCCAAACACGTCGTCAAGATCTCCACAACTTCTCCTCTGCTGCATCAAATACAACAATAACAGGTGCTACCGCTGCTGCTACTACCTCAGGATACATTGACACACGCCTCCCCGATTATCGGTTCCGACACTCACTTTCTCATGACCCGATCGCCCTGAGCGCCAATCACCACAACGCCTACAGCCTCCACAACAACAATGCCAATTCCTCGGATCGGCGTGGGAGCAATCACTACAGTACATCGGCACTGTTGAGCAGACGAAGGGAAGCGTTAGGGCATCGTGGTCCGCCGCTTCCTCAGATCTTGTCGTCCAGTTCTGCATCCGTCTCGAATTTCTTGTCGCCCTCTTTCATGATGGGTTTGGGTGTTGGTGGTTCCCGTGAGCCCTTTACGATGTCTCCGACTTCTATGGTCGACAGTGGCCAAGATCAGGAGCTACACCTGGAATATGAGCAGGGACGGTGGCCGGGAGGAGGAGGAGAAGGGATTGGACAGCTTGAGGTGGAGTTTGAAGCTACTTTCGAAGATCAACATCATAGCCAACACCCATATCAGCTCCAGCCACAGAATCGTCACTGGATGCACCAGAGACCTCCACCTTCGAGTCCATTGATGCGGATGCGTGCGCGTGCTCAGGGGTGGGCTTCGAGGGTGGAGGGTGTGGATTATTATCATGATAGTGATCCTGAGGACCTTCAAATGGCAGAAGGAGGAGGAGGAGGAGGAGGAGGAGGAGGTGGGCAACAGAGAGAAGAGAGACGTGAGGGGTGGATGAGGCGGCATGCTGCTAGTGGTGGCGAGGGAGAGAGTCATAGAGGGATCATGGATCGGCATGAGAGGAGTAGTTCTGATGTTGGGATCGAGCAAAGCACCATTCGTTGAGTAAAGGGGGTTTTTTCTTCTTTCTTTTCAGCCCCAAAGAGGTCCGGAATACATCAAGAGAGCAGCACATTTTTTTGCTGTCATACCCATTCTGACATTTTTTTTTATTTTTTGCCATTGGCGTCGGTTGCGTTTATGTCTTTTTTTTTTTGCATATTCGTATGAACAAATCGCGCTTCAAAGAACTCAGCCCCACTACATCCACTGCCACATCCTCCAAATTCAACTCATTCGACTCACCCTAAACAAGAACCAAATCATAAAACCCATCCTCCCTCAAACCCTCCAAACCCTCAACGACCCGACCCCAAGCGTCACCGCGTGATCGTGACCGACTCTCTCAGCGGCTTGATCTGGCTGTCGTTGGGTGGAAAGAATTGACTTTCCATGTGTTCTTGTCGCGAAGGTAGGTGTACAATACAGGACCAGCGGGTTTCCTGCTTGGTGTTCAAATACCGCCACTGATAGGTCCTTTTGGGACTAGATACCGTGGTAGAAAAAGTCGCCCTCGTCCTCTGTAAGCAAGTCGGATGCATCTTGGTCCCTTGTGGTCAGTGAATTGCTCTCCAATCGTGCCCTGTTGGTTCTGAGCCACTGCTTGAAGAAGCCATCGTAAAGCTGCACAAGCGTGATCCGGGCGGTCCACAGATCCTCCTTGGGATCGATGGCTCCTGGAAGCGCCTCCAACGACAGCGTCAGTAGAAAGGGGCTCGAGACCAACTCTATCAGACCAGGACATTTATCAACGTCTCCATGTAATCCTCCTTTGTCCATCCCGGACTGCCTAAAACAGATATGTGTGCTGGCTGGGACGCGACAAATTTCTCAACGTATTGCTGGATCTAGGCTTTCGAGAACGACGCAATGACGGCCTCCTGCAAGAGCTCGGTTGTGGCGCGAGAATAGCGGTCTGCTGACTGGGGTTGGAGCCGAGACCGTAGTCGGCACCCAGGTACTGACTCTGACAGCTGACGACCGTTTGGACTTTTCACTGTCCTGGCTGGTTGTACTGGTTGGACTTGTGTAAGTTAGTCTTGAGTTGAGTCTTATCATACCCAACGCAGATGAGAACAAATCGTCGGTGCAGCTTCAACTCTAGGTTCTGGACGTCCAAAAAGTTATGGTAACACAGCTGCTTCTCAGTGAGATCGTGAGCTGGATCGTCGATAGTTGGGAGGTTGATGTACAGAGGGATGGGTCCATATGCCTTGTAGCTGTTCCAGAGTGTGCGCTCCAGTTGCAAGTTGAAGGAGTTTGTTGTCTTCCTGGCAACGTGCTACTTGAGGTTGCTCGAGTGGGGACGGGGCAAGTGTGTCAAAACGGAGATGACGGAGAGACGGGTGAAAGAAAGAGATAGACGAGAGTGGTCCATTTCGGCGTGAGATGGAATGAAATGGGCTTGGCACATGGATGACGAATGTGTGCTTGTATGCTTGTGTGGAAGGGATGAGAGCCCTTTTCTCTTGTTTCTTCGCGTCAAGAATAGGACCAAGAAACGCGACAACGATCAAAGGAAGAGACAGAATATTTTTTTTGTCTGGAGGTACTTCTTATTAAAGATTCCACAGAGGATTAAGGGGTGCCATGCACAGGAACAAATAATGTAATTTGTTCAAGGCGTCAATGAATTCTATTCTTTTCCTTGTTCTACCGACTACCGGATGTCAACCCCCCCAAAACAGTCCATTCTCTACGCAGCAGAAGCAAGAACGAATGAGGGCTGTGGCCAAGACTTTTTTTTTTTTTTTTTTTGGCAAAAGGGTCCAGGGGCGGCGGAATGGAATAATAATATCGTTGGCTACGCAAAGGCACAAGGAACAAGGATCGACTGATGAGACAAAGGGCCAGACCCTACTTGAGGCTGAGAGTGAGACGTGGTACTGCAGGAGCGCGCATGCGCATGGGGTTGATGACAGCGAAAAAGTGTTTTTACCAAGTAAAAGGCTGTGGCCCAACGGGTATATGGAATTGGTAGTCCAGTTGTTCAATTGAGGATGAAGTAGGGGTAATTCCATCTAGGGTGGTTGTGGTACACAAATAATAATAATTGCCCAGTGCGGACAAGCAGGTTTGTCTATATCTTGATTGAAGAGTCGAGAGCACTTGTCCTTCCTTCAAACAATTTTTGCAGGCTGAGTCTCAGTGGGGTTATCGATCGTTGTAGTGGGGATGAAGGTTGGTTCGCGGAGGATACTCCGGCTGGGGGGAGGGGCTACTTGGATGCAATGCAATTATACTTTTGCATCTTTTTTTTGTTATTGAAGTATCTTGTATGAATGAAAAAGTGCCAGCGTTGAAAAGAGGGGAGAGGAGAACAAGAAAAAGGAGAAAAAGACAAAATCGACGGCGACAGCCCTTGTTGGTCGGTAACGGCGCGAGAGAGGCTAGGGTTGGCTGTTTTTTTGTCTTCAACTGTGTGTGTGTGCTCTGCATGCGAGAGTGCGTGTACACCTTTTTATTGAAATGCGATCGAGACACAACGCATAATCGCATCGTCGGAAAATAACCCTTTTTTTTTTTATTGTCATACCTTTCTTTATCCACCTCCCCTCCCTCATCACTTCGTCCTCTTCATCACTCCTCCTCCTCGCTCCACCGGGTCAATCGTTAACTGCCCAACCCCTCTCCTCTCCTCTCTCCTCTTCTTCCCTCATCCCCTCTTTCTCCATCCTCTTTTTTTTTTTTGACGAAGCTCCCTCTTCTTATTCCTTACACCTCCCTCTCACTTTATACCCCTGTTCTTGTGTGAATGTCAACAGCCTAGTGGAATCACACACAACAAAGTTGACCGCATTCACTCCTGAATCTAAAGTAGACATACATTTACTTACAATGTCCATCAAGGAGACTAATCACGACTCGGCAGGACGAGGAACATCAACAGCAGTGCACGCCACCGAAACGCAAAAGCAGCTTGCGAACACCCTCAACGTCCGCTCGGCCGCAGACCAGGACTTTTCCTACCAGAATGGCATCGTCTTAGGCTTCCGCCAGCTCGGCACCATGCTCCGTCGCAACACTATTCTCCAGGTAACAAAAAGCATAATATCTCTCTATTCTTGGACTTGTGCGAGAACAATAACATTCGACTTGGTCTGGTTACGCAGACAAAGATACGGCGACCCTGACGCTCAGACCTGGAACTCAACATGCAAATGCATGGATTCATATACTTCCCCAACATAATAGATCCGATACAGAAGATCGACCTTTGCCCAGACCCTGCTGGGTCCCATCCTCTTCCTCTTCCTTCTCTGGGTCCTCCAAAAGGCCGACACCTCGCGTCAACTACAGTCCAACTACCACCCCGAGTCATGGACACTCCCTGGGATCGACACCTGCCAGGTAACACATGCTCATAAAGCGAATAAAGTCTCCTTAGGAATCGACATTCACCCTTCCCAGTATTAACCTCCTCGCACACATCCTCCAATTCAATTCATTTCAGGGACGGACACCAAAGAAGGCTTGTATTAACGTCATGTTCACACCCGACACCCCCGAGATTCGCCAGATTCTCACCACTGTCAACAACAACAACAAAGTCCGTGAACCCACAGTCGACCTCGCCTTTGCCAATGCATTCTCTGCATCGGACCTCAACACTCTCCCCACAACCACCCTCGACCTCGTCCCTGTTCCCAACGGCGACTTCATCTACAAGTACTCGCTCCAGAACCCTAACACTACCCGCTTCGGTATCGAGTTTTCGATTGTTGAAGGCCCTCCCAAGAACTATGTCTACCAGACCTGGTTCAACTTTACGACCTCTGCCAATGGAACCGATCCTTTTGGCGATTCGCTTCTCTCATTCACCCGCGCTGTCGACGAGGCCATCCTCCAGATTGCCGAGGGAACATCTGCCAACCTCAATGCCCACCTCAAGGATTTCCCCAAGGTTCCTCCAACGCTTGCCAGTGACGAAGTCGTCTCCAGTCTCGGCGCCATGTTCTTCTTCTGCTCCATGATGGTCATTTTTATCTGTGTCCTCAACCAGATTGTCATGGAAAAGGAGCTCCACCTGCGCCACAGTATGCAAATGATGGGTCTGAAGACATTGGTCTACTGGTTCTCGTGGTGGCTTTCGAACGCTGTCTTGGTCCTCATCAGCGCCGTTGTCATTTGCGGATTTGGTATTGCCTTTGGATTCTCGGTCTTCAAGAACTCCAACTTTGGTGCGCTGGTCATTACCTTCTTGCTCTTTGGACTGGCCATGGTCACTATGGCCTTCTGGATCACCACCATGGTCAAGGCCTCCAGGACAGCCATCTTGATCGGAATCTTTTTGTTTATCATCGGTCTCCTCTTTGAGAGTATGGTCTTTTCCAACTCGTATGTTGGTTACATCTGGTATGACGAAGGCACCTCTGTCGCCGGCAAGTACTGCCTCATGTTTATTCCTTTCTTCAACTTTGGCAAAATTTTCCTCGACATGTCCCTGTACTCGTCGGGCCGCTTCGACGTCTTGACGGCGACCTACATTCCTGGTCCCGGCTTCCACTGGAACAACCTTTACGACAAGATCCCTACCTCTTACACCCCTACCTATGACACCTACAAGACCCGCCATCCTGATGTCCCAGCACCTGTCCAGTCGTGGTACTTGCTGTTGATGAATATTGGAGTTTTTGCTATCCTCACCCTCTACTTTGACCAGGTCGTTGCTGATGATTACGGCAACAGCCGTCACCCTCTGTTCTTCCTCGACCCTTCCTTCTACGGCCTGAACATTCGCAAAAAGCTCTCGACTCACGACTGGATCGCCGCTCAGCAAGCCAACAAGGCCAAGCGTGATGCTTACATGGCCAAGATGAGCAAAGATCGTTCGGATCTCCCAGTCGAGGACGAGGATGACGTAGATGTCACAGTTGAGAGAGGCTTGGCTTTGGACAGCAACTTTGAGACCGCCGCCAGAATCTGCAACCTGCAAAAGGTCTTCCGGGAGTCAGCCTTCAGGAAGAGTCCTCTGGACAAGATTGCCGTCAAGGATCTGTGCTTGACATTGCAGGAGGGCAAGCTGTTGGCGCTTTTGGGGCAGAACGGTGCTGGAAAGTCGACCACCATGAACATGTTGTCGGGATTGACGCGCTCGACTGGAGGAGATGCCACCTTTTACGGACTATCGATGAACTCGGAGATGGCAGAGATTCGCTCGATGATGGGAGTTTGCCCCCAGCACGACATTTTGTTTGACGACCTGACTGCTAAGGAACATATTCAACTCTATGCTGGACTCAAGAACGTGCCCAAGGAGGACATCCCACGCCTGACTGAGGAGCGCTTGAACGCCGTTCGACTCTGGAATGTCAAGGACAAGTTGTCGCACACTTACTCTGGCGGTATGAAGAGACGTCTCTCCATGGTCATCTCTACCCTCGGTGACCCCAAGATTATCTTTTTGGATGAGCCTACTACTGGTAAGTTGTCTTGCCTTATTGTATTTGGTGACGTTATTTGGTGGTGTTGAATCGTTGATATTAATTACTATCATATTTTCATCTAGGAATGGACCCTACGAACCGTCGCCATGTATGGTCGTTTATCGAGAAGTTCAAGCAGGGACGCATTATAATTTTGACGACTCACTCTATGGAAGAGGCTGACATCCTTGGAGACCGCATCTGTGTCATGGCTCACGGACGCCTTCGTGCTATCGGAAACTCGATCCATCTTAAGAACAAGTTTGGAGCCGGATACCGTATCTCCCTTATGACCGACCCCGCCAACACCGAGTATGTCAAGTCTCAGATCGAGTCGCGCGTTCCTGGCTGTATCCTCAAGGACGACTCTGCCGGTGCGTTGCTGTACCAGTTCCCACCCTCGTCGATGAGCAGTATTCCAGGACTGGTCAAGTGGCTCGAGACTGTTGATGGTGGTACCAGTTCCTCTGTTCGTCCTGCTGGCTCTGCACAGGGATCCAATGCGAACAGCGGACGTAACACTCCCTTGCCTTCGTCTTCAAGCGAGAACCAGATCTCCTCTGCTCCAGGTCTTACTCCTGTGTCTGTGCATCTTGGACAGAATGAACATGCTGAGCCTTTGGTGCATGGTTATGGTATCTCGCAGACGTCGTTGGAGGAGGTCTTCTTGAAGCTGATTAGAGACGCTAACCCTGACGGTTACCAAGGGTATGAGGTCAAGAAGTCCAAGAAGTCTGATGCTGGTGTTGTCGATGTGAAGCAGGATTCTGACGCGACACTCAGGAACCGTAGACAGTAGATAGGGGCTTATTTTTATGCCTATAGCAAACATACCATTACATACATTTTTTGTGAATTGTGCGAGTGATTTGCTTGAGCCGCGATTTGTTGAAGCAATGTAGTGAGTGGAGCAACAACAACATCAGTCTGCGGCTTGCACAATGGAACAAGCGCTGAGGGGAGATTTGACAGCTTCGCAGGCGACTTTTACTTTGCTTCAGTTGTCTCGTGAACTTGGATATGGCCTCTAAAACATGTTATGCGCGCTGCTAGTGCGTCCCCGAACATGGCTGCCGTAGCCTCGTCGCTCATTGAAGCCGGTTTTGGCTTTATCAGTGCTGGCTTATATCAGATGTTCACTCAGCAGCAAGACCCAGGATACGCTCTATTGTTATTCGGACTGGTAGAACATTGCGGATGTATCCAAACCACGGCAGCCCGTTGTACTCGCAACAAAACTCAGTGGATGGAGCTAACTAAAGACTGCATCGACCTGCCAAACTTTTGTCCCTCACGAGCCAACATAGTCCTTGAGCTACACCCAAGAATAATGTTCCAGCTAATCGCAAGATGTAATCAAATAACGACACATCAGCAACTACACAAAACCTGTGATGATTCCTGCCGCAAGGCGTACAGCACGGGAAACCATCAACAGCCTGGCCATTTGGACGAAGGATGCGAATGTGAAGAGACACATTTCGAGCCTAAGGAGACTGCTAAACTCGTGCTTTTCGACACCAAGGAGAGAGTATTGTTTGAGCACGAGCCCAAGACCCCTCATGTGGCCGTTTCCCAAATCTGGTTTCAAGGAATCTTTGGAATCTTTGATCAAGATAGTCGAAGATGCGGAGAATGCTCTTTAAGCTAACTCCTGAAGCTTGTAGCCGCCTTGGTGTGCGTTATGCGTGGATTGATACTTTATGCATGCCGAGGTCCCCGAAATTCCGAGCCGAAGTAGTTGCACAACTACGAGACATCTACCTAGATGCAGGTGCGACCCTCGTGGTGGATGCTGGATTGATATCGACGGTTGCCAGAACTGTAATGGATCTTTACTTTGCAATCTTATTAAGTGACTGATCCTCAAGAATCTGGACGTTGCAAGAAGGCATGCTGGCATCAAAACTGTTGTTCTGTGTAGGAGAGAAGAAGGACCTGGAGGTACTGGCCTTACCGCAAGCGTATGGGCCTGAAATGTTACTGGATACACGGAGCAGAGTGCCTTTTATGCTGTTGCGAGGATATGGAATGGGAAAAAGAGCTGCTGGTCAACCTCTCGAAAACGTGTTTAAAATGGCAGCTGGTCGTCAAACATCGCATTCATGTGACAACCTGTACGGTCTATCAGCCTTGTTACCCTTACCTCCCAAGCGATAAGACGATCTCCATTCGGTGGCGATGACAGTAGCGAGGATGTATACGGATGTTGATCTTGGAATACTGCCGGCCCCATTCCCCAGATGCGGAATCGAAGGTTACTGATGGACGACACGATGGCGCTGGAACTCCTGCGGAATATGATCTCCATCCTGTTAATCCGGGCTGGGTAAAACAAGCGGTATATGGTCACGCAAAGTACCGTAAGCGAATCGACGTTGTCCCTGTTACCCTTGGGGGAACCTGGAGGACCTCAAGGGCCTCCTCCAGCTGGGCACAGGTGAACCGAAATTCTTGTACACAGTACTCGTCGGAATATTGGCGTACGTCAAACGAGGCATCAAGCAGAAACGGTCGTAGAGCATAGCGAGTTGTGCCGCGATTACCGGCACGAGAAGGTCGGCCATGTTGAATGAATGAATGGCGATGGTCTAGAGCACCATCAAGAAAATCATGGCTTGAATGAAATGCGAGCTACCCTTTTTCCTGCAAAAGAAGTTCTATGAAAAACGTCGAAGACCTTTTTTTGCTCAACATAAACCATTCACGCACTATATGGCTTTCACTGTGGCACCATCTTAGTAAGACTTTTTTGACAAGCTGAGGAGACAGTGTATCGATGTCAATACGCTGGTTGCATAAAAGAAGACCCTTAAGTCGCCCTGGGCGACATTTTCTTCGCACAACGCATTAACTCCATGTACAAGCTTGAGCTTAGGATGTCACTGAAGACGTAGACAGGATGCATTAAACCATCAAAAAAACAATTGATATGAGTACAACAACTGCCTGGAAGAGCCCAACCACCGATATAGAGAGAAAGTACGGAGAATTCAAAATGCTGGAACTTGTGCCAAAATGGTTTCAATGACCCATGACTTTTACAAATGCTAAGGAGGTGGGAAGGAACGACGTGGGAATAAGTCTCAAGGAGATCAACGTGCTCTTGGATAAATTAGCATGGCACTATAAATTGATATTGAGTCCGTGCTGCGTGGGAAATATCGTTGATAAAAACCAGATGTCGATACATGGGGAGGGGGGGTAGCGAGACAAAGGTGGGGTATCTTTAATCTGGTCGCTTGTCTAAGTAAATAGGATAGACAAACGACCCAACACATGACAGTGACTGCTGCCATGGCGAGGTGCGGATGAAAGAAATAACCACGTTATTTCGGTACAAATCCTCTGGAATGATGTGCCATCGCCCTAGTTATAGTCACCCGAGCGAGCGCTGGATCTTGGGCCGTGCTTCATCCCATGGTCCGTGGATCTCACTATTTGAGCACATAGAGTCGGGACAAGGGCCAACTGAGTAAAAAAAATAGTACATAGACAGCTATGGATTGTTGCAAGCATTATAGCGAGCACTACGACAGCCAAACTTACTTTTTGTACCTCTGGATCCAGATAAGCCAGAAGGGACACGCAAAGGTCACGAATGCTATGCCCAGGATATAGATCACAGCGATCGCTGACGAGATTGGCAGAAAGAGAGTGGTTGCAGTCAAGAAGAGGACAATGGTTAACACTAGGCTCCCTCGTACAGATATACTCTATTGATCCATAAGAAATGAGAGATGTTAGTCTGATTGTCCCTGTCAGTTTATTTGAACATGTCAGCCTTTCAACCAGAGAACATTTACCCTGACTTGCCGCCGAAGCATCGGAAAGAGCGCGAACCATTCGACAGCAAACGCCATGAGTCCAAAGACATGCAGACTCGTCTTGAGTCTCGACGCCAGCACTGCAGATGAAAAGATGGCTGCATTAATTGAAAGCGATTCTGGGTATTTAATGTTGCGTTTGTTGTCGCTGCCATAATCATGAAACGCCAGGTTGGCAAGGAAAAGGATGACGGCCAAGGAGCAGATAGCGTCCCCAGATATCGGGAGTGTCAGCGTCTTCAGAATCGGGGTTAGCCCGAGCAGTGCTGAGAAGAAAAATCCCGCGCCTTCGAAAATCTTTCGCCCTGGCCAGGAGAAAAGATGGATTTTAGTATCTTTGAGTGCCAATTCACCTTGTAGTACAAAGCACTCCAAGCGCCACTGTCTTACTCTGAAAATCTAATTTTGACATCAATATGGTGTTGCTCCATTCCCAGAAAATGTACCCGATGGCTGTCCCTGTGGTACCAACGGCGATCAAGACATATGAGCTAGGCTGTTTCTGATATAGATAGACAAAAACAGCAACAAAGATCATGATCGACGAAATGGTGGATTCGAGCACAACAGACCAGTATTCATAATGCCATATATTGGCCATATATTGATTCCCGAACAAGAAAAGCAAGAGATCAGGTATTGGGTCTCATCTTTGAAACCGCTACAGGCAGTAGGATCAGAACCGCTCTTACCGTTATTCTGTAACTCCTCCAGGAAAGTATCATCGACATAGCTGTCCGGGTAGTCCTGTTTTATATGAAGACGTTTCCGTCATGGTGGACTTTGTGGTGTCTGCATCCAGGCCGTGTTGAAGCTCAGACCCTATTACAACCGATCGGTTGGTTAGCTGGGTGATCGTTTATTGTCAAGCATATGAGTACACCCTCCGGCGGCAGAATCATACCTGCTCTATAACTCTGAAGTTACGCGACAATTCCGAGCATATTAGTGTTAGAGTGTCAGCTTGCTATTTGTGATTTTTAACCCGCCTGGTCTGTGCGTCGCGTGCCTGTCTGAGTTGTTGAAGGACTGGTCAGTTGTACCTTTGAAAGTCGCAGAGCGGACAAATCTGCTCATGTTCCCTGAATTGCCTTCCATCTCGCGGACAGTAGTTGAAGACTGTGGGTACTCGCTCAATGTCGCTTCTCCTACTGGTCCTACCGATGTTGATTGATGTCACATTAGTGTTACTATTATTTATTATCTCAATCGGCTTCAAAGAGAGAGAGAGAGTAGAGGTGTGCGTATGTGTGTAAGTAAGAAGTAAGAATAGGGAAGGATGAAGCGATAAACAAAGAGAAGGAGAGGTGATAAAGAGAGTAAGGGACAGCAAAGGGGAAGAGAATGATAAGAAAGGGAAAGAGAAGGACGACGATGAGTGTGGGGTGGCGAAAAGAGGGTGGGGTATAAAATGAAGGATGAAACAGGCGTGGGAGTGAGGATGAGGTTGCTGTGGAAGAGATGGAGTGGAGTCAAAGAAAAATAAAAATGCACTCAGAATTTCTGGCAGAGACAGCAGCAAAAAGCCTTATTCCTGTACTCTTTTATTTTTTGCTTGCTACTGTTTCAAATAAAGGAAGATAAATGCTCCCTCTGCACCATTGCGAGATACTCACCCTCATACGAACAACATATTTGCCATAACACGGCAAACGTTGCTGACGTTGCATACGGATTGAAAATGCATTGGACGTGTGCAAAATAGTCTGGGCTGTAATAAACACTATATGGCCACTTTCTGGCTCCAGGATAGATCGTAGAACGAAAGGGAGATAGAGAGATGAGTTTATCGTGACTTTGGGTGACGCTGGCGTCCGGAAACAGTGGAGTGGTGACATGCCCGTTCATTTGATGCAAGGGTTTGTTTTGTTTCACGTGTTCAATTGGTGGCAAAGATTTCCTTGTCAAAAATAATTGTCGATCATTTTGGGTGCAGATGTTTTTTCGTACCTTCTGTTGATTCTACCAAAGGTTTCTTCTTTGTTTGACCATCACTCTTCTCCATTTGATTACAGCTTTCCTCTTCATCGTACTCGATTCCAATACTCCATGCTTTACGCATCATTTAAAAGGGTTCAGTGCTACCGTTGTTCAACACCAGTCAAGTACCAAAGTACCCTTTCTTCCATATTGTTGGTTCACAAGCCGACTAGCCTTGTTCGCGTCTCAGTTGGCATTACTTTTTATTTTTTCGCGTATGTCGCTCTGGTTTCTCGTACAGCTGTTGGTCATGTTCTCGCCCTATGTGGTCGAAGAAACAGTTGGGAAAGTGAAAAAGCAGAATGAACGAAAAAGGCGCTTTTTAGTCACGGTTGGGTCAAGTCATGGCCAGGAAATAGATATCGCTCGATTTGCGGCAATATAAAGAGGCAGGTTCTTGGGTATTTTTTGTTTTGCCTTCTTCTTTCCTTTACCTGTTTTCTTGTTATTGGATTTCGGTCAAGCTCAGCACGTAGCCAAGCAATCTGCTCTATTGGCGTTACATATATTCTCCTTCAGGATGCATTTGTGGTAGTCCCCATCACAGGCAGCCTGGCAAGCAGGTGTGCGAGGTTGAAGTAACGATACTGATGTTGAAGGGGCTGTGGACGAGAAAGGTAGTAGGACAAGGAGACCTGCAACCAACAACAAAATGTTTCGCCGCATGGTTTTTGGAGTAAAGTAGGGAAAACAAAAAATGAGATGACAAGAGGCCAGAGGTGAGCAAGTATGTTTTCTGAAGAAGTTTATGTTTCTGCAAGGGAAGAGGTTGGATAGTGAAGAGAATAAGAAAGAGAAGAGAAAAAGAAAAACGTAAGTGAAGAAGAAAACTAAGACAGTGCAGCTTTGCGATAGGAACGATCTGTCCTTAGTTTTTACTTCCCCAGCCCCCCTTTGATAATCTTTGTCCCTTTCTTTTTACTGCTACTCTCGGCAGTGACATATGTATCCCATGGAAGTGACCATGTACCCCCCGTGCTCTATGTCCATGTACTACTCCGCAATAATTAGTACCCCCACAGCCTCCCTCCCCCTTTCCCCGGTGTTCTGCAGTCGCCAAGCGCCAATTATCTCTCCCTGTATCATGTTGGTCAAGTGTCTACATTCGTGTCTCCTATATGCCCTCCTCTTTTCGTTTGTCTTATAGCCCTGATCTTTGTTTTATTTTTCAATAGACACCGCCCTAACTTCCAAGTAGTCGACGAGTAGGCACTTGCTGATCATGTATTACTACACAAACAGCTTGGAGCAACGGAGCGCCGGCAAAGATGATTGAATAAGCATGGGGATTATTGTACTTGACTAGTTTCTTTTACAAAAATAAATTCATCTTCAACTGCCTTGCCGTCATTCTGTTTTTGCCCTTCATTGCCGACCTCGGACACAGATGGAAAAAAAAGGGGGGGGGGGACGGCTCTCTACCCACTGTTAGTTGGCGCAATGGTCCTTGCAGGTATCCCTCTTGCTTACATATGAACTGCGCCACCGATATGCACTTGCGGTAATCCTTGTCGCAGGCAAACTCACAAGGGCTTGTGAAAGGTGGTGGTGTTGGGACAGCGGACGAGAATGGAGGGAGGGGAGGACCAAGAGCCCTGCCATCAAGAACAACAAGATTTGCTTTATGGTCGGCCTGGGATGATATAAGTGAGAACAAGTGAATGGCAGGGAGGGAATGGAGAGAAGAGAGAAGAGATAGAGATAGTGTGTGTATCGTTGTGGTTCTGGAGCGTTGGAAAAGGAGTGGAGGAGACAAAGAGTGGAGACGGGACTGCTATGTTTTGTGTTTGCATTGATTGTATTAGAGATTAAGAAAAGTTGAGAGGTTGGCGAAGAGAGTGGGAGAAGCGCGTCCCTATTACTATTGCCACCAAAAAAAACACGACAAAAAACATGTCCTCGCCATCATTTTGTGATAGTGTCACCAAAACGCTACGTGACACGACGCGACGCGAACGCGTTTCGTTTCAACCCTTCCCCACCAAGACAACAGATAATACAAAAACTGTTTTACTCCCCGTCATCTACCAACCCACCCACCTCCTCCCCCTCTACCTTTACCTTGTAACTCTTAATTAACTATACTGACAATCCAAACGAGGTTTAGCATCCCTCGTTGTCAAGAACCCATCCACCATAGCAAATACAAGCGGAGTAAACATAATCGCCAAATGCCTCAATGACGTCCCAACACCATACTCACAAACATCCTCTACAACCACATGCGTCACCCTTCCTTCCTCATCTCCACCTTCAACATCATCCAAGTACCCCGACGTCCAGGGCGTAATAACCTCATCCTTCGCCGTCATCACCACCAGATACCTCACACCTCCATCCTGAGGCCCCTTCGGCGCGGGTGCAGGCCGTATAGACGACGGATTCCTTTCTTTTGTTCTGAGCTCTTGCAAGAAGGGAGAGGATTCGACGACCTGTGTGCATGCTGGACATAGTTGGTCTGTGAGTGTTGCAAGGGTGTCGTAGAAGTTTAGGCCTTTGAGGATTGTTGTTAAGCCTCGGAAGGTCGTCCCGTGGAAGGGGGTCGCGATACTTGTTAGGGTCCTGACGTTTTTCTCCCCGCCTAATTTGCGCATGTACCACCTATTGCAAAAAGGAGGGCGAAGCAGGGGATGTTGAGCACAGGAGTAATCGGTTGAATCAAAGTCATCAAAGGCAGGGAGAAGACCCAGAAAAAAAAGGGGGCAAAATCTAGACATAAGTTCGGACAGCGATTGACAACGGAACTTACAAGGACACGAGGCTGCCCTCGGCATGACCCACAAGGTCGACCTGGCTGACTCCCGTGATAGTTTGCACCTTTGTCACAAATGCACCTAGCTCCTTTGCAGACTCTCGCATATCCCCCATCCCGACTAGCGTATCCATTATTCCCAATCCGTACTCCAGCTAAGTTATTTTTTTTTGCCATGATCGACAGGATGAAAATGAAAAAGGGGAGATATTAGCGAGCTGGGAGTGGATGTTCTTTTTTTTATTTTGTTGATGTTCCATAAGCAGTGGTTGTGCTTCAAAGAAGAGACTTGCCTGGTAGACACAGTATCCTGCATCCTGCAACCGATGCGCCATGTACCGCGTCCTATATTAAAACAAATATCATAAGCTACTCCAATCCAACACAAAAAAAACTCACAGAACAAAAACGATGTTCGCGAAAACCATACGTGACAAGACCAGGAGACAGCAACCCAGGCAACAAGACCACAGGGACCGGCCGCTCCGTCGTCAATACACACTCACTATCAAACGTCTCATACGTCCCCCTCGACGTCCACACATAGCCCTCCTGGATTCCTCTTGCCGGTACTATTTCTCCTCCTCTTCCTCTTGCTGGAGATAAAGAGTTCACTCCATTGTCGCCGGTAAAGTTGAAATTCGGGAGATTGATAGGGATCACTGGAGTTGCTTGCACCTGGAGTAGTAGGAGTGCGCCCAGGAGTATTGATGTTGAGGCCAAGAGGCTTGTGTGTTGTCTCATTTCCTACTTGCGTCCTCGTTTTCTTTAGTTGTCCTAAATATAATAGAGTGCAGGCAATGCCAGGGTTGGCGATGAAAGGTGGCAATTGGAGTGAGTGGTGGAGGGTGGATAAGCAAGTAAAGAAGAAAGAAGCAGAAAAAAATGGGAAGTGAAAGAGATGGAGCGTGACATAAAGGTGGAGAAGAAAAAATGGAAGGCAAGGGAGTCACGATCCACCGAACTCGACCTGACGGGTTGGTCGCGTTCAGAATGAAAAATGTCCTGATAATCATTGCTCGCCTTCTTCCCTTCCTCCTTAACTCCTGAAGAAAATAACAATACACAGACAGCCACACACGTACCAACTTCACTACAGACGCGAATTGACTATTGATGTTTATTAACAAAATGGGAGGATAGAATACAAATACAAAAAAAGTCCCAAGAAGCGTTTCTGGCGCCTTGAAACACAAAGAAAAGCAAAAAATAGAAAATGGGGGAAATACACAGTTTGTGCGCGGAAAAAACAAAGCAACGCACGATCCTGTTTTAGAGTTACTGTTACAGAGTGCAGGCTTAGATAGGCACCAAAAAAGGGTCACAACAACCACAGCCCGCTCACAGCCCTTCGGTCATACATTCGATCTCAAAACCGGAGGAATTGTCCGTTGTGCGGCAAACCTTGCCCATGTCGGAGATACATTCTTCCGTCCGCCCTGCCGACAGCAACGGCCTCATCCATCTCGAGCTGCTTCCAGATCTTGCGCACTTGAATAACTCCGTACCGGTCCATCCACTGCCAATGTTTGATCATCTCCTCAACTTTCCACACCCAGATCGAGAACCACACCGTCCCGTAAATAGCTCCAATCCCAGCGCCCACAAGGACCTGACTGACCGAATGACTACCGAGGCGGATACGTGACCAGACCACAGACCAGGCATAAAGTTGCAACAGCATGATCAAGAACCACTGTCCCGCCGAGCCCTCGGGTTCCATGAGCACCAGTTGGAGTGAGATATAACAGACGAAAAATGCGACCAGTTGGGCGTGGCTACTGGGCATTCCATAATCCACACGGAAATAGAACTTGCGCCGCTTATATCTTCGGATCCGCTGGCTTGCTATCCTGGCCTTGGGTTCGTTCGAAGCATCCATTTGTTCCTTCTGCAGAGTCGTTGTAGGGGCCAGTGACAATGTAGGAGACCCTGCACGCTGGATTGGGTCGTTCATCGAATCCTGGGTTGTCATTGACGTGGATCCTGACGCATTCGGTGATGGCATGATGATATGGGTAATCGTTGTTGTTGTCGTGGTAGTGGCTGTAGCTGCGACTGTGGATGATGAGGGTCCTCCAAAGGTCGATTCTGGTTGTGATGATGACGATGACGACTCTGCTTGTGGACAAGGCGTGGGTTCCAAGATATCCTTGTCCTCCTCCCCTTCCTCCTCCCCATCCTCCTCCTGCAATCCGCGTCCTGTCTGTTTTGGTCTTGGCTGCCGGATAATATGCTTCAGGCATTTTGCTATATTAGCGTCATGGTCAAGGTAGAAAACAAAAATCAGGTTCGGGGTTAGCAAATACTCAATGAGCAACTGAATTCACCTGTGTGTCCCATGCACCGGAAGTATATGTTCCGTCCCTCCGTCCCGCCCGTCTATGGTTTATGATGTAACGAGTGAAAGACATGCCTTCCCCACAAGTACTTCGCAATGCGCTGTCCCTTCTCCTGTCGAAATATCCAGTTTTGCGACTTGTTTTATCATGTTCAGCGTCATAAAAAATGACTATTTCGAAATCCTGCAAACTCAAATAGCGAACCAAGGTCGTAGTCCAATTCATGAACAAAATGCTCATTATCTCTGAAACGAGGTTCTGTGCCCCCCCGCGCTCGGTGTAATGTTTTGTAAGGCGGTCTGCTCGTCTGATTCACCTCCGGCTGTTATTCTGTTGTCGTGTTGTTCTTTCGTCGCCCTGTGTCCCTTACCCTCCTCACTTTTATGGTTGCATGAAATGGGGTCCAAACTCAGGGATCATGTGTCCATTTTAGTTGTCTGTTTTTGTGTACTTTCAGTAGTGTGGGGGGGAAAGTTTCTTGTTTTGTTACGACCGACCAATGCGCAAGCAGCAAAGAAAAAGCGCCTCATGCACCCCCTTTGCCTTGCCTTGTCCTTGTACCTCTCGGACATCCGAGTGACAGATGTATTGTTCTGTTGTTGTCCAGAAAAGGTATATGTATGATGACAAAGACGCATCACCCATCTTTCTCCAACTCTACCACCAAAACTCCTCTTCCTCCAACAAGAAGCAACAATAACGGTTTGTTTCCTTACCAAGAACGGCACAAGAAAGAGCTCCCGTTCCAAAGAACAGACAATGCAACGTCCTGAGATAGATGATCGCAATAAAAGTACAGGTTGACGCAATATACCGCGTCCTTTCAAACGAGGGCGACCGCGAGAAGGACAACGACTGGTAGAGGGATATCGAGAGCGCACTGATGAACGACCACGGTTGTCTCTGGTGTTCTTGTTGTTCTTGTTGTTGTTGTTCGTGTTGTTGTTGCCGGTGGCGGTGATGGTCGTTGTTTAGCAATTGTTGTTGTGAGGGTGGTGATGTTGATTGTGAGTGGGGAGGTGGAGGTTGCTGCTCATGAGGGTCGATTGCTGCAGGTGCTGCGTTTGGGTACTGGTTGGTCTGGGTATCCATTTGGAACGAAGTAAGCCTGTGGAGGGGGTATAGGGTGCGCCTACTCTGGCGTGTTAGTAGGTTACTGTTGGCTTGAGTAGGAGTGATTTGATCTCTTGAGTGGTAAGGTAAGAAAGGATGGATGAATGAATGTGAAAGATTCAAGCGAGGGGTGTGAATGATAGGAGAGGCTGGGTGTGGGGATGCGAGTTGGCAGCACAGAGGCGTGAGAGTCGAAGGTGAGGGGAGAAGAAAAAGCGTAAGGAAGAAAGCGAATGAAGGAAAGTAAAGTGTGCAAGAAAAAGGTGAAAAGGGGACAAGAAAAAGAGAACGACCATGTGACCTCATCATCTCTCTTGGCTCTCCCTTGGGCGTTACTCTTTTTTTTTATCTTCTGTGTCTTGGTGCAGCTTGCTGCTGCTTCAATTACATCTTGATCGAAAGCAGCCTGCATCCATAACCTCTCCACTCCCCCTTTCGTCTCTTGTCACTTTCCATGTGATAAAGGACAGCGGTCGAAAAAAGGAGGAGGAGATCCAAACAAGATCTCTGCTCAGCTCATCTTAGTTCAGCCTGGGTGGTGTCCTCCATAAAAACAGGATCCCCTGTTCCGCCCAAGGACGCCATGATGACAAGATGTCGAAACACAACCAGCAAAGTCAAAAAAACATGCTCCAATCTCCGCCCTGTACTTTTCTCGATCGTTTTTTTGTTTTTTGTTTTTTGTTTCTTGTTTCTTCTCAGCTTGCTTGTTGACAACCTTTCTCCTGTTGACTGTCAGAAATAACCTTCCAGCAAGTCAATGCAGTGTTTTGAGTTCTGTTGTGAGTGTGAGTGAGTGTGTGTGTGTGTGTGTGTGAAAGAAATAATATTATTGTACATTTTGAATGATAAAGAATGATATGAACGAGTTAAGCGCACTGCTTTGACTCCATGTAGTACAAGAACAAGAAAACATTAGCAAAATCTATCCATCTACACCTCCTTAGGCAACTCGTGTGGAAACACCAACACGCATACCCACTCGAACAAGCATCTCCAACTGCTCCTTGGACGACCGGATAAGATCCTCATCAAACTGGATCGAATTGGGCTCAAACAACAACACAATCGTCGATCCGCCAAACGCGAAATATCCATGTTCCTCCATCCGCTCAACCGTCTGTCCACCCTCGCTCGTTAACACAATCGAGCCCACCATCATTGCGCCTATGGTACAGTAGGCGACTGTGCCAAACTCCTTTGATTCGATGGTGGAAATGACGCGCTTGTTCTCGCCATAGACATCCAAGTGGCTTCGGATAGACATTGGGTTCACGGTAAAGTACTCTCCATCAATCGACTTTGGTGCAGACAACACTCCCCGCACTGGTATATGGTATCTGTCAGAGGGAAACAAGCATACATGAACAAATGAACAACAATTAGTACGTCGATTGAATCGATAATCGAGAAACATAGCGTAGGATCGAAGAACAAACATATGGAAGGCAAAATGACAAACAAAATCAACGTACCGATGGTAGTCTTGAGGGGCGAGGCGGAAGATTGCAAGACTTCCTCCCTCGTACTTCTTGGCCAGGGCCTCATCTCCACCAAGGAGTTTCGCCACCGTAAACTGACGGCCTTTGATCCAGAACTGCTGAGCATCCGAGATGGTCTGGAAACAAGTCATCCTGCAGTCCGCAACACTCACAGCCACACGGTCGTCACCAGGGTTGCTCAACTGCCGCGCATCAGACTTTAACCGCCTGTAAAAGAATTCGTTGAACGATTTGAAATTCGAGACGGGTTCAAGGACTTCATCCATGTGGGCCTCCAGGTGGTGGAACCGGATGAATGGCTCAATGTTCCGCTTCGAGCGCGGGTCGTCAAACTTGAGCCCCTGTTTCCGCGACATGTTGGCCAAGATCTTGCCGACGCGGATCTTTTGTGCGGGACCCTTGTACAATAATCGGATTCCCAGTCGAATAAACGTCGGGATCTTTTCTTCCAACATCAGTCCCGTTGTCCTGTCCTGTACAATAATATTGGCATTGCTCTATGATTTGAAAAAAAATGATGCATGGTTAGTTGCGCTGACCCATACACACATCCATATTTTCGGCCAACCTCTCAAAGAACTTATGAAGCGCTGATAGTCTTACCTTGCCGATGATGTATCGCCCGTAGCCGAGGGTCTTGACAACTTTGGTGATCCACTTTCGCTGAGCGTTGGCAGCAGTAACAAAGTTGCCAAGGATCAGCTTGTCGAGGTTGAAGCCGTCGTTGCCCGAGCAGACAGCAATGTGAGTGATCACATCCGTCTCCAGCTTGGAACCCAGACTGGGGTCCCGGCAAATGGGGCAAGACGAAATCCTGATCACATACTCGTCCTCCGAAACCTGGGGCTCAAAGTCAGCCTCTGTTGGCTCCACCATCTCGACCGCTGGAGGGATAGGATCCTCATCCGGGATCTTGTTCTGCGTAAGATGCAAGAAAAGCTCATTATCTTCCTCATAGTCATCTTCATCTTCATCGCCCAACGAGTCTTCTGTCGAGTCCTTCTCATCTGGTTGCTGTTCGGGGTGCAAATGTTCTGTCTGCTCAGGTTGTTCTGATCCGACAAGGGCGCTCTGTTGGGGAGCGGCCGCGCTTGCCTTCCTTGACCAAAACTTGCGGATCCTGCGCCTACGCCGTTTGTTGGGCTTGCTATCATCCAGTCGGACCTGTCGCTCCAGAATCTCAAAGAGCTCATCAAACGTCAACTCATCCTTCTCTGGGTCCTTGGAGTAAGGTGCGAAGAAGCTGTCGACTGTCGTACTCGAGAGAGTCGACCCCAATCCCTCCAGCATGGCCTGGATCAGTACCTTGCTGTAGAGACCAGTCTTAGGATCCGCATCGAATGCCTTAACCAAGCCCAGCCAGAATCGCTTCCGCAGATTGGTGTAGGTCACAAACTTGGCATGGACTTTGAGTGTTGTGGGCTGGGCGGGCGCCTTGATATTGCCGGCCAAATCGACCTTGAGAATGTACTCCTTCATGTCCTGGTCGACGGCCTCCTTCGCCTCGAAAGTACCGATCTGGGGTGTCAACAATGAGTCGGCCTCCTGTCCTTGTGATGCGTTGATAAGGGTCTCGATGTCCATGGTTGTCATGCCGATATAGTCGTTTCCGCTCAGCTTATCCCAGTCGTGGACCGAGTACTTGATCTTGAAGTTATCCTCACCATGATGGACTCTGAACATCAGCTTTCCACGCCAGGTTGGGTTGAGGTTGTGTCGAATGACTCGCGTCCGGAAGATGCACTTTCCAAACGAGATGACAACAAAGGGATCCATGTCGAATCCTGTCCTTGTCACATTGTGAGTCCTGGGGAGATTGCTGGCGGAGACAATCTCCATAAATACGACGCCACGCAGATTGTTAGTCGAGCTGAGGGAAGAGAGGGTGGAGGATGCTGAAGAGGATGCAGTCAAAGCACCGGTGGGGGGTGGCGAAGGAGAGTCAAGTCGCAAGGCGGACAAGCCCATGGAGGGATCCTCATCGCGTACTGCAACGGGGATATCGGCCATGTTGACGGAAATGTCGCCGGAAGTGTGGACCTTTCGCTGTCCGAGTCCAAGTTTGTTGCGCCCACTGACGAGATTAGTCCATATCCGCTCGATCTCACCAACAGATGAGGTCTTGCGTGAAGGAGCAAGGCCAATGTCGATGAATCCAAACTTGACTTCCACTAGTTTGATAATAGCAAATGGGTAAGTATCGCTGATCTGACTGATGTGCATCTGGTAGAAATGCCACTTTTGTTTATATGTATACCTTCACCAGTGATCCTGGAGAACCTTTTTTCAGGAATTGACTTGAGGGGGAACCAGCGGGCCTAAATGGCGCGTAAGAATGAAAGAGGCCGAGTTTGTGGGCAACATAGTTAGATAATGAAGAACGTTGTGGAGGAGTAACGGGAAGGGGAAAGAAGAGAGGGAGGACTAGATCGTGAGAGAATGACCGGAAAGGCGTCCTTATTTTACTTTCAGGCTCTCAAATGGGGAGAGAAAAAGAAAAAAAAAAGGTCGATGGAGCCCAAAAAAGGGTTTTTGATCATTGAATGGATGGTGTTCAGATTTCATATTCGCGCTCCTTTTGGAGAGCATGGCCTGACATGGCCTGACCTTTTTTTGTTTGGTATGTCTGCCTTCTTTCCCAATTCAAAGCTGCAGCATGCATGGGATAAGAAATTATTTCAAAACAGAGCCGAGGAACAAGGGAGGAAGGAAGGGCAAATGAAAGACGGGCGTTCAACAAGGCATTGCCTGTATCTGTCGGAGAAACGATAACAATCAACACAAAATAATGAAAGGCTTTGCAGCTGGTCAATTGACAACAACTTGCCTGGTTGTCTTGGTCGTCGAAATGTTTCGGCACAGAGTCGGCCCAGAGGGAGGCAGGCTGCAGGGGGATATAGACTGTGCCGAGGTAGTCATCCCGTCCCCAGCGGTCTTTATCCCAGAACATGAGGCTGACTTGATCGGGCAACGACTGGGCATCGAGCTCAAAGTCAAAGGCGGCATCCCAGACGGGGTTGAGCGATTTGCGCACCACGTTTGTCGTGAACTTGTGTCCGCCAACGGTCAACTTTACATATGGGTCCGAATATCCGTTCTATTGTAGAAAGAATTCAATTGATCAATTAGGAGTGGATTAATTGTACAAAACAACAATGTTTAAGACAGTGATAGTGAACCAACTAACACCATCAATCAGTCCCCATCATCATCATCATCACTATCATCATCGCCATATCATCAAGGTGTAAGAATAGAGTAAAGTGTCTTGAGACACACTACTAAACATGACAGACACCCAAGACAAAAAACAACACAAAAAAAAGGTCTGCTGTTTATACCCCATGTCGTTGCTTTGACGTGTGAAAGCCAGGGCGGTGGACTGTAGACTGTCACTGGTAAGGTTTGACCACAGCCAAAAATAAAAGGTGATGTACATGTTTACATGTTCTGTAAGAGTGAGGTGATGTGTGTGGAAAGGGGGCAATGTAACTGATGAGAAAGAAAAACAAAAACAAAAACAGCCTTTCTCAATTGTCTTTCACTTTGTTGTTGTTGTTCCTGGTCGCACTCCTCTCGTCCGTTCCGAATTGAGTTCGCCCTTTTTTTTCTTTGGAAAAAAGTAAGAAATGAGATTTACCCTGTCTCTGCTGGCAAGGTCTTTAGCTCGGGAGATGAAGATGCGCATCTTTGCAACTGTGGTATGTTCGTCATCGCTGCTGCTGCTAGAGGTGGTGTGAGAGTGAGTGTGATGGGAATGGTGATGGTGGTGGTTGTGGTTGTGTCTGAAGGGAGTTTGCGGCCGGCTGGTGGAAGGGGAGGAGGAGAGGGAGGAAGAAGAAGCCATGGGTGCACTCGCGAGCATAACAGACCAGGAAAGGGGGAGAGAGGGTGTGATTGGTAGTGTGGTGTTGTATGCGCTGGATGGGTAGGGATGAGTATGGGCGTCAGAATAAGGGTTGTGAATAGGGAGATTGGGAGTGTAAAGGGATGTGAAGAGAGAGGAAGAGAGTGGCGAGAAAATGAAGGATGAAGGATGAAGAAGAAAGAAAGGAAACGAGGAAAAGTGGTGGCGAAAAAAAAGCTAAAGTGAAGGAAAGAAAGGAAAGGTAGAGGCGAGCGATGTATTGATTATTGTTTGATTACAGCCGCCAGCAAAGCCCACTTTGGACAGTCTTCCACTCACGATCACTTTGAAATGAAAGAAGAGCTGAGCCCTTTCTTTATTTTTTGTTCTTCTACATGGACAGCTTCCCGAACGGAGCAAAACGAGTCCAGCTGAGCCAGCCTCTTTCGTTCTCATCAACCAAAAATAGTTTCGTTCTTTTTTTCTAACTTTAACAACCAACCACTCGCTTTGCAATTGCGTTGTCGTTGACGTCTTCGCTTGTGCCAAGAAAGGATATCAATACCAAAGCTAGAGTCGACAGGCTTGAGTGCGTTGTTGGCACTTTGTCATTGCAGAAGAATCGACGACAGCCTGCATATCATCACAGACAGACGAAAAACAAAAAGACGAATCCAGTAATTCTTCTCCCTGACAATGTTCCTGTGCCACAGCCGACACAAGGATCTGTCCACAATGACAATCATACTACGGCTGCAGCGGTGGAAATTAGATCTTGGCGGTGGTGGTTTTGACCTTTACATCATGTTTTTGGGCGTGAAAAAAAGAAAAAGCTAGAGATGGACGACCCCTAGTTTCTTAGCTTGTAACATGCATTACTATACCCCGAAAATGGATCACATTAATGAAGAGACACATGCCTTGCGGAAAAATAATAATTCACGAACCCCTCCTCTCCTTCTAGTGTGCGGGTTATGTGGGATGAAGGACTGAACGTGTTTGTTGCTTGTTTGTTTGTTTGTTTGTGGGGGTGGACGCAATACAAACAAATGGAGAGCAATGGATCGGTCGACATTTTCTGATTTATATAGTGATCTGTGCTCGCTGTCATCTTGTAAAAGGAATGACAAACATGTTTTTTTTATTTGCTGATTGTTGGGGGCAGGGGTGGATTGAGTACAGATCTTGAAGGGACAAAAAACAACAACAGAAGGCAAGCACTTTGACAGATGTGCCTTGTCACACACAACGCATGCTAGATAATATACACAAGGTACATTCATGTTCATGATTGTCATGAGAAGATCATCTTTTTGTTTGGCTCCCAATTCCCCCCTGGTTCTTGTTTTTAATCATAAACTAAACGAAAAAGAAAAGAGTGGGATGCGAGAGTGACAATGAAGATGGATATGCCTTGCAGATGAGAGTGGGATGTAGATAGAGTAAGTGAAAATAAAATGTCTAGAATACATAAATGAGCGAAGAAGTAGAAAAGAAACAAAAAGGAATACAAAGGGAGAAACAAACTCGATAACAACAGCTTATGACATGTCGACGTCCATCAGCTTGGTCTTCTGAGCAACCTTCTGGACCTGAGGCAGGTTCTTGATGGCGGGGGTGTCGACGAGGTGGATGTGCTTCTGGATAAGAGCCTGGTTCTCGGTTCTCTGGCGGAGCTTGTTGCCCGACATCCTGTTCTTGTAAAACACGCGCTCGCGCTTGGCCTTGATCTCTTGAGATCTCTTCAATGCCCTGATCGTCGTCGCCATCATGTCCCTGTCATATCTGACAGGAATGTTGCGGCGCTTCTCGAACTGGAACGTCGAGTCCTATTAAAGAGTTGTTGAAAAGATGTGAGGGGTACTTAATGAGTATCCGGTCCTCTTTTCTTTATCATGCCATGCCGATCCGTTGTTCTCAACTGAGCTCAATGCGAATAAGCTTATTGAGAAAAAAAAATCGCTTCCTGGAGTGATATGAGCCTACTTCTCCTGCCTTTGCTCTTGCTCGTGCTCCTGCGTTGACTTACGATGGTCATCTCCTTGCCAGCAGCCTTGCGGAAGGCCTTGGTCCAGCGGACCTTACGAGGGTTGCGCTTCATCTTGAAGTTCTTGTGGCACTTTGATCTGCAGAAACGGAACGTCTATCAACGTTGAAGATTTCAGATTGTGCTTTAATGAGATGTGGGTAGAGTCTCGATCACCCTTTCCTTATTCCTTCCTGCAGCCCTTTTTCTTTCAAACACACGGTAAGGCAGTTCATGTTGGCAATTCTTAGTTTACGGGGTTCATTTCAAAAGTACCTTTGAGTCGTTGCGAACGAACATGGTGCCGTGACCGGGGTAGCATGTCGATGAGCAAAAGTAGCACTTTTCTAATCTCATTATGTCTGTCTCTTCTCTTCACTGCAGGGTGGCAAAAGGCAAAAGGAAGGACCTCTCTCTGCCTTCAGCCGTACTAATGGGAAAAAAAAAGAGGTTACAGGACAATGGACGCCATAATTACGTCACCGAAGTGTGTAATTGTAGCGCCCCCTATAACCATTACTCGATCCATGTATTAATGACTTTGGACGGTCTGAGTTCGCCACTAATAGGAAGAAGCTGCAGCAGGAAGCGGACAACCTGAACTCAGTGCTGGGCTAGTAAGGTGACTGCAGGCACACAGATCAGGTTCATGGCGCTCTTGAGATAGCCGTCTTTGGTCAGTGCTACCTGCTACTGTGGCCGCCATTGACAAGGAACCGTAGCTAACTTGCGCCCTAGTACCATAGTAGAAAAGGCACACTCTTTGTCCTAGTCAACAAAAGCAATAAAGCGGTCATTGGAAATAAGACCTGTCTCTCTCCCCCCCTCCATAATTCCCTAAGGGTATAATAACTGGCTTGTGGCAGCCAAGCGTTCATAGCGACTAGGACATCTATTCGAATGCATTCGAATAGATGCCTTAATAGCGACGTTCCTTTTTGATCCTTCGATGTCGGCTCTTCCTATCATACTGAAGCAGAATTCAGTAAGCGTTGGATTGTTCACCCACTAAGGAGGCCATCCATATCCCACTCCTCCAACCATAGACTGCTGTATAATAATATCTGTCAACACCTTTTAAAACAGCGTGTTACGTGAGAGTACAACCAATCTCAGCAGCTTTTTCCTTCCACCAGTCTCCATTTTCTACATTTACCACCACTACTTTGTAACATCATCTACTTTAGCTGAGAAAGTCTTGGACATGATGTTACAAAGTAGTGGCGGTAAATGTAGAAAATGGAGACTGGTGGAAGGAAAAAGCTGCTGAGATTGGTTGTACTCTCACGTAACACGCTGTTTTAAAAGGTGTTGACAGATATTATTATACAGCAGTCTATGGTTGGAGGAGTGGGATATGGATGGCCTCCTTAGTGGGTGAACAATCCAACGCTTACTGAATTCTGCTTCAGTATGATAGGAAGAGCCGACATCGAAGGATCAAAAAGGAACGTCGCTATTAAGGCATCTATTCGAATGCATTCGAATAGATGTCCTAGTCGCTATGAACGCTTGGCTGCCACAAGCCAGTTATTATACCCTTAGGGAATTATGGAGGGGGGGAGAGAGACAGGTCTTATTTCCAATGACCGCTTTATTGCTTTTGTTGACTAGGACAAAGAGTGTGCCTTTTCTACTATGGTACTAGGGCGCAAGTTAGCTACGGTTCCTTGTCAATGGCGGCCACAGTAGCAGGTAGCACTGACCAAAGACGGCTATCTCAAGAGCGCCATGAACCTGATCTGTGTGCCTGCAGTCACCTTACTAGCCCAGCACTGAGTTCAGGTTGTCCGCTTCCTGCTGCAGCTTCTTCCTATTAGTGGCGAACTCAGACCGTCCAAAGTCATTAATACATGGATCGAGTAATGGTTATAGGGGGCGCTACAATTACACACTTCGGTGACGTAATTATGGCGTCCATTGTCCTGTAACTTTTTCGTTTCGCCTGGGTGAGGCAAGAGCAAGAGAGAAGAGAGAAAAAAAAGAGGGTTGAAAAGTGGACCCAAGCCGCTTTTTTTTTTTCTTGATGCACCCCCTCCAAGCCTCCATCAGCAAAGCCATCATGGCCGAAGAAAGACCAACGACCGCCGAGCCTCATCACGAAAGTGAACTCGATGAACACACTCTCCTCCTCCACCTCCAACAGACCATCGCCAACAACAACGCCGCACTCCAACAACAACAGGACAACAACAATCACAACACAGACGCACCAGTGCCAATTTCAACCACTACAGTAGAAACAGCTGCAAGCACAGAAGACAATGTTTCCGCAACTCATAACCAGCCAGCAGCAACAGCAGCAGCAAGCTTGGAGACTATCCCAGTAACGTCCCAGGAGGCGGCCGTGGCTGCTGTGGCCGCCTTTGCCAACTCTTTCAACGATACTACCGCAGACGATATCAAGGCCCTGACCAAGGCTCTGACAACACCCATCGAGCAGATTGAGGCCGAGGAGCGAGCTGCCGCTGCTGCCGTGGCCGCCGTTGCAGCTTCGGTCGCTGCCAGCGCTGCCGGTGTCGACCACTCAGTCATTGCCAAGACCGATATCGCGACACCTGCATTCGATGTCAACAATGTCTACAATCAAGTTTTGTCGTCCATCGCCAGCCAGACTCAGACAACGACAACAGAAGGAAAGAGAACTGCGCAAGAGGCCTTTGAACAGACACAGGCTGCTCAGGCACTTCAGTTGATTGCACTCTCTCTCGGCAGTGTGACGGCCAACACCACTACCACCACAGTCGAATCAGCAGTGACCACGGGCCACGCTGACAGCACAGTGGCCCACCACACAGGCGACGGCGCTGGCGCAGTACCTGGAACCACAGACCCCCTCCTCTCTATCACTGAAGCCATCAGCAACTTTCAGCGACAGACAGAACAGCACCCAAAGCTGGACGAGGATACAACAGCAATCGCACAAGCAGTGCTTCTTGCCACTCAAGCAAATGCCAACAAAGGTATGTCTTGCTGTATTGCGTTCTCTAGCATCATTGGCGTGCTCGTCTGTGAGTACCTATAGTATATGGCGTTCACTAAACATTTTGTGTTCATTTAACTTTTGGTTTGAGTAGAAGCGCTTCAGGGAACGTCACAGGCTGGTCCTTCATCAAGCTCAGCAGAATCCGGCGCCAACCAGGGTCTGACATTCGAGGTGGACAAGGCAACAGGAAAGACACAGATCAAATGGGTACCAGACTCGAGAGATGATGCCAGCGTTATCCAGCAAGCCCTTCATACATTGATCGCCAACAGTGGCATACTTGGAGTAGCGAATGGGGGCCTTCTCGCCCCACCTTTGGGACAGTTCCCAGCACAAGGATCACAGTTTGGCACCGCAAAAGAACCTGTCAAGACGGAACCAGCAGCGATGGCGCCACCGCCGGTCCCACATGTTCACAAGAAGAGAAGGACAGGAGGATCGAGCACACAAAACACGGCGGCGTCGATTCCAGAGGGAGCCACAGCGTACCCATGCACATTCGACGGCTGTGACAAGGTCTTTGCACGCCTCTACAACCTCAAGTCCCACTCCCGGACACACACCAACGAGCGACCTTTTGTCTGTAGTCATTGTCAACTTCCCTTTGCACGCAACCATGTGAGTCTCCTTCTTTACTCCTAATGTGTTGTGTTGGGCTTACTCCCTGTCAATTTTTGAAATGATATCAAGCAATACTAATACTTTATTTTTGTTGACAAACAATAGGATTTGAAGAGACATGTCAAGATTCATGGCGGAGACAAGCCGTTCAAGTGCGGTGGATGTGGCAAGTCGTTCTCCCGCCTGGATGCACTTGGTCGACACAAGTACAACTCCAAGAACCGCGCCAACTGCGTCGACTCTATCACTCCTGTTCTTGAATGAAGTGTCATCAGCAGAAATAAAAAAACTTGCAAGAAATAATTCGGTGACGTATCCTTTTTTTTTTTAGCAATGTTTGGTTTTGGCTGCTGCCTGTGATTTTTTTGCTTGAGGCTGGCACAAGAGCAAGTTCCAGTGGTGTGGTGCAAAGGAAGGTTGTTGTTCAAAGTGGTGTGCAGATCTCTCTCAAACAAGATTTTGTTTTTCTTCTTTTTCCTCCTCCACTCTCCATCACTCGACATGTCTGCATTCAAGCTGCCTACCGTGTCCGACTCCCAGAGCGGATGGGGCCCCGAAAGCCTCAGCGCCAGGTTCAGCGACATCCCCTACGCTCCTTACTCCAAGGCCGACAAGCTCGGCCGCATCGCCGATTGGTCTGCTCCTGAGGGTGCTCAGGGCAAGGACAACCGTGGTGGCGCCGGTGATCAGCGTGGTGGCCGCCCCGGCTTCCGCAACTTCAGAGGTATACACACTCTCTCTTTCCTCTACCTATTCTCGCCACTACGACAACTCTCAGGATGGAACCTTTCCTTTCGTTATTCAGGAACCTAGGGAAACACACCCACATCACTACGCCACTCTTTTGGAACAAGGATGCAGGCACCACAACACTGGATTAGTCGATGAACGATAGTCTACTCTCCATTATACGCACCCTACTCCTGTATTCCAGCCAGATCACTCCTCCAATACCCTTTCTTGGCCAACACCAGTTCCTTTCTCTAACCAACGTTCCGCACTTTCCATTCCACCGCTCTCCTTTGCAACCTTCCAACTCCCTCCTCAGATACCTATGTCCCCTTCGGAAGCAACGCCGCCAACGCCTTCAACTACCAGCACACCGAGGATGAGGCTTCATTCTCGGTTGTCGACAACCGCTCTGCTGCCCAGAAGAAGACCACCGGTTTCAAGTCGGCCACCGGCCAGCGTGGAGGCCGTGGTGGATTCCGTCAGCAGGGTCAGCAGCGCTCCCAATTCCAGCGTTTGGGCGCTAACCGTGGAGGATTTGGCGGTGCCCGCCAGGGCGCACAGGGCGGTCAGCGTGGCGGTCGTCGTGGCTACAACAACTGGAGGGATTTCGACCGCAACCAGCGTGTTCGCGATGCCTCTGTCAAGGTTGGTGCCGAGTGGAACATGCTCGAGGAGATTGAGTTTTCTCGTCTGAACAAGCTCCAGTTTGAGGTTGCCGAGCCCGAGGATATGTAAGTCGCAAGGCAGTGTTGTTTTTTTTTGTCTGTTGGGGGGTTTTATTGTGGCGCATCGCAGAGGAAAGCGGCATTTTTCAATCTATATGGATCAACAGCTACTGCGGACACCATTGGACATTTTTGAAGGATGTTCTGAAGAGCGAGATCAGGCTTACAGCGGATAGGATACATCGGGATGAGTTTCACATATCTGAACAATGTGGGCTTGATGTAAAGAGCAGCAGAGGAAAAACATGAAAACTAACAACTTTGCATCCTATGTTCATTGCTTTTTTCCAACTTGATAGTGCTAAGTATGGTGCTATTGCCTCTTACGACAAGGCTTACGACCGTGTCAACACCAAGCAGGAAAAGGTTCTCCAGCAGGTTGACCGTGAGCGCGACAATGTTACCACCTCGGATGATCCTATTCTCACCAACTTGGCTGCTGAGGCTCCTCGTGAGGGCGAGCAACGTGTTTTCGCCACCGACAGCATTATTGGTGTCTTGATGACTGCTCCCCGTTCCGTCTACCCCTGGGACATTGTCATTACCAGGACAGGCGACAAGGTTGTTTTCGACACTCGGGATGGCAGCCAGCTCGACTATGTCTCTGTCAACGAGAACTCCTCCGACCCACCCATGGACACCGGCGACAAGGACAGCATTAACTCACCCGCTGCCTTGTCCTTGGAGGCCACCTACATCAACACCAACTTTGCTGCCCAGGTTGTCAACTCGGAGCAGGTTGTCGATTTCGAGAACAGCAACCCCTTCTACGGTGCTGATGAGGAGTCTGTTCCTCTTGTTGGATACCGTTACCGCAAGTTCGACCTCTCGACCAACGAGGATGAGGATATCTCGCTTATCATCCGTACTGAGGTCGATGCTGTCGTCAAGTCTGCTCAGGGTGAGGAGTCATACATTACCGTCAAGGCCTTGAACGAGTTTGATTCCCGTGCCCAGGGTGCCGGTGGTGCCATGGAGTGGAGACAGAAGCTCGACTCCCAGCGCGGAGCCGTCGTTGCCACAGAGATGAAGAACAACAGCTGCAAGCTTGCCCGCTGGGTCGTCCAGAGCATGCTTGCCGGTGCCGACCACTTGAAGCTCGGGTACGTCTCTTTTCCCTTAGCTACTGTGAATTTGTTGTCTGTGTGATTGATTGACGCTCGTGCCACATTGTTCTTGGGCATTGCTAATTGTCGAGCTAATTATTAATCAAACCCTTTTTTCGTTCTTTATTTGTATAGATTCGTCTCGCGTACCAACCCCAAGGATGCTGCGCGCCACGCTATTCTCGGAACTCAGATCTGCCGTCCCAAGGAGTTTGCTTCGCAGATGAGCTTGCAGGTGACCAACGGATGGGGTATTGTCAAGACTGTTGTCGACTTGGCCCTGAAGTTGCCAGAGGGCAAGTATGTCCTCGTCAAGGATCCCAACAAGCCCGTCATCCGTCTCTACTCTGTCCCCAAGTCGACCTTTGAGGAGGCTGAGGAGGATAACGAGGAGGGTGAGGTCGAGAATGCCTAAGAGTTTTTTGTTATTTGAGTGCTGTGGGTTGATAGCCTGTTTGAGGAAGTAGTTTTTAGTTTTAAAAGATGATGATTTGCCATGTAGAACCCCCCAAAAATATTCATTTTTCATCGACATCATCTCCTTTGTAATTTCCATATCGCATTGTGTTTGCTTTGTATAATCTTTATTGTTGTTACAAGGGGTTGCGAGGGGTCTAATAATGTGATGGTGAAGGGGTTGGTTTCCAAACGACGGACAAAAAAAAGAACAGCGTTTCTCTAGATAGTACGAGAGACCAGACAGAGACTCCCTCTGTCCAGGCATGCTGCTTCATGTCCAGAAAATATGCCTTTCTTTTGTACATGTCCCTCTGGTTGTGAATCCGGGTGTTGTAGTTGGGAGTTGTTGAGTGTTGGCTGTTAGTTGTTGGGATGTTTACTTCTTGTCCAAAAGATCCTTGGCCTCGTTGATCTTTGAGGCCAGGAAGGGCGAACCACCACGATCGGGATGGTTCAACAACATGATCCGGCGGTGAGCCTCCTTCAGCTTTGAAGAGTTCAATCCCACCTCCCTATTAATTCATGGAAAACAAAATTAGGAAAAGGGCTTCAGTAAAAGATGTTGGAAAAGTGGAGTGTATGACGGTGTAACCAAAGAACAGGGCACGGAGAGGAAGTAGGAGAAGGAGAGGGAGAAGGGAAGAAAGGGGAGAAGAGACATACTTGACACCAAGGATAAGGGCAGCCTCACGTTTATCCATCTTTGCCTCAAATCCTCCCTTGTAAAAGGAACCGGTACCGATGGTTCCGGGGCGGGGAATGGCGGCCATGATCTTAGCACCGTGCAGCTCCCAGCCGCGGATTGCCAGTCTTGTGCCGTAGGCTGCACCTGCGATTCCGACACCGATGAACAATGGGGTTGACTATTTGTTGAGGTTAGAGGCGCAGGAGGAGGTGGTGGAGAGAGTTAGTTGATGTTTTCAAATGAGTGGTGGAGGTGACGATGGGAAAGTGAGCTTTTGGGCGGTCTGGGTTTTGTGATTTGTGGTTACCATGGCGAAATGTGTGTGGAGTGTGTAGGTGGAAAGGAGAGAATTGATGGTGAGAAGACGATCCGAGAGGCAATATTGCCTTTTTGAAAGGGGGGCTAAGCCACTGAAAGCCTACCGCAAGGGAGCACCAGAATGCATGGAGGGAGGGCGAAATCTTTTCTGAAGGGGACGGGAGCAAACGCAAAGGAACAGCGAAGCTAAGATGAAAAAAGGAGGGACCAAGACTCTTATTGCCGCTTGACGCACTATCTACCTCATTCTCGCAAATATCCAACAAGAGAGTTGCAACGGTCAGGTCGATTAGCCAGAAGAAGAAAGCGAAACTGATAAGCACTGGAGTGATCCACTATCGGGCGGTTTGATGATGTCCCTCGGTGATTGATTTCTCCACCATTTTTTCTTTGCTCAACAGCAACCAAAAGCCCTGTAAAAGGCCAAACAAACGTACACATAGTTTTCTCTTCGACGTCTTGTTACTGATAGATGGAACGAATGGTTTTATTACCCTCTGTGCAACAATTCAACAGCAATGCCTAGTCAAACCTTAGCCCTTTTTCTAGGAGCTACATCTCCACTTATTTTATCTCTCCCATGTTTGTCCCATATTCACTAGGGTGCATCTGCAATGTAACTCCAATGGCTCTAAATACAGGTATGATCCAGTGCGACTGCAAGAAAATATAGGCAGAAAACAAGACGCGTCAATGGTAGGGGCCGGCTGCCTACACCTTGGGTCTCATTAGTATCTAACCTCTGAATATGGACAAATGAACGCTGATGACTATCCGAGGACATGTTTTTCTACGCTTTCTCCAAGGAGCTGTGACTACGCTGTCCCTGCAGCATCCTTGTTCCTTATTCCACTTCTCAGAAAAGGTGCCAAGAACAAATCTAAAGTGAATGAGCTACTGTCTTCGACCTTGGTGTCTAGTACAAGGCCCTCCTTTTTGCCATCCGGAAATCCAACCCGAATTTTTATTTAGTTTTATGACCCCTATGACCTTTCCCCGCGGGTTGGCATGTTGCTTTTTCGCTCCCCCTCTGGCATCTAAGGTGGCCTTTCAATGAGGGCTGTTTTCTTACAACGGTAATCATGCTTGCGCTATATCACACCGCGCTAACAGGCAGAGGTATTATGTGAAACTGACTCCTCAAAGGTATTCGATCCATCTTCTCTTAGAAACTCTCGAATTTTTTTAGATGGGCTTTATTTACATTGCAACCGTCAATACTTATCCATCACCTCCACAAGAGAGATATACCGACAATGAAAGAAAAGTGCCCACGACCACGGCACTACACCCCTGTGAATGGTAGAGTGAGTGTAATAGGCCATAATTTCGTTATCTCTTTTTTTTTTCTGCATGCATTTACTGAACTGTAGAGTCGAAAAACTGGCAGTAAGCAAGCAAACAACAGCCCACTCGACATTCACTAGAAGGCAATAATGCTTTGGTAATTTTTTTTGTATCAATAGGGTTTGTGCACAAGACTGGAGCTTATAGCCTGTCCGTTTTTCATTAAGTGGTGGGTAAATGGCTGATGGGCACTTTGGTGATGGGCATGTTTCCTTAGGGGCGAAGGCTGAGTGCAAGGTCAAATGAGAGATGTTAAGGGAAACGATTCCTTTCGAGCTCACTTCTTCAGTAAGTTGAGGTTCATCGTGTCTGTGTATGAGTGGAAGGGATATGCATTTCGGTAGACTTCATTCAAAATTATTGTATCCGACCTCCTCTCCCTACTCGCCCTGCATGCGCATGCTTAATAACCGTTAGTACAGTTGGTGCTTTTGGTATTGTGGTATGTGTAACAAAGGATATGAGCTTTGTGTGTCGATAGTGTGCAAATACAAAATGAGAAGGTCGGACCATAGAAAATGATTGGTGGAAATATAGTTTACAACCCTCCTAGCTTTTTACGCGTTTGTTTCGCGTTTGGTTTTCGGACACCTGTACCGGAGTTATGTTTCCGGTTAGTTTTTTTTGACAATGCCCTGCCTGTACATCCACTTTGACAAATCGTAATGGTTCGCAAGATGTTCATGCCTTCGCACGTACTCTCACTCACTCTGGTGTTTACCTTTTAATTAGTTGCTCAGCCTGCTTTTACCTTTCACGTTTTTTGGCATCGACCGCGATGCCGAGTCAACCTAATGCTTGTGAATGTGATTCGACGAGAACGGTCTTTTTTTTTTGCTGGATGAGATGGCTGTCAAACATTAGCAGCGTCTTCAAAGATTGTCCATTATACGTACCACTACAGTTGTCCACTTTCTTTTGTTTTTCGGTCTATCGCAGCACTCTTCTCCTCCTCTTACCAACACCTACCCTTCCTACATCTCACATCTCCCTAACCACCACATCTTCCACACCTTCCCCGCCATAACTATTCCTACCATCTCTCCATCCTACTAGCCACCGCCCTGACTATTGCCGTTCATGCCGCTCCTACCTCCAACCCCACCGCCTTTGCCACGACGGATGATGCTGATTGCTTGCTTCTGTTGTCGACTGCGATGAACAAGAGATGCTACAAAACCATCTATGGCAACAGCATCATTGCTCACCGAGCCGGTCTTTCAAAGGGCTGAGGTTGTTATCGGAGGCAAGGTGTATGCTGTTACTTCGTTTCCCATGACCAGTCAGGTTTCAGTGGCAAACGTCAAGATTGCCCTGAATGAGAGTCTGAGAACGGACAAGCCTATTCCTATGGAGTATTATGATATCTGTTCCAAGGGGCAGCAGCCTGGCGTCACCAACACCGGCGGTACCTATATTATTGGGTTATTGGAGATGAGCCCGCCTACCAATATCCCATTTAGATTATCAAACTCATTTCTACCTTCTTTTGTTGTAAGTATTGCCGTTCCCTTTTAGTATTTTTTATAATATACCTGCACGGTGCCTCTTACTGAAGAAGAAGATCGCCTTGATTAAGTAATACACTCTTCCTGAAATTAAAGGCTGGGGGGAGGGCTGTCCATGATCAGGCGGAAGTGAAGGTAGTGATGGGGGCGAGGGAGCGATCAATAATAAAGGGCGGTTCATTTTCGCGTCTGAGTGATGAACGCCACCAAATGCCCCATGATTGGCTGCTCCCAACCCTTCTTGACGAAGTGAGAACAGATCGTGATCCTTTTTTTTTGTCCCCGATCCCACTCTCGCCAACATCAATAAGCAGGGACTGATCACTCGCTCATCCGTGTCGGACTAGATCCTGGATCCCATCGTCATCCCCGCCGTCAGGCCACCAGGCAAAAGTGTCATCACCAGTAGGAGAAAGCACCGACTTGCAGTGGTGTTTCCATTTCGGGATTCAGGATGCATGATATGATGACGATAGGGGTCATGCCAATATATTTCGACTATATTCGAGGGCGACACTTTGGTGAAAGGAGCAAGCACCCAGGAGATAGGACATACGGATCAAGATACGACTAGGATGCCTTTCAAGAGACATTCAGGAGGACCCCTCATACCCAGGATATGACCTAGTGAATGTTCAGCATCCAATAAAACATATCGGTTTTGTGGATTCACTTTTGGTTCTGTCGCCACATTCACATCTTTGGCTCTAATATTGCTCACCAGCTTGACATCATTTTAATTTGGAAGTATTTAATTCTGGGTGAGAATGGGTATATTTATTTTCACGAATGACACAAGGAGCGACAACGAAAATACGATTAACGACCAGTAGGGACAAAAGGGAGATCAGCGGCTTCAACGTATGCCTCAGGACCACCCATGACAATGAAGCTCTTCTGGACCATGGCAACAATGGCCTCAGGACGAGTGGTGACGGACCCGAAGGGTACTGGGAACTTTGTCCGGAGACTCTCTTCAAAGGCCAAGGGGACGAGCTGGCGGTTGAATTTTGCCCCGACCGGCACAGTGACACTGGCGTATATCTTGCCGCCAATCACGGCGTTTATGGATGCGTAACCCTGGTGGATGTTGGGGTTGATCTCGAATGAGGTCTTATCGGACAGGTGGTTGCATGCATCCCGGACGGCTGCGACGAGGAAGAGCGGGTGAGCGTTTGCTGGCCATGAGACACCGGCGGTTGGGATTGTACCCCATGGGAACAGCTGGAACAGGTTGCGGAGGCATCTGCGGGTGGGGTCGTCTGGGGTGGTGGAGATGGTTGTTCGACTGTGGAGGATTGCGTGGATCGCCATGACGTCTTGGAGAGACTTCCATTCGGCCTCCTTGGCGTATCTCCATTGAGTGATGTACCTAATTGGAACTGGGTCCTTCCATCCGTGTTGCTGGCCAAAGTACCATGGATAGAGCAGAATTCGGTGAGGTTCATAGGCCTGCCACATGACGGTTGCCGATTGCCGGCGGATGCAGTTGAGGTCGGTATCGGATGGCTTGCAATCGCTCTGGTAGAATTTAAAGTCGGTCGTCCATTCACCCTTGGTGCAGGAAAGGGTGTCAAAGAAAAGCAGACTGCGGACGGGGTTTGTGGCGTATGCGACGCAAGTCTTGTTGAAGCCCTGGTATGGGTCGGGGTCGACAAAGGCTGTGAAAACAAAGAGGGTCTTCCAGCCATCTTGGTCGCACTTTACTTTGTTCGAGAATACTTGGTTGCGGACCGGGTTCTGAGCGAGGCCGACACAGAAGGGGATGACACGGCTCGAGGATGCTGCTGCTGCTAAGGAAGATTTGGATTGTGGAGGGGAAATGGTGCCGTTGAAAGCGGCGTCGTACTTGGCGATCAGGGCGTCGGCTGCCTCCTCGTCATAGTCGACAATGAGTTTCAGGAGAGCGGAATCCTCAGTGGCAGTTCCGTTCTTAGGAGTTGACGTAGGAGCAGGGGCAGGAGCAGCATGAGTAGCAAGAGACAGGGCGGTTGCTAGTAAGAGAGCGGTAAGAGTGAATTTCTTCATCGTGGAAAAGGAGTCCAGACGGAGAAAAGGAAAGGGGAGGAGGTATTTTAGGAAAGGAAACAGGAGGAAAGGAGGTGGCAGGTCTGAAGTAAATATTACCCGGTATTTATTGGAAGCTTGGGTGGGTGAGGGGTGAAAGGTATCTTTATTCGCCATTAAAACCCAAAATTGTTGGTTTTTGTTTGTCATGAGGAAAGGGTTTCCCAACACCCTCCATGGGAGAGAGTCACTCTCCTTTTTTTATCAAATCAGAAGAAATACAATCAAGTGAGTGCAGTCGTTCTGGTATCTCCATTGGCTTCAAATGGTTTGTTTGTTTATTTGTTTGGCCTGGGTCTCCTTCAGTAGAATTAGATGCAAACAGCTGGTTAGGAAGAGTAAATAGACCTAGACCTAGATATTACAAATGAGAAGAAAAGGCTCTTTAACAAATAGACAAACAAAAGAAGTGCTCACACAAAGTAGGTAGAGTAAAAAAGACAAAGGGGGCCGAAAGGGACCATCAAGAACGGACGGCTAAAAAAAATGAGAGCATTGCACCATCCAAACCTTTTCGGCGTTGAATGGAAACTGAGGAGGATGAAGGGGAAATACAACAGAGGAGTTGAATGGGTCAAGAGGCAGGAGAGATGGAGGAAGGGTGGGAAGGAAATCACGCCACGCACTTTATATCTTCCGGTCTTCTCTCCTCATGTTCACATTCACACGCACAGAGCGCTATGTTTCCATAGCCAATCGCTTCCTCCCAACGGTCAAAGCAAATAATGTTGTTTGCCAACACCGTGAGGTAGACTCGACAACAGCCAAAACAATCGCCTTTTCATATGCATAGTCCACGCGATATCCTGTGAATTGTCGCACAAAGGAATTCATTGCTGCAAAAAGGGGCTGAGGAGGAATCGAAGAATTGATGTGAATGCGCATGCATCAAGCATCACAATACGGCAAAATCGGGTGTCTTCAGAATGTCGGAGGATCGAACTGACGGATTCCTGAATCTAGGTTATCCACTCACAACTACCCTATTAGTCCATTCACCGGAAAATAGCATGATACCTTTGTTTGTCTTATGAAAAGTCTAGATACAACGCGGAATGTGCCGAAGAATGGGCGCAAGAACAAAAGAGCCAAAAACATTCGCCGTTGAACCTTATTGTAATCAAAGTTGTTGCAATTGAGGGGATTCCAACTTCATCGTACCTCCACGGCCAGCCGACATGTCAACGTCCTCAATGCTGAAAAGGATGAGTGATTGTTTGTTTGTACAGTATCGGCATGGTTTTGCCCGAAATACTGGAGCAAAACTCGCTCCACTTGAAAAAATTGCAAGAGAAATCGAGCAAACTCGTATGGATCTCACTCTCAGCTTTTCACGCCAGTCAGGAGGATGGTGGTATTTGTACATTGCATAACAGGGATAGTACAGTGGTTGACTTCTCGCAAGTTGTCACTTTCAGAGAAATATAGTTTTTACCTTGCTACGCCATGGTTGCCTGTGTTCTCATTTTTTCTGGACACTTTCGTACGTCCGTGATGGGGAAACAAACATAAAGTTCAACATTAGGTACGCCGTGTCCGTTCATGTCCCCCCTCCCCTCAAGCAATTGATCATCTGCCAGGTACAGCCTACAGTGGGACATGCGCCACAGCTCAGATCTTACGTAGGAAATAGTTCAAAAATCAACGCACACTCATGTACACGCTCCCCCTCCTTCCACATTGTGCATAATAACAAAATATCGAACACGTCACTGATACACCCAATGAAGGGCACCGCTGCGACTTTCAACAACTACTATTATCCTTTTATCTTCACCCCCTCCCAGGGAATCTTCTTATACACACTGATGTTTTTTTGTTATTTTTGCTCACGCCGAGTTTGTAGAAAAAGAGGTGGTGTATGAGGAAGAATGGATGCGGAAGGAATAGTGCCGGTGTCGTTAATACAAAAAGGAGAAATAACTCTTCTGTCCTTCAGTCCTGTCGCGCCGCGCCCTGGCAGACGAATGACGTTGGAGGGCTGAGGTGTCTTGTTGGGTTTGGAAATTGAAAGCACCTCCGTTGTCCTCGCGATTCGACGTGGAAAATTGAGAGAAAAAACAAATAACAAACAGTACAGGATGAGTAACAACAGCCGAGATTTATATATCTATGGGAGGTAAGGTGCTATGTACAAGGAGGGGATGTGTCTTGACTGTCGCTACCATTGATCTACTAAACCACGCTGAAAACTGCGGTACCACCAAAAACTACAATAGAGTCGTCGATCATACTGATCAGCACATCACCAGCTTCGTGATCATCGTGTGGAACCACCGGTACAGGACGCCCCGATCGAAGACTCTCTTGCAGAGCCAGACGGACTCCCGAAACTGAGAGGTTGGTTTCGTACGGGAGAGTGGCGCTTGCGCGAGCATAGCCGCCGACCATGACATCGACTGCTGTGGCGCCACCATACTTATTGTAGTGGATTCTCAAGAACGCCGCGTCTGCGAACGGGGTGAAACCGTTCCGCCTTGCGTCGATGCTGAATTGAGGGTCGATATCGCCGCGGATGGTTCTTGGAGTGGAGTTAGAGACTCGGTTATAGCTCCATAACCGGATGAGAGCTTGGGCACAGCGAAGCGTGGCAAGGTCGTAGGGTGGGTGGATATCGGTACGTTTGTGGAGGGTGCTGTGGGTTGGCAGGTGGGGCTTGAGTAGCTTGACTTCGGAGACGGTAGCAGGTCTCCACCGAGACTTATGAGTCAGGCTGTAGGCCTCTTGCCAACCATGCTGGTGACCGTCATAGTGGGGGTAGAGCATCATACGGTGAGGCTCAAACGCCTCCCACATCACCGTCAACTCATAGTTACACCCGTCGTCTCTAGCCCCGCCCTGGGCACAACCAGACTCGTAAAACGAAAATTTGTTGCTCCATCCATTGGCAGTACACGCGGTTCGGTCAGCGAACAGCATACTTCGGTCGGGGCTATCGTTGTGGCCGACACAGATAGGGCGTCGGGCGTAGTGTTCGTCTTTCTTCTTGTGGGCAGTGAAGACGTAGAGTGTTGTCCAGCGATTGTCGTCGCAGCTAGTCCGGTCGTTGAAGATTTGGACTCGTACGGGGTTGGAGGACATACCGACACAGAAGCGACCGACGTCTTCTAATGAAAATATAGTTGCCTCAAGACCGCGGGCGTGGATGGTAAAGTTACTGTCACCCAACAGCTCCTCGTAGTAGTTGAACACAGACGCAGAGAAAGCCTTGTCGTGTTGGGCGACGCGCAACTGGAGGTCTGAATCATCTGTGGTGGTTGAGTGTTGTTGTTGTCGTGAGTTATGGTGAAACTGTGGCGGGTTGTTGGAGAGGGCGGCTGTGGTAAATATTGTGGACAGAAGTACGATTGCGAGGATTATGGGGACAAACGTAAAGGGCTTCATCAAGGTGTCAATGAGAGAACGCAGAAATAAGAAAGCGAAGGAGGGTGTATATGTGTGTGTTTGGATGCGTGTTTGTGTTGTGATTCAGAATAAGCGATGAAGGCGAAGTAGGTGATAAGTTGCGGTAGAGTAAAAGTAAAGAGAGGGGATGAATAAGGTATCTATCGTGAGTAGTCGAATGAAGGAAAGAATAGTAACTTGAAGGCATGGAAGTTTAGGAAACAAAGAAAAAGGGGCAGAAGGGGTTGTTGACAAATAAAAGACATCGAGCTGAGGTGTTTTCTTGGTTGGCAAAATGAAAAATGAGGATCCAAACGTACATCGAAAGGAAACAGCCAGCAGTCCTCAGGTCTATTACGATGATAATGATGGTGCATGAACCCTGGTTTTTTTCTACTTTTCTTTCGTTTCTTCTTGCGTTCGAAAGGCTGTAGTCTGTGAAAAATATTGACGAAGCAATCTGTCACCCAATAACGCCTATGGAATCCGGTCAAAGAAAGAAAACTCTGGCGAAGAAAAAAAGGTGTTGTTATTTCCTCCCACTCCTTCCACCTATCGTTGGACCAAACCGTTGGCCAGAAACCCTTGGATAAAACGGGTGATACTTCGGGGAAGGCTGAACAACCATGGTAAATGCCAAGAAGTGTTATGATATCAAAAGAGATTGCCCTGTCGAGAGCGGAAGAAAAAACAAGAGCGACTTGGACTTGTGTTCGTGAACAGTACCGACTCTGCATATCCTCTGGAAAGCCAAGCGACCACGTTGTCGGCCATCTCAATCAAAATAAAATTAGGGCTGTTGGCTCGCATTGGTTTCTTAGAAACTCAATATTCTTGACATGTGGCGTAACCTCTTCACTCACCGCGCCTTTATTTTACGTGACATTGTAAATGAGGGAAAGTATGGAGTGTTTGGTCGCGGCTGTTGTGGAATTTTCACGCATTGTTTGGAGTGGAAATAAGAAGATGCGCCAAATACGGAAGAGAGGGAAAGGGACATAAAGACGTACGAGAACAATAGAAATGTAAAACGGGTGCACAACCCAATTTGTTTGGGAGGTAATGAGACGGAGCCGTGGGGTAATATTATGGCTGAAGGCTATGGTCGCTAGCTTATCCATGTAGTTTTGTAGCCTTAGCGCGTGAGTCGTATAAGATCTCAAAATCAGATGTCGCTTGTTTTGGAAAATTCTACTTGTCTCAAGTGCCACCAAGTTACCTCCCTCACCTTTGGTGCTAGTTAATGTACTCCAACAGCCCTCCCCTTTATTACACAGTGAGGAACGATAATTTACCTTTTTGTGCGCCACTAAAATTGACAACAACGCGTGTGACACCAAACACCAACGATCTATGGATCAGTTCTGATTCGACTCGGCGTGCCTGTCTTGCGTTCATTCGGCGCGTTGATAACGGATCAAGTGGAGCTTGTGCCTGTTCCTGTTGCGTCTTGGTGCCTTCCCCATTCACATACAAACGCAGCGCATACATACCTTGGCCAGTATATGGTATGTCTTGCTCTCCTTCTTCCTCTCTCCTCCTTCCTCCCTCCTACCATTTCTCATTTAAACTATTGTTGGTTCTGTCGCATCCATAACAAAAGGCGGGCTCACATTTTTGCAACAGCCCTCATTTTCATCATACTCTTTCCCTCGCCTCTTCTCTCTAACTCTCTCACACACAGCACTCATCCGACGCCATCATGTTCACCCATCCCTCTTTTATTCTCTCATTCATCCCCATACACCCTCTTCCTTTGCACCCCTCACTCATTCTAACACAGACACTACAAACGAGCAAAAAGGAAAATTAGCCTCTCCTTTCACTTCAATTCACTCCTTGACGAACTTCAAAAGACGGCTAGGACATTTATGGAATCAGATGACCGGTCATTCTTTTGGTCACATCCAGTAAGGAGATGCGCAAGTGAAGGCTGATCACCCGCCCTTACTTTCCTCTCTCACCTCCTCATTGGCCATTCTCATCGTCAAGATGATCTTTTCGCTTTGACAACTCAACGGGCATCAGCTCCTTTCGGGCTGTTAAATAATTGGGCTGTCGCATCTGTTGTCAGACGACATGGACAGCAGAGGCAGCACTTACAAATTCTTAACACACACACCTTCCGTCTTGATTTAAGGAACCTTCGCACCAATTGACCACACCTCACCCATTCGGACACCTACCGACCCCATAATGATAACTTACCTAATGTCCCAGAGCTCGAGCCTCTAGGAGAGAAAGGAGTTACATAGCATGGGATGGTCATCAATGCAGGCTCACATACCGCATACATACATACATACATACATACATACATACATACATACATACAATCTCATAGCAAGCAAGTTGGGCAATTGAGAAAAACAAGGAACATATTGACTACAGGCGAGCATGTGAACTTTAGGAATCTCTCTTCTCTCTTCTCCCTTTCATTATTATTGTTTTATTTCCTTAACGAGAGCCTCACGCATCGTCAACAAATCAAGGTTCTTCCAACTCAGCCCCACAACATCCTCAACCAACACTTCCCACAGGTTCAACTCAATCGACCCCATCCCGAACAAAGCATCAGATCACAATGCCAGTCCTCCCTCACAGCCATCAAACTTTAAGGTACTCAATTCTACACATCACCAACAATAACCAACCCGACGTCGCAGGATCTGGAAAACAATTCACATCACTTCCGCGTTTTCTATCTTTATTGAACACGAAAAACAACAACAAAAGCGTAGTTGACGTGTGTGATCAAGCGCGTCAACAAAAATCAACTGGAAAAATGAAGAGTCACGCTTCTTTCGACTATTTTTCTTTGTTAACTCTACCATGCATTTTCGTCCAGTGGAGAAAAGAAACTGAGAGTGGTCACCAACGAGGTAAGCCAAGTGCAAAAAACTTGAGAAGCAATCTTCATGCCCAGCAGGTATTGCTGCTTGCGGCCGAAAGGCACAAATGCCGTCTCCTCCCTTCCTCTCTTTCTCCCCTCCACCTTACGGACAAAACATACACCTGGTTAAGCGGGCCCATTTCTTCTGAACCTCGCCTTCTGTCCCTCCCCTGCTCTTGCTTTTGCTTTTGCTTTTGCTTTTGCTTTTGAAGCATGAAAACCCTCCCTCCTAGTGAAAAAAATGCCCGGGACAGCAAATGCTGTCTGCGGCCCCTTCCTCTACCCTTTGGATTCCACTGCGCATGTTAGAAAATATTATTTGACTAAAGTTGAGGCAGAGTAAAGAAGAAACAACAGAAAAGGGAACAAACGCATGTTGCATTGAAAATGCCGCCTGACGCGTCCGTAACGCGATTCTTTTGACATTGTTTTGGTTCCTTTGATCTCCCTCACAGGGTTGGCCAATTATCCACCCACCCATCCTTGAACAAAAACAAACAATATCATGTCTCTTTACCTGCTCTGGTTTAAAATCAGACGCGATCGTGAATGCGACGCGTACGGTCATAATTTCCTTCCGTTAACGTTCGAGTACAAAAAGGCAATCAGAGATCAAACCCCGTTGCAAGAAAGGACAACGTTTTTTATCCTCTGAATGTCATAAATGCAGGCGAAAGGGCATAAGAGGAGGAGAGGAGGGGGAAGATATAAAAGTGGCTGAGCTCACTTTTTTTTTTTTTTTTTTTTTTTTTTTTGGCCAAACTGTTAGACCTCTTCCAGACCTCATCGACCAAGCACGTTGTCAGCAGCCCCAGTCCCAAAAAAAAATAATTCATGCCTGCATGAATTACAACCACGGACCCGTTCTCCAACAGAGACAAGAAATCCGATACATTGGCACATTCTTTACCTCGACTATTCCTTCCTTATCCATGCATTCAAAACCAATGCTTTGCATTGAGTACAAAAAAAAAAGCAGACAGCAAGCGGTGTTTCTTTTTTTTTTTTTTTTTTTTTTTTTTTTATTGTCATGTCTTTGGAGAGAGACAGAAAAGCTGGATTCCAAAAAACAAAGATCGAAACAAGCAACTCTACATTTAAGCGGAGATACCGTTCTTGGCCTGGAAAGCCTTGACCTTCTGCTGGATCTTGTTCTTTCTCTGCTTGTAGGTGAGACGGTCCTTGTGGTTGTTCTTGACCTTCTCGCCAGCAGCGGGCTTCTTCTTGTCGGTGGGGACGTGGGTGGGGTCCTCACGGATGGCGTTGTGGGCATCCTGGTACATCTCCTCGAGATCGTCGGCATCGACACCGGCGGCGATGAACTTAGAGAACTGCTTCTTGTACTTGTCATCATCATCCTCCTCGAGGTAACGCATGTAGTCAGCAACGTGACCACCATAGATGTACGAGCGGAGGACCTCAGCATCGAGCTCCTTGGCCTCAGCATCGTAACCGGGGAAACGGTTCTCACCGTGGGGGATGAAGACACCACCATCGGAGGCTCCCTTCAAGGCAGCGAAGACACGGGAACCGGTGGAGGTACGCTTAAGACCGACATCCAAGAAGCACTTGAAGGGACGGGGAGCATCCTCAACGGCCTCGGTCATCGAGATGGTACCATCGGGCTCGGAGACACCCTCGTACTTGTCGGCAAGACCGAGCTTGGTCAAGACACGGCGAGCGACGAGGAGACCAGTGCAGTAGGCGGCAGCCCAGTTGGTCAAACCTCCCTTGACACCGTACTTGGGGAGCTCGTGAGCGTAAGCAGAGGCAAGAACAAAGTCACCCTGGAGCTTGGCGTAAACGATCTGGCAGACGATGTCAGCGTTGGTGAAGCGGACAACAAGACGGTACTTGGGGGAGTTGTACTTGTTCTTGGCCTGAACGACAAGACGCTTGCGGGCGTAGTAGTCGGTCTTACCCTCTATTTTTCACGGAATCAATTGATAACAGGAGCTGTACGGTTAATGAACTGTCCAAGACTCGCATTTCTACGGAAGTGTTTTTACAGCGCTTTCTTGTTGCTTCCCAAGTCGGACGACAAAATGGCAAATGGAGTTGAGTCGAAGATGTATGTTCAGATAGGAGCGAAAGATGTGCTGTGTTATTCCCCAAGTAGACCAGGCGCCAACCCGGTTCAATGTCGGTTGAACTATGTAATCATCAGATAATACACTTCTTCTCTCACACAGTAAGGGTAAAAAAAGAACAGTCTGTCTCCAGGCTGACTCTGTTTCCTCTCCTTCCTGTGCAAAAGAGATCCCACTGTCTGCCTTGTGTTCGTCGAGTGTCGAGTCAAGAAAAGGTGTCCTGCAGAAAGGAAAAAGTCTCTCCAAGTGGTTCTTACCTCTGCGTCTGCGGTACTTGACCTGGAAACGCTTGTAGTAAGCCTTGTTCTTGACGAGCTTGATGAAAGGCTAAGAGTTCATAGGAGTCCAGAAAGAGACGTCGATTAGTCTCTGATGTTTCTTTTGACTTGATCTGATGTAATCTCTTCGCAGACTTGATCCTGTAGCTGAATCCAGTCCCTCTTGTGCAATCGAGTCGCGACTTCTTCACTCAACCTGACAAGCTGCCTTCTGCCCTCTGATTCCATGGCCGAGTGCAAAAAGACTCTTTCGCCGTGATCCTGAGGTTGTCTGAGCCACACTGCCATGAGGCAATCTCGATGCAGGTCGAGTCGTCGGTGAAGTGCCTCGAGCGATTCGAATTGATGAATCGATGGAGAGGCGTATGTTTGAGTAGATCAATGGCGATGGATAGATAGGTGAAGAATGGGGATGTTGAGATGGATGGATGGATGGTTGGATGTGGTCGCTGGATGTTTGTTGAATGTCTGTCCTCCGTTTCCCCGTCTGATCGCTGTGTGAAGATTATCCCTGTGAGCTGAGTCTCAAAAATGAAATGTTTTTATACCATGTCTGCTAAATTAGAAAAGAGAAGGAGCAACTGCAATCAGACACCACCCTACGATAAATACAAATCTAATAAGTGCTATCAACAGTCACATTCCCTCTCCTTTTTTTGTGGGAAGGAAATTGGTGGCGTCAACAAGGTGAAGTCGGGAGCCAGAGCAGAGAAGTGAGATTAAGCCCCCGAGTGAGTGAGTGGAGAGATGTGAGGCCCCCGTCCTCTTTTTACAAATCTTCACAACTCCTCTTCTCACACTCAATCCTCTAGATGAACTCGCTATGCAAGATGCATAAACACAGGGGAATATCTTTGTTACTTTTCCTTATTAACGTGGCACAAAAGGCGTGTGATCATTTCCACACGCTTACCCAAACCATGCTACCCCATCTAGCATGAATGGTCGGAGGGCGCATTGCAAAACCTACCATGGACCATTATTGGCATAGCCCACTTTTATCCCCTCGCCATTTCGTCTTTTTTTTTCCTTTCTTCCTTTTCCTTCATTTCCTCGCACCTTTCACTTTTTCCCTTCCAGCCCGAACACCTCTCTCTCGACATCCTTCCTCCACTCACCATGACAACAGACTCCACTGAAGCGCCTCCACTTGATGTCAAAAGTCAAGGTAAGTCTCATCGTGCTTCTCCAGTTCTTATAGCTTTGCCCCTTATCGACTTTGCTTGTTGGCCGTTGTCTGTAATTCTTATCGTATCTAGTCTTCTCTCACCTATCTCTTACCTTGAAAAAGGTGCGACTCAAATCAAAGACCCTATGACGCCTATCAAGCCACAGACACCCAAGACACCCAAAACTCCCAAGACTCCCAAGTCTCCCAAGGCTGCCTCTTCCCCTAAGACAGCTTCTACCCCTAAGGTAGCCTCTACCCCTAAGGAGTCCAAAGCGCCTAACACTCCACAGGCCTCGCAGGCACCCAAAACACCCAATGAACCCAAAGAGTCCAAGGAGTCCAAGAAGCCCAAGGAGCCTAACACACCAAAGTCTTCCAATAAACCCAAGAAAGCAAAGACACCCAAGAAACCCAAGACGCCCAAGGTCGAGAACGAGAACGAAATGGACGCAGCCGAGCATCACGCTGCTCTTGCCGAAGCATCAAAAGGAAGCCAATACAAGTACGACCCTAATTTGACCGCCGAAAGATGTCGCAAGTACGATGTCAGGAATATGTCCGGTCGCTTTGTCTGCTCCCCTTGCAAATCCAAGAAACAACACACCTGGGGGTCGGGAGTCATCTGTACCCAGTTGTTTCTTTCCAAGTCCAACACTTATCGAGCCGTCTTTTTTGGCCAACAGTGCAAGAAGTGTGACAAGTATGGCAAACTGGAATTGGATGTGGGAAAATATGTTGAAAGGGTGCTGGATACGTTTGAGTTGTGGAGAGGTTTGAGGGAGGCACGGATGGCGGATCCGCATGTTACGACGGGACCGCATGATAGCAAGCGATGCTATGGATGTCAGCTTGGCATTTGTAACAAGAGAGATGATGATGATGAGGACGACTACAACTACGACAGCGACAACGACAAGAATTTAAGATCTTTTGTCCGCGGAAGATACTGAGCAAAGCTTTCTGTTCTCTCTCTCTCTACTTTTCTTCCTTTTCTTTTTTCTCTCTTTCCTTCTTGCGGTGTTGATGCAAATACAAATAAAAAGGCGTCTTCGATATGAATCCATGGCTTCTGAGTGTGACATGGGTGGCAAAGCGCGTGACCAGTGAAGAAAGGAAGAAAAGGCGTTTTTTTTTTTTTTTTTTTTTTTTTTTCACTCTGCATATCTTCAGTTGCCTGCACTTCCTACTCTCTTCTTTTTTTCTTTCTTCTTTCTTTTTTCGTCTTCTTTCCTCTTTCTTCTTTTTCACCTCCCCTCTCTTCAAGATCCTCATTTCCACACTTCCTTTTCTCTCACACACACACATACATACACAATTCCTCACTTCCTTTTCTCATACACATACACACAACAACTACACCTACAAATCTACTTTTCCAGTAGAAACAACAGGTACGGTCATGCTCACACCTTGCACCTGTCTAAAGCCGCCGACAACATGCTTATATCTGATGCCCGTCATATACCGGAAGTAGATGACTCGCAAGAAGAAACCCAAACGTGAGATTGATGCAGCCAAGCACCACGCCGCTCTCGCCCAAGCAGATGGAGGATCCCAGTACGAGTACGACCCCACCCTGGCCATCGAAGACTGCCGCAAAACCGGAGTCAGGCACATGTCCGGCGTGTTTATCTGCCATGCCTGCCAGTACAAGCCCAACAACAACGGCAGACCACATTCCTGGGGCTCAGGAAAGGTCTGTACTGAGTTGTATCTTTCCAAGGACAACAAGACCTACCGAGCTGTGTTTAATGCCCAGCAGTGCAACCAGTGCAACCGGTATGCGCGATTCAAAGTGAATGAGAAAAAATATGTCGACAAGGTGTTGGATACGTTTGAGCTGTGGACTGGTCGAAGAGCGGCGTATAGATCAGAGCTTCATAAGAGTACGGGACCACATGACAGTAGCCGATGTTATGGGTGTGTGAAGGGTATCTGTCTTGAGTAGTTCCCTGGTCTTGAGAACAATGCCGATGGGAATGAGGACAGGGCTCAGGGGAAGGCCAAGAAGAATCGGCGCCGCAGAAGACGAAGCTTATTGCTTCCATTCTCTCCCTCTCACCCGTGTCTCACCACTCCTATTATTGATCCTGATTGGACTAGAAAACAATAAAAACAGGCGTTCTGTTGGCACGTAAAATTTTGACCCATGGCGATGATGTGAGTGATATGAAACAATCAACGTGTGAACATCACTCACATCCACCTCCCATCCATTAGCCTTTTTCGCGTTGTTTTTACTCTTTTTCTTCTCTCTTCATCATCCTTCTCTTCTCCTCTCCCCTCCCTTCCCCATCCCATCTACCTCTTCGCGCAACCACCCTTTTCTCTCCTACACACACAAACAACAACAACAACAACGCCCACTAAACACCCTTCCTCTTCTTATCAGTCGAAACAACAAGGTTCGAAAATGCTAACACCCCTTACATCTTCGTCTAGATCAGGAATTGTTTCTTGGGGTCTCCGACACTCATACTAACCCTGACTACTAACACCTTCGAAGATAGTACCAAAAACAAAATGCAGGCGATGACTCGTAGAAAAGCTGTCGACGACTATGACCTGATGGATTTCAGCGAAAGCTTCGACGAATACGACAAACTTTACGACGAGATAGATCGCAGCGAAACTAACAACCGCCACGAACCATGTTACCGAGAGTCGACTCGCAGGAGCTTTGACGACGACGAACCACCTTACGATGGGATGGACCACAGCGTGACCATCGACAACGACTTCGAGCCACGCTACCGAGAGATGGATCGCCGTGAGACCGATGATGACGATGAGTTACGCTATCAAGAAATGACTCGCAGCAGGACGACAGATCACTCTGAGCCATACTACCAAATGGCAAAACGCAAGATGACGACGGACCACTACGAGCCTAAATACGTCTACTACGAGAAGGGCCACGACTTTGACGGCGCGGAATTCCACCCGGCCGTGGCTCAGGTTGCGGGTTACCGCTACAAGTACGACAAGTTCCTCGCCGCAGACGAATCTGTCCGTATCGGAGCCCGCTCGATCGTCGGTCATTTCACCTGCAACAACTGCCAGCCCACTGTCCATGACGGGTACCGCATCTGGTACTCTGCTGTCATTTGTACCGAGTTGTACTTGTCACCTCACAACTACTACAGGGCCATCATGCATGCTCAGCAGTGCAAGAAGTGTGACCAGTATGCGAAACCGGAGGTCGATATTGAAAACTATATCTGTAAGGTGATTAGTACGCTGGACCTGTGGACTGGGCGTCGAGATGCTTACTGGTCGGAGGAGTACCGAGTCACCCGAGGACCCCATGACGAGGATCGGTGCCACGGGTGCCAGGTTGGAGTCTGCGTTCGCGACTCTTGAGCTTGTTCTTTCTTGGTGGGCGGATGGATTAAAGTGGATTGGATGACGCACGAGCAATATATGAATGATTTCGCAGATCATTTTTTTCTTCCTTTATGTCTTTCTAGCTTTCACTCTCTCGGCCAGCACCAGTCCTGAGGAGTAGCGCCAATAGAAAAACCACGACGATATGACAATAAATCAAACGTGAGTTGTAAGCCATGCCACCATTGGAGGGTCCATACCATGTCCGCATTTGCGCACGTGAGAAAAAAGTGACACTGTTCTCTTATCTTACGCCACAAGGTGCCTGAACTTTTAGCATATCCATCTCATCCCGTTTCCCTTTTGCACCTTTCTTCCTTACCCCCTATTCACTTCAACAACCCACTTTTTACAACGAAGAATAACCCCTCACTCGCTCTCTCATCCACAGTCTTAGCCTCACCTCTCGCTCTCAACAATGCCGTCTTCCTTTTTCTGGCTCTTCGCCCTCGTCGGCACTCCTATTCTTGCCTACTCGCCCAAGAACGAGTACACTTTCACATATGTCTTTGTCCTCTTGACAGTTGAATTCCTTCGTGCCTGTTGCAGTGGCCACAGCGACGAGTATCCACCCTACCAAGCAACGCCCTACCAAGCGTCGTCCTACAAAGCAACGCCCTACCAAGCGTCGTCTTACAAAGCAACACCCTACCAAGCGTCACCCTACCAAGCGTCACCCTACCAAGCGTCACCCTACCAAGCGTCACCCTACCAAGCGTCACCCTACCAAAAGTCACCCTACCAAGAGCCACTCTACCGAGTACCCTCTCCCATCAAGCCAAAGGCTACCTCTCCCACACCTGTGTCTGTATTTGGATACAACCCCGTCCACACCCCTTCACCACCCGAATACGACGACGACTGGTATACCAGTTGCGACGATTTCCGCGCCAGATACGAGGAGCACTATTCCAGATACGATGATCCCACGCCAACATACAACATCCCAAAGCCTTCCCCTCTCCCTTCCTCGGTCTACGGACATTCACCCGACCTCCCAACGTATTGCGGACAGGAACTACATGAACACGTCGAACAACACGCAATGGGTCGGTACCTATACTACGGGAGGCTCTCGGACGCCCCCTCCTCTTCGTTCATCATTCGCGACGAGGCTCGGTGTGTTCTCGGCATGTTCACTTGCAAATCCCCATACTGTCCCTTTCCAGCCAGGGCACACCGAGGGCAACGTATCTGGAGTTCGGGCTCAATCTGTGTCCGGGTGCTGGTCAACTCTGACGACGAATACCAAACGATCATCCATGCCCAGCAGTGTAATACGTGCGGCCAGTTTGTTAAGCCCGATATTGACGAAGATGTGTATGCCAAGAGGATTGTGGGCGCGCTGGATTTCTGGACGGGACGGAGCCGCCGAGAGGCACGCAATACTGATTTTGTCAAGACGAGCCCTCATGACTCTAAGCGGTGCCATGGTTGTCAGAAGGGGATTTGTCCTCGACGAGAGAAGACTCCCACTCCTACAACAGGCCTCTGGGAATATTAATAACAATAAACGAAATGACGATTGAAGTGAGCGATTGTGTGAGAGCAAAAGCCTTTTTTTTTTTTTTTTTTGCTGTGTTTCATCGGTCGTGACGTGTGACATTTCCAATGCCAACGCAACACATGGTGCTCCCTTTCTCTCCCCTCGCCCCTCGCTCGCACATTTTTTTTTCTCTCTCCTCTCCACTTGCAACCCCTCCCTCGTGAAAAACGAACAACCTAAAGTCCCGTTCGAGTTTCCACATCTCCCTTTTTTGACGCTAGGTCCGTGCACAAACACACGTCAATGTGAACGAGGAGACACTCTGCGCCCTACTCCGCTCGTTCTCATTTGGTCTTGTCTGCTCCCCATCCTTTCAACAGTGACCTGCTACCGAAACAAACGATACTGCCCTTCCACATCCACGCGACCCAAACTGGGCTCCAGGAATGGAATACGACGGATCCCTACCTCCGCCGGGCGGCCGTCCAAGAATCCGGTAGCTGCTACCATTTACAACCAATCCCTAGCCCAAGTAACATCACACCGCTACGCGACCTGCGATATCGTCGGCCATTTCATCACCTGTTACAACTGTACCCTCACCCATACCTGCCATTCTGGAATCATTTACACACAGCTCTTCATGGCGTCCAACGGTCGGTACGGCACGATTATAGATGCACAGCAGTGCTGGATTTCAAGAAGACGGGCCCTCACGACGAGGAAGGATGCCATGGCCGTCAGATTGGGATCTGTTCTCGATGGGGAGAGGAGGAGAGAGGGGGGGGGGGGGACTGCGGCGGGTGATGGAGTGGACAGAGTCTGTGTTGCTGCACGAGGAAAGGTGATCACCTCCGTACCCAACAAAAAACAACATCAGCCCTATGGAGCTATGCTTGTTAAGCGAGGCGCAGGGTGTTTTCATTCCATCTCCCTCTTTATCCTCTCACTCCCTCTTTCTTTGTCCTCTCACTCCATTTTTTCTTTGTCCACTCACTCCTTCCATCTCCTTCAAGAACAAACAACCAAAAAAAACAGCAACCATGCCCTTGTTCGGGGTTTCCTTCTTTTCTCGATCGACATCAAGGTAGGTACATATACAGTGGCATACACAACAGTGACACTCCCTACTCTGCTACGTCTCCTGACTTTTGGCTTTATTCTACTTCTCTCCCCTCTATCCTCCCATATCAGAAAACTGTTCAAGCCATTGTTATTACTCCAACAAACCACAACCACAACCAGCTATGCGAACAAGGGATTCCAACCCGCCGCTGCCACTTTGACGTCTATCCCGCCGTCTCCAGAGCGCAAACTGACTCCAGGCAAGGAATTCGATGGATCCTACCTCCACGCCGATGTCGCCCGCAAATCCAACTCCCGCTACAACTACGACGAGAACCTGACAAAGTTGACTTGTGGACGAGCCGGGTCCCGAAGCATCCTTGGTCATTTCGTTTGCAAGACCTGCAACCCTCCTCACAAGTGGTATTCTGGCACTATTTGCACACAGCTCTTCGTTGATTCCAATGACCAGTACCGGACTATCTTGCATGCCCAGCAGTGTCGACGCTGTGAGACTTATGTTAAGCCCAAAATGGACAAGGAGAATTATGTCAAGAAGGTTGTGAGCACGTTGGATCTGTGGACGGGTCGTCGGGAGCGACTGGAGCCGAGGGATGACTTCAAGGAGACCGATAGTCACGACGAGGATAGGTGCCATGGTTGTCAAATTGGTGAATGCCACCGACACAATGAGGGCTGACTACTGGAAGGTAGAAATGAAGAGAGGGTCTGTGTGGCCGCAAAGAACTCGCTCATCATGTCGATGAATCCAAAAACAAAATAAAATCATGAACAATCAATTACGTGATTGCCCTATTCATTATCCGCCAAGAAAAAGGGATGGGCAGCTCATTCACCACACATGGCAAAGCACCTCTTACTTTCCTTCTTCCTCTTCTATCCTGTTCACAGTTAACCCCTGCCCAACCATCCTTCACTCCACAACACAAATCCACACACAAATCCACAACCCACTCTCCAAACAAAAGGACCTCAGCCCCCCTGCTTCTTCCACCTCCATGTTTTCTTCAACCCTGCCACCACCCAAACTGGTCCGAGGCAAGGAATTCGATGGCGCCGACCTCCACGCCGCAGTCATTCGTGGATCTGGTCACCATTACAAGTACAACCAGCAGCTCTCAAACGCTACATCTGACCGCCCGGACCAGTCCCGATTCATCGTTGGCAGTTTCACGTGCACCAGATGCTCCTGCACCCGAAACCACACTTGGTACTCTGGCGTCATTTGTACCCAGATCTTTTTTACCTTGGATGATCGTTACCGAACCATCTTGCACGCCCAGCAGTGTCGACGTTGTCAGGCCTATGTCAAGCCCGAGGTTGATGAGGACAACTATGTCAAGAAGATTGTGAGCGCGTTAGATCTGTGGTCGGGTCGTCGGGAGCGAATGGAGCCGACGGGGGACTTCAAGGAGACCGACCCTCATGACAAGGAGAGATGTCATGGTTGCCAGATTGGTGTATGTAAACGACGGAGGTGAACCGCGAGGCGAGATGAATGAGGAAGTGATGGTGAGTTAGACTCTCAGCGTCTGTGTTGCTGCAGAGGTGGCTGACCGTTCCAGTAGATCAATTAACAAGAAAAGATTGAATAACTGGCAGGTAGTGATTGTCCCGTACAACATGGGCGAATAAATAAGGAGGGAAGACTCCATATGCAAGAGTGAGCGTGTTTGCGCCGTGCGTTTTTCTTTTTCTTTTTTCCTTTTTCGCTTTGAACTACTAGAATAAACACTAATGTTCATCCATACTTTCCCATATGTCTCTTGATAACATGAAAAGAATGACAGGGAGTGTCCGCAATGCGGTATTCCGAACCGCATGACAACGAATGAAGCTGAGTACGCCAAGGTATGCATTGGTCAAAGAAAGATGGCGGCTACGGTGACCGTTGTCAGGAACATGAACTGTATCTTCAACGAGGATAATGGCCTCTTTGCGCCCTACAGGGATCACTCTGCTTACCATGTCCTGCTAGTCCAGCCCATGCGCCTCAAAGGCCAAAGAGGACTAGCTCACGGATATATTATTTTATCTGATATCTTGCAATTGACGCGTTTGTTTTGTTCTGCGCAAGAAGTCTATATTTCCCTCACACCTTCTCTCCTTGTAGCACACACATCACTAGCCACCAGCGCAGATAAAAAAAAATTTAAACGGATATTCTAGCATACGCTCAGATGGATGGGTGATTCATTTCTGAGTCTGTCAGCAGGCGTAATACGAGCAACGCGTCTCTCCACAAAAATCAAAACTTAGAGGAGTGGCTTGGGGAAGTGAACGGAAAAATTCAATCACGCGTTACATCTCCACAAAGAACTATTCCTGGGAACCAAAGACAAAAAAAAAGGTTTCCTTCTTATCCCTTCCTCCTCTTTTTCATTCACCCGCGACACATTCAACATTCCAAGGAAACACATAGCAAGAGCAGACACATCAGGAAAAACATGCTAAGCACACTCATCCGCAATGCAGGAGCATCAACAGCCAGGACGACGCGGTGTCTAAACAGTCACCACCTCACCACCCGTCGCCTCCTCTCGTCCACACCCTCCTCCTCCTCACCCACCCCCCTCCTCACCCCTCGAACACCACTCTCCCCCACACCTCTCACTCATACCTTCCGCACACCAGGACAGAAGGCATACCTTACAACCACACCCTCACACCTCCGTCAATACGAAAAACACCATGACCACATCAATGTCAAGAAACCCACCTCCACTACTTCCTCGGACATCGCCGCGGAAACACACCGCGGAAAAGCAGCCTCGATAGTCGACCAAGACCTAGACGACCCCCACGTGCAACAGACCATAGACTCCCTCGACCTCGACACGGCCGCAGAGCTCAAAAGCCGTCATAGTTCTCACGATACAGCTGCCCTCCTCAACAAGGATGGGCTCGAACTTCAGCAAGATGATGTCATTATAACATCTACAGCAACAACAACAACAGCCACGTCGGTACTGTTGGAGGATAAGCAGCGGTCCGAGGAAGAGTTCTCCTGGTTCGTCGACAAGACCTACTCCACCACCACCACTTCAAACTCCGAAGATGGCGACGACAAGGTTTCATCACAAGACTTTGTCCCACTCTGGAAACGCAACGCCCGCGGCAAACACCAAAAGCACTCCAAACACCACCATTCCAAACCCACTTCCACCTCTCCCAACAAGAACGAGATTGAAGACTTGAAGGACGCGCCGGTAGCGATCCGGGGTCTGGTCCGGATGCTGGAACATGAACGTGCTCGCAATGTCACGGTCATGGATATGCGCCAAAAGTGTGATTGGACCGATTGGATGGTTATTGCTGAGGGGCTCTCGGAGCGACATGTTGGAAACGTTGCCGATCAAGTCTACACCGCTGTAAGGTTTTTTTCATTCCTCAGTTGTGTTGCCCCCCCCTATGATATGTACTTTTACCCTAAAAATTGCATACTGTTTTGCGGTGTTGTAAAGTAGACATTGTATATTCCTCATCCTCATTCCTTCTTTGCCTTTTTTCTTTCTTTCTCTGTTTGGGTTTATGCCTCGTTTTTCTTAGTTGAAGAAGATGCAGCCAAAGACATCCCCACCGCTCATGGAAGGTCGGTCCACTCCAGACTGGGTAGTCATCGACACAGGTTCAATCATCCTACACTTCATGACCCACGAAACCCGTAAAGAACGGAACCTCGAAGGCCTCTGGGGCGCCGTCAAGGATCCTCTCAAGTTAAAAGACGCAGAAGAGATCTCGTGGGAAGACGTCCAGAAGAAACTGACAGAGAGCTGGATGGAGGATCCAGGACGGTCAAAGGGAGCGGAGCATGGGAGTAAACGTGGACGGAGGGGAGAGGAGGATCTTTCGTTGGATGAAGTTGTCAAGGGCTGAAATGAATTTAACAGTTTCGTCTATAAACGCCAAAAAGAACAACCAAAGAAATAAAAGAAAAAAAAAGCAACAAGTCGCACCTGAGTATCAAGAGAATGATTGAATAATAAGCGTGACAATTTGTATTTTTTTTTTTGAAGGTAGGCTCCGTCAAGATTCATGGCATGAACGGTAGCAAGATATATGCGTTAAGTTGTTTAGAAAAAGGGGAGAGGGCGACATGAAGGTTCTATGAGATATTTTATTCTTGGGACAGTGATAGAAAAGAGAAAAAGTGTCGTGGAAGTTATGAGTGGGAGAGAGGTAAAAGGGGTAGCGGGGTAAGTGAGGATTTAGAACAAGGCATCACCGTAAGGGAGCTCGGAGGTTCTGCCGAGGACAACGGTGGTAGGCTTGCTGCTCAAGAGCTTGGCAGCGAACTATTGAATTGAAGACGGGCGAGAACATAAATAATAGTTAGAAAAGAGTTCCAGACAACAATTGCGCATCATTTAGTGCCTAGACCACAACAACAAGCGAGTAACATCATTAAGAGGAGAGCTTACTTTGGAAACATCGGCGGCAGAGACCTTGTCGAAGGCAGCAAGGGATTCTGAGGCAGAAACCTTCTGGCCCTGGAAAGCCTGGGCAGCGAGGATCTCGGTCGAGGCGGCGCGGGTCTCATAGCGGGCAGCGGTCTCGAACTTGGCCTGGGCCAAAGCACGCTTGAACTCGTCAGCAGAGACAGACTTGGAGGCAGCCTTCAAGGAAGCGACGGCGGTCTTGGCAGCCTCGGCAATGTTCTTGTGGTCAGCCTGAGCGTAGATACCGAAGAGACCAGCATCAGAGTATCCAAAGTTGAAGGCAGAGATCTGGGCACCGTGACCGATCTTGCCAGCGGCAGCAGAGAGGGGAGAGACACCAGCGGTCGACCACTTGACGAAGCGGTCACCTCCGAGCAAGGAGCGGAGGACCTGGGCAGTGTAGAACTCGGGGGTACCGGCAGCAGCTCCCTGGAAGGCAACGGCAACGTGACCAGCCTCGGTGTTCTGGGCAACACGGACATCACCACCGTAGTACTTAGCATCCTGGGCCTTGGCCTCAGAACCAGCAGCAACGTCGCTGAAGGCAGAGTTGGCCAAGTTCTTGAGCTCGGCCTCAGAGACACCGGTGGCAACGAGGGCGATCTTATTGGCAACAAAGTTGTCGGCGGCGAACTTCTTCAAGTCCGAGGTGGAGATCTCGGCGTAAGGGGCGGCGTAGACAGAGTTGCCGAGTCCGCTGCGGAAAGCGGCGTTGTGGGCAGCCTCGATGACGGTGATCTCGGGGGAAGACTCGGCGTAGGAGGCCTCGGCAGCGACCTGGTGGGCGACACCGTGGAACTCGTGCTCGGCGAACTTGGTCTGGGCAACGAGGTCACCGAAGACCTCGACGAAGTATGGGCTATTTATTAGCATGTTGAGAGAGTCGATTGGTTAGATATCTCATGTTCACCAACGCCGTTTGTTTCTGCAAGATATATCCAATGCACGCTCGAGAAGGCGCAAAGACACTTACACATCCTCCTTCAAGCACTCAGCGGTGAAGGTGACGTTCTCACGGCCAAGGTTGGCAGTAAGGACACCACCAACGAGCTCAGTCTCGCGGGCAATGCGGAAAGCGGAGCGCTTGCCGTTGTTCTAATGAATCCAATTTGCAACACGTAATGAAGGGGTGGGTCAGTCGTCGTGCCTTCTTGTCTAGACTGAATTTCCTTGTCGAGGTGAGTTGAAGTTGAAGGCTCGTGGTAGGAGCTAATCGTGTCCTGTATCCACAATTGTCGAACTCCTGCGACTGATTCTTTTTTCTTGGGTAATCGCTGTCATACGTGTAGTATTCTCCGTGGATATATCCGTCAATTGAACGACGACGAGATGCCATTGAAGGTCCAGTCTTGACGGCTGGCAACGCAAAACACTTAATTGTGTTGCGGTCCATGAGCGCCTTGATCATCGCTCTCTCACTGCCCAGGGGTAATCTTCCAACTCTGTGCGGTGACAATTGTTGCCATCTAAGGAATAATCCTGCTAGAGCCTATAGGCCAACTCTCGTGCGGTAGGTTTCACGGTCCCGATGAGTTCTCGTACTACTCCTTTCCTGAAAATGAAGAGTTGCTCGCCTAGAAAAAAAAGAGCCGGAGATCCAGCCCGCGTCAAAGCTGGCACTCGTTCCTGAATAGTTGCTCTAGAGGGATGGTTACCTTGAAGCCAAAGTTCTTGGCAAAGTGGGCGATACCAGCCTTGCCCTGGGGCTCGAAACGGGCACCGGCGTTGATGACGAGGGAGACGGAGGCGGTGGGGGAGCTCTCGTCAAAAGCAGCGACCTTGACGCCGTTGCCAGTCTTGGAGACGGCGGTGGCGTATCCGGCCTTGAGGACGGTGGGGACCAAGTTCAAGGTCTTGCGGGCGGAGGAGATGGACAACATTTTTCTATATTATGAGAACGCGACGGAAAGAGGAGTAGGCAGAGAGAGGAAGAAGGTGTGAGTCGGTGAGCGTGAAGGGTTGTTGGGTAGGTGTATGTGAAGGGTAGAGAGAGGAAGTGAAGGAGCGGGAGTGGAAGGATAGTGTACGTGTGATATGGATATGTTCGGAACGTTCGGATCCGGAGGTGCAGAAAAGGGACGCGTTTGTTCCCTTGTCCTTTGGATAAAGGGACAGGTCCGAGTGCTGTTTGTCCGCTTCTGGGCTTGTTGGTGTTTTACGCTCATGGTCATCTTTTTCTTGTTGCTGGTGCCTGAAGTTACTGAGGAGTAACGAGGGACAGCGGCCGATCAGCGCGATGCGTTCCTGAAAGGAACACACACCACAGCTTGCCTATTTTCCGTGTTTGTTGTGATGGTCCGTCTGTATATTTTTCGTTTTTCTCCGGCGTGTTCCTTGATTCCGGCAAATGTATTGATCACTTTGTTGCTGGCTCTGCTTGTTGGTCTTGTCGTTGTCCTTTGGGGGATTACCGAGTGGGTGTAAGAGTGTAGGTGTAAGAGTGAGTAGTAGTAGTAAGATGATTACCGTTGTTGTGTGTGATTAGGGGTCGGATGGGGGATGAGAGGAGAGAAGTTACGATCAAAAGAGAGATTTCCGGATCCTCAAACAAACTTGCTCCGAACCCTCCTCTCATCCCTGTGCAATTTTCATGTTGTAGGGCATACGACTAAACCATTTGAAAAATACATTTCGGTGACGTTGATAGAAATTTCACCCATCGTTTGCTTGTCCCTTAAAATGCGCCTTTCGCCCGTTTGCCCGAAGTCGCTCACACTTACCTTCTCACAATTCAGAATGTTGCGATGTAGGTCCAACATGGCATTCACAAGTCAGCCTACATTCACACGCCTCATCAACAAGGAACCTAGCTGACAGTCAAATCGCATATGACCGTTTTTCCCATACTCAGCTTTCATTAGAAGGACCGCCGTCCCTCGCTTTGCCGCCCCTAGGTTGGCAACCCCCGCCACGCCTCTCCGCACCCCTTCGCCCTTGTTCAACGCCGCCCGCGGCTTCAGCTCCAAGCCCGAGGGTGCCCGTGCCCAAGCCTCAAGCGCCGCGGGTGTATGTCCTCTTACTTCTCTTTCCTCAATTGCCTTGCGATCCGCTTCATCGTCGATCTACTGATACCTTTTCGCGCGCTAACAAACTCTTTTTTTTTTTTTCTTTTGGTTCCGATCTTATGTTTGATGAAAAATAGGCATTGAACTGGAAAACGTTTGCGGTGTTCACGGTAACAGGATCAGGATTGCTGCTCTACTTCCGCGAAGAAAAGAAGCGCGTCGAGATCGCCCGTGGTTCGTCCCTCCTTCCCCTCTTACCTCCCTATCGCCTCCGTCGCTTCTTATCACCCTTCATCGAATATCACTCCTCCACCATTATCACTAACACCTGATCCCCTCTCTCTTCAAAAAAAAACAATTAGAGGAAGAGGCACGTGTGGCAAAGGAAAGTGCAACATACGGAAAACCCAAAATCGGTGGCCCCTTCTCCCTCATCGATCAGAACGGGATCCGGACAACCAACGAGGATTTCAAAGGACGTTATATGCTCATCTATTTCGGATTCACAAACTGCCCCGATATCTGTCCCGAGGAGTTGGATAAGATGGCGGAAGTCCTTGATACCGTCAGTAAGTTTTTCTTTTTGTTTTGGTTATTTGTTGGCTGCATTTGTTTCTTTTTGGTGACCATGGCTGCTTCGCAACCGGAGAGTTTGCGAAGAAGAGGGGGGAGGGGATCGGAATGCGTTTCTCTTTGTTCTCAGCCGGATGTGCCGTATTTGGGATTTGGGCGCCCAAAAAATATATTTGACGCCACCAATTTTTGTATAATGCAGCACACTAATTAATGGCACCCCTTTTTACCTTATTACCATTACCCATGGCTACCCATTGGAATAGAGGCTGACCCTGAGATTGGCGACGTGATCACGCCCATCTTCATCACCTGCGACCCTCAACGCGACACCGTCGCAGAAGTCAACGAATACGTCAAAGGTAACCAACAACTCAACCCCTCACTCTTCGGACCTCCCTAATCAATCCCCAAACGAAAACATCAACACTAACATCATCTATCCATCCCAACAGATTTCCACAAGGACCTGATCGGATTGACGGGCACTCTCGAAGAAATCGCCCGCGTCGCAAAATCCTACCGCGTCTACTTCTCAAAACCCCCTAAAGTCGACCTGGGAGAAGACTACCTTGTCGACCACTCCATCTTCTTCTACCTCATGGCTCCTGACGGTTCCTTTGTCGATTGTTATGCCAAGGATCATACTGCCGAGTTTGTGTCCCAGAGTGTTAAGGACCACATTGGAAAGTTTAAGGAAGAGGGTGGGAAGATTTTGCCAAAGTTGAATGAGAAGCGTCTTTCAGAGTCGCCTGCATCTGCATAGACATTGCCTTTTTTTCGCCACCCCTATTTCTTTTCTCTTCCCATTGTCCTCCATTTTCTTGCATTAAAAATCCACCAAGCTCAATCATTTTCGCATTCTTAATTGATCCCATGCTCAGACGCTGTCAAGGTTGAATGAAGGTGCAGTGGAATGGCCAAAAAGTACTAGCTTCAATGCTCAAGAGGGGTGAAAGGAGGATTTATCAAGTTGTCTATCTGATCTAATGAAGGTGGGGGAGTATTTCAAACTTTTTTCTATTGGAAAGAAACGAATCGACGAAAAATATAAAAATAACGAAGAAACAGAAACTGGTATGAAAATACGAGCAACAAACAAAAAAAAAAAACATGTCTAGGAACGTATATATATAAGAAGAAAAAAATGAAGTTCACCAGAAACCATCCCTGTTAAAGTTGTTAGGATCACTCGACGACGACTGCTGATGGAACGAAATCCCGCCTTGAGGACCCAAAAGCAGCATATCCAGATCATCCTGGTTAATAGACTGATGCTGCTGTTGTTGCTCCTCACTATTGCTACTATCGCTGACATTATGGAAATGGCTGTCGAAATCAAACATGCCCTGTTGGGTGACATGCAAGTAGTTGGGTGGTTGACTGGCCATGGCGTTGCCTGCTGCCTTTTGGTTCAATGCCTCCTGTTGACGTTGGAGGACGTGACTGAGACCGCTTGGTGCGTTCTGTGATCCCAGTGCGTGGTCCATTGGGTGGCCTGTGATCAGAGCTGGAGACAATGTGAGGAATTCTATCGTTCACAACATATAAAAACATGTTAGCTATTTCACATTTATTGATCATCCATATTGGACAGCTAAAACGCATGTTCAGAGTGAGGCGCGATACGTACCATCTTCAACGCGCTGAATATCGATGCTGCTGGCACGGTGGGGGACACAGGCATCGTCATAGAGGGCATGTGAATGACTCAAGCCATAATCGACAGGGTGGTAGGCCAACTGCTGGCTCAACGGACTATACTGTCGCAATTGACTCCTGGAAGTCGACACTGAGCTGTAAGACGGCGTAGGTGAGGGAGAGGCAGCTGAGACAGAGGGTTCGCGACCTCCATGTAGAGCAAACAAGTCCTGACCCTCAGCAGTGGCACCATTCAAGCCTATCAGAAAGGCCGTATCCATTGTAAGTGCATCTCCACTCATAGCGAGCAGGTTGGGGTCCGACAGCATGCCCATATCCGCGGTACCGGGGCTCTGCCCGTCCTGCTCCATGCCCCCCGGCGTCGTCTCAGATTCCTCCATAGGACTTGACTCCGGGCTATGGCTGTTACGAAGACTGCTTCCGGCTGGGCTGGGGTAACCTGCGGGCGATGAACGTCTGTTGACAGTAGGTGTCTGTTGACGGTTATGAGGATGGACAGGGTTCTGATGTACTGTACCGTCAGATGAAATGAACGACGATCCGAGCAACGACGACATCCTAGGAGATCCAGGAGGGAAAGGACTCGTCTCACGAACAGTGGGCATGGCAATGTTCCTTGGGAGGCTGCTCGAGAGTCCAGCAATCGGTACTTGGACAGCCCCAGCTTGAGACTGACCATTGGTAGGGAAACCATGAGTCACCGTTCCAGGAAGAGAACCGACCACATGGCCAGTGCCGCCAGGCGAAGGCAATGGAGCACCAGCTCCATAAGGGCTGTAGCGACGGTTGGTGGGGGACGAAGACAGCTGAGAGTGAGTTGGAGGCGATCCAAGATGCATGTTTCCCATGGTCCGGTGAAGCGAATTGGCGGCGGGCGAACCAATAGGCATAGGGGCCGAGGCACCGGGTGTCACGTTGAGACGGGCGCCACCTCCATTGCGGTTGGCACGTATCTGGTCGATCTCTCCCTGAAGACGCTTGATCAAGTCAGCCTTTTTACCTCCACCATGCTTGCCACGCTGGCGCAACATCTCTTTTAGTTCGGCCACGGTAACATCGTCAAAGTCGACACGCTCCATCGCATCATCCAGCTGCTTCTGCTGCTCCTCTGTTCGGGTCTGCGAGGAAGAGCTGCGGGGGATGACTCGGCCAATTTGAATGGGCGCGGGCGACGAGGCTGAGGTCGAAAGAAGCGCTGGGCTGGAGAGAGGATAAGACTCGCTTCCGGGCGTCAAGTTGGGCGGCAGTTGGATGTTTGCCTGAGCATCCAGTCCAAGGTTGGGAGGGACAAGAGATCCCTTGTTGGGTGTTGTCGAAAGTGAGACCCTCCGTTGTTTTTGGCTGGCAGCGGCTGTGGCACGACGTTCGGCAAGGGTCATGGCAGGAGGAACCTCTCCTGTTGGGGTGGTGGTCGCACTCTGAGTAGATCGCTGGGTACCAGCAGCAGTTGCGGCAGCACTGAGGGCAGCGCTAAGACCACTAGCCTCTGCCGACGTCTTCTTGTTTGCAGCCAGCTTGGAATCGACACCCTTGAGGTTCAGACCAGAAAGACCCTGCTGCAAGGCTGGATCGGACTTGAGATCGAGAGAAGCCCGGCTGCTCTTGGGAGTCGCCAGACCAAAGAGAGCCTTGATACCACCCTGGGAAACTCGAGCGCCCCCAGTCGAGGGACGAGGCCTCGACTTGATCTTGGAGGTTCCGCCGGGTGAGGCAGCAGGTCCGGGAGTAACAACGCGAGACGAAAAGTAGTCATCATCACCACCATAGTTTCCTGGAGACAGTGGAGAGCCAGCTGGAGAGTGTCCTGAGGGAAATTGGCCGAGTCCATTGACGTATTGTGGGAAGTAAGAGTTTTGGTTGTAGTGACCAGGAGTATAGCCGCCTGGTGCAGGACTTTGAGGGAGCTGTGTCTGACTAGCCAACTCAAGCTGGAGTCGCAATTGCTGTTGCTGCTGGAACTGATAGAGCTGTTGCTGTTGATGGATAAGTTGTTGTTGGATCTCTGTTGGGATCTCACGCTTTTGCTGGCGTTCGGCTCGGTCCATGAAGGAAGGAGGGTTGGGGATGCTGAAGTGGTTGCGATTGGCGGTTGTCCAGTTCTCTTCGTTGGTATCCTGTTGGAGCATTTGCTCCATATCTGTGTCGGTGGGCTCGGCCATGTTCTCCGATGCCAAGAAGGAGGTCCAGTCGCCTGTACTTGTGGACCCAAAGCCGTTGACGGCGTCCTTGTGGCCAGGGATTAATCCGGTTGTGGCAATGGTTGCGTTCATCCTGTCTGCGGCGTCGACATCGATGGGTACTGAAGACGAGAGTAATTGAAATGGATCTTGCTGTTGTTGCTGTAGATTATGTTGATTATGTTGTTGTAATTGTTGTTGGTACAGTTGTTGTTGTTGTTGCATTAAAATCATCTGCTGTTGCTGTTGTTGTTGCTGTTGGTGCTGCTGTTGGTGCTGTTGCTGTAATTGTTGTTGCTGTTGTTCGTGAGGGGTGAGGGCGAGTTGCTGTGCCTGTTCGGCAGAGAGTGCCTGGGTCAGCAGACTGCCGTTGCTGTTAGTGCTGTTGGACCCGGTCCGTTGTTGCGGCATGAACATGATGATCGATTTGAGTTTTGGGCGGGTCGGGATATTATATGAGACACTAAGTTGTGTGAATTGTGAACGAGGGACTGTTCCATTCAATTAAAGAAATGGAGTAAAAGAGGGGAAGGAAAAAAGACAAGAAAGAACGTTAATAAATCGAAAGGATTACACAGAAAAGTATATACCGTTGGTAAGTAATAATGCACAGACTGCAGTTAGTTCGCACTTGTGAACAGGGGAGTATGATGAATGCCCCCTCCCTGGATAATGGATATCCTTTGTTTGATTGTTTGGTTGTTTGTTGTATGCGAATGATATCACTCTGCTTCATTTCCCGTTATTCATATCCGTTTGTTTGTTTGTGTTTGTGTTGTTGTCAATGTGATGATGATGATGAAAAAGGAGAGCGAGGAGAGAGGGACAAAGAGGAGGGAGGGATGGGCTAAACAACCTCTCTTTGTGTTGTGTTTAAATGCGCACTCAGATCGAACAGTAAGAGAAAAATTGTTTGTTGACAGGTGGCGATATGTGCGACGACGACAAAGATGATGATGGAGAGGGTGAAGGAAGGAAGGAGGGAAGGAAGGAAGGGGACAATGAATGGAAGGAAGGATTGATCGCAATAAAGTAGACTGTCCCTCTGCTTCATGCCTCTGTTTGCATCGTCGCATGGTTGCTTGCTCGTATGCACTTCTGTTGATCTCTTTTTATTCTTTTCTTGATCCAGCTCACATGTTTCCTCACGCCTCTCAAGTATCTCCTTTCCCTCTTTCTCTATCGATCTGATGTTCATATGAAGGAATGAACAAGAAAAAGATGACTTACCGATGACAGACAAGTGCTCGGTAATGAGGCAGGGCAAAAAAGGCAAGGTGAGAAGAAAAAAAAAGAGAGACGGGAACACGCAATAGGGAAAGGGCTCTTCTTTGACGAAAAATAATAGAAAAAGCGAGAGAAAAAAAAATAAAATAAGAAGAGTGGTGGCACCTGCGCTTGTGCTTTAAAACAGGTGTTTGCCGTTGGTTGTGTGATGGATATAAGTACAGGAAGAAAAACTGACGGAGCAAACGATGAAGAAAGGTTGCAAGATAGGAAAAGAAGAAAAAAGAAGCTCGGAGGAGGGTCGTGGAATGATCACTAATAAGAGAAAAGGAGTGAAATAGGGATGAAAAAGATGATTAGCAAATCGAAAGTAGAGAACAGGGTAAAGCTTGGCGCCGAGTCCACAACGGCAACCGGGGGTAAAGGAGCGGGGCGAAAAGGAGTGGAAGGAGGAAGAAGAAAAGGTTCACTTACCAACAGCGGTTTGATTGAGAGAGAGTGTCTGTGTGTGTGTGAAAGGGAATGTGCGAATGTGCGAGTGGAAGAGAAGAGGGCAGTCAGGTGATTGCAGTGAATGAGAAGGGAATGAGAGAGTGAAAGAACGACCGTTGCGGAGGGAGTGAGGATGGATATGAGAGCAAAGGGGTAGATGAAGGGAGTTAAGAAAAGAAAGGAGGAACGATGAGTCTGAGCAAAGGAAGAGGGCTGAAGTGGTGAAAGTGATGTCTCGTCAGGAAGACAATAGAAAAAAAGAAGTGTGTGTGTGTGTGTGAGAGGGAGAGAGAGAGAGAGAGAGTGATTGTGATTGTGTGTGTGTGTGTGTGTGTGTAAGAGAGAGAAGGGAGTGACAGTCCGAGGAGAAGTTTCCTTTTTTCTTTTCCTCTCTTAATCGCTCAACGGCATACATATGGCTCAGCATATCAAAGCCTTCCAACCCTGCCCTGCCCTCCCGCCTAATGGCTCACACTTATGGCCCACACTCATGGACCCATTCACACCCACACCCACACCCATTCATTCATACAAGCAGCACTCCCTCTCTCTCTATCTATCTCTCTCTATCTCTCTCTCTATCCCTCTCCCTGTGCTTGTAGCATGGCCAGTGCTTTTTTCATATCTCTTTTCTGTCGTATTGTCAAGCCATCAAAATAAGGCTAGTCCTTATTTGACCTTACCAGAACTAAGAGAAAAATAATAAGAGCAACCATGCACAACTCACCACTCTCTCGCGGCTTCTCTCTTTCTTTGTCCAGTCGTCCTCACTCTCATTTTTGCGAACACGGCCTCTTTCCCAGAACCTCACAAACAGCTTCCTCCTTCTTCTCTCGAACCGCACCGCCCACTCTACTCTCCTCACTATTTTCACCCGCACTTTTTCTCTATACCATGTCTTAGACCGCATCAAGGTTCATACAGTCTGACTTGTACGCTCCCAACTCTTCTTTCTCTCTTCATCTCTAACCATTTCTTGCACCAACGTTCTTGCAGTCTGACCTTGCACTCTTTCTCATTCTTTCTCTCTCCCAAACTCTCTTTAAATACATTGGTTCATTTATATCTCTTTCTTCCCACATTCGTAGTTTTGAAGCAAAGTCTGGAACACATAGCCTTTCTCTACATTCTTCTCTCTACTCCTTCCGTCCACATACACTTGTTCCATGATTGAAAATCACAAGGAAGGGAAAGAAAGGCGAGATGAGTGTGTTGAATTGGTCTCTTTTCTAGCGCAAAACTCTATTACACCGACACCCAGCCTTACTCCACAGAAGAACCGAAGGACAGAACAGGCCTGGTCCTGAAACATTGGCTAAAGAGAAAATATAAAATAAAAACTGGATAGTTCGTCCATTGTTTGCCGACACAGTCGTTGCATGTATTACTGGTATTTCCTGTGGAAATAAAAGGAGTTTTACGAAAGCTGCTGGATGAACAAATGACCCAGTAAGATCCTCGCCGATGGTCGGATATGGTAATCTCTGTAATGCGATCCATTTTCAGGTGTCAGGGTTAGAGGTGAGGTTTAGTTGAATGACGAACGACGGCGGTCAAAAAGAGAATAAGTGGGATAAGAGAAAGTAGCAAGAAGAAGAAGTTAGGAGGAGAAACAGTAGGATCAGATACAGCCCCACATAACAGAAGAATATCATGGAGAATTAGTTGATCGACACCCAGGAACAAGAAGACGCGGCAAAGCCAAAACATTGATCAACAATGAGAATACAGCATAATACACAGAAGACAAAAAGTAATAAAAGCATATGACAATGAGGACAAGAAACGGACTTACACTTCGAAGGCCATCTTGAGGAAATCCTTGGCGTCGTCGGAAATGTCGTCGGGGACGTCGGGGGTGCAGTTGGAGCCGATTTGGAAGAGAGCCTGCATCTGCGAGAACTGGGGGAACGGGTGAGTGCCTGTAAACATCTCGACGACCAAACAGCCCAAACTCCAAATATCGGCCTTGTAGGTCGTTTCGATCTGCTTGACCACCTCGGGTGCCATCCAGAATGTCGACCCCTGCAACGATGGTCGGCTTGACTTGACCTGGATCGACTTTAGGTCTATTGATTCATTGGTTCATTGATTGATTAATCAGTACTCCATCGCCCGCATAATTGATCAAACGGTGTGCTTCAAAACCGAAACACTGACGTTTTTCTTCTTTCTCAAAAGAACGCCACCAAAAATAACCACAAATCAAAAAACTTACGCTCTTCGACCTTCTTGGAGATACCAAAATCGGAAATCTTGATGCAGCCTTTGTTGTCGACAAGAATGTTGGCACCCTTGATGTCCCGATGGATAATATCACACTCGTGCAGATAATCCAGTCCCTCCAGAATCTGCTTCACAAACGACCGCACAAGCACCTCCGAGAACGGGCCATAGTTCGCCAACAGTGTCGCAATCGAGCCTCCGGGAACATACTCCAGGAAAATGTTGATGTGGCCCTTCTCAATGTCCGATCCAATGTATTGCACAATCCTCTCGTGATGCAGCTGCTTCAACAGATCAATCTCCCGCTCCAATGCCTCAACCAGCATCTTTTGCTTGTCCTCCTTTTGCGAGTTGCTCACCGACATTTCCACTTGCTTGACCGCCATGAACGTGCCGTGCTGTCTATGCCATCCGAGCGAGACACGGGCAAACGATCCTGCTCCAATAAACTTTCCTCGGATCCACCATGAGTAATCGTTCTCCAATGGAATGACATTGTTCTCACTCTTCGCACCACCCTCAGAGGCCCCGCGCTGTTTGTTTCCACTCGGCTGTCGGGGTCGTGGAATGAGCTCGGCCGTGGAGTTGCTCTGCACCCGGGGTGAGATTGAAGCCAACGACGCAATCGATCCAGAAGAACGGTTCCATGCAGAGTTGTGGTACTTTTGACTGGCCAACGATATCCGCGACATCCGTGCAGCAGTATCTCGCTTCGAAGGAAAGCCCGAAGACGTGCTGGCACCGGCCTCTGAGGTCGACCCGCTTGATGCGTTAGAAATGGCGCTCTCCTGACTCTTGATACTCGAAGACCGCTGGATCGTCGCTGGTTCGCGACGCTTGACCTCTGTTGTCTCCAAGTGCTCAGAGATAATCACGCCGGGTATACTTGCACCATATCCATCCTTGGTGGACGATTCCTCGGAATGGCGCGTTTTCTCTTCCTCTTCCACCACCACCACCTCCTCCTCCTCCTCCTCCTCATCTAGCTCCTGTTTGTCGTTCGGTCTCGATGACTCCACCACTGTAGACTGTCCTGGCGATTGCTGTCCATAGACCTGGTTCAGTGAAGGGCTAGAGTGAGAGGTTGGGGCAGCGGTTTCGACATCTTCGGTATCATCAGTCTCATCAGCTTCCTGTAGGGACAAGTGGGCCAAAGACTGGGAAAGGACATCCGCCTGGCCAGGCTCGATCAAGTATGAATGTCGGGGTATATAAGAGCTCCTGTTCATGTACTGGGAGTTTCTGAAAAAGAGCGAGTTGCGCACATTGCTGACCTCTCGCAAAAGCTCCTTGCGATGTCCAGGGAAGTACTCTTGCAAGTTGCTCTCAATAATCTCATCTGGGGGTCGCTGTCCGAAGAAGGTCTGCATGCGCGAGGACGATTCCTTGAACGAATTGGCAGTCGGTGATGCGAGGTCAGTGTCGCCTCGTCCCGACCTCTTGGATGTGCCGCGTCTCTTCAACACGTCGTGGCTCACAGGCAGGTGCTTCTTGCGCAGTATGAGTCGTTCCTTCTCTGGTCGATCCAGACTCTTGCAAATATTAAGCAACTCCTCATCAGCCAAGCTCCGTGCTAGTAAGAGCAAAGGCGTTCATAGTTAGGAAATGCAAGACGTAAAGGCTGGAGAGCTATATGCCACAAAAACAGCAGATCAATCTCCTGGACGTACCATCACCAGTCTCTCCAAGGGTAAACATGGAGTACTTTTCCATGTCGTCGGTGATGTTGAACTTGTGCAAGACTCGGGTATAGATTACGCCCGCATCCATCACGTCGTGCACATTAACAATCCTTGACTGTCCACCATCATCGAACACCCTGATACATTTCTATTGTTTTCAGTAAAAAAAAATATGAACATCAGTTACAATCCCGATATACAAGATTTCCCAATCCTGAGGTAATGATGCTTGAGCCTTACGTGTTTGACAGACTCTAGTGACATGATGCCTCCCTCATGCGAGGACCTCTGTGGGAGTTGAATAGAAAATAGTCCGCATTAGCCGCTTTGCCGACCATTGCGTGCCTTTTTGAATACTCCTTCGAAGCCTTTAATACAAAAAGAAACAAACGTACCGGTGTTCTGGGCGAGGTGGGTTCTTCAAAGTTGGTCTGCTTCTTGGAATTGGAGCGACCGAGGGCCTTGGAGTTTGAGCGTTTCAGGTTTAAAGCTTTGGAAGACCCTGAGCGTTTGAGCGACTTTAGCAACGAGCCCTCTCCGCCGAGTCCTAGTCCGTGCGATTCCTTCTTTGTGATCGAAGGTACCTCCAGTTTTTCCTATGATTAACAATTATTAACGCGCATGCTTGTCAGTACATATTTCCTGTATGCCATGATGGGGCTGTCAGTGCCAAGTTGTTTTTAGCAATGAACAAGTGTTATTTTCTCGTATTCCATGTCGATTGTCCACACATGTCTGCTATGCTCATCAATATATGCTCCTGTTACTGATGAAACGGATATCAATGAAGGCCAATCTGCTCCGTGCAGCTGACAACGGGTGCTTTCCTGTTCCTGCTATTACAATGGGACTCGACGTCTAACAGTCCTGACCAGTATCTACAGCCCATTGGCGTTGTATGTCTTCCTGTACCTGCTTCCTGAAACAAAACCCAAGAGGCCTGAAAGGTTACCTTGTTGGAGCTGCCCTGGTAATGACTGTACCCATTACTACCACCACCATTACTCAAAGGATGCACCACAAGACAACGAATGCGCAAGGTCTTGACAGCAGCAAGTATCCTGATCCTGTCGGCCAGCGACGAGATGCCCATCTCCTTGAGTGCATAATGATCCAGTTCCAGCAACGCCGCTCCTCTGACACAGTGCTCTATCATATCATGTATTAGGGTCTGAGTGAGTCCATCTGGCGACTTTTAACTTTCTCTCTTTCGCATATAAATAAAAGAGTCCCTTACCGACAAAGAGGTTGTCGTAGTGGGCCATTTTATTGTCGTAGAGCCAGGTGGAGATGCCATCGTCGTCCCACTGGCGCATGATCTCGTAGTATGAGGATGCATTTGAGTAAGAGTAGATGTCGAAGGTTGGGGTTGTGGGGGTGGGTGTTCCGCTTGAAGCGGAGAAGGTGAATGAGCGAGGGGATGAGCTCGTCATGATGATGATGATGATGATGATGAAGGCGGCTCTTTGGTGAAGGTGAAGGTGAAGGTGTGAGGCGGGTGAGTAGGGGCGAGAGTGGAGGTTGTAAGGATGTGAATGATGAGTGAGTGAGTGAGTGAGGGTGAGAAGTAACAAGGTAACAAGGGAGAGAGGAACGGAAGAAGTGGCGAGCAAAGGCAAAGAAGCGGAAAGGTAAAAAAAAGAAGTGGCAAAATAAAAACTGACAAAAAAAAAAAAAAAAAAAAAAAAGGTCAGGCCGTTGAAAAAAAGAATAGAACACCACTGATGATAGTAGAGTAGAACAAACAGGTGGCGGATGCACCATGCGGGTCTCGAACCATGAACAGCAGCAATAGCCAACTGTCTCAAGGGCACATCTCTGTGCTCTGTTTTGGGGGCCAGGGGGGAGAGAGGATGGACGGATGAGACACTCGCAAATTGGACCTTGTGCTCTGCTCTCTCTCATACCCTCCGTTCCTTCCTCTGTTCTGTTTTCCATTCCCTTGAACTGGACCTCCTCGTCCCCTTTTTTTTTTCTTTCATTCTCTCTTTATCTGCCCCCTCTTTTTTCACCTGGCGTCACCAGCGTCTTTTTCTTCCTTTTCTTTTCTTTCCTCTTTCTCTTTTCTTTCCTTCTCTCTTCACTGCACCCTCTCTCGCTCTCATCCAACCATCCCATACACAAGGCAAGTAAGAAAACAGTGAGCACCACACAAGTAAACAACAAGAAAAAAAAGAAAAAATGCTCATCAAAAGAAAAGAATAATCAGCGACACGCATCCTCGCGAACAAAGGCTTGCCATGCCTGCCCATTGGGTCACTCGAACACAGCAACACCATTTGTTTTGCTCACACATGCTCGACCGTACTCTTTTTTTTCTTCTCACCAATAGGGTCGTCATTCGAGTCAAGGCTCGCCTAATCATAGCCACCAACACCAAGGCACACACACACGCAGGAGGAAGGTCACAAGAAAACAACAACGTGGGAACGAGCAGAGGTCAACATTCTATCACACGACACAACAACCATACTCACAATAATCACAAAGATGGACCCAGCATCAGAACCAATCGAGCACCAGGAAGAGGAGCGTGCAGGTCCCGTAACCATCCAGTCGCTGAGACCCAACATCCTCCGATACATCTTCTCCTTCCTTTCCGTCCAACACTACGACTACCTCAACCACCGCATCCGGACCATCCACAACCACCTCGGCCCCGTCTCGCTCGTCTGCAAGTCATGGAACGCCATTGCCTCCCCACTCCTCTGGCAGGAACGGAACTTCCACGGCTGGAACGCAGGCGAACTACTCGAGACATTCATCCAACAGACTGAGAATGCCGACTTTTCATCGACTCACGAGTATGGCGACTTTGTCAAGAGGATCGAGATCATTGACTCACATGACGTGGTCGATAAGCAGAACGGTCAGTTCGTCATCAATTGGATCACCCCCGATGTCGTCCTCGCGCTGTCAGAACACTGTAGTAGACGACTCCGGGATTTAACACTCGTCTTTGCGACAGGGCCTCAACTTTCAAACGAGGTCGAGGAGGGACTCATCCCCTGGAATGCCCTCGCCGAGGCCTGTCGTCGCCTGTCGATGCTGACCCTGACCAATTATATCTGCCCCGTCCTACCTGTCGGGAATGGGCATCCATTCCACGTCTTTGCGACCCATACCAACCCCCTGACTGAACTGGTCCTCAAGCGCTGCAAGAGCATTCCTTCGGAAACTTTCCAACAACTGGCCCGGACCTGTGGGAAGGCACTGACAAAACTTGTTTTGCTCGATTCGGACGACAATCTGGGCGCGACCGAGATGATCGAGTTTGCAAAGCATTGCCCTAACCTCCGCCACCTCAACGTCTCGTGGTTCGAATCCTTTGAAGCCAAATTCAACGATGAAGCCTTGATCGAACTGACGACGAATTGTTTGCGACTAGAGTATATATCGCTGCTGGACGCCAACCAGATCTCGGACCTTTCATTCCAGACCCTGGCCAAGCTCCGGTACCTCCGCAACCTTATCCTCCCACGCGCAGGGACCACCGAGACCGGGATGGCGTTCAGTCAAGAGTCTTTGATTGCTGTCGCCAAATCCTGCAGGCGATTGGAGCAGTTGCATTTGGTAGCCCCCGGAGCGACGTCGAGCAAGTTCTTTGAGGCGTTGTTGTTCTGCCCAAACTTGCAGGTGTTGGTGATTGTCGAGTTGGCCCAGAGTCTGTTGATGGACCAGCGGTTCAAGTCCTTGGGCCTTGCCAAGTACGTTGACCCCGAGACCACCGAGGGATACAAGCTCGTCTGGCACAAGAAGACCTAGGCCATCTTTTTATTTTTTATTTATTGTGCCTATAGAGTAGATGTTGTAGCCACTAGAACAGACCTCATTCTTAATCATTTTTGAGTGTGACGCAAAAAGCAGTCATATCGACATCGCGTTTCGGCGAAGTGGAGATGACAAAAGGAATAAAAAAGATAAAGAGACATGACATCGACACGCTCTTCACCCCACACTCTTCACTCTTCACTCTTCTCCCTCCTGAACCACCGATACCTCATAAATAAGGAAAACCCCTCTTGAAAAACCTACCCTCGCCTGGGGCCACAAGCAACCGCTACACTACAAATCATGGACGTCGATATGCACATGGACATGGAAGCAAAACCCACAACTGCACAGTCGGGCACCTCCTCCCTCGCACACCCACCACCATTATCAACGATATCGCTAACGTCCCTACCCTCGGAAATCGTCCTCCAAGTCCTATCATTCCTCCCACTGCCCATCCTCCTCGCCTTCCGCCTCGTCTCCACTTGGACCAACACACTAGTCCTTGAACCCGTATTCTGGGACCGACTCGAATTCTCGAAACAGTTGCTCTTCAAGGTTGGAGGCGGTGCTGGGGCTCAGCAGTCGCAGCACCGAAGGGCTAATCTTGGTCTTGGTGGTACAGAAGTAGGAGCAGGGAAGGAGAGTGTATTTCAACACAGCTCGGATGCGAATCTGATTGTGCATCGGCAGTCCCTTGCAGCGACGTCGCCTTCGCCTACCAGTTCTTGGATCGAGGATACTCGGGCGGCGGCTGGACTAGATGCAGGAGGAGCAGGACCGTCGGTGACCATCTCTGCCAACATTCCTCGTTCTATCCAGCAACAACAACAACACCAGCAGGATACTTTATCAACATCCCCAACATCCTCAACAGTAATACAACGGCAGCCCAAACACTCACCCTGGACAAAGATCGAGACATCCTTCCTCTCCTTCCTAACCCGCTTGGCGCACAACCCCAGGACTGCGCGTGGAGTCCGTACAATAGTGCTCGAAGATTGGGAAGGGGCCGAGTCGGTGCAGGTTCTCTGGACGACTCTGAGCGCCTTTAGCAAGTTGCAGACATTGATTGTGAGGAATTCTGTTCTTCGACATTTGCGCTTTCACCAATCAAATGACTATAGTATTGACAAGGACGATGGAGCGACAACATGGACAAAGCTGTTGGAGCTGAATTTCCAGGACTGCGTACAACTACAAGATCTAGAAGGGATTCAAGTCTGGTTACCGCACCTCCAAGACCTTAGCCTCGCGGGGTGTACAGCCCTCGACGACTTTTCACCCCTAACCCTCACCCGTCCCCTCCTCTCGTCTTCCCCCACACCATCGACAGTGCAGGCACTGGCGCTGAAGAAAGCATCATTTATCCATACAAAGATCCAGGACGAGGATTTGATTGCGCTGTTGAGGAGATCACCCGAGTTAGAGGAGTTGCGGTTGGATCAGTGTTATGGGCTCACGGTGAGGGCGTTGGAGGCTATTGCTTTTGGCGACCAGAGTCCGGCTTCGTTTGGTGATGGGGTAGAGGGGCAAGGCGCTGATGCTGGAGGTGTTTTAGGAGTTGCGGGTCAAGCGCCCATGACGACGATGATGGATCAGGAAGTGCAGGTAGTTCCACCGTATCAGATCCCTACCGCCACCACCACTACCAACAACAACAACAACAACAACAATAACAATACTGGATCGCCTCATACTCTCGCAGGACCTTCACAGTCCATACACCCCCTCCTCACATCCATCCCACCCCCATACCCACACCCCAACCAACAAACAGGATCATACGTCCCCCATCTCCGAAAACTGTCCCTAAAAAACTGCAACGATTTCACAGACGAAGGGATCCGGTTACTCGTCGGGTGTAGAAACCTAGAATGGTTGGTCATCAGGGGGATTAGGCAGGTGAATGAAGATACGGCAGAATGGCTACATTCGCAGGGGGTTCCGTTGAGGAAGCTGTTGAGTCCCCTTGGGCGGTGGCGGCATTGGCATGTTTAGGGCATTCGGGGGTTGTTTGATCGGGAAGTGTGGTTTATTAGTAGAAACCTTGATAAAAACATAAATAAAACAGAAATGAAAATGTATGGAGGGAAAAAAATGAGGTAGTAAATAATTGTATGGTGTTCGTAAAAAAAAGTGTATGAATGAAAAGGCAGAGAAAAACAGCAGAAGGTCGCTTTGAAAAAGTGAAGTTGCCCTGGGGTGAAGAGAGACAAAAAAATCCTGAAGTCCAAGAATCCTGACAACAAAAGCACTCTATTATCCTCAGCCTCGCTTCCGGTCAAAAATCTGGCGTAAAGTGGCGGGTACCAAAATGCGCCATCTTCAGTGATCCTGCTCCTGCATTATCTAAGACTTCAAGTACCCGTGGTGTTGACGGTAATGGTGTGAAAGACGAATGAATGTGCCGATAAATTACTCGTCGTCGCCGAGGAGGTCGAAGGGGTTGGTGACGGCAGGCTTAGGAACCTCGTAAAGGGTAGGTCCAAACTTCTTGGGCTCCTGCTGGGCCTTTTCCTGCTGCTTGGCAGCCTCACGGGCTCTCCATCCACCACCGGCAGCACCGAAGAGTGGGGGGCGAACAGGGGCAGGCGCCGAGAGTTGCTCATCCTTCTGTCCAGGACGCTTCTTGACCGCAAACCCTTCCTCATCAACCTCCAATCCTGCCTTATGACCAGTAGTCTTCTGAGTCTGTTGCGAAGCAGCGTATTGGGCAGCCTTGCGAGCACGGTAAGCCTCCTCGTCACGGTGGTACTGGGTCTTGAAGTAATAATCCTCCTTCTGCCAGCGGGGGGCCTGCAAGTTTTCGGGCTTCTCGACCTTGGACAAGTTCTCCATGATCTCTTTGACAGCCTCGTCCGAGTACTCTGCCGTCGCCTGGGGTTCCAAACGCATGATCTTCGTGATGCCCTCAAAGTAAGTGGGGAGGGTCAACATCTCCATGAACTTGTAGAGGACATCGACTCCCTGGGCTCCCTCGACCTGGGTCGGGTGGTTGCTGCGAGCAAGGATACGCTTCTTGCAGTCATAGAATTCGGTATCCATAATAATAACATCGACCTCGGGGATGGAGAGCTGAGAGGCAATGTTGATCCAGACTTTGCGTTGGTCCTGGTCAAAGTTGCAGCGGTCGATAACAACGGATTGGGTCCGGTTGTTGGCCTGGAGGGCGGACATTGTCAGCTCCTCGCAGGCATGTCTGTCGCCCAAATCGTCCTGGTTAATACGGACAAAGTTCTATTTTGGATCGTTTTTTTTTCAATTGATGTTATTAGTCTTATGTTGATAGGAAAGATGTTTTGTTTCCTTTAGGCTATTATATTATGTTGGATGTTGTTGTTGTTGGTGTTGTTGTTGGTTGAATGCAGAACAGGAATTAGACGTACGGGAAAGACTTTGGTGAGGGCCTTGGCAAAGGTAGACTTTCCCGAACCGGGGGGTCCGATGAGGAGGAGGACCTTCTGAGCAGACGACATGGTTGGATGGATGGAATGGGATGTAGGAAGAGGAGATCGAAGTTAGATTTGGATCTTGGACTTGTAGCAGCCTGGGCGTTCATTCACTTTTTTTTTTTTTTTTTGCCATCAATCCTTTGTATATGTAATCTCGTTATAAAAGTCACGTTACCTGTGATTTATAGAGGTAGGCGGCGAAGGGCGAGGAAGAGCGACCTGTCGTGGAGGTGGAGGGAAACGTAGCGAGGTTCAGATCGCAATATTGAGCATGTTCAAGAAGGAATGTTGATTGAATGTTACTTTACGATAGAAGACGCATTGGCCTTATGGGTAGAATCGTAAATGCTATTATTCTTTAGAAGGTCGACGCGTCCAACTGTCCCTGATGATAGTTCTGTTGTTGATGATTTGGCCCAAATGCAGGGTCCACCCTCATTCTCTCTTTCGCCACTCGGAAAGTGAACAAGGACCGTTTCGGAAGCAGTTGGGTACACACAATAAAAACAACAAAGTGCTTGTGAATTAAAGTAGTATTTGTACGGGCGGGCAAACGGTGAGTGTAACGGGGGAGTGTAAGCTGACCATCTTCGAGCCGAGAACATGAGGGTTGTAAACATATAAATACCACTGTCGCTCCGTCCTTTGTAACCCTTTCTATCTTCAATCTTTTCCACACTCTCAAGCAACCATTCGACACCATCAGCGATTTCCAACGGCTTTCAGGACCCTAGGTTTTTTTTTCGCACGCTTCAGCACTATCAACCATCTTGATCGAGCATAGCATGGGGCAAGGATGAATCATGGATGATACAAACCAACGAGGACGAAAGGCGAAAAGGCCATGAGTCCAAGGTGCAGCGATCTTACAGGTCAGTCTAATTGGCTTCTTCTATCTCTCTGCCTTGCATCCCGGTTCTTTTTCGAGCTGCATACATACCCTAGTAGGGCAGGAGAGTTGTTTTATTTCCCCCCGCTCTCTTGTACACTTTCTTCCCCACGTACCACATGCCAAAAAAATCGAGCCACAGAAAAACTCTGAAATCTTTTTCTCCACAGATTTCAGAAGGGATTTCACGGAACAAAAGACATACAGGAGTGTACACGCGACTCGAGTACTGTACTGAATTTTTAAAAAATATATATATAAAAAAGTCCGGGGAAAGAAAAGGAAAAAGGAAAAAAAAGGAAAGAAGTGTCCATGGCGACCACAGTGATGGAGTGTGGGAAAGTTCTTGTGTTGATAAGTTCTTTTTTTTTTGTTCTTCCCGGGTAGTTTTTTTCGGGGAATATGTCAATAACAATAACAACAACAGAAAAGTTAGGATGACTTTCTACACAGGACCCGCATGACGATAAGTTGTCGACACGGACAGGAAGAAGGATAAGAAGGAAAGGCTCGATTTGGCAATTGGCTCCGAGAGTATGGAGAAGTCAAGCAAGAGTGGAAGAAAAAAAAAGGGGAGCCCTGTTCAAAAGGGCGAGAATAGGAAAGATGGAGGGAAAAGAGAGAATGAGGAGATGGCATGCAAGAAGGAAGGAGTATGTATCTCTCTTGATGCATGTGGACGACCGTCGGCGGGGAAATTAGCACATCGGACTCTTACAGATTATTTAGAGGTACACATGTGGGTGCCCTGGAGATCATTCCAAGCAGGATTTCAGGATACCCACGGACTTCAATCACTATGGCCGTCTTGAGGCATTGAATCAATGAACAACAAGACACCAAAAACGACAAGCCCAATGATGAATCAGCAAGCAACGACCAGTGATGAAAAACAACAACAACATAGGGCAGTCATCGACAACATTCAGGTCGAGTGGGTGATGGTGATGGTGATGATGATGATGATGCTGATGTATAGGAATCGATAGGATATCAATGACCTATTGATGGGCACGAGAGACATATAAATAGGCTGCTGCTTTACCACTCTTTCTTTTTTTTCCTTCCCTTCTTCGTTCTCCTTTCACCACATCCATCATCTCCTTCCTTCTCCTCCTCCTTGTTCGTCCGCTGTTGTTCGTTCGTCCTCGGTTGTGTCTTTCTTGACTCTTTCATTCTCTCCACTCCACTCCCCACTCTTCCTTCCTTCACCCCACTCCCCACTCTTCTCTTTATACCTGAAACCTTTCTCCACTTTCCACTTCTCCATTCTCTTGTACTCATTCAACTCTTTTTAGCACATTCACTCATTTCACTCATTCAAAATACTCTTTCACTGCACACACAAAAACACTCTTCTTTTCACACTTCTTGACTTCACTCGTCCCATAACCCTGTACATTTATCACTCTCGACTACAGCTGCCAAGATGCCGCCACATATTACAAACAACAACAAGCGCGCGCCCATGATTTCGCTCTTTGCAACCGCGCCCCTGCCAGACCTCAACAAGTCCGCCACCAATTCTCCAGACTCATCCCCGACCCTCGGCGCTCTCAGCATCAGTGCCAGCCCACCTCCTCTCACCCTTGCCCAAGAATGCTCCATCATGGACAAGGGACAAGACAAGCTGCCCAACCTACCCATTCCCCCACTCGAGCAGACCCTGGCCCGCTACCTCGACACCGTCCGCCCTCTGACAACTGATCAGGAGTACGAACGCACTGTCGCTGCAGTCAAAGATTTCCAGGGACAGGGGCCCTCACCGAAAGGCTTACTCCCCCTTGGTGTCAACCTTGATAAACGGTTGAGGGAACACGCTAGTGAATGTGAGAAGCGGGGGACGAGTTGGTTGGCAGAGTGGTGGGATGATTGGGCTTATTTCACCCATCGTGATCCTTCGACGTTCTTTGTGAACTATTACTTTGGATTCCAGGATGATCCTCGTATGCCTACCCAGACCGCCCGCGCTGCCTTGCTTGTCAGTCTTGCCCTCGAGTTCCGCCAACTCATCGTCACGTAAGTTTTTTTGCCTGTGAATGTCTATATCAGTGTGAAGGCCATTGAGGAGAGCCAGCTGTAGGTATTAGTGTAAGCAAATCGAGGACGAAATGTGAAAAGGACAGAGTGTGTCGCGGTGTATGTTAGTGCATGTAATTGAGGCCAAAGTGTGAAAAGAAGAGCGAGCTGTGAATGAACTTTCTACTCGATTTGGTTTCTTCCCCCGTTCTCCCTCGTCTTGCCTCTGACACATGAAAGGAGGGTCGATTATTTTCGTTCTGTTACGAGAAACTAAGGCAGGGAGTGGAGAAAAAAAAAAAGAATCGATGAGAGCACCATGTAATCACATAAACAAAGAGCGAATACAGAGAGTTGGCATGAGTATATACAAAAGGTGCGCAGGGAAGGGCAGGGCAGGGGAAAAGCAAGGCACATGGGTTCCATTTCTCTTCTTTCTCTGTCTCCATTTTCAGCCTTTCACCCTCCATCAGATACGATCGACCACATCCACACTGTCATCATCAGCACCTCTTGTTTACGTTTGCAATTTCATTTGAATCTTCTGTTTGTGTCCATACCTCATGGCAGATTGTCGGTTTTTATTATTGCATTGTTTTCTTGCTTATATACTCTTTGCGTAATGGTAGTGGTTCTTCGTTTATGCTGGTCCTTGTGTCAGGGACTATCCCACGCGCTTCTTCCTATTTTGGATTTCCGGAATTCGCCTACGAAGAAGGGAAAAGTTGTTGTTACTACTCGCACTACAACAACCTACACTGCCCGAAAGAACACACGGACAGCAAACAAGACAAACAAAACAAGTGCTGACAATCGCTTATCTATCTTTCGATCTCATGCTCCTTATTCAAACAGGCGCACCCTGACCCCGGATCTGGCGAGGAATGCGCCCTTCTGCATGAACATGTACCAGTACCTCTTCAACTACTCCCGCATCGCTGGCCCAAGTGCCGACTCCGCCGTCGGCTTCCCCGCAGAGACAAACAACCACATCTGCGTCGTCCGCAACGGCAAGTTCTACATCTTTGAGACCCTGCATCTCCCCTCCAAGCCCAACTCGGTCCTCTCCCCACGCGAGATCATGATCCAACTCGAACGCATCAAAAAGATGGCTGACGACGACAAGTCCTCTGTCCCCGAAATCGGTATCCTCTCCACGACCCATCGCGACCAGGCTGCCAAGGACCGTGTCACTCTCTTTGAAGCTCACACTTCCAACAAGGCTCACATGGCCAAGATTGAGACCTCGATGTTTGTCCTCTGCCTCGACTCTAGCTCACCCTCGACCTCAGAGGAATTCTCGCGCGCCTGCTGGCACGGTGACGGCGCATCCCGTTGGTTCGACAAGTGCTTCCAATTGATTGTCTTTGCCAACGGTCGCGCCGGTATGAACGGAGAGCACTCCAAGATGGACGCAACTCCTACTTCCCGTCTCTGCCGGTTCATGATTGACGAAGCCCAGGCTCGGAACCTGCCTGATTTCAGGAACCTGAACGCCGAGGACCTGTACGAGTGCGCCTCAGCATTGGACAAGCCCCAGCCCCTTAACTTTATCACCAGCTCCGCTCTCGACCGTGCCATCGCCAACGCCCATGTGACATTCAAGGAGACCGTCGATGCTCACCAGATGGTTCCAACAGAGTTCAAGGGCTACGGAAAGGGTCTCATCAAAGCCTTCAAGATGTCGCCCGACGCCTATGTCCAGATGGCGCTCCAGCTAGCCTACTACCGCAAGCACGGAGAGCTGGTCGCGACCTACGAATCGGCGGCGACGCGCAAGTACCGTCATGGACGAACAGAGACCGCCCGCTCGTGCTCGATTGAGAGCAAGGCGTTCTGTGAGGCGATGGACAACCCTGACATGTCTCTCAAGGCCAGGGCTGCTGCTTGTCGCGCAGCAGTGGCTCGCCATGCCCAGTATACTGCCTGGGCCGTTGATGGACAGGCCGTTGATCGTCATTTGTTGGGGCTGCGGTTGATTCGCAGGCCAGAGGAGGAAGTGCCCGCCATGTTCCAAGACCCGGTCTTTGCCAGGACATGTCGTTGGAGATTATCGACGTCCCAGATCTCGGACGATTGTTTTATTGCGTACGGCTGGGGAGAAGTCGTCCCTGATGGGTACGGATGTGCGTACATGGTCAAGGAGACGGAGCTTTATTTCTGTGTGACGAGTTTGGGCCTGGGATCCAAAGAATTTGGTCAGCATATTGCTGAGGCCTTGGAGGATATGCGTTTCACATTCGAGGAGGTCCGCAAGATTGAGAAAGCCGAAGCGGCCGAGGCGGCTCATGCAGCTGCTGCTGCTGCTGCAGAAGCGGCCCGTGTTGCTACGGAAGAGAGGGAGAAGGCAATGGCTGCTGCCGTTGCCAACGGCGAGGAGTCGACCAACATGGTCCTTCCTATGATTGATACGACGACGCCTGGTTTCTTTGGGTCGGGCGGAGTGGATCTTATTTCGCGCAGTCCTTCCCCACCATCGCTGTCCAAGCCTCCACCAAGGACAAGTCTGTTCTTCCAGAAGGACGATCCTGTGTTGAGGACGGCACTGGCAAGGAATGCGATGGCGATGGCACAGGAAAAGTATTGGTCCGGTATTGACGATATTGCGTTTGATGACGTGACGCCTGGGTCGCCCAAAGCTAAGACCGCCAGGCCTCAGTTGCCGACGAACAACTCGACCTCGATCTCTGCCAGTTCAGCCTCGCTGCTGTCGAACAGCTCTTCGTCTTCAGCTTCGACGCAGCAAGGAAACAGGATGAGATCGTCGAGCCAATTGATGGGAGGCGGTGGCAGGCCAAGGAGTGATTCTGGCGCCAAGAGGACGTTTATGGCGATCTTGATGGGCGAGGACAGTGTCCTTGGCCGCCTCCGATCCCGTCGTGCCAACTCCAACCTCAGCAACTCTAGTAACAAGTAGTTGCTGTATGTTTTCATTAACGTCATTTTTTTTTCTACACGATTTTCATAACATAGCATTCAGTTTTCTTTTAGTCCCTTTTTTGCACACACCCGGACACAACGAATAAAAACAACAAACAATAAAGAACGACAGCCACCTTATGTAAAAACAACAGTTGTCAATTGGAGCATGTGCCAGTCTGTGGGATGTGAACATGACCTGCCCTGCCCAAGGGCGACTGAGTAGGCGAGATTTTGCCTAAGGGCAACAAGGTATCCTTTCCTTAGTACCAAATGTCTATCAATCATGGAACAGCCAATTTGAGATCAAATCTCCCTTCATCCTATCTCTTCTCTCCACATACTTCTTGTCTCGCTTGTGCAGTACTTTTACGCCCCTTGGTCACTTTCATTTCTGTTTGTCTTTTGTCCTTTACTTCCTCTTATTCCTATTCTTCTCTTTCCTCTTGCTTTTGCAGATCCACCCCCCATCCTCTCTCCTCTTTCTCTATCGACACGACTGCATTTTAAAAGAAGCTCGCACAAAGCGTACTTTGACTCTTTCTTCTCTTTTGACTTTTCCATCTCGACCATTACCGATCACGATCTACAACCAACCAGCAACCAACCAGCACACCATCACAACACTTGAGCGTCCTTCTTGAACAGGAGGAAGAGAGCTACTCTCAAGTAACGCCACCACTTTTTATTTTTGTAAGTTTGCCTTTCCCATGACAACAAACAACACCGGGAAAAAGTGCTCAATGGAAAATACAAAAACAAAACAACAAAAAAAACGACAAAACGTTGTGGTTGATGGAATAAGGGAAAAAACCCAGCAGTGCTCTCGTTGTTGTATGCATGTTGGTGCCACTCAGGTGGGAGAGTTGAGGGTGAGAGTTGAGAGTGTGTCATCATTGTCGTCAGAAAAAATGCTCTCTTGTCCTGAACACCAGATCGTCAACATGCTGTTTTTTGAGTTGTTAACAAGACATGAACTTTACTTTTTCATTCTTTGCATGACCACGTTCTCATGGACACATGGTGTATGGGTGCAAGGTGGGACATGGCATGGACCATGGTATGAGCCATGGCGTGCATGGTTTTTTTGCTATGCTCCCTTGTGTTTTTTTTTCTATGTTGGCTCTTGCATGGTGAATGAGTGAAGTTCGAGCGATTGTTGAGCGCGATGGCGCTTACCAGGTGCAAAGGGACACAACACGCACACGGCCTGCTTTATACTGAAGACACTCACTGAGTACGAAGCGATGGGATGGAAGTCTGTCAAACAGTCAAGCTGCTGCCACTTTTTTTGACAGGGGGCTGGAGAGGAGTTTGCCCAAGGCCTTTCAAGGACGAACGAATAGGAGCGATAGCCAATTTATTTCCTTTATTAAGCATACGCCATTGACAGCCATGGTTTCGCATCGCTTCTCCAATCTTTCCTTCATCTCATTCTTTCATTCTTGTTAGTCATCGTACTCCACTTTTCTTTTCTCTTTCTTTTGGGTATGGTAGCACCACTGGCTTGCGCTGTCCGTGTGCCACACTAGCACACACACCCTTCAATTGGACATTTTAGCTCGTTCCTGCTGGCTTTATTTGTCGTTCGTGGTTGTGTGTTCTCGTACGACAGACAGACAGGTCGATGCCCATCTCATCGCTTGGTCATATCGATTCCCACATACTGAGGCATAACACATTTCCACACCGAGCCTTGATTCTTTACCTACAACCTCTCTCTAACCTGTCTTACGTTCTTTGTTCACAATCTATAGACAACAGCTCGCATTTCGTGGAAAACACAGGAGGACGAGGCAAAACAGAGGTTGGATTGAACACAAAGCAGGAATACTTTCCCCTCTTCGTCGTCTTCTTGCAAAGAATCCTCAATTGACGCAGGATTTCATTAGAGGTATGTTGTTATTGCGTGCGAGAGAATATTTTTTTGATGGGTTGGAAGAAAGAGATACGATGTTTGGGGTTAAAGTCAGTAAGGGGATTATCGTTGCACCATTGGACCATGAACCATCGTCCAAATGGACCCATGAACGACGAAAGGGAGTCACACATGGATGTATATTTTCATTCGAGGACAGTACAACACCTGCAACGACCAGGAAGGGAGACATGGGATAAAGGGACAGACAGGAGACAGGAGACAAAAGAGAGAGAGGGGGGTGAATATGCGCACTTAAAAAAGAAAAGAGGAAGCCAACGAACGAACTAAAGAGCAAGTAGGCATGATGGGATATGGCCTGTTCGATACTGTGGCATCCTTTTAGAATCAACAGCAATAGCAGCAACAGCAACAGCAACAGAATCCATCTGATATGCACCCTATCCTCATACTATCAATCGTCTTCCTTTCCCTTTCCTTCCAAGTAACAACATTCTGCCCCTTTCCCGTCCTTCTTCCGCTCCTACCTTGGTTGTTGTTGTTCTTCTTACTCCTTTTCACCCCTTTCGCTTCCTTTTCCATCTGTTCCCCCCTTGTGAGTCTGGTGGATGGGTGTGGAGGATATATTTCTTGGCTTTGCCTGGTTCTTGTTGCTTGTTGCGTTTTGCTTTTTGCTGTGTGTCTTCGGACATGGTGGGGGGAGGTGGTGCCCTTCTTTACGGCCGGTACTATAATTACACGAAGAAAACACGAGCAGCGCATCAATTGGATCCCTTCAACCTCCTCCCTTTTTTTCCTTTCGTTCAATTGATTATTTGTTAAAAAGGGTACCCGGGCCTGTGTTCGATGTTTGTTCACATATGCCTCACTCATTCATGTCGATGGATATATTTCTGCTTGCGGTTTTTTCCATTCTTCTTTTTCCTTCCTTCCCTTCCTTTTGCCTCCCTTTATCCTGTATCCTTTTTTTTTTTTTTTTTTTCTTTCTTTCTTTCTTCATTTTTACTTCTCACTTCCGCCTTTCTTCCCTTTCCCTTTCCCTTTTCCTTTTTCCTTCTCCACTTCGCACTCACCACCTGTCACTTCTCCTCCCACATCATCGCTCTCATCACCTCCACTCCACCTTTAAACTTGCCTTCTTATTTCTTTTTGCCTCCTTCCATTGAACAACCCATCCTTTCCTAACCTCCCCCTCCTTTCCTCTCCTTTATTCAGAAAGACACACGAGGGAACACCTTACGACCAAGCAACCCAACCCAGCGTGTGTGAGAGAGCGTGAGTGATTGACAAAAAACCCCAAGATATCAACTCGGGAAAAGACAAGCAACCATCCGCAAACCACGATCAACCCATCTGCAACGACTACAACACACCAACAAACACACATCCCCTTTCTTCCTTTCCTCTCTTCTTCCCTTGTCTCGTCTTCCCACTGATCCTAATCGCAGCAACAATAATTCAGTGAGACTCTCACGACGACCCTGCCACTATTATTATCAACTGCACTCGTCTAACAGGTCCTTCCTTCTCCTGTTCCTCTCTTGCTTCTTTCTCTTCACCTCCCTTGCTCTTACAATATCGAATACAACAGTCGAAAGTGACATCAACACACTAAGGGGAATAGGCCTCCGCTCTGCGCTCCTTGTTGCCAGCAACGTACAACAGTCAACAATCCACACATATCCACCACCATGGACCCCCCCTCGGCGACAACGACAACGTCCGCCACCCCTCCCATAGGGTCCACGACCGGCTTCCATCCTAGCATGCCCACCATCACCACCACCTCGGCTGACCTCGCCGCCTCCATCCCCTCCTTCGCTGCCGCCCGCCGCGCAAGAGCCGATACCCTCCCCTCAAGACCCTCCGTCTTTCTCCAGGACCCAACTGCCTCTCCTCAAGGCCTCGCCGGAACCACCGCTGCCTACTCGCTCGGAGGCAAGAATCCTCCAGGCACACAGAGACCCCTCCGGAGGACTCCAAGCTTGCTCGTCCCACCGCAATTATCGACACGTCATCGATCCGGGTCCCTGACTTTACCCTCTGCCTCAATTTCAGCTGCCTTTGGGCCCTCAATCTTTACATCCTCGTGGGGCGACCCAGACTCGCCTTCAGGAGACCGCCCAGCTACCACCCCAACGACGCGCGAGATGCTCTTTGACTCGGAAAACGAGAATGCTATCATGAGCACCCTTGATGCCCTCGGATTGGATGATCCCGTCCAGTCCGGAAACACTGGTGCCGGCTCCACCATTAACAGCATGAACATAGGAATCATCAGCAACGCCAACGCCAGCAATACCAGCACCGGTAACGGCGCCCTTCCTCCAGGCATCCATACTAACCATAGAGTGGGAGTCGACTTGCGCAGCCGATCTGCATCTTTCGCCTCGTCTGCTCTCTCCCATCTCGAACTCGGCTCTTCCCGTGGATCTCCTACGCCCTCGATGTCGTCTGGCTTGGGCATGGGCGGTCTTAGCAGCAGAAGTAACAGCATCAACAGCCTCAGCAGCATTGGCGGTCTCAGCACCGTCAACAGCCTCAATCTCAACGGCATGAACGGAATGAACGGCATGAACGGTATGAAGAACGCTGGCTCTACTGGCAGCCCTAACACTGGCGGTACCAATGGTCACATCAGCAGCGGCAGCATCTCTGGACTCTCTATGCCCGACATTCGCCTGGAAAAATCTCTTGCCCACTCTCTCTTGAAGCCCGGCGGTGTCAGCTTTGCCAACAGGATCCGATCATACTCTGTCTCCACTCCCCCTGCCTACCAAGAAGTTCTTGAAGATGAGTTTGAGGACGAAATTGGCCAATTGACCTCCAGTTCGCCTTCCTCGGGATCATCCAGCACCTATATCTCTTCCACAGCGGGCGGCGTTCACCAGTTCCAAACGTTCCAGCAAACCCATTCTCGACCTCGTGCCATCAGCATGGGCTTTTTGGAGATTCCTCATGATATTGCGGACGAGCAGCGCAAGTTTGCGATGGCTGGCCCTCGTAGCTACAGTGACATGAAGGCTCGTCAGACACATCAGCGAACGACCAGTGCTGGCGCTGATATGCTTTCAGAGATTGTCAACGGTATGGGAGGTTCTCCCGACAAGGCTACAACCTCCAATGGACTGGCCAATGGCACTCCTTCCACAGCTACAACCACTGGAAGCAGCAATTCGAACAGCAGCAGCGGCAACGGTGGCAATGGTTCCAATGGCGCATCTGGTCATTCGCACTCGCACTCCCTCTCTCACAGTTACAGCAGCCAATTGCACGCACAACAGTTACAACAACAACATCATGCCCGGCCTCAGCGACCAGGACATCAACACAGCAACAGCTTCAGCGGACGAGGTCTGGCGGACGAGAACAACTTCAGCCACCTCCTGTCTAATGGTCTCGATATTCAGGTAAGCAGTAGTGATCTATTGTTTGTTCTTTTTGCTTCTATTGTTTTCGTTACTAGTGTGCGTTGATCAATTGAATACTATGTTGCTGTCTTTCATTCAAATGCGGGGGATGGTTCATGGGGAAAAGAAGGCGGTTGTGAACGGTTGTTGTTTGGGGGGTGGAGTGGGAACACAGTGGTGGTTTTATTTTAGTCTTGGGTATGAAGTCATTCGGGATTATGACAGTGTTTCATCATTATTATTATCTATGCCGTGAAAATTACTCTATTGTTGAGTTATTTTATTTACTGTTGGCAAAACAAATACTTGGTTGGACCAATTGAGAAGGCGATCGTCTGCTTGGAATCTAAGAAAAGGGATTGAGAATGAAGGCCCTAGTAATTGGCAGGTTTACAATGTTCTATCTTCTTACTTCTCTGTTGCTTACATGATCGTCTCTAGGACCAGAGTCTTAATGGAGCTTCAACACCCCCCTTCCAGGACTCGACCTTGTCCTCAGCCGCTGCTGCAGTGACTCAACAGGTGCCCACCCGTTCGCTCTGGATTGGAAATGTCGATCCCAATTTTACCACCAACGATTTGATGCAGGTCTTTAGCCCCTTTGGCCCTGTTGAGTCCCTCAAGGTTATTCCAGACAAGGAATGTGCATTTATCAACTTTACACGAGTTGAGGATGCTATGAGAGCCAAGGAGGACATTTCAGAACGTCGTGGAGGCAGGATCGGGAATGCCACTGTCCGTGTCGGTTATGGAAAGGCTGAGTTGATGAACAACGCCGATGCCCCCGTCCTTCACCCAACTCGCGCCCTCTGTAAGTGACGTTGCGATGCATCGACTCTTGTACTCATGCACGCCACACTACGTAATTTATTCCATATGTACAAGAGGGCGCAATTGTATGCATTAGGATCTCACAAATACTCACTCAAGCATTTTTCGCTTTTATGCCTTTTAGGGATCGGAAATATCCCCGCTTCGACAACGCCTGCCGCGCTGCATGCCATGTTTTCTCACTTTGGAACCATCGAGTCGGCCCGTGTCTTGACGCACAAGTCGTGCGGATTTATTAACTTTGAAAACATGGAGGATGCTGTCATTGCCAAGAAGGTCATGCACGGACAAGAGGTCTTTGGCCCCGGTACTGGAGCAGTGCGTATTGGATTCGCCAAGGTTCCCACGAAGCAGTCGCCCAGCGACAGCCCCTCGCCTGGTCATGGCGATCCTTTGGATGTCGCTGCAGAGAGAGCTTCCGGCGCTTCCAACAGAGCCTCCAGGCAGGATTTGGACAGTCCTACTGAGCTTGACCGTATGCTTTCCCTGATGACTATGGCTGGTAAGAGTCAGGCGGCCTTGAACGGTGAACGAGAGCTCTCCTCAGACCAAGATCCTGCCTTTGAGCGTTTGGCCATGCTGCAGGAGTTTAATGTGGAGGGCGAGCCCGAGCCTGCGCAGGAGCCCGTTCCTGCTTCCTTGACAGAGCCTGTCACTTACTTTCCGACGATCCCTGCAGTTGCAGAGCCTTCTCCTCACCGCCGCCTGGATGCCCCCCGTTTGAGAGAGATCCGCAAGCGTCTCGACAGCGGTCATTGTACCCAGAAGGAGCTCGACAGTCTTTCGAACGAATGCATGGATGAGTGTGTCGAACTCTGCAGTGGTATTTTTTTCTGACTTTTTTTTCCGTGCGACGAGACTTTTCTGCTGCGGACATAAGATACTCACAACTCTCTTCTTCCTTCTCTATGATAGACTACATTGGTAACACGGTGATGCAAAAGTTGTTTGAGCGTTGCTCGGAGACGCAAAAGACAAAGATGTTGGAGTTGATTGCGCCCCACCTCGCCTCGATTGGTGTCCACAAGAACGGAACATGGGCCGCTCAAAAGATTATCGATTGTGCCAAGAGCCCCGCTCAGACCGAGTTGATCTGCAAGCACGTTCGACCCTTTACGCCTCCATTGCTGCTCGACCAATTTGGAAACTATGTCGTCCAGTGCTGCCTGCGTCTTGGACAGTCCAGGAACGGTTTCATCTTTGAGGCGATGGCGGACAAGTTTTGGGAGATTGCTCAGGGTCGTTTCGGTGCCCGTGCCATGAGAGCCTCACTTGAGAGCCAGCATGCCAGCAAGCGTCAGCAGGTAATTACTTTCGTTTGTGGAATGCTCTCACTTGTCATTTTTGCTCAAGATTTATACAGAAGGAGTCGATACTTACCACAAATTGTGTTCTTCTCATCACCTCAATCATAATGCAACAGAAACATGTTGCGGTTGCGGTTGTACAGAATGCGTTGGCATTGGCTACCAACCCTAACGGAACGTTGATGTTGACGTGGCTTTTGGACAACTCTCAGTTGGCAGGACGATACCGTGTCCTTGCTCCCCGCCTTGCACCCCACATGGCGACCTTGGCAACACACAAGCTAGCTTCATTGACGATCCTCAAGGTCATCAACCAGCGACAGGAACCTGATGCTAGCGATATTATGATCAACAGCATTGTGCACTCGAGCCAGGATCAGGTGTTGGTCGAGATCCTCGGCGATCAGGTCCACGGTGTCAGCTTGATCCAAAAGATCCTGGCGTCGCCCAATGTCGAACAGCAGCAGAAGCATGCTTTAGCCGAGAAGGTCAAAGGTGTCTTGTCTAAGTTGAGCGCACAAACTGTTCAGGGATGCAAGCGGTTATTGGAGGAGGTTAATTTGGTCTTAGGAGGCGATGGCTCGACACCGGATCACCTCAAGTTGACCCCAGGTGCAGGAGGATACCCACCAGCAGAGTACGCAGCCTCTGCTGCCAGTTTCTACGCGGCCATGACGGCCAGCCAGCACCAGTTGCACGCACCTTCAGTGCCCGGCAGAGATGGTGCCTCTACGCACGAGTCTGGATCGGGTATGAACTCTGAGGGACAGGACGGAAACCATGCGACTGGATCGTCAACGCCATTGACACCTGGCGGTCACCTGGCCTCTGGCGCGATGGGCCATGTAGGAGCCTACTCGATGCAGCACAATCCTTATTATGCGATGCCCCACAGCCAGGTCTATGGTCACTACCCTGGCCAGATGTCACCCTACTATGGACCAGGAGCGGCGTTTATTCCACAGCCAATGACGACGATGGGATACCCCGGAATGATGCCCCAGGCAGGATTTAACCCGTATGCGGCAATGGCACCTCCAGGCATTGGCGGCGGGCTGCCTCATCCTGGTCTTGCCGACGGGTCACAGTTGAATGGATCAGCAGTGTTCCTGCAGCAGCAGCAGCAGCAACAGCAGCAGCAGCAGTTGTACCACATACAGCAACAACAACAACAGCAACAGCAGCAGTTCCAACAGCAACAGTAATTCATGAAACCCGCTGTGCACAACTCGGCAGCCATATTTATATCCCTGTTTTTCTTCTTTTTCTTTTTCCTTCTCTTCTTTTCGGTTTTTCGCCATGGTTTTCATTCCAGTTCTAAACATAGTCTTTCTTTTACCTTCGTCCTTTTCATTCATCGCCAGTCTTCGTCTCTTATGAGGTCGCAGCGCACTGGGATAGACGGGGGTTGCGGCCGTGTCTCCAGGAGATGTAATACTCCACACCCGTTCTGTTTTTTACGTGTTTATGTCGTTCTTTTTCATTTCTTTTCTTGATGTCGTTTCTTTTTCAGTTGTTTCTTCTTGGTGCCTCACTCTCTCTCTTCCAAAAAATAACCTCCCAAACGTTGCCTTTGTTGCGAGTCCCTTTTTCATTTCTCTTTTTTTTTTTTTTCCCTAATCAAGTTGTACAACACTTTCAAATAACAAAACCATCTCCAAGCAAAACCTTGTCAATGCAACCTGGTGTGTCTTTATGATTTTGAAAATGCAAAATTGATGTGAATGATGGTTGATGCTGCTACATTTACAACTGTGCATACAGGTAGGCTACTCTGTTCACGAACGGACGATATCCTGAATGAGCTGTGAAGCTTGATCTTCCGTTTTGCAGCCAATGATCTGCATCAATTGATCAAGACGTCGATCCGGCCGTCCTCCTCCTCCTCCTTGTTGAAGCTGAAGCTGTCGTCGCTGCTCGACACGTCGTTCCAGAATGTGCTCCAGCTCCTTCGACTTTACTTTCGCCTTGTTGATCAGCGATCCCGACAGCTTTGCCATCCTCGCCACATTCAGTCTATTATTTGTAGGTGGAGTTAATCATATAGTTAGTTGGGAACGATTGATGATGTGGAGGAAAGTGGTGCGACGCGGACCATTGACAGAAGAACTTACCCATAACTCTTCAAGGAGACGCCAGGAACGAGCTTGTACAAAAAGACAATATCCATATCATCCAGAGCTGCCTCCTCCTGCCCTTCATCACCACCTTCACCCAGATCCAAGTCTAGTCCATCGTTGCAGGCACCGCCGCCGCTCAAGGACAGAGACCCAGCAACAGAGGCCATAAACCCCATATGAAAATTCCTTACAGTACCCTGGGGAAACTCACGCGCAACATCCGCAAGGGACGGGTAATGCGTCACAAACAGCGTTACTGCCCGGATATTCTCCACAACATGCTTCAACACCGCATATGCGATGGCAACCCCATCAAGCGTCGAGGTTCCCCGCCCAAGCTCGTCCAGGATCACAAGTGACCGCTCAGTAGCCATCTTCAAGATATCCGACGTCTCCTGGAGTTCAACCATGAACGTCGACTCGTGGCCAAAGATGTTGTCCGATGCGCCCATGCGCGTATAGACCGCGTCCAGCATCGACACCCGCGCAGAGTCCGCAGGGAGGTAGGACCCGATCTGGGCCATGATGCACAACAGGGCCACGGTGCGGATATAACAACTCTTGCCGCCCATGTTGGGTCCTGTCAAGATGATCGTCTTTTCATCTGTTCCTATGGCTTGATTGGTGCCGAGTTGGATATCGTTCGCCACAAAATTGCCCGAAGACAATAATAGCTGCTCCACCATCGGATGTCGCCCATTCTTGATATCAATCGTCATTGAGGCTCCAGATTTCGACCGCCGCTTCCCGACTAACGATCCAGTAACCTGCACCTCATCATCATCCATACCCTGATCCTCGCCCGCGCCCTCATTCACACCAACAACGGTATCGTCCACATACTGAGGCTTGACATACCCAGGCAAGCAAGCAACAACCGCTAACGAGAACAGACAATCCAAAACCGCCAGATTCTGGACAAGATCCCGGAACACCTCATACCGTTCCGAGAACTCGTGTTGGAACGAAGCAAAAGCCCGATCACACGCCATTGCCAATCGTTCCTGGTTCTGAGCCTTGGACGCCACCAACTGGATCACTTCTGGTGTATGAAAACGAGACACTTGCTTTGTTCTATCGTCACAAACACATAAACAAACAAGGTTAATTATCGCATACAAACTAACATCTCACACCGTTTGACACTAACATGCGAAGGAAAGAGACGTACCCGCTGATCTTGACCCAGTTCTTGGGCACCTTGGCAGTATCCTTGTTCTTAACCTCGACAAGGTACTCGATTCCCGAGACCGCCGCGAATTCCAACTTTGGCTCCCGCAACAGTTTTCGGATCCTCACCAACTCTTCTTTCAAATCATCCTCCGTTGCCACAATATCCTACAGCAATACAAACGATCAGAAAGTAACGCGTTAGATCCTTGCGACTTGACTAATGCCAAATACGCACACCAATATCAATGGGATACATACGTTGCGGTGGACGAGAATCTCGGGCCACTTGTCAGCAATTAGCTCATCCTGAAACATCAACAGCTTGTCGTTCTTGGCCGCAGAGCTCTTGTTCAGCCCTTCCAAAAAGTACTGGCTGTCTTCCAACGCGTTCGATAAGGACCCGATGAGGCGGTGTAGCATTGGGCTGGTCAGTCCAAAATCGGCGTTTGTCCTGCATCGTTTCTCCTCGGGCAGGATCGTTGACACCTTCATAAACGTCTGTACAATCGCCAAAAACTCCTTTGGAGACGACTATGAACAAACAAGTAAAACATATGGTCAATGACCTTGCCTCTCGACATAGAAATATAACAACTACATTCATTCCGAGAAGGATGCTTACTTTTCCATAGTGGATGCGACAGACGCCCTTTTCCATGTCCATGAGTCCCTTGAGGGCAGCGCGCGCATTGTCCAGATAGACATTCTTGCCAGTCAGTGCCAAAATCTCTTCAACCGCATCCACACGTTCCTGAAGCGCTTCCTTGTTGACAAGAGGCTTCCCGACCCATTTCTTGAGCAATCTCCGTCCGAATCCTGTGCTCGTATGATCCAAAATCGCAAACAAAGATCCCTTGGAAGTCCCGTGGGTCTGGTTGCGGTAGATCTCGAGGTTGGAGATCGTGTTGCCGTTCAGCAGCATGTGTGATCTCGAGGTGAAGCACTCAAAGTACTTTGATAATTGAAAGATCGAGGCGAGCCCAAACGCGGTAAGATGGGTCAGGATTGCAGACAGGGCGATGATGAGTTCTTTGGAGAGACCAAGCACCGTCTTGAGAAGCGCCTCCTTTTGACTCTTCTTGGCCGGTCCATCCGCAGCACCTCCTTCTCCCTTGATCTTCCGCTTCAATTGCTCTTCCTTCAAGCTATCCGAGTAGAACTCTGAAACAAGCGAGAATGCTCGGTCGTACTTGATGAACCCGTCAGTCCTCTCGATCCGCACATCCTCTTGCGTGCCACGACCGGAGTAAGCAGTCAAATGTCCAAGCAGCTTCTCTGTCGCCTTGCTCATCGGCTCTGTGGGCACAATCAACTCCGCAGGTTGGAGATGCAACAACCTCGTTTCGAGTTCATTCCTGAAATGCCCATCCACAAACTCATCATAGACAATATCGCCCGTCGCAGGTTGGACCGCAATCATCGCCAGTTTGACCTTTTCATCAGGCCCACTTCCACCCAGGGGCCGCTCATGGATACACATGATGAACTGCGATGATGGTGCTTTACCCCCAACAAAACTCTGTTCCTCGTCCTTGTCGAGACTTTCGATGAACGTCGCCTTGGTGTAAAGGTTGGTGAGTTTCCGTGTGAAAGGTGCACTCTTGTTGTCTCCTGCCGATTTGAGCGCCGCTGTTTCCATCTGCTTCACCACGCCCACCTTGTGTCCCGCATGAACCAACCTACATTTAAAAGAGGTATAGTGTCAATGACAAAGATGAAATATTTATGTCGTACATGCAAACGACGCTAGCATAAACAAAGAAATAATTACCTCCGCACATGGACATCGAGGCGATGAATGGGTATACTGGCGGTGTAAAAGTTGTGGTCCATAAAGTGGGCAATGCTTAGTTCTCTCGAGGCGATCTACACAGTTCAGATGAATGATATTGTTGCATTAGTCTATGATTGCGCATCCCTTGAAAACATCACCTTCCTTTTCATGAAAAACAAACGGATCTTTACCTCTGCATCTTTACCAAAGAACCGGTACTTGTATCCAACCTCGATACAGAGAAGCGCATCGGGGTACTGTTCCTTAATTTCGAGGTACTGCTGCTCCAGAGGTGTGTAGATGCTCTTCTTAGATCGACTGCTGGTCGACGACTTTGGTGGCGGTGGCGCTGGGGCTGATGTCCGTTGGCTGCGTGACTGAGCCTTGGGCGTGTCCTCGTACTCGTCATCCTCGGCAGCGCCTTGATCCATATCCTCATCGCTCTCTGAGACAATCAGTCGTCGCCGCCTCGTCGGTCTCTCCTCATCAGCATCTGCTGGTCCTGAAGGCAATCCATCCTCGACAGGACCCAGTTTCCGCTTGAATCGCTCACGCCGCTCTTCCAGAGCCTTCAGATCCTCTGTCGACAGGACGTCCATGCTGTCGCCACCCGTCTCCTGTGCTGATGCGTTGTTGGCCTTGTATCCGAAGCTGGCAAGACCTTTGTTGGGAGATGACCCGCGTTTGCGCTTGATAGGACTTGGTGGTAGTAGCGACTGACGGTTGTTAAATTCGACGCCTTCCATATCGACCTCTGCTGTGGTGGCATCCTCTGCGCTGCTCTTCGGGACTTGTTGGCTCTGAATTTGACTCCTCCGACTTGATGGTTTTACAGGCGATGTGTGATCCAGACGGCTGAACTGCTCAACAACGCCAGCAAATCCCGAGGGAAACAAGGGCTCATCCTGCTCTTCATCCTCATCCTCCTTCTCAGCCCCCTTGTCTTGTTCCTGAGATTTCCGCGTCGTTGCGGCACGCGTCCGTCTCTGTTGCTGTTTTGTCTTTGTGCTAGAGTAGGCGCTGCCTTTGGGTGGTTGGCTCTCGGTGATGGCTGTTTCTTTGAGTTTTGAGGAAGCTTGTTCCTTGCTAAATAAGGAGGATGGTGGATCGCGAGATGTCGAGGATGTGGATGTTGTCACGATGGGAGTTGAATCTGACTTTGGTTTGAAGAAGCTGAGCAGACTTTTTTGAACTGGCGTGGACGAGCCACCATTCTTTGGAGGTGCCATGGCGAGGAGGAATCCGCGTGTGGCGAGCAGTGGTTCCTGTGATTGGTGAAAGAGAGTGACGAGGGTTGAGTAGATTCTCGTTTTTTAACCTTTTAACCATAGTATGTTTAGTGGACTGCTTTTTCCATGTCAAAAAGATGGTGGCAAAAACAACCGAAATCAATTCGTGTTGGGGGCGTTTTCTTTCATTTTGAGTGTAACGTATCGTACATAAAGGGTCCGCTCCTCCCATCGCTAGGACAAAGATAAAAACGAACTAATGACATTGGCATCGACATCTGTGGGTATTGTTGATGGAGAAAACATAAGACTCTAGTTGAGTGCCGGCAGACGGAGTCGCGTTGAACGCAATGGCTTTTGACAAAAAAAGAGAGGCATTTGGAGGTTAGTAGAGAACAGCGAAATCGAGCCAGTGAAATGAAGACAAATGCTGGACAAACTTACGATCGACAGCTTGCCTATTTATGATGAACGACATTAGAAAGAAAACGAATTTAGTGACAAAATGATACTTCTCAGCTCGAATGCATTCAAAAACGCAAGGGAACGATGCGCACAATGCGTGCTCGCTGACATCCAATGAACAGTATTCGTTTTGGAGCACGACGTTCTTGACGTTGGGAGACTTGTCGCGAAGGAATCCATTCGTGTATGGAGTTACAGTTTCCTCCAACCTGCGTAGTTATGAAGATAAAATATGTGAATTGGTGGATTAGTCCGTTATCCCCTGTCCGGAACGCCTCAATTCAATCTCAAGAGAGAACAGACAACGAGCAGGACCTTACTTGGAGGTGATCATGAGGTACTTCACGCCAGGGACGGTGTCATCACCAGTGTTCAAGTTCTTGATGAACTTCGAATTCCCCAAGAACTGCTGTCTTTGAGGCGATAGACAGAATCTATTAAATGGAAAAAAAGGTAAGTGTCAACTGAATCATTCATGACTGAGGCGATACAAATACAAAGACTTGTATCTAAAATATTAAAGGTGGTTGATGACCCAAGTAAAAAAAGGCGAGATATTCCTTTGGTTGTAGCTCGACGATCCTCCTAACCGTAGGTTCGAAGGCGTCCTTTAAAAATTTGCTGTTGCTGCTCGCCTTGGCTGTCGTTTCAGGGTACATGGATATTTTGATATGAAAATCCCGTTCGGTTAGCGTATTGTTGAAATTGAACAAGTCCTTGTCGATTTCATGTGAGGGTTGTTGACTTGAAACAGCGGTTGCCGAATTGTAAATGGATAGATGCGTTCAACAAGATTCCAACCCACGTAAAGGAGGGGATGGCCGCGAGACTACGATAGAGCAGTCAACCAACATTCAAGACAAAATCAGGCGCGATCAGGTCTTTTCAGAGGTGGCAAACTGCGGAGGTGAACGGAAGAGTTGAATGGATGTGGGAGGATGCAAATAGGATACCTATGTTTTTATCCAATTGACTCTAAGGAATGAAAACAAAGTCAGGCGATGCAGCTGACCATGCAGCAGTATCAATGGTGATGGACTATGATAGCATGGAAAGGCAGGTCGACCAATGTTTGTGGAGAGGTACACCAGCGCAGAGGGCGGGTCAACGCCTCATGTGGTATTTTAGGCAAAGCACATCTGATAAGGCGACATAAAGCGCGAGATGACTTCTGACGCGTTATCTTACCAGTGAAAGGAAATGGCCATATTTCCATTGTTGGCCGAACGCGTCCCCTCTCCTTCGATGCTGGGCGTCTAAGAGAGCATTGAAAGTGACTTGGAGCATGAGGGACAAGGAGAGCACCTCTCTGGCTAAAGCCTCCTTTGCTCGATCACCGGCTTGTTTATTTTTCGTGGTCCTTTTGCTCGTCTCTTTTCCTTTCCTATCTGCGCCCACAAGCAACCATCCTCATTGATGGCTTCTGGGTAACATCACCATCTTCCTCGTGTTATAAAGTCATCCGATGATACCACCCTCGCCCTTGACAGAAGACAGACAGGAGACGGATCCCAGGAAGGTCAATTGCTTTCTCACGCTCTTTGACAAGAACCAGCCAGGAGTCACGTGAAAAGCCCTTTTTCCGTGCTTGATTTTTGAGTCACCTTTGACGGATCGACGAGTTTGCCACAACCCGTAGTTCTGAAGGAGGAACAATAAGAAGACACAACCTTCTCTCTTTCTTTTCTTTTAATTCTCCACTCTCCCACAACCAACCACACCAACAACAAACCAAGAACAGCCATGTCTCTCAACAAGCCAACAATCTGTGTGCTCGGATGCGGAACCATGGGAATCGCAATCATCAGAGGGACACTCGACTCCATGACAGCCTCAACCTCTGTCCAGTCCTCACCCAAGATCTCCCATGCCACTACTGCAACTTCAACAACAGCAGTTGAGAGTGAGAAAGAGGATGACTTGCTCCGCCCAGCTGGGTTTATTGCCTGTGTGAGCCAACAAGAGTCGGCTGCCAAACTCAAGAAGACCCTTGGAGACCTAGTCAAGGTCCTTCATGGAATTGCAGGAAACGTCCAAGGTGTCAGCGAAGCCGATGTCATTTTTCTCTGGTACGCCTCCTTTTTGTTCATTCTCGCGGGTACACATCATTGGCATGCTGGTGTAGATCGGACTGAGGAACTAAGCTAATTCTGTCTCTGAATCTCAACTTTAAGCACGAAACCCCAGGTGGCCAAAGCAGTACTTTCAGCACCCGGGATCCAGGAGGCATTGAAAGACAAGCTTCTGGTCAGTATTTGTGCCGGAGTTACGATTGAGCAGCTCCAGGCCTGGACCACCCCCACCACCACCGTCATCCGCGCCATGCCCAACACCCCCTGCAAGGTAAAAAAAGAATATTTCCTGCAAAAGATCAGATCGTGAAAAGCAGCCGACCTCCTTTTTCAGAAAAGATAACATGGACTGACTCACCTTTAATTTTTTGTTTGATTGGACAATGGTTATATAGATTCGGGAAGGAATGACCGTGCTGTCGTGTGGACCCAACACGGACGAGCAGTCGATGCGCTTTACCTCCAACATCTTCTCGACCCTTGGACGGTGCAGGATTCTGGATGAGAAGCATCTCGATGCTGTCACCGCCCTTGCCGGCAGTGGACCCGCGTTCGCCTGGTATGGGCATTGATTGCTTTTTGTTTGCTAGAGTCGTTCTACAGGATGTTGATCGATGTCAGTATCACTAACCAAGGCTATTGCTACCATTGTTCTTGTGCATAGTGTGATGCTGGAGGCATTAGCTGATGGTGGAGTAATGATGGGTCTTCCCCGTGATGTTGCTACAGAGCTCGCTGCCCAAGGTAATATGTCATCGCGATGATTGATAAAATCAAACATACATGGACTTTACGAGAAAAGGGGCAACGATCTAACCTATGATGATACGATCATGTTGGTGTTCGTTATTGACTCTGATAGTTCTTCAAGGTGCAGCAAGGATGGTGTTGACGACAGGAGCTCACCCTGCAGCGATCAAGGATTCTGTAACAACCCCTGGAGGATGCACGATTGCAGGACTGTTGACGATGGAGGACGGCAAGATCCGGTCGACCCTTGCACGTACTATCCAGGAGGCTGCTACCGTCGCTTCTACTCTTGGACGGGACAAGAAGTAAAACAATGGGAGCGAATGGAGCACATGTATATATGTTAGATCCACCCGTCTGTGTAAATAAAAATATCATTGAAATCATATGTGTGTCGCTTTTGGGCGGAAGGCAAGGTGGCATTGCAGAATCTATTAAATTCAAGGGACGTGGACCCCATTTTTTTGCATTTCTCCTTCACTCGCCATTCTCAACACACAACACACAGAACACAACGGCCAATACAACAAGCATGTCAACAACCCTCTCGACACTGACCAAGGACCAACTCCACGACCGCATCCGCGGTGTCCTTTATGGTATTCGACAACTCACAGCAAAACATCACCTCGTAGCAACAGAAACATCGAGGGTGTGACAATGAACAGGTCTGTCCGCTTATTGTTTTTCCGAGCTGACACCGTGTGCCTCTTATTCTGCTAAATAGGAAATGCGGTGGGCGATGCGTATGGCCTGGCAACAGAGTTCATGACAAAGAAAAACGCCCGTCACCTCTACGGCAATGGACCCATCGCCTTTGGCAACGAGCCTGGGTAAGTCATCATTACCAAGTCTCACCTTCGCCTCATAACTATAACCAGGTTACCAGCTGACACACATAAAGCTCACAATGACAACCCATTTGTACTCTTATTATCTAATAGGCATCCTATATGGGAGGACTCCCATCGGTCAAAGTGGGACAGGAACGATTTCACGGACGACACGGACCAGTTACTGCTGATCTTACAATCACTGGAGCAGACCCGGGATGGACGACTGCACGCCACCAATTTTGCAAAGCGGTTGAAGGAGTGGAGTGCGATTGGGTTCCCGGAGTTGGGGACCCCTCCTCGCGGGATTGGGTACACTGTTGGATCGACACTTACCCATCCGGATTTTCGATTCAACCCGCACCGCGCTGCCTTTGATGTAAGTCCTTTTGTCTTCTTGTTCTTGTTTGGATGGTTTATGGACTATCACTCTTTGCCAATGGAGATGGAGGCAAGTAGAAAAGAAGAGAAGGCAAAGCATCAAGTGATCAAAATTATCCGCACTAAAACAATTTTACTTACTTGCTCGCTATTCTTAGATCTGGAACTCGAGAGGGCGATCCCTGGCTGCCAATGGCGCTGTGATGCGCACATCCGTGCTCGGTGTAGAGTCTTTCTGGGATGAACATCGTGTCGTCGAAAACTCCCTTGCTGCCGCAAAGGTCACCCACGCCGACCCACGTTCGATCATCAGTGCTTTGGTTGCTTCCGTCTTGATCTCGCGCTTGCTTCGTGGAGGAGGACAGGATGCTGCCCAGGATGCTAAACGAGTCTGGAACCCGAAACTGAGCAAAGATGAGTACAAGGAGTCGTTGCTGGACTACCTCAGACGGGGCACTGATCTCAAGGGCGAGAAATCTGAGGAGCCAGAGTATGAAGAGGAGACTGAGATTAGCACTTTCAAGAACAAGGACGGCAGGGCTATCCGACGAACGATTTCTCAGCAACAACAGGCCAACAAAGGGTTCTGGGGAAAGATCAAGGAGTTTGCGGTGGGTACTGGGGAGCCCGCTGTCGAGCAAAGGAACAGAGAGCGACCGCCTGTAAAGCTGAGGGAAGACATCGGGTGGGTTGGCGTGGATGCTGTCGGTGAGGATGATGCCATGGGACGACTGACACGATCGGTCGTCAACGACTACCTGTTCTTGGTCCTCCACACCGATGTGGTCCCTTCCACCATCAAGATCGGACACAACCTGCAACAGGACCAGAATTCCAAGACCAACCCGTCTGCACCTGCGACAAGCATTCAAGACAAGTGGGCCCAGGAACTGCAAGACCACTGTTTTCCCAAGGATCTGGATCACCTCGAACTGGGCGACAATGCCAAGATGGGCTACACCTTCAAATGTGTCGGGGTCGGTTTCTATGCTGCGACTCGTAAGGTCGACCCTAGTCCAACCGACAAGGCCTACGACGGCCCAAGTGGGCTGTTCCGTGGAGTGATGGAGCAGGTAACGTTAGAGGCAGGCGATGCAGATACCAATGGCGCAGTTGTGGGTTCTTTGCTTGGTGCTCGGTTTGGGTTGGATAAGGGGCTCCCCGAGAACTGGTGGACCGAGTTAAAGCATCGTGAGTGGCTGGACCCGACGATTGAGCAGTTTGCTAGTCGCGTCTTGTCTATGTACGAGACTGCCGCCGAGAAGGAGAAGTAAGACTTCATCTTTTCTGTCTTTTCACGACAAGTGCTAACGTGTCCTCGCCACAGGCACCAGTAAAAACAGATGTCTTTCTCGCATACAATACAATATAAGGGAACCATCATGATTTTAATGGGATGCAATGTGGATGCTGACTACTTGACGATTTGGAGAGCAGAGGGTGGTGAGGTCCACTCTCTCTCACAAGAATATATGCAGACGCGTGTGGGGTGTGAAGAAATAAGAAACAGCAACAACAACTAGGACTCCTACATTGTCGTGAGGTCGCTTGTTGAAACTATCCATCTTTCCTTTCGCCTTCTACAGGAGTTTAAGATCGCCACCAAGACAAATGGCAATCTGCTTGCCAGGACGAAGGATCTGTACTCCGAACTGGATTTCGGTTTGCTTGATGTATTTGAATTCGCTCGGAAGGTAGGAACAGACCCGGACTGTGCCGCTGAAACCCTTAGGAATGGGCTGTCTATCGCTCTCTGGGAGCCTCAGCGCACCCCCGTTGAGATAGAGATCCACACTCCAGGTCCTCTTGATGTCGCCTTTGTAGGCGTAGAGTTTTTGCGGGTGGGTAGTAGGAGGGAGGTGTTTGATTTTGGTTATTTCGGTTGTTCTTCCTTTGTTTTGCTTGCAAGTAAACAGAAGCCAGGAGAGATGCGCGGTAAGATGTAAATGTGTTATTGAAGAAGGGTGAGCAGAGGAAGAAGAAGAGTTGAATACCTTTCTTGGCAAGGAAGACGATTTCGGAACCAGCTGGCATATCGACCTTGAATTCTCCCCTGATGTCGAGGCAGATCTCGTGTTCCGAGTCATGATAGGGTTCGGGGAAGACAAACTTATCGTTCCAATAAACGAATAGCTGTTTGTTGGTTGTTTGTTGGGTTGGATTGGAGGTAGCGTGAGCAAAGGAAACAGAAGGGAGCAAATATAAAAATAAGGGTTAGAACCAGAATCGTGGAAGAGGAAGGTTATTTTTGACGCGGTAGCAGGGAGGAGGGGGGAAACAAACACATACCTTGTCGTTTCTGGGACAGAGGTCGAGTGCTGCGTTAGCAGTGGAGGAGAAAAGGGCGATGGCAAAGAGTGCCAGAGGTGTAATGTACTTCATCTTTGTAGTGTCAGTTGCTGCTGTGTAGGTAGTGGGAGTTGAGCGAGAAGGTTGGGATGGGAAGAGCGAGGAGTGAAGAAAGTCGATGAATGTAGTGTGCAGAATAGTGGAGAAGAAGAGGGGTAAAATGACTCTTGTGGAGGGATGGGATGGGGACGTGAGATATGGTTAACTAGGCAAGTCTAGAGCTGAAAAAAAGAATGAAGCGGGAACCAGGCTGGAGTTTTATACTCTGAAGGAATGGCAAGAGCAATGAGAAAGCCAGAAGGAGAAGGAAGAGGTGAAGGAGGAGCAGAGAAGGAAGAACGAAAGACCGGCTAACTGGCCAGACTAGGTTGGTTAAAGCACCCCGTTTTTACCGATGAAAGGCATACCATGTGTATTCAAAAAATGCCCCGCTGGCCATGGTAGGCCAGGATTTGAACCTAATCGACTTGATACCCTTGTTTTTCCTTTTGAAGATGCACAGACACTGATATCCAATCCATGATCCATAATGAACCATGACAAACAATACTCTCTTTTCCATCGCGACTTCTCTATTGAGAGCCAACATACCGACGTCCATTGATACTGCATTCAATTAGACTGATGGAATGAATGAAAGAGCCAACACCATTACATGCGAATAGACAAACAAAATAACAACAAGTCTAGCCTAGCCAGCTACCTGGGCAAAATGGGCTACTTGCAGATTCCATTTTGCTATTGCATTTTTTTTTATTTTTCGACCCCATGGTCCAGGATAGGTTTAGGTGTATGGGGCTCATACGTACGGTCCGTCATCCTATTTAGGAGTATTATTCAGGAGACGGCACATTGCCATTTTTTTTTGTTTATTGTTTCTCAAAGCCATTGTTCTGCTCTCATTTCATACACTCTCTTATTCTTACTTTGGCTGAATCTCTCTTTCTCCGTCTCTCCCTCGTTTTATATTTTCTCTCCTTCTTTGTCTCCCTTTCGCTTCATTGCCTCGATGATTTCGTCCATCTCATATTTTTTTTGCTTACTATAACTCCTTGCCATCTTTTTTTTCTATTCGCGCAATGTACTCGAGTATTCCTTCTAACCATACATATCTTTAGTTGTAGGTATCATGCCGAACATAAATACGGATCAAAACGACAATACAAAACTCTCAGGGTCAAGAAGAAAGAAATAGTTAACAAATGAGTTGCAGTAGCAAGGTTCTCATTATTTTTTGTCTCTCCCCTTGAAATTTGCTCAAATAAGGTCGTGGGAGACGAACAAGAACAAAAAACATGGCCACGATATCCAGTAGTTTGTACCATATTGTTCTTTATTCACTGCAGCCATAAAGTGGTGTTCATTCTGGGCTCCATGTTATTCAGACTACGTTCGGCTGTTAGTAGGTATTGGAAACCCCTCGCATTCTTGTCATCCTTCGTCTTTCTGTCCTACGAGCGCGTCCTGAACGCGTTTTGATAGGCATCACGTGCAAAGAAGGGACTGTTTCTTCATACCACTGTAGCATAAACCCCTGGCCAGGGCCACAAACTCATCTTTCTTCACACCACCAACTGACCCATCCTCACCATCTCACCAACGACGACGACACACAACCCGGAAGGAGCAGAAAAACAAGGAGAGAAAACATACGTAGTACTGAAATGGCGACATCACCGCTACAGCTATTGCATGAGGCCTTTCCAGGTCGCGCAAAACAGATTGACCAGATCCTCGGCTTCATGGGCAAGGTACTTTTTTCGTACACACGAGCACAGACATGAACCTAGACTGTTCTGGTTTTTTTTCCTTGGTGATAAAATAGCATTCACAGATAAAAAAAACGAAAAGCAGGAGACGGACAGGCGACTGTGTGCAGGACATGCATATTGGATACAAAGTACTCTTGACGCGCCGCTCTCTTTATCTCATTAATGTCCTTTTCTCTCGTGGACGTCCAAATATCCCAACCTTACCTGTATGTATGCGATGTATGGTGCATTATTAACGATAATCCGGACACTCGTTTTTCTTTGTTGATACAAATTAGCCATGGGCGGCGACACCTCCATCCCTACTTATCAATGGAAACTCCTCTCTGGGAAAGACAGCCGTCCTCAAGGCGACCTTGTCCGCCATGCTGGGTGGCGGCAGTGACAGCGGCAGCAGCAGTACTCACATTCAATCAGAACAACAACTACAGGAACTCCGCCGTCGTCTTCCCAGTCGATATGCATTCTTGGACTGTGTAGAGTGTCACACCCCACGCCTCATCTTTGAACACGCCATCTATCAACTCCGTAATCCCCCACCTTCGCAGGACAAGGGCTCAATAATATTCCCATCGACGCATACACCAACAGCAGGAATGAGTGAGAAGAAGGAAGCAACGACTGTATCTCGGAAACGGAAACGAATGACGACTAGCCCACTGGACTGGAACAGATGCGAGAATGTCAACGATTTTGTCGAATGGTGCCGCAAGATCTGTGACACCAAGGACGAACTTGACGAATTCCACGAGACCCATGGTAACCATCGAGTGGTATCCGGAAGTATCAGTAAACACCAAAATGAGACGCGGTACTTGGTTCTGGACCGAGCGGAGCGATTGCGAGACACTGCACCGACCTTGATTTCTGTCCTGATGCGTTTACAAGAACTGGTACGTTATAGGATCAAATATGTGCCGAGTGTTTGTGGTTTTGTTTTTGGACTAGCGGTTGTAACGGTTCAAAGAGAACGGTCAACGACGTCCGTTTTTTTTGCTCCCTTCCTTTCATCCCTCCTCCTTTCTCCTCTCTCCTCTCGTAGCGAATTCCACATATTTCTTTATACTGCGTGAGCACTTATATTTCTCAATCACCTCCTGCATTTTTTTATTTATTTATTTACTCGTCCATTTCCTACACATTAGTTCTGCCTCGCATCTCAGTCTCTCTTTCTCTCCATCTTCTGCATGTATTTGCACATCTCGCATTAACACTTCTCCTCGTCTTCTTTAACATTTCTGCAATAATAGACGGGCCGCAACATATGTGTGGTCCTAATCACAACAATCGTATGGGAAAAATTCCGGTCCAAGACAGGCGGCTACGAGCCCATTGTGCTCAACTTTCCGCAGTACACTAAATCAGAGACGGTTGCAATTCTGAGAAAGGACTTGCCGGCGGAGGAAGAGGAGGACTTGGATTTGTATATGAGGTTTGTGGATCTGGTATATGACGTCTTTCAGCGCAACTGCAAGGACTTGAATGAGATTCGGCATCTTGTCGCTCTATTGTTTCCGCTCTATATCAAGCCCGTCAAGGAAGGCAAGAGTAAGTGGCACAGTATACATGTGATTGTCATCAATGCGTAGAGTGGCAAATATGTTGAAAACGAGATCGCCGAAGCGTTTAGCAAAAAAAGATCGCTGAACCATCTAGCAGAACAACGAAACTCACGATAGTAACACTTGTCTCCTCCTTCGCGCTTCGACGTTTCCCAATAGTCCAGAAACATGAGGGATTGAAGCTGCATCGGCATATTCAGGCGTACTTTGTGGAGGCAATGGACAAGTTGTATCTGCGAGAGATCTCGAGCACGGAATGGTCAGATCGGACATTATCGACGGCTTCTGGATCCTTGTCTGGTGGTTCTGGTTCTACTGGAGGAGGGGCAGGAGGACATGTCTCTGCAGCACCTGGAGGCGATCGCGCCCTCACCACTGCGCTTGATGTTCAGAGTACGTTCTCTCATTTGTTCTTGCTTCTGGGGTCCTTGGAGGCCTTCTATTGTCTTTTTTTTTTGCTTGATCAAGAATTAACCCCTTGTCGTTATTACCTGTCTTCCTACAAACGAAAAATAGATGTATTCGATCTGCCGTACTACACAAAGTTCATCCTAATCGCATCCTTCCTCGCATCCTACAACCCACCCCGGCTTGACATGCGCTATTTCGCAAAAGTCTCCTCCACCGGCTCGAAAATGACCAAACGCTCAAAAGTCGCGGCGGCCAAAAAACATGGCCATGACTCGATGGGTTCCAAACTCCGCCAACAGCTCCTCGGCCCTAAACCCTTCCCTATCGAACGCATGCTGGCAATCTTTTATAGTATTCTGGATGAAGAGGTGGAGGAGAATGTGAATGTTCATACGCAAATTGCATCGTTGGTGTCGTTGAGGATGTTGCAGAGGGTGACGCCGATGGATAAGTTGGACTCTATCAAGTGCAAGTGTAATGTGAGTTATGAGATGATTAAGACGTTGGCGAAGAGTACTAGGTTTGAGATTGATAAGTATCTCTATGACTTTTCTTAATACACTTGGATCTTGGTTCACTTTTTCCTCTTCCTGTTGGTGTTTTGTTGTTATCGACTGCTCGTTGTTCAACTAGAAGTTCTCCTTGGTTTGTTTGCTGTTCGTTGCTCATGGATCTGTCTGGTAAATGTAAAGTGCGCTTCGTTGTCTTTGATAACACCGATGAACAAGAAAAAAAACAAACGAGAGAAGAGATGGGAGGATTTTTTGGTCATTTTTTTTTTATTATTCTATTCATGATGGAGGGTGTGTTGTTCCCAACCTAATGTTGATGTGTGGGCTATGAACAAAGTGCGGAATGTGTTGAAAATGAGAATAACAAGGAGATTTAAGCCTTGTTGATGAAGGCCTTGCCCTTGGCAATGTTGCCCTTGAGCTCGGGGACGGCAGCGTCGATAAGACCCTGCTCGTAGGCGTTGACCTTACCAACGGGGTGGATCTTCTCAACACCGTTGGGGCCGAGCTCGACGTTGGTAGCAAAGAACTCAACACCCTCCTTGGCAAAGACGTCAGACTGGACGAAGGTGGGCTCGACAATGTTCTTCTTGCCGGCGACGGTGGCCTCAAGGAGGGAGTTGGTGAAGCGAGCACCAGCGAAAGCCATGGAGAGAGTGGCAGAGCCGGTTCCGTTCTTGGCCTTGACGACCTCGTCACCTCCGAACTGGATGCGGTGGGTCAGGGCCTTGACCTCCTCCTCGGTGAAGGAGTGGCCAGACTGGGAGAGGAGGGGGACGATGGTGACGCCAGAGTGACCGCCGATGACGGTGATCTTGGCTTCCTCGGTCGAGACCTTCTTGACCTCGGAGACGAAGCGGGAGGCACGGACAACATCGAGGGTGGTGACACCGAAGAGTCTATCGTTTCAGGTACCAGGTTGGATTGAAAGAACGGCAATGCGGGTTAATTTTCACGGATCAATATTCCCGTTGATGGTTTGCGGCTGTTAGAAATGAGATCCACGTACACCGCACAACCTGCGTATGTGGGATTTGTACGTGAGGTAAATCGAATGTCGACATGACGTGCAGAAACCAATTTGAAAAATCCTGGGGATCGGAACTCAATAGATTGAGGAAAAAAGATAACAACTCATTACCTCTTGGGGTCAAAGACGTTAGCCTTCTTGAAGACCTCAGCGACAATGGGGACAGTCGAGTTGACGGGGTTGGCAATGACCAAGATGTGGGCCTTGGGGCAGTGCCTATTTTCGATGGTTGTTTCCAGAAAAGAAAAAATATTAGTTACCGTTTGGCCAGATCAACTGGAAGCGCGTTATCAAACAAGAGGATATTGAAACGTACTCGGCGCAGGCAACAGCGAGGTCGCGGACGATGGAGGCGTTGGTGTTGAAGAGATCATCACGGGTCATGCCGGGCTTGCGGGGGACACCAGCGGGGATGACAACGATGTCGCAGCCGGTAAGAGCCTCCTTGAGGCCGTCGTTGGCGGGAACGTGGCCAGAGACCTATTTGGCGTCAATGGTGGATGTGATAATGAATTGTGTGAGTAACTTTGTTGGGCTGAAATGAGCTGGGCTGATTATGTATTTGAAGGTGTTTGTGCTTGTCCATTGTCCATTGTCTAGCGTGTCTACGTTCCCTTCTCCTGTGGCTGTATGCTTCAGAATGGATACTTTAGGCGTGTCGTCGTCGTTGTCTTCCTTGTTCGTCGTGGTTGTTGTCGTTAGGTGTCCTTCCATCCCGATAATAAAAAATACTATTTTTGCGTGAACACGATCAAATTCAATAGCCGACCCCCGCACACCCTTTCTACAACTCTCTTCAAGGCCGATGAGTACCACTCCATCCAAGGCCGATATCAAAAATAAAACAAATCGGAACGAAACGAAAACACGCCTTGTCGCTGCTGTTGCAGTTGCAGTTGCTGTGATTGGTAAGGTGTTTGCTTTGCTCTGCTTAATCCTTCGCTCATTCCCTTCCTCAGTTTCCAGTCTCACTCTTGTTCACCCGTCTTTCTCAGTCGAATCCTCTTCCTTGAGCAGGAAGATCAGACCTCCTCATTTTCTTGTCGTATCCTTGTTTCTCTTTCCTCCGATTCTACTTCTTTCAAAATTCGAACAAGTTGATCTAATTACCTTGGAGTCAGAGTTGATGTGGGACAAGTCAGCGGCGACACCGGGGGTGTTGACAATGTCGTAGAGGGAAAGGTGGGAGATCAACGACGACTGCTTGAGGAGGAGCGACAAGGGCTGGCCGATACCGCCGGCAGCACCGAGAACGGCAACCCTAGAAAGGTAAGAGGTGGAGTAAAAAGAAGGGAAATGTTAATTAGGATCTGGAACGGTACGATACTGAGATGCATGAGGGGTGATGATGATGGTGTTGATAACGGAATGCGGAAAAGATGAAAGAGCAGAGGAAAGAGCAGTGGGGAAATCGATAACAAGGGTGAAAAGACTGGGGTAGTTGAAGTTGGTGGTACTGAGCAAGGAGATGGAGAACTTACTTGGCAGCGTTCTAAAGTAACACGAATACGCGAAAGTTGAAGGGAAAGAAGGGCAACAGAAAAGACAGGGAGGTAACGGGCAAGGGATAGTAATAAGACAGCGGGTTAGTTTCCTTTGTCAGCTGCACGTTGGTGATCTGGTTGGGTATTCACGAATGAGTAGAGGATGAAGTTACCGAGGAGGTGGAGGTGGAGAAGGCGCGCTTGGCGATGGAGGAGATCTGGCGGGTGGCGAACATGGCTGGTGGAGAGGGGAGAGAGAGTGTGTGTGTGGTGAGAAGAGAGAAGAGAAGAGAAAAGAAAAAGAAGAAAAGAGAAAAAGAGAAAAAGAGAGCAAGAGGAGAAAAGAGGAGAAGAAGTATGGAAAGGAAAAACCCTGGAGGAGGAGGAAGAAGACGTCAACACTTTCCCCTTTGTGTGATAGTCATAAAAATTATGATAAAAAGCAAAGTTCAAGTTCACAGTTCAAGTTCTAGTGCGTGCCACTGCAGGGTCAACAGATTGATCCAGCGGGAAATTCTTTTATCGCGGGCCAAGCAGGGACACTGACAGCCAGACAGCGAATGGCACGTGACAATTGTAAACAACCAAAACTCTAATGTCGGATCAAAATTCAGGCACCATTCACACAGACACACCCAGTCAGAGGGAAGACGGAGGAGGGAAGAGGGAAGAGGGAAGAGGGAAGAGCAGATCAAAGAAGGCAAGCCGATGGCCAAGACTTACTTTCTTCCTTATATTAGCCCTGAACTCACTTTTCGCATATGTATTTTGCGGGGTATGTAAAGAGCAAAAGCAGGAAAGCTGTTGGACAACACCAATTCAATTGAGCACGCACACAGACACACAGACACTCAAAGAACAGAGAGGGTCGATCTACTCTGTCGGGGATGCTGCTGACAGGGCAGTCATGGAATGAGGACTGACGTGCTCTCGCTCTCTCTTCTTACTCTTACTCTTACTCTTACTCTTGCTCACTTCTGCACACTAACGGAAAACGCCTACATTAGCAACGTATGAAGATGACCTCTTTACTTTAACGCGTCAACTACACAAAAAATAGAGGCAACTCGTTCTTGTTTTTATTACGTTGCCCATTGTGGCGGCCTATCACCCTCATGTATCACATTATAATAACACGTACTTGGAAAGAAGAAGATATAGGGAAAAGAAAAGAAAGAAATGTGTAACAAAAGAAAGAAAAATATACAATGCGCTGGTCTCCCTTTGTGTTGCTGTCGGTTGTTGGCTGCTGGTGTAGTGAGTAAGTCGCTAATTTACATATGGAACAACTCCTGCATATTCATGGGGCGGGACGAGCTGAGCTGGGGCTTCTGCTTGTACTTTTCCTTGAGAAGATCGCGGATGCTGTTCAACATCTCCTGGTATGACTGCTCAGGGTTCTCGCGGATACTTATTGGTAATAACGTAAGGCACAAAAAAGATTGTCAGTACCTGGCTCTATCAATTGGAAACCAGTGGATCTTCCTGAGTGAGACTATTGAAGAGAGAAAACTCACCTCTTGGTGAAGGCATAGGTCATGGCGCCGTTGGAGGACGACTTGCCGCCGCGGGTCACTTGGACATCGGCGGAAGTCTGATCATCCCTGCAACTATAATCACATTGAGGTCAAAAACAAGACCAAGAAAGGTGGTTAGTAGTTTTGTCATGAAGGGGCGCAGTTGTGTCATAAGGAGATGCACAGTTAATTATCCTCATGAAAAAGAAAAGAGTTGAGAAACGACGTACCCGCTGAACATGATGACATCGGCATCGGCGGCCTTGAGGCAGACCTGGCGAGAAAACTCCTTCTCCTCGGCCTGGAGCTTCTGCCACTTGGCTTGGAGCTCCTTGAGGGCCTCGGCATCAAAATTACCTTCAACCAGCTCATGACCCAAGTTGGCCAAGGCCGACGAACCACGAATATAACCTGTGCTGGCGTACAAGTAGGGAAGATCCAACGCCGAACCGGAATGGCAGCAGTCAAAGACGGCAGTCAGACGGACACCAGGAGGAAGAGCCTTGACCAACATGTTGTGCAATTCCTAATAGTTTCAAGCATGAATTCAACGCCATTAGGTTATTATACATTATTGTCGTCCTATACAAGAATAGTCAGTGGCAAAGATGAAAACATAGGGAAAACTTACATCGTCGATGATGACGCCGGCTTCCTTGTGGTCCAGAGGGAAGATGCAGTTGTCGAAGCCGGCCGTCTCATCACCATCAAAGTCCTGGACTTGACCTCCATGTCCAGAGTAGTGCAAAAAGTACCTAACAACAACAATAAACAATACCAGGCCATCAGTTAGTGCCATGTGTTTCCTGATACTACTCTTGTACTATGCCCAGCTCTGCACTTTCACCTACGAGTCGTTCTTCTCGGCATCGCGAATCAACCATTGGAGGTTGTGGAGTATGTTCTCGCGGGTGGGCATCCAGCGGGTACCGACCTGATCGTCAGTGAGGACGCGGATCTTGTCGTCTGTGAAACCTCTGTCCTGCAAGAATCCTTTCATGATAGCGGTGTCGTTCACACATCCTATCAGGCAAACGAAACATGTCCAGCTGGTTAGTTCTCTGTTTGCATCCGTGCTCAATGCAATCTTTTTTTTTTCGGATGCGGGCTCAAATTTTGGACGCCAAAACGTGTTCGATCCATGACATTGTCTTCCCCCTTGTTTCCATTCCTCTTTTCGCCATACTACGCCCCAGCCCAGTCAGTCCACTGCTTTAGAGATCGTTTACCATGAAGAGCATTGGCTTGGCCAGTGTAGTTAATGCCGATGAGGAGAGCACGGCGTTCTCCAGTGCAGTTCGAGAGGGCGATACGGGTGCCATCGGCCTGCTTCGCCTCCAGGGCCATCAATTGAAATTTCTTGATCTCTGGGGCAGACTCGTAGGTAGTGGTAGAAGAAGTGACCTTGACCTCGGGCTTGTTGGTCTCGTGGTGGGTCTGAGTCTGGGTCTGGGTCTGGGTCTGGTAGACGACGGGTTCAACAGGGGTTGGAGGCAGGAGCTTCTCCTTCTTGGGCTTCAAGTCGTTCGAGGATTGGGTCGAGAACTATACAGCAACAGTAAGTATACGAGGCAGGGAGGAATGTAGATACAATTTTTTGAGGTGTGAGAATAAAAAATAAAGGAGCGAAAGGAGACAAGGAGAAGGAAGAGAAGGGACAGTGACTCCGTGCGTTGGTCGAGGGGGCAGAGGAATTCAAAGGGACTCTTTCTTTTTTTTTTTTTTTGGTGCGAGAAAGAAGTAATACAGAACAAAAAGAGAGCGCTCTCTGATTGTTGCCTATCCCGTTTGTCCAACAATCCAATCCAGCCTTTTGTGTTTTTTTGCCTTTTTTTTTCCTTTGGGGTAATGAACGGTGTAAGCAAAAAACAAAAAGGTAGAAAACGATAGCAGCAATTCAACATACATATAACGACGAGATTCAAGAGAGAGGGTGAAACTTACGCGCTTGAAGAACTTCTTGAAGGGCGAGCCGGAAGAGGACGAGGTCGTGGTCGTGGTCTTGGTTACCTTGCGGCCATTATCATCAACGTGGGATGAAACAACAACGGTGGGCTCGTTGTTGGTCGTGGTTTCGACAGAACCATGGCCGAGGCTAAAGTCCTGGAACTGCTGCTGCAACTCCTGGGGCAGCGACGACGAGTCGCTGGTTGACGAGCTGTAAGTGTGGGAGGTGGTCGTGGCGCCGTTGCCGTTGCCGTTGTTTTGACCGTTACCATTGCCATATGAGGAAGAAGAGGAGGTGGTGTGGTAGGTGGTGGTTCCGTTGCCGTCGTTATTCTCAAAGGTCTCGATGGGACCTTCGGCGGTGTGGGTCGAGATAAGGGTGGCACCCTCGGGGACGGGCGTGCCAGCGGGGACCTGGATTTGGTACTGGTGGGTAATCTTCTTGATAATCTTTGTAACCTTGCGGCCATCGGGGAGGATGGTGGTAATCCTCTCCTCTTTCACGATAGGTTCACCGAGTTCCTGAGACTGCGACATTGTTCTGGTTGTTGGCTGATGGGTGATGGAGGGCGAGTGAGGGTGGGTGGTTGTTGTTTAGCAATGAGAGAGGAGGGAGAGCGAGTCTTTGAACGGAGAGGAGATGAGCGAAGACGAAGGAGGAGTTGTTGACAGAGGAGTGAGGAAAGAAGCAAGAAGAAGTAGAAGAAAGAGAAAGAAAAGAGAAAGGAGAGAAGAAAAAAAAAGGGGAGAAAAAAAAAAGGACGCGGGAAGAAAAGATAAAAGGAAAAGATGGGCGGTAGAAGTATTCTCTTGCGCGCTTGCCATTTATTACTTCTCACTACCACCATTGCTAAGCTGCTGGCTGCACTAGCCGCGTTGTCGAAAGAGGGAGTGATAATCGTTGTTCCTGTTGCACCCACTGCCTAATTGACCTATGGCCACGGTACAACAAAGAGCGAGCGAGCGAATGGAACTAAGCTCCCTTTGAGACTTTGCTTCTCTTTGCATTGTGTCCAATGGTTCAATGGGGGGTCATGTCCTCGTTCCCTTTTCAATAATGTCGCATCCAAAATGGCCCCATGCCCCTTGCGTGTGTAACAACCTTCTTCATCGTTTCTCTGACTGTCTCCTTCAGCATCCAGTCTGTCGCTTCCTCTTTACTTCTTTCTACCCGGTCGCAGTTATGGGGGTAAATGCAAAACAAGAAAGCACCGAGACCAAAAAATGGCATGGATTGAATAATCTAGTAACTGTAGCATAAATGTATGTGCTCACACGTTTCTGTCTTTTACCTCTTTTCCCTTTGTTTCCTTGCTGTTCTTCTACTGTTTCCCTGCGTCATTAGGGTTCAATTGAGCCAGCGGCCTTTTTTTTTTCTCATTTTTTATGGACCCGTTTTTCCCAGCTCAGCCATAATTATTGGTCAGGCTGAGGAAGAGCACAAAACAAGAATCGTTTGAACGGGAGGAAAGGGAGACTGAGAACATGTCCTTATGAGAACCAACCCAATGGGGCAATGGCAATGGGGAAAAAAAGGGCAGGGAAAATAGGTTCGAAAAAGAACATTAGGAAGGGCAAAAAAAAAAAAAAAAAAAAAAGAAGATAACCAGAGCAGAGAGAGACGGAGCATTGTCGGACAATCCGAAGAGGGTAACATGGAGCATGGTCATGCAGTGCACTGCCCCTGGCTCTTGTTTATCATTTGTCCATAGCCCCATCCATGGAGACCGTTGCGATTGGAACCAGATGAAACTCCATGGTTCCCGACTTGACCGAGGCCTTGGCTCATCTATTTTACTAATTGTTCCTGAGCTCCTTTATTCTCTTCTTCAATCGCAAACACAAGCAAACAACAAACAATAAAAAGCGCGCTAGTCAACAAGAGTCGTTGGGCTAAAATAACAACGGCATGAAAACAGTGCGATTGAGAAACGTAGTAGAATGACAGCGAAAGAGAGGGAATTATGTGAGAGAGAGAGGTATGGCCGCATGGGCATGGGGTCGCAGAATAAAAAATCCGCCCATCCCTTCCATCCTCTTTCTCACATCCTTACCCCATCGACATGAAAACAACGCAAATAAAATAAGCATGTTCCATGCACTTAGACTAGCAACAAAACGCCGGAGGATGTGGTTAGGGCTTTGCATTGACCTCCCTCTTTTTTTTTCCTCTTGCAGAACTGGAGCAATCTTCGCTCCTTTTCCTCTGTAAATCCTAATGTTGCTCATCCCTTTCACTGACTCTCCTCGACAGCCTCCCTCCTGTCAATCCCTGATAAGCCAATGGAAAGGTGAACTAATTGCATGAGTACGCAGCCAAGCACGGATGAAGGATGCTTTGTAGCGAGAAGCACTAACTCCTCCCCCCTCTATTTTTTCCCTTCATGGAAATGGTGTTTTTTTTCCGATGTTTGTTCAGAACTCAACTATCGCTGTCGCAAAAGGCACAATTCACTCGCTTATGTCATGAATGAAGTGAAGGAAGAGTCCCCTTCCTTCCCATAATGACCCAAAACGCAAAAAAAAAAAATGAGAGCGAAAAAAAGAAGGGAGAACCTCTCCTCTCATCTCAGAGGTTCCCTTTCCTCCAGTCTCGTTGATGAAAATGAGACGGACAGGCGGCGGAGGAAGAAAGAAGACAAGAGAGAGATGGGAGGGAAGTAAGTGCAGGGGTCCATCTGCGTACCTCTTCCTCGTGTATAGGAGTGATCGAAAGTGATGGATGAGAGATGGAAGAACTTATAACGCAAATCATAAAATCTCTTTTCAAGATATCCCGCCTGGCTGCATTCGAATATATAAGACGACACCCACCTTCATGCGATTTATCCCACAGCCCATGCCCTTCAATGCACAAGCCAATGGTGCAAGGAAGAATAGGTGTTTCTTTGCCAAAAGCGGGCTTTTTACTCGTGTCAGGTGCCACACCTTTCCTTCTGGACTCGCCATTTCGGAGGTGGGTCATGGTGACGGTAGATAGGAAATGCTTGAACGAGGATCACCTTGGAGAGAACGAGCGAGAGTGAGAAGAATTGAGTGAATGGTTGTGCCTATTATGCCTGTCCCATACGGTAGACGAAAAGTGGGTGAATGGCGCGAGAAAGGAGAGTGTTGTTGTCGATTCAGAAGAAAAAAACACGGGCGGCGTATGATGTCTCGGAGATCGATCCAGGCACAGGGACAGGATGGTTTTTTTTTGCCACCAAAATTAAAATTTTGGATAAAAAAAAGAATGTCAAGGGCGGGAATCGAACCATGGAGAGGCTAGGTGGCTTAGAATTGACCCAGTTGCCACCTTTGGTTCAGCAATGCGAGATGGCGCAGGAAAGGGGAGACGTCTCTTTTGACTGTCTTCACTCTAGAAAGAACCCAACCCTTTGGCCAAGAACCAAAATTTCATTCCTCTTCTTCTCCCCTTCCTCCGCTATTCCCATCCTTCACTCACAACCAACCTTTCTATTTGTCTTCTTCGTTTCATTGCCGTCCGTCTGCTGAAGCCGTCGATAACAAGGACATACCCTCTACTCTCACTCTTCTGAGAACTATAAGAGCAAGCACGCACACGCAGCAAGGACGCAGACACCTTTACTCCCAACTAGTCTCTGCACCGCCACCACCACTACCACCGCGCCAACAAGCGACACTTACTTCCTACAACACACACCTACAGCTATCATGGCCTCAAAGAACCTGGCAAGTCAACCACCACCCCACGGCAGCGACATCAACGCGACCTGGGGTTTCCTCGAACAGGGAATCGACCAGATCATGAACCGTCTCGAAGACGGTCTCACCTACAAGCGCTACATGGAGATTTACACGTAAGTGCTGCTTTATTGTTTTGGCCGTAAAATAATAAAAGAGCGAGAGAGCAAGCACGGTCGACAGTGGACTGTGAACCAAGGGCAAGTGCCAAGGAGAAGAGGGGGAAGGGGTGATTGTAAGGAGAGTGGGTTGCAATGACTATGAGTATTAAGGAACGACGAGCTGATGCCACGACATACACATACACATACACCATACGCAACAACACTCCACAAAAAAAAAAGTCTAGAGCGATGGCAAAGTTGGACGCTGAACTGGACTGGGCTGGAGGCGCAAGTAACCATGAGTTACGATGGGGGCAGTGTTCTACTATTTTCTCTTTTGTGTCCGCAGTCAACGTAACATTCGGCCGGTGGCACCCATTCCCTCGCCGCCACCATCAGCCAACAAAAAAAGTCAGTCAACCGGGCTCCTCCTTCACCCCCATCCTCGTTTATCACTCCTTCCGCGTTATTGCCGTACAACTGTGTGTGTGTGTGTGTGTGTGTGTGTGTGCGTCTGTCGACTTTTTGTTAGTTGTCAACAGGGGTGAAAGCCAAAAAGAGACCTGCCCGCGAACAAGAGTGCATGTTTCTCTATCGCGTCTTTCCGCCGTGTCGTGTCGTTTCCACAACCAAAAACCAAACCTTCTGACAATACCTTTCTTGTTTGAACAATAGTGTCATCTACAACTACTGCACCACCAAGGCCGCCCCTGATGGCATGAGCGCCTCCATCCAGACCCGAGGTAACAACAGCAACCACCCGCCCAACTCCATGAGTCGTCATCCCTTCGACTCGCAACTGCGCCACTTGGACCACGCAACCCCTACCCTCAACCATACCATGCTTTTAGGAAAGTCAGAAACTCTTTATTCACCTACGATCTCTTCTATTGTCTTCCTATGAACTGTTTGTAGGAGCAACCTTGGGAGGCAGTGATTTGTACTCGCACTTGATTCGTTACTTCCAGAAGCACCTCGAGGAGACCCGCAAGGACTCTGAAAAGTTCATGGACGTCTCTCTGTTGGAGTTTTACACAAAGCAGTGGGTCAAGTTCACCGGCGCCTCGACCTATGTCCACCACTTGTTCACCTACCTCAACCGCCACTGGGTCAAGCGTGAGATCGACGAGGGTCGCAAGACCGTCCACGATGTCGGAACTGTAAGTTTATTCGACTCGTCACTTTTGCTTTCTTCTGTTTGAATTAATGTGCAATCGCGACTTGTGTACTTATCGAAACAAAACATCGCTTCTGCTTTTCTTAGCTTGCCCTTGTGAGCTGGAAGGACAGTCTGTTCAGCCACGTCGAACGCAATGTCATGGCTGCCGTTCTTCAATTAATCGAGCGTCAGCGTAACGGCGAAGGAGTCGAAACCAGTCTCCTCCGCAACGTCGTCGAGTCTTTTGGTAATTACCCATGAAGCCAGATCGATCAGTGCGTGTTATGCCACACCCACATTGTTATGTTGATGCATATGTTCATTGTCACTAACACTGCTTATTTTGTCGTCTGTAGTTTCATTGGGCTTGGATGAAAACGATTCAAAGAAGACCACCCTCGAGGTATACCGCCAGTACTTTGAGAAGCCCTTCATCGCTGCCACAGAAGTCTACTACAAGATGGAGTCTGAAAAGTTTTTGAGCGAAAACAGCGTTACCGAGTATATGAAGAAGGTAATACTCGATGGACATGATAATTTTGTCGTATACATCCTGCGTGTTGATGGATGACCCTCGACTTTCACCTCTTTACTAACTCGAAACCTTTCTTACACAAACCACGATTAGGCCGAGGTCCGCTTGGCAGAGGAAGAGAGCCGTGTCCAGATGTATCTCCACGCCAGCACACACAAGCCATTAATCCAAAACTGTGAGACCGTTTTGGTCAAGGGCCACACTGAGATCATTTGGGAGGAGTTCCAGAACTTGTTGAACCAGGATAAGCAGGAGGATCTCTACCGTATGTTCTCCCTTCTTCTCCGTATCCCCAACGGCTTGGACCCTCTCCGTGCCCGCTTCGAGGCGCATGTCCGCAAGGCTGGTTTGAGTGCCATTGAGAAGATTGCTGACGAGTCGACCGAGACCCTGGAGCCCAAGGTCTACGTCGACGCCCTCTTGGAGGTCCACAAGAAGTACAACGATCTCGTCCAGACTGCCTTCCGCGGCGAGGCTGGCTTTGTCGCATCATTGGATAAGGCTTGTCGCGAGTTTGTTAACCGCAACAAGATCTGCAAGTCGTCGACCTCCAAGTCTCCCGAGCAGTTGGCTCGTTACTGCGATTCCTTATTGAGAAAGAGCTCCAAGAACCCCGAAGAGAACGATCTCGAGGAGATCCTCAACAGCATCGTAAGTTAACTTTCTTTGGATGTTGTTGTTGTTGCTTTCATGTTCCATACACGGGCTTGCATTGACCTTTAATCATTCATTTCCTTGGACAAACAGATGACGGTGTTCAAATATGTCGAGGACAAGGATGTGTTCCAAAAGTTCTACTCCAAGATGTTGGCCAAGCGTCTGGTCAACGACACTTCGGCTTCAGAGGATGCAGAGGCTGGAATGATTTCGCGTTTGAAGGAAGCCTGCGGTTTCGAGTACACTTCCAAGTTGCAGCGCATGTTTACGGATATGGGACTCTCCAAGGAGTTGAACGATGCTTTCAGGGACAAGATGGCTCAGAACCACGATGCCGCTGACTCGACCGTCGATTTCTCCATTCTTGTATTGGGTACCGCCTCATGGCCCCTCCAGGCTCCCACGACCTCGTTCAACTTGCCCGATGATGTTGTCAAGACCTATGAGCGCTTCCAGGCATTCTACCAAGCCAAGCACTCTGGTCGTAAATTGAACTGGCTGTTCCAGCTCTCCAAGGCCGATCTCAAGACCAATTATATCAAGTCGAGCAAGACTGGTTATTCGTTCCAGACTTCGACCTACCAGATGGGTATCTTGCTCCAGTACAACACCGGTGTCTCATACTCGCTCGAGGAGTTGCAAACCCAGACGAACCTCAACCCCGATATCCTTTCCGGTGCTTTGGGTATTTTGGTCAAGGCCAAGGTCCTCCTTCTCGGCAACGGAGAGAACGTCGGCGATGCCCTCACCCGCTATGACCTCAACATGGACTTCAAGAGGTACTTTACTCGTTAATTGCTGCATTGTTTTCTTTATTAGTCGTATTGGTGTTTGCCTTTTCGGGCTGAAACTTACATACTCTCACCTTTTGAATTGGCGCTAATAGCAAAAAGATTCGTGTCAACTTGAACTTGCCACTGAAGTCTGAGCAGAAGGTCGAGACGGAAGAGACACACAAGACGATTGAGGAGGACCGTAAGCTGTTGATGCAGGCCGCCATTGTGCGTATCATGAAGACGCGCAAGGTGATGAAGCACGTCGCTTTGATGAACGAGGTGATCACACAGCTCCAGACCCGCTTCAAGCCCCGTGTGCCCGATATCAAGAAGTGTATCGATGTGCTGTTGGAGAAGGAGTACATTGAGCGTGTCGAGGGACAGAAGGACATGTTCTCGTACGTCGCCTAAGTGCTAGGACGAGGATGAGGAGAGGTAGCGGAGGATCGTTTTGGATATGGAGAGTAGTAGCAGCAACATTTGTACTTCTATGGACAACACAACACCAACCAACAAAAAAAACACAACCGACCGACCAACCTGATTTGACCAAACCTGCCATGCCCGTCTACCTGCCTGTCAACTATCGCTGTGATGGAAGGAAGGACAAGAGATGGAATTTAGTCTTGGGAAGGAGGTACACCAAAAACACCAAAAAAAAACAAGGACGAGCGAGGATAGAGAGGTCAACAAAAACAACAATCAATCAGCGGATGAATAAAATCTCCACAATGCATCCCTTTCTGTCTTTTTTACTTTTCTTGCATTGCATCTCGATGGACAAATGAAATCAACGTTGACTTTTGAAGTATATACATCCTCTATCCTTGGACAAAATGTTTAACTTAAATGTGAATGTCTGTCAATTTGAAGTGGCATCGTCTCTACCATTTATGCAATACATCTACTGCATGCATACCGATCACCGCCATCTTCGCCGACGTCGATGCCGTCCTGACATCCTCGATATCGTTTCTTCTGTTCTGATCATCATCCTCACTCCTCAATCTCGTAGTCGTCAGGCTCGCCCGCTCCGATCCGATTCTTTTTTTTTTGTTTTTTTGTTCGTCGATCCGTTCCTCGAGTGGAGGCGTGTTATGCTTTTGTGGCGATGCCATATTTCGTTAGAAGTCCTCTTCTCGATAGCACAACTGACGAAAAAAAACATTTGGTGATTGAGTTCTGGCAATTGGCTTGTACGAGACGATGTAGCGATTCCATGGTCCGATTTCCGCTGTGTATGTCGAGAGGGATATTTTGTTGGAGGGATTTTTGCTTCAAGGAGGGCTAGACATGGAGACATGGAGAGGCCCCTTTCCTCCTCCTCGTCCTCGTCCTCCTCCTCCTCCTCCTCCTCCTCCTCCTCCTCCTCCTCCTCGGCGCCGCTGCCGTCACCTTCCCTTGGTCGACAGGAATGTTTAATTGAGAAAGGATTCCAGGATGAGCTGTTGAGAAACTGGAAGTACAGTTTTAATGAATGGAAGCGCTATCGAATGGTCAAAGGAGTGGGAAGGGTCGGAAAAGAAGCACGGCGACATCTCCATCCGCTGTCATGCCTCTCTCCCCCCCTCTTCCAGGGGGAGGGAACATGGTTAGCGAAAAACGCGAATAACTGAAATAAAAAAGACAGCGCTTTTCCCCATCCACTAAACACCTAAAATTATCAGTTCACCATGCGAAGACCTCCTAGATCTTGGAGAAGGATGCATCAAAAGCACGCACATACTGCACTCAATCTTTCTCACTGTAGCGTGCTTAGCAACGCGCGAATAAAGAACCTAGCCTAAAGTGTTTAAAACTTTAAAAACACCTTGCTCAACTTCCAGCACACGGATCTTTTTTTTTGTATGATGCAGCTGACCCCAAGCGAACGCGATCTAGCCATGATGATGGACGGATAGACGAGGAAGAAAAATAAAGAGAAAAGGATCGCCAAATCGCCTCAGTAGCGTCCTTAACATCAACTCAGCAAACGACAGAAATGTGCAGCATGCAGCATCCATCACCATAGAATACACAACGAGTAAGCAGACATAAGCATGGGAAGGAGATGATGGTTTGTATTAAGCGGAAAGGAGGATGTACAAAAAGAATGATAAATTAGGGACTATGAGAAAAAAAAGCAGTTGGTGAGAGTCGATGGTAGGATTGGTGGTAACTATTGGGCTTGGGATGAATGCAGCCCGATAAAAATGGGGAAAATGAGACGGCATGTGCGATGATGACAGAACGTGAAAACCAACAAAAAAAAGTGTGCAGGGAATAAAGAGGACGACAAAGACGTGCATAAGGTTATGTTTGCTCCGACCCGCCTGTTCTCCCTGCCCTCCTGCGTCCTTCATTCCTGTTCTCCTGCTCTGCTGCGAATGGACGAATCCAGACTCTGGCAACCTCATTTTTAACGGCTGGCATTGACGGTATCCTGATGACTAACGATCTGGATATTGTCGAGTCCCATTGGTGCAGCGGTGTACTCGCGAGGGTGTTGGTGTCCTGCTTGTGCCATCGCTGACTGTCCACTGTGATCAAACACGTCCAGACCGGCGATCTCCTCGTCATCGTTGATTTCCTGCTTTCCATAGGCCTGATATGCGGTTGGTACTGCCGATGAAGACAAAGACTGATGGTGTTGGGGTAAAATGCTGCTCGAGACGGGGTTATGCTGAGTCCTGTGCTCCATGACATACTCCTCCCAACGGGTCACACCCAAGCCATTGGATGACTGGCGCATGCGAATATCCAGACCATCGCACCAACGGATCAATCCTGTCAACCAAATGTTGTACTGCATAGGGATAAAGGCCACATGGTCGTACTCGCCCCTGCTGTGACCAATTCCGGGGCCACGAATGCGGTTCATGACGTGCTGAAGCTGAGCCCTCTTCACGACAAGAGCCGAGGGCTGGGGTGCTGAAGGATCATCATCCTTGCTGGACTGGTCGACCAACTGTTTGTAATGCTGCTCCTTAAGCTGCTCCTTCTCGAGCCAGTAGCTGTCAAACATGGTGTACTTTTCGTTGTGGCGGCGGAGACCAAAGTACTCCTTCTCCATGACAGTGTCGACCATGGCCATGTAGAAGGACCAAACTGCGTAGGTGATAAAGATGGCCAGGACGACGTCGACGGTGTAGTGAAGGCGGACGGCGATGACAAAGTAGAGTCCGATGGTGATGTAGATGAACGAGACGTACTTGATCCAAGAGTTGCGCATATACAATCGCCACTGAATCGCACAGGTCACCCTATTAGTTCATAGAAAATATAATTATGGTGAGAACACTCCTTTCTTTTTTCATTTCCAATTCCCTCCCTCTTATGGCCCTTGATAATGCCTCAACTGAGCCTCCTGGATATACTCTCCTATGTCCTTTTGCCGAAGACTAGTGCTATCTCACTTGTGATTTTTGTCTCTAGCCGCGCAATGCCACCTGCCTGACCTTGTTATTTTTTTTTGTTTGCTTTTGTCCTCTCCTGACTGTTTGTTTGTTTGTTTGGCGTTTTTTTTTTGTTGTTGCTGTCGTTGTTGTGGGTGACATACAGTCGGAAGATACTTTTTAAACTCGCTTTTTTGGCTTGTTTGTTTGTTTTGTTCCTCCATGTCCATGGGGTGGATGACTATGTTTCCACCCCTTTACCAAACTCTGGTCCATGCACCAAATCACTGTTCTCATTCTTGTCTTTTTCATCTGTGCTCACAAGGCACGTATACATTGATCCTGTTTTAATACCCGCAACCATAAGAGGAGAGGAGACTTACATGAAAACGGTGTGGCCAGAAAAGATATCGTCAGTGCAGGCTTGGACAGTTCCAGGGATCATCTGCAAGGCGATCCAGAACATCTCTCCGAATCCAGTGGCGGTCGCAGGTTTGCATCCGCGCTTGGGTGTGGGCATGGTGGTGACGGACAAGGTAGTTGCACGGAGAACACTCAAGGCACCGACAACCCAGAATACACGGCGAAGGACAATGATTCGGGTCTGCCATGAGGGGCAGAGGATAGCGATTCCGATGAGGGTAAAGACGATAGATGTCATGACAAAGGTGTTGGCGGGGGTGATATCTTGCTGGGCGGGGAAGATGTCGAATCCACGGTCCTCCAGATAGATGTCGGTGTAATTGGTCTTGACGAAGCGATGGTCTGAGAACTGGTTGCAGAAGGCCATGCCAATGCAGACAACAGCAAAGAAGACGAAGGAGCAGACGAGACGACCGACTTCGGAGTTGATGGCCCGATCCCAGAGCGATCTCTTTTTATCTGCGGTGGGCTTCATTGGTGGTGGTGGTGGTGGCGGTGGTGATGAGATGTTGTTTTGGCTGAGGCTGCTGTTGCTGCTGGTGTTACGACGGAGGGGTGAGGGGGAAGTTGAGGGTGTCTGAGAGGCGTTGACCATGGTGACGTTGCTGTGTCTGTTTTGTCCATCCTGGTTGGGTCCTGTGGCGCTGAGGTGCTCCTGTTTCTCTGCTTGGGCGTTCATGGTTATCGTCCGAGAGTGTGAGTCTAGTGACTAGTTGTTGATCTGGTAGAGGGAGGGGAGGAGAAGAGAGGAGGGAAGAGGGAAGGAGAGAAGAGAGAGAGAGAGAGGAAGAGTATGTCAGCAAAAGAAAAGAAATAAAAAAGTATAAGGGAAAGAAGAATAAATAAGCACCAAGAAAGAAAGAAAGAAAGAAAGAAAGAGTCAGGGCCAGGCACAGATTTAATCATCTTTGAGGTGGTTGTTCTTGTCGCAGTGCTCTCTCAGTGCTCAGGAACATCAAAGACAAAAAAAAAAAAAAAAAAAAAAAAGTTGATTTGAAAGCTGTGGAAAGCGCAGTAAGGAGGCAGTTTGCGGTGGATGATGACCACAAGGTACAACAACAGCAGAGGTTAAGAAAAGAAAAGAAAGTGAGAGCTGACTTGACTGAGAGAAAAGAGAAAAGAGAAAAGAGAAAAGAGAAAGAGAGCAAAGGCAAATACTGAATGTATTCAAATCAAACTGAACAATCAAACAACAGCGAACGATGAGAGAGGGCAAAGTGAGCACGCGATCACTCTTCGATTTGAACAAACAAATATCAAATCGAACGTGCCATAAGGGATGTCGTTTGTTCTTTGTTCGGAGGAATAATAACAACAGCAACAACAACAACAACAACGAGGAAAAGGAGTGCTTTCTTATTTTGTTATTACACAAAGAGAGAGAAAAGGGGCTGAAAAGGGAGGGAGCGGGGGGTGTATTTAAATGGCATGCAGGTGAAATGAATGCAAGAATGGCTCAACAGTCTTCCAGGAGAGTTGCCTTTGCTCCTTTTTGTCTTCCTTTTCTTGTTGAGAGTGTAGAGACAACTGTTTGGTTGTAGTCTATCTTCCATCTGTTCCATTGATGTCTCCTATTCATTCCTCCACAACCCAGGGCAGGGAAAGTCCATTCACTTTGAAAAAAAAAGAATCAATTCAAACGACACCACAGCTGAAAATAGGGAAAAAGACAGACACAGACCATGCACAAGAAGCAGTAAGGGAGAGACAAGACACTGTATGTTGTGTATGTGGAGGAACAAAGACGTTAAGAAGGTCTCTGTTCCGAATAGAGTGAGAAGAGAGAAGAGAATGTCCGATCGGGCCTAGTCCACTGTTCTCCGCACTCCTTTTCCTTTTTGCCTTTCATATTCCTCCTTTGGTAACAACCTATTCGCAATTAATGTTGTTTGTCCGTTGGTTGTTGCGGGTAGGTGAATGAATGAATGGGTTTTATGCGGAGGTCCAATTCTTTTTTTATAGCAGCGCACAGGAGATAGGAGAGTGAGGAAAAGGAGCGACCTGGGGTGGAGTGAGGGAGGTTGAAGAAGCTATGTGGAGCGAGTGGTTGTTGTACAAGGGAGGGGGGTGATGACAATGATGCTCTCGGTGTTTGTGGAACCCAAGACAGGTCGCACACAGAGAGTGCGAGTTAGAGTGAGAGTGACGAAAGGAGAGTAGTGTGAGGGAATACATACCAGGCGAGGAGGAGAGTTGTTGTTGTTGTTGAATGTGGAATGAGGAAGGGAGAGATGGAGTGGAGAGTGTGAGTGAAGGAAGGGTGATGGGAGTGAGAGTGAGGATGAGGATGAGGATGATGAAAAGAAGGAAGAAAAGTGATGAGATGAGATGAGATGAGAAGAGATGAGATGAGAAGAGATGAGAAGTGAAGAGTTGACAAAAGAATTAGAAAAAAGGAACGGAGAAGCGAAAAGGAAATTAAAACCTGCGGAGAGGGGGGAAAGAGTTTTATTCTTGGACTCTTTGAGAGAAATGGGGCTAGTCAGTCAACTGAGTGCTGTGTGTGTCTGCTTGTGTGGGCACCCTTGCTTGAAGGCTTGCTTGCCACATACTCCCCCCACCACCACCACCACCACCACCCCCACTGGAAAGAGATCCATACACATGCACAGATACAAATCATACAGCTGCATTTGCTGAGGCGATGACGACAAGGAGAACGACCATTATTACCCCACTTTGCCACAGTCCATTATTGGATCATTACAAAAAAACATAAATAGGCGGGGGCGATTCAGCGACACATAGACACAGGACATGAGACAATAACAGTTGCCAACCTGAACGAACGAACAATGCTCAATGCTCAATTGAACGAGCTCAATTGAACGAGGTGCAACAGGCCATCAATAGCGATGGATTGCCATCCCTTTTCGTTGTAATTCAGCCGTGGCCACAAAATCAAGCCAAGCCAAGCCAAGGCATAAGAAAAGAAAAGTTGTGAAGGAAGAAAAAGCCCTTGCTGGGAATCGCAACCAACGGGAACAAAAAGTAGTAAGTAGGCAACAGCCCCACAGGCAAGCTACGACAACAACGACGACGCGCTCGCGTGTCTGTGTGCAAGAAAGGGACAAGCAAGATCTCCTTTTTTTCATTGCAGTTGCTGTTGTTGTCCATGCTTGGCATGAGCGTACGTTTGCATGCCAGTCCACATCTCCTTCTCTCGTTCTTCCAATTCAACAATTGTGCTTATGCATGGTCCATTCTCGACTGTCTCGGATGATACATTCATTCATTTAATAAACAAATCAAAAGGTCCGATAGTACTCAATGACGATGTAATCCATGGCCATGGGTACTCTGGACCCCGTTGGAAAACTGTTTCCAGAACAACCGTTCAAGAGCCTCTCTCTCTCTTCTTCTCTTCCCTCCCTTGCTCTTGTTCCTCCCCGCCAGAGTAAACATTCGGTTCCAAATCTCCATTCAACGCCACCACTCCAATTCGCCACCCCACCACACGTATGAAATAGTGACATCAAGGAAATGAGAACAAGCAAAGAGTGCAAAGATGGATAACGTAGGTAGACTCCCCACTCTCTACATTCATTCAACAAAGGGTACAGCAGTTTGTGCAACTGGAGTTGACTCGAAAAGGAGAAAATACGACGAAGAAAGAGAAGAAAGAGAAGCGCAGCCGACTGCCAATGCAGCCTCTGAGCCAAGACAAAACAATGAGGAAAATCCAACAGCCTGCCTCATTGTTATCATTCAGTCAGAGAAAAAAAAAAAAAAGAATAGTCGACTCGCATAACAAATATTGACGTACGCCAAAACCCTCTCTCTACGGCCTCTCGCTCTCACTCTCTCGTTCTGATCTGAAAAGTAGACAAATCTCTCGACTACAGCACCAAACTCACCCACTCACTTCAATATGCCCTTCTTCTTTTGCACAAACTCCATTTTCTCCCCTTCTTATTCTTTTTTGGTGCCTCCCTACCTTCATTGCCAATAGAACAGCGTCGGAAAAAATGTGCCTATAGAAAGAGACGCACATCCTTATTTCAAATAAACAACCTGCGCACCAATAATGATCCTGACTGTCCAGGTGGTCAACATTGCCTGAAATGTGCGCCATGTCGCTATCTTTCATCTTCTCCACTTCCCATTCGTCCCTTCGTCTTCTCTCTCATCCCATCAAAAATAGCAAATGAGGTGGAAAAAAAAGAACGCGGATAAATGGTGTCTCCGGACATGGCTACTCAAACTCAAAAAAACCTGTTCCCTTTCATAACACTGTCGGGCGTCGTGTCGAGCTGTGTGCATTTACACGTGACCCTAGGGCATTTGATGAGAAAAGTGAAATAATTGAACGAGGTGACAAAGACCATCATATCTTTTCCAATCTTCTCCACAAAATAACAAGATAACAAGAAGATAACAAGAAGACAACAACAACAGCAAAGAAACACAGCATGGTGGCAATGACAGGAAGAAGGCAGGTAATAAACAAGAATAGGATTAAAAATACGATTCCTGAAAGAAAACAATGGGGAAAGAAAGGGGGAGAGAAAAGGATAAGCGCGAACGAACGAAGGGGTGAAAAGAAATAACAATCAGGAATAATGGCACTACAAGGACTATGGAAAAAAATAGGTAAGAAAAGGGAAGGGAAGGGTGAAACTTTTTTCTTCTTCTCAGACTCCAGCTCCAGCTCGGACTCTTCGTCTCGCTCACTTCTCTAAATCAACACAGGCTTCTTATTTGCTACCGTTGATCGGAGCAAATGGTCCATGCCCTCCAGATGCCATGTTCATCATCTGAAGAGACTTTTGTTGCGCCTGCTGCTGCTGTTGTTGCTGTCGTTGTTGCTGCGCCTGCTGTTGCTGTGCCTGCGCCTGCTGTTGCTGTTGGAACGCATGGATTCCCTGCTTCAAATGAGACTGAGCAGAGGTGGGTCCTGGTGTCGCCGTCAAGTTCAGACTGCTCAACAGCCCAGTATGGCTACCGCCCTCCAAACCATTAGCCAAATTGCCAGCATTCGACAATGGCCCTCCTCCTCCTACTGCTGCTCCTCCTGCTCCATGTAGATTCGCTGCATTGTTTCCGTTGGGCGCCATACCAGACACCTGACGGCGCTCCTCCAGTGCGTCGTACATGACGATAAAGTCCTTCTTGACCTTCTCCCAGCTATTAGGGTCGAAAAAGATGTAGCTTCCTCTTTCAAACGTCGGCGTCTTGGACTGCTCCGATGACTGGTCCTTCATCAGCCACAATCGCAACTCCTTGTGATACCGCCAATGCCGGTTGTACAACTCTACTGCTGCTGCATCCTGAAGCGCGTCCCTTGGCATCGAGTAAAACATATAGAATAGAGTCTCATCCAATACTGAACCAAGTTTTGCCTGCACTGGAGGTGGAGGTTGCACGTTATAGCATGCTGGCACATGGAATTCTGCCTCCACATCTGATGAAGTGGGTCCTTCAAACCACGGAGATGCAAACGTTCCGTGCAATGGCCTACATCAATAGTAAAGATTTAATGAGTAACTTGCTGTTAGCACATCATTTGTTGGTGCAGTGTAAGATAATAACAGTGAAATGAATACATCGCTTTGCCAGTAATCGTTGGAAAAAAAAACTTACTCGGCAGAGTTTAGGCTTAGGCCGAGGGTGGTCAGGTCGCGGCCAAGGGTCAAAGTGGTGGCATCTTGATCTGCCATACGGATCACGCCAAGCATGCCAAACAGCCCAAACCGATCATGATCATCAAGTACAGTCCTGTTTTGATCGCCAGACTCTGAGGTAGCCGATCCTGCACCTGCGCCCGCTGACGTGTTGACCCCACTTGTAGGTTGCGTTGCGTTCAAATGCAGTCCTGTACTGGAGCCACCTGTTGATGTTGGGACATTGACTGTTGCTGATGGTGTTGTTGCCGGGCTGCCTGTCAGTGCCGCAAAGAGTCCTGATGCATTTCCGGCCTTGTTTGCGTAGCTCTATAGAATTGTAATGGATACCGGACATGTTAGTCAAAGAGAAAAGACACGAGATTGAAAATCGCATTAATGTAACTGCCGGGTACGAATATGCAATATGGTTGACGGGTTAAATTGATGTTACCTTGGTCGCCTTTCCCAGTTCACCAGGCGAGCCTGCAAGGTGCCCGCTTAGAGGCGAGTGTGGACCTACAGGAGCAGAGAGGAGGATCCATGTTGAGGTCAGTCAATTGAATATTGATGGTCCCTGAAATGAATGACGGCATTGGTGCCATTGGGCAAGAAACAGTTCTGAAAACCTGCATTGGCGTGGAGTTATGTACCATTGAGATGCAGGAGCTGTTGTTGGGCTAGAGACTGTTGCTGCTGTTGCTGTTGTTGCTGTTGCTGTTGCTGAAACATCAGGTCGTTGGCCATTTGTTGTTGTAATTGCATCGACTGCTGCATCTGAGATCCGGAGGTCGGGCTGAGCATAGATGAGAAAGCTCCCATACCATCCAATTGAGACTGTTGAAGGAGATGTTGCGCCTGTTGTTGCTGGGATGGGTGATGTTGCATTCCTTGCTGGTTCCTGGATGAGGGCTGTTGCTGCTGCTGCTGGTGCATCTGCATCGAGCTAAAGTGCCGACTCGAATTGGCAGAGTTGGGTCTTGCACCAGGCAAAGCTGGGAAATCGTCCTCTATGCTAAATTCCTGCGGGAGACCGTTTGCTGACGCTGATACATTAGGGTTAGCAAGCGTTCCTGCTGTACTCGCATAGCTTGCTGCTGACAATCCAGGGTTGGACGATGCATTGTTAACGCTTCCGAGGGCAGGAAAGTCGGACATGTCTAGGATCTCTTGCTGGTGAGAAGGGTGTGGGTGCAGCTGCTGCTGTGATGACTGAGACTGTTGCTGCTGTTGTTGGTGTTGCTGCTGCTGCAACATGGACGACTGCATCATGGATGGGAACCCAGACATTGGAGGCCTTGCTTGGTTCATTCCTGGCATAGGTCCTGATCCATATCCCCAGCCTTGAGATGGCTGGCCTATCAAAAGCAGACGGAGAGAGAGAGAAAGAGATCGAGGTACAGAGAGAGACGGTAACAAAATGTCAGTCGACTGTGCAGTGACTGTACGTGTCCCTTCACCCTATGCTGGTCGTTGCTTTTTCCCTCAAGTATCGTTGTCAATTCCTTTCCCGCTCTTTTTCTTCCCCACTGTATTGTGAGATTGTTGAATAGGGAACCATCAAAGTGTTTATGTTCTCAAGTTAATGCATGTTCTTCCGGAAGTCGTTTTGTTGTTCTTTACCCATTTCGAATGAGCCATGCCTTCCGTTGGGCATACGTCCTGCTGCTTGCATCGCTGACGCCCTTTGCTGCTGTTGTTGCTGCTGCTGCATGTGTTGCTGGTATTGTTGCTGTTGTTGCTGCTGTGATGTCTGCATGGCTATTGTTCGATAGAAAGAGAGAATACATGGAGATTTTGTGGGTGTGAGAAGAGAGAGTGCGAAAGCAAGGTGAGTATGCGTGTCCTTCTACTTGCTCTTCTAGGTCATCTACGCGCCGAGGTAGTTCTTGAATTCTCTACTTCGTCGACAAGTGCTCATGTGGTTGTGGTTCAATAATCCCGTACCGGCTGCGGTGGGTTGTTTTGTGAGGTTGAAATGTCCTGTCTGCTTGCCGTCTCACTGACTGTGGATGGGGTGTGGTCGATGGTGGGTAGGTTATGTAGTTTTTAGGGTAAAGAGGAGTAGGAGGTAAAGGTGTTCGTCGTCGTGGTCGTCGTTGTGTCCGCGAAGGAGGATGAGATCGCAAAGTCCGCTCTCTTCAACTCACCTCGCACCCAAATGTGACGTACGATGAACACTAGAGTCGTACATACTACAAGATTCCAACTCTGATCACCTACAAAAAAAATTGGTGGCGCTGATCCTTCCTCCCATGGTTAAGGAACACTGCCTTCCCATGTGGCACCACGGTTCGTGCTGCTCGAAAAGATGTCTGGCAGGAAGAAAGGAACCAACAGAAAAGCACATAAAAGACTTTTTCAAGCTACTTGCTGTAATAAATCGACTCTTCCACCCTTAACTCTTTGTTCCCTCAAGCCTACAATGAGTCTCCGGTCCACCATTTGCCGCACTACGTCGCACTTGATGGTAAACAAAAAGGGATTGGGCCACAGTGTAGTACTTACATCTAGGTTTTTATCATACTCCTTTGTCGATTGTTAGTTATGATTCGCGAGGCCATTACCTAAAATGCCCTCATGTGGACCAAAATCATAGCGAGAGCAGGAGCATCGACGATGTCCGTCCCCTGAAAAGTGGGTTTTTTCAGGACCGCAATGGCACAGGGCTGTGTATCTACAGTAAGCGACTGAACATTCGAGAAAAACACGAAGAAGACATACAATTGGGGGAAGCGAGAAAGCGTACACCACAATGGACAATGTTGAAGAAACAAAAGGCCTACATCGTTACAGGAAGGTGGGAGTACAGTACAAAGCAGAGAACCAATGGATCAACAATCATACACGGATGAGATAGACATATTTTATTTCTGTAGCACCAACAGACAATGAATGGAGTGCGACATGTTCAATCGAACATGTTGAAGAAAAGTAAAACATAATGAAATAGACACAGTACTTTCTACTAACTGTCGCTGCGCGTCTTGCTGTTGCGCCTGACGCACTTACTGGTATCACGCTTGTAGTTCTTGCTCTTGCCCTTGCCGTGATAGCTCTTGGAATCTGCGTGGACAATGATGGGACGCACTTTGTAAAGCCATCGAGTTGACCCCCCGACATGTTGGTCGTCCAAGTCTGGCAGCATTTCGTCGTGCTCTCGTTGTTGAAATCGTTGGATTCGAAGGCCGCTACACAAAGTTCTTCGTATCCATCTGCAAAAGCTCATTGCATCAGGCAGACGACTGCGAGCAGAATAATGGTGATTAGGGTGGATTTGTAGGACATCATCTCTTGGCTAGACGCTACAAAAATAGAGTGAAAAAATGTTTATTAATATTTTGGAGGGTAACGAAATATTGTCATCCGTACAGGCGTGCTTTCAGCTCTTTTATGTTATTTGCTTGTCGGATTAGTCTCAACAACGGCCTGAAAAGATCGGCGATGTGTATGAGGGTATGGTTGGTCAAGTGAGGAAGAGGGGCGAGGCTGAGATGTGAACAAAACAAAGGGAGGAAGAAATGTTCTTCTTATGAGCAATGGAAATGATCTGTGGACTGATAATGTTTGTCAGAGGCGCCAACGGTAGTTGTCTTTTTTTATGGGAGCATGCTTACTGCTGTGGTTGAATATATTCTTGCTCGAACTGGTTGCATAGCTGTCCCATCCATCTATCTATTTGTTCCTACACCAACGATTCCTATTGCCTAGGGACGGAGTGTGAGTATGTTCCTGAGATGATGATGGACACATTCCCCTCTTTCTCGCCTTCCTTCCTTTTTTGCGAGAGCGAGAGCGAGATAAAGGGAAGAGGTGGATGGCAGGGATATTAAAAACCTTTCCTTGGTCATAAGTCGGATACGCATCCTAGAAGTACGGATCCACCACGTACTGTACGCCAGTTACTGCTCTCACCAGACATCACTACCACAGCAAGGTACTTGTTGTTTGGTTGCACAACTACGGCATGTTGGCGCATGTTGTTTTATCCAACTCGCATCGAGTACGAGCTCCTCGGTGAAAGGTAAAGGGCGCCATGAGCACAGTTGATGAGTATATCCATCTGTGCACATGTCCAGACTTACACCTGGTCAATTTCTTTCTCTCATGTCTCGCCCCCTTATCTCACGTCTTACTTTAATATTCTCCTTCCTCGCTCACTTTCAGTGGCGGTACTGAGCGTGTAGCGATCCGTCCCTTTCGATCTCGCAACTTTACTCCAACACGGAGAAAAAGCACGCGTTTCCTACCACTAAATTCGCCAATTAATAGTGATGGTCATTCACAAAGAAGCTACAGTGCCAGCGATCCGATGTTGACTACATAGAGGCGAATGCCAGTTTCAAGTACTCAGGACGAACAGCGCTATAGGACGTGGACTCATGAATAGATCTGGCGTCTTTAACCTTTGTTGCAAAATGGCCATTCGCCTCTTCTTCCCTACTTGGTAATAAACGCAAGTCAGGTGCAACATGGTTCTAGTCTGCTTTATGTCAGGCCCACATTTTTTTGTGAGATAGCGTTCCTGAATGGAACATGGGATCAACATTCCTTTATTTTTCTTTCTCAGACCATGGTCCGTGTTCATTACATTCCTCATGACCCATCTTCTTGGGCTTTCTTGAAGATCGCCTCCACTCCATTGTCCATTGTCTTCATTTTTTTCTTGCCTACAAAGCAGCCCTTGTACCATTGCGTTTATCTTGTAACAACTCATTGAGAAACCAAGAGCGACATGGGGACCCTGCCCTTTTTTGTGTTCCCACAAGTCTTCCAATTTTTTCATGGGGCATGTCGGATGTTGGGTTGACCAACGCCAGTTTATTTTTTCGATGCGCGCCCATGGGATGGGTTCGCATTGCCAAACAGAGCCATGGCTCAGTGGAAGGAAGAAAACATTGACAAGAAGAAGGCAATGGTGCTCTCGATACCTTTTCTTCTTGTGTGCGTCGTGTGCAAATCATAGCTTCCCCGACTTCTGACGATTGTGCTCTCGCAGGAATTTGTTTACTCATGCAACGAGCGGAGGAACAAACCTGTTCACCCATCCATTCATCCTATCTACTCCTTCTTGTTGGCCTCCGGCACATGCATCACGTACTTGTCACAAAATCATGATCTGTAGGTTGTGTAGAATATCAACATGCCCCGACAATCCGACATCGTTTGTGCAACCGTCTCACAAACAAGCAGAACGGCTGAACATGGAACATCTTTGTTTCGTTCCCTCCCCTTAGAAAACATTCCTTCTTGGCACCAGGTAATCAAGTTACAGGTATCTAACAGGCTGTCGGTTATAGAGTTCCCATGAAGAATGCCAATGAAAATGTCCCGACAGATGTGAATCTAAGGATAGATCATTGGGGGGCACGGTGGCCCCCTATTCCTTGGCTGTGGGTTCCTATTTCTTAATGAGGACATCGGTTTTGGATTGGACTACTGCTGAACTAGGATTATTGTTGGCCGGTATTTGTGTTGTGTGTGTCGGAATGCTCTCAAAGTCAGAGATAATTGCAGTCTATTCCATGCTCCTTCTCCCCTTCTTCCTTGTGAGCATTATTCTTTTTCTGTGCCTAATTTATTCGTGCGTGCCTGGGACTGGGACCTCAATTCGCACAGTGCATTGCAGTACCATCTTACTTACCGATGGAATGCTTCATTAGCATCTCTTTTCTTGGACTCGTACAGTACTTCTCTATCTTCTTGTTGCAATCAAGATGACAAAGGGGCACTACTACAACTTGGATGCTCTCACCTTTTGTTCTTTGTCCAATTGTGTTTGTGTCCATTGCCACCTTGAATGCCCACAACACTGTAAAGTAAAGGAATAAAACCAGGAAGTGAGTGCTCTCATATTTCATATGTATTCTCCCTTGGATTGGTCCTTGCCCTAACCGTAACCGTTCTACCCCCGGGTTGCGTACTTTCTTAAAGGTATCCCACAGCTGTGAAGGAACGAAAAGATAATCATACATAAAAAGACATGGCCATCGCCCACTTTTGTTGGTTCCTTCAGTCGACACTCTCAACTCCCCCTCCCTCCTTCACTTCCTATTACTCTTGCCTCTGTCTCCCTCGCACACACATTCCTCCACCAGACTGAGACTCTCCTTCCTTTACCATTGTACATATATACTTCCATACATAGATACCATCATGAAAGTCCCTACTATCATCTCGCTCCTCGTAGCCACCGCCTTGACCATCGCCGTTCAAGCTGCGCCCGTCATCGAATCTACCTTCGCACCACCCCCAGCCCCATCCACTACCTTTGCACTCTCACCCACATCCACATCCCTCCCACCTTCAGATGGCTCCTCAAAGAACGGCACCCACCCAGCCACTAACGGAAACCAACCCTTCACCGTCACCGACGACTCTGAGCTTCGTAAATACACTGTCGACTACGACTATGAGGATGCCGCAAAACACATCGCCAAATACCACGAGGCCGTCTACGGGAACACGGCCGCCTCCCGTACCAACGCCGTCAGCAAAGCGGCCGCTTCGACCGATATTCTCCCCTTCTGTGTCGGCTATGCCTTTGACGGTGTAGGAGCCCGTTCCAAAATCTTCAAGAACAAGATGTCGTGCGATATCGCGGGCTGGACAACATTGTTCATTTTCACCGCTAACACCAAGAAGGACATCCATCAGGCCAAGTACCCGATCTGTGTCGGGTTTGCCAGCGGACCCGACCGCAGTATGCTGTTCTCGGGCAAGACGACTTGTTCTATTGACGAATTCTCCAATGGTTTCGCGTTCTACGAGTCGGGGATGAAGATCAGCTACGACGCCACAGTCAGCCCAATGCACGAGTCGACGGTGATGTGGCAGGCGTACGGACCTCACCGGATGATGCTGTACCCTTACTACGAGGGTGACAGGCATGGCTGGCAGTGGGCCTACAACCTCCAGTACCGTTCCCGCTACCGCCTGGCACCACCGAACGAGAGAGTCAACCTAGTGACTCAACAAGGAATGCACGAGGAAGTCCACAAGAAACTCAGCATTTCTACACCCAACACGGCGGCCAGTCGGTGCACCCTCAACCTGATCGAGACCTGGACCGACGACTTTGTTAACTCGGGCAACCCTATTAGCAACGCAGGATCGAGTAATGCTCAATTCGTGGCGGACGCACAGCGGGATGAATGTAGCAACCTGGTCGCGAAGTCTTCTATCCGTGTTGCCCGGATCACGTACAAGGCGGCATCGTCGCTCGAGGCTGTTATTGACGGCAAGATCTATGCTGCGATCTCCATCTCGGCCAACACGCACCTCCCTCCTGCCCATACCCGGGTCGCCCTTCGGGAGAGTCTGAGGACAGGCAAGCCTGTGATGGTGGGTCAGCAGGGTGACAAGAAGATCCCTGATTCTGTTGTCGCCTTGGTTGCCGACACCTTTATCACCATTGGATCCAAGAGCATCTACTATGCAATGTAGTCCTTCTTTAAATATAATATCCTGTTTACTATTCTATCATGCCATGTCCACACTTTGGTGGCAAAGGAAAGGATCCCAACGAAGCTACGAGTCACATGAGAGTAAATTGAATGATCGCGTGTGCAACTAGTTTTACCCCATTAATATTTTTATTTTGACTCTGGTGCGTGGAAGGAGCTTCCAGGAGGAAGGGTGTATCCATTTTATCCATTTTCTAGTTGATGGATAAGGTAGTGGGTCGTCGGGTAAAGAAGGGGAGGAAGGTTAGTAGGGATGCTGGTCAATTGATTGGAGTCAAAGAGAAAGACATGGAGTCAACGAGAAAGAACTGGAGTCAAAGAGAAAGAGCTGGAGTCAAAGGAAGAGAAAGGGGTCTTTGCGCTGTGTACAGCCTTTTCATTGTTGAGCGAATGAGTCCACCTCGGAAAGAAAGAGACCTTTTCTTTTGTGGATCGGAAAAAGACGCGACCTGTGCATTCATCTGCCCCTTTTTTCCCGCATTTTGAACGATTCTTTGCGTTTGCGTAGTCAATTGATCGCAAACAAGGAACAAAGACAACTGGACAGGGCTAGTTGATAGTGATGAGGCGGCGAAAGAAAGAAAGAGAGACAAAACAGCAGATAGAGTTGTAAAATACACAAGGAATACACCTTCGTTATTGTGGATCCAGCAGATAAGAAAGAGAACCTTGGTCATCCTGATAAGGCAAGATCAACTGCCCAGAGCAAGTCAACCGCCCGAGGAACGAACTGAAGAGACCAAGAGAGGCCCGGTGCTTCGTTTCTCAGTCAGCCTTGAGATGTGTGAGTGTGAGATATGGGTTCAAGCAGGTTGAGTGTGACTGCAGTGATGATTGGTTCAATTGATCATCACTAGGCCTTTTGCTTGTCGTTGATGCTTTGTCCAGGTCGAGCCTCTTTTTTCCCACTCTTATGGCTTTAAAGATTCGCCTTTTGCCACTCTTCTTTTTTGTTGCGCCTTTCTCTCTCTCTTTGCCCTTTTTTTCTCTTTCGCTCCTCTCTTTTCACTCTCTCGCCAAACAACAACTTTCTTTCCTTCATCACTTGTTCATCCATCAACGACACTCTAAACCAATCACCAACAACAACAACAACTGCCACCACTCTTTGTTCTTTCTCATTCCCACATCACCCCTCTGCTCTTTTGCTACAATTCCACATCACATTGACTCTTTGCCACCACTTTATACCAAGCAACACACGCACTTATCAATAGCTGCCTCCCTTTACGCCTCTCTTCCCCTTGTTACCCCCCCCCTTCTTACTTACAAAATACTGTCCCCAACAATGCCACCACCAATGCCTGTCGACGACAACATCTGGAACTTGAACAGGTACGCAACCTCACCTCAAAGGAACCATTTAAGAATGCCACAGGAGGATCTTAATCAGGAGTATTGTTCAAGTCAGATATAAAACATTTGTACCAGGCATATCGCAGATCGAAAGGGAGAGACAACGCAGAAAAGGAAAAGATAATAAGAGTCATCGTGAGGGTACGATGGCGCTGATAAAAACATAAATGACACAACAGCAAGCAAGACGGGATAGAGTGTACCAGACACAACAATAATAAGAAAGCCAAAAAAGACGCCCAACACAAAAAAAAAAAAGAGAGATGAAAAATGTTCTTTTTGTCTGTCGATACCCGCAGAATGACTAATGACAGGTTAAACTCTTATTTTTTTTCTTTTGTTTTTGTTGGCTCTTTGTTATCGGTGTTTTCATTTCTAAAACAAATAGCTCCTCGGATCGACAGCATACAGAGGCCTATGGCTCAACAGAGATCTTTGATGCCACCAACTATACCTTCCCACGGCAGAGAATCCCACACCAAATGAAAGGTACATACAGTCAGCTCAAATTGTATTTGCTGGAACAAACGCCGGATCGGATCATATTCGAACAATCTTGGAACAGTTAATAGCGATAAATGCTTTCGAGAGAGGATACAGCGCCATAACGGACCCAACATACGACATTGGACGACCAATTGATGACATTATACGTGTTTATTGTGCCGTATTCACGAATCCTGAACCCGCTCCTTTTGTCCATTCTTATCCCAAATCAACCTTATAGACGAGTCCAAGACGCCCTTGGTGATCGTGGCGTGTGGATCTTTCTCTCCCATCACATACCTCCATCTCCGCATGTTTGGTATGCACAAAATGCAATTGTTCTTTGGTTAATAATGATTTTTTTTTTTTTTTTTTGGTGACAATCGACCACGATCCATGTGCAGACAACAGACGTTTATTGTGCCTCGCCGTTTCACCCACTCGCGGCCCGGCTCGCCTTTCACAACCTTTTATTTTCACGACCGCGTTCCTTTTTTTTTCTTTTCATTTATTGAAATGGAGAGTGATCGGTCGACAAAGAAAAAAAAAGGGCGACAGAATCGTGTGCAAGAAGCGTAAAAGTATCCTCCAGTTTTTTGTCCAGTGATGGAAAACTAATTTCAACAACCGCTCTTCTTCCCTCCCCCCACTTTTGGTCTCGTTTAGAAATGGCCCGAGACCACGTTTTGGAAAACACCGACTTTGAAATCATGGGAGGGTACTTTTCACCCGTGTCCGACTTTTATCAGAAGCAAGGACTGGCAGAGGCAAAACATCGTGTGCGCATGTGCGAGCTGGCAGTCGAAAAGTCAAGCACATGGTTGATGGTCGACAGCTGGGAGAGTCTGCAGACAAGTTACCAACGCACCGCTATTGTTCTGGATCACTTTCAGTACGAGCTCAACGGCGCCGACGGCGAAGGTGGCGTCAAGCTGAAGAATGGTATGTTTTCATCCCACTTCACACACAGGAGGAACCGACTGTTTGATGTTTAGGGAGTCATTACACGTTCACTAACTCTGCACTATCTTATATACATGAACGTAGGCGAGTACAAGCCGATCAAAATTATGCTTCTTGCTGGTGGAGACTTGGTCCAGTCCTTTGCCGCTCCCGATGTCTGGGCTACTGCCGATGTAAGTCTTCAGGATCCAGGATTACTTCGTTACTATGAACGGGATTGATGGCAACATTTAGATACGAACCAACCAATTGACCACTATCTTCCTTACTCTCAAAAACAAATAGCTTCACCACATTATCGGAAAATACGGATGTTTGATTCTGGAGAGAACAGGATCAGATGTGTATGAGTTCCTGCTGTCGCACGACGTCCTGTACAAGCACCGGCGCAACGTCTTTGTGATCAAGCAGCTCATCTATAACGATATCAGCTCGACAAAGATCAGGCTCTTCATCCGCCGAGGCATGTCGATCAAGTACCTCTTGCCAACGGCAGTGATCGACTACATCTATGAACAGAGGCTGTACACAGACTAGTGGATGGCTCTAAGAGGGGATGGTTGATCCGCCGTTCTATTGTAATCAACTAGGATCTCGCCTCTCAGGACTCCCCCAAATTTGCCTCTCCTCCGGCTCCATCTCCTTTTCTTTTTTTTTTCTTACTCTTTTTACCATGGCATCAAGCACGAACACGGCGAAAGCCACCACAAGCGGCCACTGTCGGTTTTTTTTTCTCCATAGACAAGCAGAATTCGTTCACTTGAACACTATATTGTACCATTACTCATTTTCACAAAATATACAATAGCTGCCCGTTTCACACACATAATAGTTATATTGATACGTTTATTGGAATAATTGCAGAGTACAAAACGAAAAAGCAAACAATAAGTTGGATTGCCAGTTGTGAACCAAGGCTGGTAGTTGAGGTAAGAGAAAAACAGCACTCTATTGCTGAGAAGAGCTGTAAGTTCCCTGTATCTACCGCTGGTAAGGATGGTAGGATCCACCACCGCCACGACCATGTCCTCCGGACGATGATCCTCCAGCACTACCACTGCTTCCTCCACCGCTATTGCTGCTACCAGCACCACGAACAGGACCGCCCCCAGATCCGCTCTGACGCGATCCTCCGCTTCCTTGGTTCGATGGTCGCCCACCCGAGCTGTAGTTGCTGTTGTTTCCGCCACTTCCCCTCGAATCCTGGTTGTTGTTGTATCCTCCACCAGAACCACCACCATCTTGGCCGCCGTGGCGTCTCTGTGATGGCGAGTTTCCACCACCTTCCTGATCACCACCACCATCGCCACCATAGCCTGCGTTGTTTTGGTTATTATACCCTCCAGCACCGCCTTGGCCTGCTGCATTTCCGGCACCATATCCAAACTGCTGACGATAGAAGTTTGCCATGGCAGCCTGCATGTTCATGTTGGGATCAAACCCACCGCCACCTCCAGCACTGTTCCCACCCATACCTCCAGGACCACCAGCGCCACCTCCTCCATAGGCGGCTGCAGCGGCTGCAGCAGCCAACCGGTAACGTTGCGCCAATGCGGCCGCGGCAGCAGGGTTGGCGCCATATCGCGCAGCAGCAGCGGCGTACATAGCCTGGTAAGGGTCACCTCCTTGTCCTCCTGCACCACCACCCATACCACCCATACCAGCGCCATAGCCGCCAAACCCACCGGCGCCGCCCATCATACCACCTATGTTGTCCATACCGAAACCACGGTTACCGCCGGCTGCGTTTCCTCCGAACCCGGTCTGACCTCCATATCCTCCGGCGTTGAACCCGCCCTGGCCTCCGAATCCTTGGTTGCCTCCGGTGTTTCCGCGGGTGTCTGCCCTGTGCTTTGGTTGCGCTCTCTTTACCTCAATCTATGTTCAAAGAATTCAACAAACATGCGTGAGTAACTATCGGTCACGTAAGCTAGTAGACGCGAACGCGTAGAATCATTTTCTGGACTTACAGGCTTATCATGGAGCATCAAGTCACGACGACTCAAAGCAGCATCAACTCCACGGTCAGATTCAAAGGTAATGAATCCGAATCCTCTAGGCCGACCTGATGCACGATCGAGCATCAGAGTTGCATCGAGCACATGCCCAAACTGCGAAAAGTAGTTTGCAAACTCTTCCTCTGTCACGTTCGCTGCGATCCCGCCCACAAAGATCTTTTCCGTCTTTTCCTGTTCCTCGCGGGGGATTGCCCTCTTTGGGTCGATCTATTTTCAGATATAAATTTGAGGAGGTGGGGGAAGGGAGATTAAGGTCAATGATTGTGCGAGAAGGAGGGGTACATGAGTAAGTATGCAAAATTGCATTCGTTTTATGCGACGGTCCCCCTCCCCCCCTTCCCAAAAAAAAAAAAAAAAAAAAAAAAAAAGGCAAGAGAGTTACCATTTTTCCGTCAAGGTGGTGGTCCTCCTTCAAGACGGCATCGACGTTCCTGGGATCCAGGAAGGTGAGGAATCCGAATCCTCTGGACTTGTTCGTCATTGGGTCCTTCATCACCATACAGTCCGTCAACTCTCCATAGTGTGAGAAATACTTCTTCAAGCTCTCTATTAAGCACGATTTTGAAATATGCATTAGATCCAGGTGATCCTTTTACATGTATTTGATTATACACGTTCAATGTGCTTGTGTCAATGCACAGTTCCTTACCATCGGTAGTTTCCCAGTTCAGACCTCCAATAAACATTTTTCTACAGACACCAAGAAGGCAGGGGAGTACAGGGACATCAGTGGAGGAAGAGGCAGAGAGAGTGAACGAAGTAGATCAATGTGAGGCGCAAGGCGAAACGACAATGAATATCATATGTTAGTCATAATGATATGGATGATGTTTGAAAGAGAGAGGAAAAAAATAGAAAGAGATAGGAGCAGATTAGCAAACAAGAATGAACTTCATTGTGAAAAAGAGGAATAGGTCTCTCTCTACTCGACCTAATCGGATATAAGTCTGTCTGTCTGTCTGTCTGTGGAAGTAGCTGCCTGTCTGTAGTAATCTGTGTAGGTTTCTGGGATTTTTTTTTTGGGAATGGTTGTTTTGCTGCTATCCTGCTATGCTTTACAACTGCTGTAGTGAAACAAGGTACATAGACAAACCTATGGACAATGCATAATGCGACTGCGAACAATGGTATTGACTAGGCCCCTCTCGTTTGTCAAAGAGACTAACTCCTAATGCACGCTCTACCCTCTTTGAATACGTCCGTTCAAGCAATCCGTCCTGTAGTGCAAGGTGGTCGTCGACAGAACGATGCATTAATGCATCGATCGACAACCTATTGCCAAAGACTGTTTGATGGTGACGATATGACTGTAGTTGTGGGGTACATCTGATCATTTGTACAAATAAGAGAAGTAAAATTGTAGCGCACGCGCGATCCTTACCCAAGCTCACGTCCTCCTCCACCTCCTCCCGACGCTGACTCCTGCTGTTGTTGCTGCGAAGACTGAGACGCCTGCTGGTTGTAGGACTTGTTGTCCTGGAAGTTGTTGCCTTGGTGAGACGTGTACTGCGATCCTGATTGGTAGGACGACGATGAGTCCTTTTGGTCATACGACTGGGCAGGGTCATATGCAGCCGAACCCGAGGTCGACGAGGAAGCACCGTAGGACTTGGGCTCACCCTGGTCGTTGCTGTTTGACCGAAAATGGCCATACCCATCTCGATCCTCAGAGTCCTTTCGACCACTGCCTCCTTCTCTGTTGTTATTGTTCTCGTTCTTGGCAGCAGAAGAGGATGAGGAAGAGGAAGGAGGGACATCACGGGTGTTTTGGAATCTGTCCCTCCTGTCGTGTCCGCGTCCGTGATCGCCGTTGTAGTAATCGTCGTCGTCCTCGGCGTAGGGGTCTGCGCCTCCGCCGCGTCCAGTGGCGACGTAAGGGTCGTCGTAGAGGTCAAAGTTGTCGTCGTCCTTGGATGACATGATTGATGTTGCTTTTAGTGTTAGTGAGTGATGGGTTTGGTTGATGTGTGGACATAAAAAGGACCGATCGAGGAGGCGTTCGATTTTACCAAAAGTGACGTCAGTGGAATTTTCTCAACGCGGAATTAGTGGCGTATCGATTGACACTAAGAATGGTTGCATGAGAAAAAAAGTGTGTAATCATATATTGGAATAAAAAACACGGTAGTCTATCTATTCTTGAAGCTGCATGCGGGCGAGGTAACTCTGTATGAATTCGCTCTCTTCATGGCATTGTGTCTGCGCCTCGCCAAGGACATTGCCCATCCCCACAAGCACATTCATTTCCTCCGCCCGATAGTTCTTCATCATCGTCACCAGGTTCGACACTTGCGTCTCCGCCTCGAGCTGGCGAGTGGTAATCGGCTGCGTGTGGTCTGGCTCAAGGATTGTAGGCATCAGGCAATCACCGATATTCTTGCCTATCCTCGACACTCGCGGAATCTCGGCATGATCAGGCGTAGGAGATCCATTGGCAGAATGGAGAGTCTTGATAGTCTCGATATCCGCCTTCTGCACTCTGTTGCCCGTCTCCATGATCCGGGAGACATAGTACTCGATGCGATCAGACACAAGGACCAGAGTACGTAGCTTGATCACAGGAAAGATGTCCAACTTGGGCACAATCGATTCTAATACCTCAAGAGTATCAATCTTGGTATCGTTGATCGTTAACACAAGTTGCCCCACAACGTCCTCATCAACCAAGTCAGCCTCCTCAAGCGCGTTCTCGTCATCGTCTTGGTCGGCCGAATCTTGCATGACACAGACCTTGGACTCGGGTTCCTCGATCAATGCACTTAACCCATCATCCTCACTAAGCGCGTAGAGCCAGAGAAGATACCGCGACTTTAGTGTGATCCACAAACCAGGGCACAACTCTTCCAGATCATCGGGGCCGTCGGTCTTATTCAGGTAGATCGGGATTCTTGGAAGAATCCTCCAGCGCATCAGCGAGTGGGCCTTGGGCATGTAGTACGGATCGTCCTCATCCATCGGCATCGCAAGGGTCAAAAACTGAGTCGGGTTGTTTTGCAATATGAATCCGTACAAGAACCTGTGGAGTAAAAGCTGGTGTTAGAGGTAATTGCAATTGCGCACTGGCAAAGTGACGACAGCTAAGCAAAATGACGACATAAATAGCGTGCTTGTCTAGAAGTGTATTGAATACGTACAAGAGCTCGGTGTTGGGTTTATTTCCATAGGACAGAAAGACCTCGCGTTCGACAGCACCGTCCTTGGAATCTTGTAGCAGCGATTCTTGACCCCAGACGCGAAGGCCGTCAAAGTCGACTTCCCAGCGGATATTGGGCTTGACTGCATGGTTGGCAAAGTCGAGATAAGGAACCATGTGCATATCATCATTAGAGTCACCGCTAGTGTCATTGTCGGCCCATTGGGTCTTGAAAGACAGCACTCTGGACCAGAAAGTGGCGTCAGCCCAGATAAAGTTCTCGAGGGTCGGGCGGCAGGGCCAATCCTCAAAGGCGCCCAGTTTGCCACTGAGATGTTCGAATTCAGCCTCGAGCTTGGATCGCTTGGCACAGACAGAGTCCAGGAGGAGTGTGCCTGCGAGGTACCCGCGGACCAATTCAGGATCGAGGGTTACTGGGGTTGAGACATCTGGCAGTGTAGCAATATAATCTGCGAACAGGTCTTGGCCACTCTCGTCTGCGCTGTTGCTTGTGGAACAAGAATGATCGAGTTTTTGTTGTGTACGGTGTTCGAGAAGGAGTCGTTGGGAGAGAATAAAGAGGATGATAGCGAGTCGTTCCGAGACATTGGAGGGGTTGATGATAGAGATGGACTTTTGGAGGAATGGACAGTTGAATTGAATGACACGCGAGCGGGAGAGGAGGAGGGAACGGGGGACAAAGAGGAGTTCGCCTTGGTCGAGTTCGTTCTTATTGTTGTTTTCAGGAGCGGGGTTGACGAAGAAGAGACCGATGCCCATTCCTTTGGAGTCTTCTGGGATCAGTCTTGAGACGACGCCGTTTGTATTAGCCCAATGGCAGAATGAGGCCAGCGGGATCATTGTGGGGGATTGAGTAGTAGTAGTAATAGTAGTAGTGGTAATAAGAAGGAGTGTGTCTTGGTCAAAGAGGAATGAGAGTGGATGAAAGGGACACAAAGGAAATATGTAAGAAGAAATAGCTATGAAGTCATTTGTTGTTCATTAAGAGATCGCTATCTGTAATTGCATATTACGGTCACATGACACATGGAAGGGTCCCAAAGTGACGTGGAGTTCCTGTGGTGGCAGCCGTCAGGGCAATTGTGTGAGTGCGAGAGTGCTGATAGAAGGTGCCACGATGGGGAGACGATGATGAAGTTCATCCTTTTTTTTACTTTTTGGATTGACCTTCTCTCTTTCACACACACCTACTCCGAAGGCGTCTGTTCTTTTTCTTTTCTCTTTCTTTCTTCCTTCATCATCCCTCTCTCTCTCTCCCTCTCTCCTCCAAGGCTGTAAACTTCCCTTCCACCCCTCCCAGCCCACACACCTCACACTTCCTCCTCTCCCTCCACTCCCAACCTCACTCTTTTTTTCCTCTCCTTGACATCCCGACTCCACCTTCCCTCGCACCAGCTCGTCTTACCTCTAACACGCTCGCCACCATGCAGATGTTAACAAAGGTACTTTTACTCACATTCTCACACATCAGTACACCCAACCCACACACGCACACACACACTCTCTCTCTCTTTCTCTCTTTTTTTGCTCTGGCAACGACAAATCGACATCAGTCTTTGATGCTAACGCGAGATCACCTTCTTCCGCCTTCATCTATAAATACGACTAGTTCGAGTCCAAGAGCAACCGCGTCAAGGGTATCGCTTTCCACCCAAAGCGTCCCTGGATCCTCGCTGCTCTTCACAATGGCTCGGTTCAGTTGTGGGACTACAGAATGGGAACTCTTCTCGAGCGCTTCGATGAACACGATGGTACGCATCCACTTTACAACTCGAGATCTCTTTACAGAAGGCGCTCGATCCCCTATTTATATCGCGTTCATATTGAAAACCAAAGAAGCAAAGCGACCTCTAACAGCCAACAACCAATTGATACTTTGCTATGTATAGGCCCCGTCCGTGGCATTGCCTTCCACCCTTCGCAGCCCTTGTTTGTGTCTGCAGGAGATGACTACAAGATCAAGGTCTGGAACTACAAGACGCGTCGTTGCCAGTTCACACTCACAGGACATTTGGATTACGTTCGTACCGTCTACTTCCACCACGAATACCCATGGATCCTCAGTTGTTCCGACGATCAGACCATCCGTATCTGGAACTGGCAGTCGCGTAACTGTATCGCCATCCTGACCGGCCACAACCACTATGTCATGAGCGCACAGTTCCATCCCAAGGAGGATCTCATCGTCTCCGCATCTCTCGACCAGACTGTTCGTGTCTGGGATATCTCTGGTACGTGGATCGGTCCTGATTATGATACATATACATCGATTAGCAAGTGCTTGCTTGTCATACAAGAGCTGGTCCTTTCAATTATTAACCTTGGGTACATTTTTACTGTATGGAATAGGCTTGAGAAAGAAGAACGCTGCTCCAGGAACAGTTGCCTACGACGAGAGTGCCCACCGTGCCTCGCAGCAGGCCGACATCTTTGGAAGCACCGATGCCATCGTCAAATATGTTTTGGAGGGTCACGACCGTAGTGTCAATTGGGCTACATTCCATCCTACTCTTCCCTTGATCGTCTCTGCCGGTGACGATCGTCAGGTCAAGCTCTGGAGAATGAATGGTAAAGCCGGCGTCATTTTCAAGTCAATCCAGCAATATGTTCCATGGAGTGCGATCTATTACTAATCTCTCTTATGCCACTAACATTTCGCAATAGAAACCAAGGCCTGGGAGGTCGACACTTGCAGGGGACACACCAACAACGTCTCATGCACAATCTTCCACCAACGTCAGGAGCTCATTATCTCAGTCGCCGAGGACAAGTGCATTCGCGTTTGGGATATGTCCAAGCGTACCGCCGTTCAGACCTTCCGTCGTGAGCATGATCGTTTCTGGGCCTTGACTGCCCATCCTGAGCTGAACCTGTTCGCTGCTGGTAAGAAATCTGCCTTAGGAGTCGTTAGCAGATGGTCTTGGAAAAAACGCATTGGATCAACTAACATCTCGAAAATACACCCATGCTCTATAGGTCACGACAATGGTTTGATTGTGTTCAAGTTGGAGCGTGAGAGACCCGCTTACTCGGTTCACCAGAACAACCTGTTCTACATCAAGGACAAGTACTTGCGTGTCCACGACTATGCCAACTCGCAGGACACTGCTGTCCTTGCTGTGCGCCGCACCGGATCGCAGTTCATTCAACCCCGCGCCCTCTCTTACAACCCCGCCGAGCGTGCAGTGTTGGTCACTTCGACTGTGGACGGAGGCACCTACGAGCTCTACAACCTCCCCAAGGACTATGCAGGAGAGGCGCGCGAGCTCTCCAACGACGGCAAGCGTGGATCAGGAAACTCGGCCATCTTTATTGCCCGCAATCGTTTTGCGGTTCTCGAGAAGGCGACTCAGACGATCACGATCCGCGATTTGCAGAACAACAGCACAAAGTCATTCACTCCTCCCAGCGCTGTCAACGAGATCTTTTATGCTGGCACAGGACAGCTCTTGCTCAGCACGCCTACATCGGTCATCTTGTTTGACATTCAGCAGCGCAGGACGATTGCCGAAGTGACGACTCCTCCTGTCAAGTATGTTGTCTGGTCGGCCGACATGTCTCATGTTGCCTTGTTGAGCAAGCACACGATTACAATTGCGACAAAGTCGTTGGAACAGACCTGCCTGATTCATGAGACGATCCGCATCAAGAGTGCGGCATGGGACGAGAGTGGAATCCTGATCTACTCGACCCTCAACCACATCAAATACGCTCTTCCTCAGGGGTAAGTCACTCACTCAGAGTAATGCCTTTTTTTAGCACACAGTATGAAGAAGACCATGATCTGACGCGGATATATCTTAACTTGTCTTTCTTACTCTAGTGACAATGGAATCATCCGCACGCTTGATCAACCCATCTACTTGACGCGCATCAAGGGCAAGAACGTGTACTGCTTGGACCGTGATGGCAAGACCCGCACCATTGCCATTGACCCCACCGAGTACCGCTTCAAGCAGGCATTGACCAAGCGTAACTACGACGAGGTCCTCCAGATTATCCGCAACTCGAACCTTGTCGGACAATCGATCATTGCGTACTTGCAGAAGAAGGGCTACCCCGAGATTGCCTTGCACTTTGTGCGCGAGGACAAGACCCGGTTCGAGCTGGCTTTGGAGTGCGGCAACTTGGAAGTTGGTCTGGAGACAGCCAAGGTCATGGACAAGGAGGAGTACTGGGCCAAGCTGGCGCAGGAGGCTCTTCGTCAAGGCAACCATCAGATTGTGGAGATGTGCTACCAGCGCATCAAGAACTTTGACCGCCTTTCGTTCTTGTACCTGGCCACGGGCAACACCGAGAAGCTGACCAAGATGCTCAAGATTGCTGAACTCCGTGGCGATGCCATGTCGCGTTTCCATAACTCGATCTTCCTCGGCAACGTCGAGGAGCGTGTCCGTCTCCTTCGCGAGGTTGGCCAGAGTAAGTTGTTTTTACACGCGATGGTTTTGTTTCCCATACCGTTTGTTACGCATTATTTGCCAATGCTTAATGCTACAGCCGTGAACCACGCTGACTTTGTTGTATCTTGTCTATCTAGCTCCATTGGCGTACATGACCGCCAAGACACACGGAATGCACGAGGTTGCGGACGAAATCCTGGAGAGTGCAGGATTGACGCCCGAGGATGTCGCTGACCTTCCCACACACGGCACGCTGTTGGTTCCTCCCCGCCCCTTGATGCGTGTGCACGACTCGAACTGGCCTCAGTTGGCAGTCTCTCGCAGCTACTTTGAAGGTGCTTTCACCGGAGACATGGAGGGAGTTGCACCCCAGGCTCCTTTGGTGGCCAACGAGGCCGAGCCTCAGGCTGATCAGTGGGGTATGGACGATGAGTTCAGCATCCCAGCTCTTGACCACAAGGGAGCATCGCTGGCAGTCAACAACGACGCCTTGGATGTTGATGGTGATGGTGGCTGGGACTTGGATGCGGATTTGACTGCAGAGTTGCACGCTGAGACTGGCGCGATTGTTGCAGAGGATGGCGGATTGGCGATCCCTGTTGCTGGACAGAGCGAGGCCGAAATTTGGTGCCAGAACTCTCCTCTCGCAGCCGACCACGTTGCTGCTGGAGCATTTGAGTCAGCCATGCAGGTAAGACCAGTGGATGCATTGTGTTTTTGGAGTTGCTTGATGGGATGAATAGGTGATTGTTTTGCTGGGCGGTGCATACTTTGATCTATGGCATTCAATTTGCTGACATGTATACTTTTTACTGTTGAAAAATAGCTCCTCAACCGCCAAGTCGGCGCTGTTAACTTTGAGCCACTGAAGGACCAGTTCTTGTCAATCTTCCAGGCCAGCAGGGCGATTCTGACAGGCAACGAGGGCATGCCATCGATTACACTTCCTGTTCGCCGCAACCCCGGCGAAGTTGACCAAAGGAAGGCTCTCCCTGTCCTGATCAAGAACTTCCAGGCTCTGATCGCGAACGAGTTGCAGGAGGCATACAAGGCTACCACATCCAACAAGCTTACCGAAGCTTGCACACTGTTCCGCAGTATCTTGCACTCGCTTCTTCTCACCATTGTCACGCAGTCGTCCGAGGCCGAGGAGGTAACTTGCCTTGATATATCTCTTGAGTTTTGTTCCTTTGTCCTTGAATGACGGCAGCAGCGTGTCCTAATATATCTCATCCTTCCATTTATCTGTGACCAATAGGCGCTCCAGTTGGTTGGTGTTTGCCGCGAGTACCTTCTTGGATTGAGCATCGAATTGAGCCGCCGTGAGGGACAGAACGACACATCGCCTGCTGGGGTCAAGAGAATGTTGGAATTGGCAGCATACTTTACGGGAGCACAGTTGCAGCCCAAGCATATGATCATCAGTTTGCGCACGGCGATGACGGCATGTTACAAGCACAGGAACTTGCAGTCGGCACAGACATTTGCACGCCGTCTGTTGGAGTTGGCACCCCCAGGGCAGGCAGCCACACTTGCTCGTCAGATCCAGCAGGTTGCCGAGCGCAACCCCCGCGACGAGATCCAGCTCGACTACGACCAAGTATGTAACAACTTCCTTCATCCTCGTTTTGTCGTTTATGGTTGTTCTTTTTGCAATAGCGTGCTGATATCTGTTTTCTTGTATTCTTTCTTTATTTTATCTAGTACAATGCATTTGTGGTGTGCGGTATCTCGTACACACCCATCTACAGAGGCTCACCCAGCGTGCAATGCCCATACTGCCGAGCACATTTCAAACCCGAGTTCCAGGGCAACCTGTGCACGATCTGCGACATTTCACAGATTGGTGGATCGGGCACAGGAATGGTGTCAATGGCGTAAAAATGAGACTGGAATACAAGCTGTTTATTATCATGGATCAAGAAACAGTGGATAAACGTAAAAAGAATAATAAATTTGATGATACAAGTACTTTAAAAAATAGAAGGTCTAGAAGAGGAGAAAGTAGAGATGGACTGGCGCTTTGTGGATCAGATAGGACGAGATTTCTTGCCGATACGAACAGCTGTGATCCCTGACTTTGACGCGCGTTTGGTGGTTGATTTGGAAGAGGATCCTTTTGACGATGAGCCGCTACGGCTGGTGCTACTCTTGCTGTATGAGTTGTTACCGTAACTTGTTACTGTTGAAGTACAACTGCTCGAGAAATGGCCCATCTATACGACCCATTGCGATGAAAAGTTAGCGATCAGGCACATTTGGAACGAAAGTTCAGCACGGTCAACTACGCGAACAAATCGTACGGTGCAACTCTACCTGTTGGCATTTGAAGCATTGCTTGTCGCTCATAAAAGCCGCACTATACTGTTGTGGTGCCTGAGGCTGTCCTCCACCAGCAGTCCATGGTCCACTATTAGCCGCCGGGTTGACTTCATCTGCCCACGCAAAGAACTTGCAGGCGATGGACTGATGCTTGGAACATGCAAAGAACAGCCGTCCGTTATTCTTTGACGACGCTACTTCCTTGGCCACCAGTCCACAGGCACATCTCGGTTTTGAGTCCGTACTGTTCCCTGATCCCAAGTTTTCCCGGAATGCGTTCATCACGGCCTAGATATGGGTAAAAGAGGTTGGCCCACCAACTGTGTGTTAAAGGGATTGTTGGATCCGATGAAGACAAATAAAGAGACGACGAAACTTACTCCGCCTTGACGACTTGGAAACCCTTGCTGCTGCTGATTAACAATGGGTGCCGTAGGTTTCGGTGCAAATGATTGAAAGCCATTGCTTCCACCGCCACCACCTGCTCCACCGCCTCCACCACCTCCACCACCCCCTCCAAATCCGCCGCCTCCGCCTCCACCACCTCCGGCATTGCGTACTCCATTGTTCCTAGGTCCCTGCCCTGGGCCCGGCGGAGGCCGCTGAGCATCTCTTAAGTATCGTGTAAGTGCCTAAGAAGTTCAAATCAGTCGTACATAAGTGATGAGCGTCAATCCTGCAGTAGATCATCCGAGCAAGACGTGATGGATACCAAAGCTAGAGAACATACCTGATGTAGTGTCCGTTTGTCCCTATTTACAATCTCAAACACGTTCCGATACATCTCGATACCATCCTCAACCACCTGTTGCTTAGTCTTGGTGCCAAGGCAGATCAGTGCCAGGTTTCGCTCAAGCTATATATCGACGATAGATCAGACCGTTTCAGGTTAGGACTCCTCAAAGAGCCGATTTTCACTCCCGTCAACTCGCCCATTTCTTTCACATATTGTTACGTGAAAAACTTGCCTGACTCCTGAGGAAAGGTTTTGACAAACTCATGTCGAGGCCAATGTTGTCGTAGCCTTCGACAAGAGCAATCCCAAGTGTTGAAGGAGTGAATTGAAACTCATTGCCTTGCTTGTGTCGTACGACATACTCCCGATTAATAATAGTTTTGATGTGATCAGCAATAGTCGCATCCGTGCCTATGAGTGTCGGAAAAAAGACGCCATTGTTAATTTGGTCCGCAAATGCGGGTGTCGTCCACCAATACCTTCACATTCTTCGCAACGATTCGACGACCAAGTTGAACCTACCAATGCCGTTCTTGTGCATCAGGGCGATAAGCTGACTTTCCGTGATAGTCGTAGGACTGAGGGTGGCTCCATGTTTCATCATGAACTCGGTGGGTATAAACTCCTCGCCTTCCTCAAAGTTGGGGAGTACCGTTCCTGACCACTTGTCGTAGGGATAAACGTCCAAGTAGTTGCGCTCCTTGATGATGAGTCCCGTCGCTTTGAACGTCTCTGTATGAATGACCGCATCGATATCCGTCTGATCACCCTTGGCATCCTCCGAGCAACATGCTAGGAATCGCCGGGTGATGTACTCGTATACTTTCTTCTCGTCACCGGCTAGGTTCTCGGTGTGCATGACAGGGTGGATAGGTGGATGCGCTTGATCGTTCTCCTTGCCCCTTCGTGGGTTCCTGAATCCCCCCTCCACCAATCGCTGAGCAAACCTGCCCCATTGGCCATTGTGAGTTTGTCTCTGAACAAGTCCCATCAGGTCGTAGTTTTGGTCGAACTGATCCGTTTCAGTTCTTGGGTATGAGATCCAGCCTTGCGTGTATAGCCCTTCCGCGACCTAAAAATCGCGTGTATGAAATTTCAAGTGAGCTGTCAGAACAAGATATCGGCAGGTAGTGGAAGCATCGTCTATGGTTTACACTTACGGTCATGATCCTGTCAGAAGACATGGAGAGGAGCCTTGATCCGCTCTTTTGAAGTTCAACAGTCGTCAGTGGTAATGGTTTGCTATTAGAAGTTGTAAATACAACGTCAATTACTGTCACGGATACAGAAAGTGGAAAAAAAAACAGCTCAATTGCGTCATGCGGTGATACTTACTACTTTGAGGTCGGTTTTGATTTCACCCTGTTGATGCGGAAGGTTGGTCCCGGTGTCTCCATGCACGCCTCATATATGACCAAACAAGCCAACTGGTCAAACAAATGTCCGCGCTGCCATACAAAGTTTGCGTCGACACCATCCTTGTTGTGCTTCACCTCCAACTTCCAAAACGACTCGGGTATAAAGTTCTCGACTCTTCTGTATTGATCCACAACAAACCCCAATGTGGGGAACTGGCAAGGTCCTAAGCACCGAAGTGCACGTAGGGAAGGTGTGATGGGTTAGTCTCCTGTAATGTATCGTCTTTTCCATGACCACTCATTTTGACTGTCGCATAAGTTGATCTCTCTAGCATACCATAGCTGACAACACCGTCCTTTAGATCGGGGAACCAGTCCTGGAAACTTAGTGTCTGAAAACGAGTAAATGACGCGCCTACTCGCAAGTCCAATTCCATCCTGGCATCTACAGCGTCGACTTGTCTTTGGTCAAGTTGAACCGGATTTTGCATCGCCCTGTGAATCTCACTACAGACAAGTGCAGGCCGACAGTTGGAAGGTTGGATTAGACATTTGTCTATGCTCATGAGATTGATGTTCAAGACACTTGGGACTTCGAAGAAGAACTTACGCTGGTGTGACTGAGCTGAATCTTGCTCTTGTTACAACGATTTGTTGGTTACTTCGCCTGCAGACTTGAGCGACCTCGGCTCCGATATTTTCTCCTTCGCGATCGCAATCCGTCCAAATCATGACCTGGTTTGCATTCCGTGCTTCATGTGCCAGGTTCCGCTCTAGTGCCGCAAGGTCCTATCAGATCCAAGGAGATGCATGATTTGATTTAGTCTCCTGGGTAAGGTATGAAAGAGGTCAACGGAATAAAAGAAAAAGGACAACAACAACAACGTACTGCTGATGGTTTCTTTTCAATGTTGAGTTCAAATAGCTGGACAGGAGCGCAGCTGCTCCATTTCCTGTATTGCTCCGGAAAGTCGGTAGTGCAGAGGTGTCCACGGACAGAGGTCATGACGATCTGAGCCATGCTGTTGTTCGGAAACCGGTAGGTAAACTCGAGGTTCCTTGTAAATTGGTCGCCCGTCTCCCTCTATTATATTTCATGTCAAAATAAATGATGAGTTTGTGTTTTTGCAATGTTGACCAAGGAACAAACTCCAGACAATGCGACGAGTGGGTGTGTCGCTTTACCGTCTGGAAGTGGTTGTCAGAGAGTATCTGGGCTACTGACTTTGCAATAGCATGTTTTTCCGCAACACAGAGGATCCTCATGTTGGGCGCGAGAGCAACTGCGATTGTTTGTTGACAGAAAGAGATGACGAAAGTTAGTGGCGTTCAGGTTCAAATGGATTGTGGTTCGAGGGACAAGAAGAGTAGTGTGGCAAAAGGAGAATAGGTGAGCGTACAGGCATTTGGGGGGTTGAAAGAGGAAGGCGTCTGTGATGATGATGTCGCTTCTGTCTGCGGAGAGGGGAAAGAACAAGCGAGAAGAGGGAGAAGCGAGAACAAAAAACACAAACAGGATATTTTGGTGGCAAATGAATCAGCTGGAATTTATTGATTCGGCGGTCAGGCACCAGACTGTGACTTGTATGGACTCTGGAGGGGCCAGCACGTATCTGATTCGGAACGATGTGCCCTCGCCTCCCTCTTGAACCTTCTCCGCTCTAGCTTGGAGACACACGCCACGAGGAGAGAACAGCCGAGTATGTGAATTGTGCTCACATTCATAGTCTGCCAAGTCTATTGCTCTATGTGACACGGTTAGTTATACTTTCGGTTCACGGACAATATCAAGCGCATCCATGGTGGAGGTGCCAAGCGGAATGCAGCACAGCCTCTGTGTTGAGCTACCCCACCGCGTTTCAGTTGTTAAGTGGATGTTTTAAGACACTCATGTCCGTGTCTGTTATCGTTTCAATTGACAAAAGGCGCAACTCGCTGTCAAAACCTGAACAGTGTATATTGTGCAAAGGCGAGATGTTGCTTTCCAGCCTGCAACGTGAACTGCAGTCGTATTGACTATTCAATCGAGCAAATGTTGAGGATGTGTCCAAAGATTCCGTGATGTCCAAAAAAGAAAAAGATATTGTTCACACTGCCATCGAAGTAATGATAGTGGAGGGTAGAGAGAGAAAGAAGCACTGAAAGATCGAATCTTTATTCCAGCGTTAAGAGTAAAGGCGAAACTGCTGTTCCCGCTACAAAAAGGCAATTTAGCGGGTCTAAGAAGGGTGCAGGAAAAAAGCGCAAAGAGTGTTAGAAACAAGGTCCATGAAATAGTGGGAAACACTGTCCTTCGAAAAAAAAGCAATTGCTTTAGTATCAGTTATGAGCTGAGAAAAAGACTCCACGAAAGCGTACCTTGGTGAAACCAATAGCGGCAGAGTTCTCGCGGAAGCACTGACGGCAGATGTTGAGGCCGTACTTGCGGATCAAACCAGCGGGGTGGGTGCAGACACGGCTGTAGGAGAGAGAAAAGAAAAAATCAAGGATGGAAAAGTGGAGTAGGGTCAGATGATTGTTCTTTCGTTGTGTTGAACCTATAGAGGTGAATCCCGCATTCGGTCGGTAGGCTCCTATGCTGAATCGGTTGTCGGTGTCATCATCCCGCTGAACGACCATCTGAATGTCAGAGTGATTCGGATGCCGATCCATCAGAGGTTCGCCATGGATGCAGGTTGGCACTCCAAATCCGTTTTGATCATCGTTTTGATGATTCTTCCCGCAGCGATTCCTTCTTGCTCTTGGTGTTTCCCGTTCCTTTCGGATGTTGGCTCGTTTCGTGTTTCATGCTTGCTTATGGCTCTGGGACCGGAGACATGAGCGTTGATTGTTGGTCCTTGTTGTTGTTGTTGTTGTTGTTGTTCCCCCAGGCGAGAGAGGGAAGAGAGTGAGTGGGGTTCTTACCACTCGCGGGAGCCCTTGCCATAACCACGGGGGTGGGAGTTCCAGATGTTGCTGTGAGCCATTTTTGTGAATTCGAAGTTTGGATTCAAAAAGTGAAAAGGAGGAACGCAACCGGCTGCGAGTGCCACGGATTAGATATGCATCCACGAAAATTTCTTCCCATTTTCTGATTGGTTGCGCCGGAATGATGTCGACGTCACTCCTTCAATGTATCATGTGATATGTATTCATTAAATCGTGTTTGCTATACCATCACGGTGACTGCCCCGAACATATTGTCCATTTGAACAACAAACGAAAAAAAAAAAAGAAAAAAAGAAAACAACCGCCTTACAGTTCTCTGCCACTAATTTCTATTCCTTTTTCTTTGTGACAGTCGCCAGTTCAAGCAAAGAGTCCCTTTCCTGCATCCATCCTCTCCTTCCATCCTCATTAACTCCCTCCCTTTCATCACACACTCCACTACACTTTACAATGGCTGGACGTCCTGCACCCAAGAAAGGCGCCAACAAGGCTGCTTCTCCCGCACAAACCAACAACAACAAGCGCAAGAGCAACCCTTCCAAGGAGCCCTCCTCAAAAAAGGCCAAGGTTGCTCCCGTCGCTGCCAAGGGCGGCAAGAAGTCTGCTAAAGCCGCTGCCCCTCAGGACGATAGCGAGGATGATGAGTCATGGGCCTACGGTGCTGTGAGCGGAAGCGACGACAGCGAGATCGAGGAGATGGTATGTTTTGGCAGACACACCGCACGATCGCCATCAAGCACTCCTATGACCTGGTTCCATTTTACCTCTTATCAGTTATCTAACCATTGGCGGTATGTTTTTTTCTTTTGTATGAATACAGGATGATGAGTTTGTCTCTGCTGAGGAGGGTTCAGATATCGAGGTCGGCGCATTGAACGACGATTTCTTGGGTGACGAGTTCGCCGAGTCTGACGAAGAGTCCAAGGGACCTGGAGCTGCTATGTTCGGCTCTGATGACGAGGATGAGGAGGGTCAGGGCGAGGAGGAGGACGAGGAGGACATTTTTGCCAGCAACAGCGAGGATGACTCTGACGAGGATGACATGGAGGCAAAGTCGAGGAAGTTAGACGCCGCCGCTCAGGCCGAGGCTGAGGAGGCCGAGGCCGAGATGCAGACAAACATCATGCTGGAGAGTGACAAATACGTTCTTCCCGGCGATGACCACGAGATTCTCCAGAGCACTGACTTGCAGGTTGTCCAGGCGCGTATTCAGGAGATTGTCCGTGTCCTCAACAACTTTAGAGATATGCGCGAGGGCAACAGGTACACCCATCGCCTATGCTCGAATTCTGAAGCAATTGCCATTATCATAACTAAATCTCTGAAAGATCTTGCTCTAACAACCATTTCCTTCTTTCTTTCAAAACAGATCCCGCAACGACTACATTTCGCAATTGCTTAAGGATCTTTGCTTGTACTACGGCTACAACGAATACCTCATGGAGAAGCTCTTTTACATTTTCCCCGTCTCTGAGGCGATTGAGTTCTTTGAGGCCAACGAGGTGCCCAGACCCGTCACCATTCGTACCAACACCTTGAAGACCCGTCGTCGTGAGCTCGCCCAGTCACTGATCAACCGTGGAGTCAACCTGGATCCTGTTGGCAAGTGGAGCAAGGTCGGTCTCCAGGTCTTTGACTCGCCTGTCCCAATCGGAGCTACACCTGAGTACTTGGCTGGACACTATATGCTTCAGGCTGCCTCCTCTTTCTTGCCTGTCATGGCCTTGGCCCCTCAGGAGCACGAGCGCGTTCTCGACATGGCCTCTGCCCCCGGAGGAAAGAGCACATATATCGGTAGGTCTTCTATCATTTGAGCGATGTTTTGACGCGAAATGGGTCTATATTCACACAGGCAGCTAACCATCATGTTGGTTGTTATTAACAATGTATAGCCGCGCTGTTGAAGAACACGGGAATGGTGTTTGCTAACGATGCTAACAAGGATCGTACAAAGTCCTTGGTTGCCAACATTCATCGTTTGGGTGTCAAGAACGCTGTTGTTTGCAACTACGATGGTCGCGAGTTCCCCGGTGTCATTGGAGGATTCGATCGTGTTTTGCTGGATGCCCCCTGTTCAGGAACAGGAGTCATTTCCAAGGATGCCTCTGTCAAGACCAACAAGTCGGAGCAGGATTTCCAGATGTTGTCTCAGCTTCAGAAGCAGCTGATCTTGGCCGCCATTGACTCTGTCGACGCAGGAAGCAAAACTGGAGGATATATTGTCTACTCGACCTGTTCGGTCACTGTCGACGAGAACGAGGATGTTGTCAACTATGCGTTGAAGAAGCGCCCCAACGTCAAGTTGGTCTCGACTGGTCTCGATTTCGGTAAGGAGGGTTTCACGCGGTTCAGGGAGAAGGTCTTCCACCCCTCGATTAGTCTGACAAGACGCTACTACCCACACATGCACAACATGGACGGATTCTATGTCGCCAAGTTCAAGAAGGTCAGCAACAAGATCCCCAAGAAGGAGGACAATGTCGATCTGGATGAGGAGGAAGAGTTTACGCCCATTGTTGAGGAGGCAACAAAGCGCAACCGTGGTGGAAAGAAGAGCCCTGGAGCGGCTGCTAAGGCTGTTGAGGAGGTCGAGCAGATTGGATTCAATGCTAATGAGGATGAGGAGCTCATCCGTGCCTCACAAGCCAAGCTCTTGCAGACACAAAAGGGTATCAAGCTTCGCCCAAAGAAGTCCGCATAATCTCTGTGCCCCTCACACCCACGCACGCATCAAAATCTTTACCACCATGACCATTTTCCTTCCATAGCATGCTACTAGAATATTTACTCACCCAAAAAAACACAGCATTTTCATTACTCATAACATTTTTCAACACTTGTTGCTTTCAGAAGAATGTGAATGACATTTTTTTTAAGAGACGACTGTACAGAGAAGCAAAAGCTGCCAAAACTAAAGAGTCAGAAGGGGAAAAAAGAACATAAAAGAAAACAAACGAAAGAAAGAAAGACTTAGGCGTGCTGCGCCCATTCAATCTTGGAAATGTCAATGCCCTCCTGCACCATCTCCCAGAGTGGGCTCATCTCTCTCAACTTGTCGACATGTGCAGTGACGCGCTGGACAACAAAGTCAATCTCCTCCTCGGTCGTGAAGCGACCAATTCCAAAGCGAATAGAGCTGTGGGCCATATCGTCCTCGGCACCAAGAGCACGGAGAACATACGATGGCTCCAACGAGGCAGATGTGCAAGCAGATCCGGACGAGAGTGCAATGTCCTTCAAAGCCATCAAGAGAGACTCGCCCTCGACATAAGCGAACGACAGGTTGACGCATCCAGGGTAAGTCTGAATATCATCTCCGTTCCTGTACACATGAGCGACCTTGGACTGAATTCCGTTGATCAGGCGCTCCGAAAGACGCTTGACGCGCTCGTGGTCGTACTACAATGGAACAAACAATGCGAGAATTGCGTCAATACAATACGCACTATTAACTTGAAATATTTGTTACCATGTTTTCATGGAGAAGAGTCGTGTGTTTTTCACCATCAAAACCCCTGCACAGAACATCATTGCCCATAAGAGTATTTCTGCTCTGTCGAAGAATCAACAAAAGAAGAAAAATGCGTCTCTCAGGGCTAGGTCGATTGCAATGTCCGGGATAAAAGGACAATCATCATTTGGTTTCACCGACTACTCTTGGTCATATGCAGCATGCATAATATCATATATACTTACAGCCATTTCCTCGGTGGCAATTCTGCAAGCCTCGCCGAGACCGACGGCGAGGGGAGCTGCGACGGTACCACTGCGAAGACCACGCTCCTGACCACCTCCGGTCAAAAGAGGGACCAGACGGACTCTGGGACGGCGACGGACATAGAGAGCACCGACACCCTTGGGTCCGTAGATCTTGTGTCCACTGATGCTCAAGAGGTCAATGTTCATCTTTGTCACATCAATGGGGATCTTGCCGACAGCCTGGGCAGCATCGGTATGGAAGAAGATCTTCTTGGAGCGGCAGAGGGCCCCGATCTCCTCGAGGGGTTGAATGACTCCGATCTCGTTGTTGACTGCCATGATCGAGACCAAAGCGGTATCGGGGCGAATGGCAGCCTTGAGGTCGTCCATGGAGATCAGGCCGTTCTTTGCAACAGGGAGGTAGGTGACATCGAAGCCCTCGTCGCTCAATACACGGCATGAATCCAGGACACACTTGTGCTCCTATTTGAAAATAAAAGGTGGGTTGGGTCAAACCCTATCTGCGGTTAGGGACGAATCGGAAGCTTGATCTTCTTCTCCCACTTTTCTCTTACTCCCGAAAGAGCGCTCTATGGTACTTATTCCCGGCCCTGTCACTTTTCACTTCACCCACATCATTTCCCTCATCCATACTCCAACAACAGTCTCAAACTATACATTTAACCCACATCATTTCTCTCATGCCATTCCTATATCCCAGAATCAGCCACAACCCATGTCGCCACTGACTCGATCCTCGTTCGTATAGCAAAACGTACCGTCTGGGTAGTGATGATGTGGTTCTTCTTGCCCTTGTAAAAGCGAGCAACTCCCTTGATGCTAAGATTGTTGGACTCTGTTGCTCCTGAAGTGAAAACGATCTCCTTGGCATCAGCTCCGATCAACTTGGCAATGTCCTACATAGATCATGAATGAAAGAAGCAAAGAAAAAAAGAGACGTCGTGTGCATTAGTGATCCCTGTCATGAAGTTGTCAGCTCCATTCCCTTCCATGCCGTTAAAGAAAGGGAAGTTTTGTCCAGTAGAGATCCCTGTTACAGAATTTTCGGCTCCACTGTAATCCATCCCGTGCCGTTGTTGCGCAGTGCTGTTTGTGCTGTCTGTCCGCCTGTGTCTAGTTTCTGTATCTATGACTTCGCAAACAGAAAAAAACAACAACAGATATTCCGTACCTCTCGTGCTTGGTCAACACCCTTCTCAGTCTCCCATCCGTAAGAGTGAGTTCTGGAGTGAGGGTTTCCGTAGAGCTCGGTCATATAGGGCAGCATGGCGTCGAGGACACGGGGGTCGGTGGGCGAAGTCGCCTGCATATCCATGTAGATTGGGCGGGTGTTGTTGGCAGTCTCGACTCCCGTCACCTCGAATCCCAGCGACTCTATTGAGACAAAGAAATATTGTTGGTTACACACTTTTTCTCCTAAACACATATTCCGTATTTACTCCATGACTGAATGGGCGGTTGTTGGTTACCGAGGGAGGGGGTGAGGATGGTCTGGGACTCGGCAGCAGCTTGCATGCGGTTTGCTGAAGTGTGGAAGGCTGATGCGGCGGGAGAGACAACGAAGCGGGGTAGGGCGGAGCGGGCGATCTGAGCAGTTGGGCGGACGTTGCGCAGCATACGTGCGGGTCCTTGAGCGAAGCGGAGCAATGACATTGTGAATGAGTGAGTAAGTATGAGTCGTTAAAGGTGAAGGGGAGAGGGGGCAGAGGAGGAAAGGAAGGGAGTGAAGAGCAGAAGAGAGTGGAGAGAGGAGAGGTAAAGGAGAAGGAGGGGAAGGAGAAGGAGGAGGTAAAGGAGAAAATGAACACCCCAGCAAAAAGCACCAGGAAAAAGATAGTGGCGGTTGATGTTTCGAAAAAGGCAATTGTGTGATCCATCGATTATTGAGTTCACACAGGTTGCAGGCGAGGCGATTTTTCTTTTTTCTGGCGATGACTTCACCAAAGTGATTGGCATCGCATTTGCTGCTCTAACAAAACGCCCATTTCATTTGCACCGTGTCAAAGTCAAAGTGCCCTCTCCGCTCTCTCTTTCGTGTTCACTACGACTACGCGAATACAAAAAACGACGCCTGCATCAGGACACCATCACCACCATCACCACCACCACCACCACCATCACAACAACAACAACAGACAACAGACAGCAAACACGCCCTAGATAGACCTCTCGCTACAAGGACAGACTCCACCCAACTTACTCCCGCTACTGCTGTTGGTCGGTCTGCAGTCGGCAAAAAAGGGAAATGACATCCACCACAAACTCAAATGCAAGCCCTGGCGGCACACGGAACTTACGGAGGAAACCCGGAAACCGTCAGGCCGCCTTCTCCTTCCTCTCATCCATCCAACTTGACCCCGCAACAAAGAACCAAGCCCAGGACCCTTCTACACCCACTCTTGACCTTGTCGACGAAGCAACCAATGTCACCAGCAGACCCGACACCTTGCCTCAAGAAGTGAACCCCGACCTGGCCGTCGAACAAGACGATACTCTCACACCACTCGTTATCCCTACACCAACTGCGCCCAAAGATGATACCGTCTCAACAACAACAACAACAGCAACAACACCGTTGCCTGACAACAGAAGGAGCCAGGTCCAGGATCGAAAGGAGAGCATGGCAACAACCTTCCTATCCCAGCTGAGTTTACACGGAGGGCCCACCAATGGCAAAAGCCGTGATTCGGACCCAGCATTCCAAGAGTCTACTACCCTTCAAGCATTGGACTCGCCTATGAACCAGGGCCCAGGACAGATCAATGCAGCAGAGCAGATAACAAAAGGCGCCGCTGGCGTCTCACCAGTAGGACTAGCTCCTCACCATCCAATCTATCGCGCTTCTTCAACACCATCCCTCTCCTCGGGATGGGAGCATGGCCCCTTTAGCGACTCTTCAGACCGGATTGACGACCAAGGTCAACCTTCAGGAGCAGGAAGAGAAGATGGGGGAGGAAGAGGTGGAGGACGACGACACCGTAAAGTTACTAGCCCTGGAGCACACCCCTCGCGTGAATCACAGCAGCACGGTCAGCGGACCAACACCATGTCGTCGGCATCTTCCAAGAATGGTCCCTCGAAGCGGGAACCGTCATCCTCCGGTCTCCTGTCGGTACTCCTAGCAATCGATAAGGACACGGACACACGGGCTTCTTCGTCGGACATGGGATCAGCTCTTACTCAGCGGAACGCTATTCAAAAAGTCTCGAGTCGGTGGTTGGGACCATTGGCGGATCACGTTCACATTCGGCCTTTATTGACCTCTGGAACGACACACATTGTCAAGAAGATCTTCAGACGACCGTCCATCAGCCGACCCAAGCACATTATCAGCCATTCGCAACCAATGCGTACTCAGGATCCTCTCTCAGCATCAAGGCAAACGCCGACCAGAGCTGACCTTCAACGGAATGCACGGCAAGGACGGTCTGGAGAAGATCAACGACACATATTTTACAAAGGCGAGGATGTAACTGCCAGCTGCGTGAGCCTTGGGGACAATCTCAGCCAGCACCCATTCATGTTCACTACCAACCACGGCAGTCCGCTCATGATCTCCTCAGTCCTGCGGTACAACGACGACAGGGCCCCCAACAAACGCCGGCGACGCCGCTTTGACCGCGAGTACATCCAACAGATCACCAAGGAAGCTCTCACCGGAAAGAAGGCTAACTCTTTTGCCCATCTCCTCACGCAGTGCAACGCTCTTGAGTAAGTTATGTTATCAGACGCTAGCAAGAGCTGATTGTGAGGCGGCGTGTTGGTTTGCAGCTAGAAAACTTATTTAATTCTTCCCTGTACTCGTTGCTAGCCCTGAACCCCAGGAGTCTTCTTCAGCCTCATACGACCCATACTTCCTGGACGACCCTGAGCTGAAAACTGGAAAGAACAGGACAGTCATTTCACTTGCTTGCTACATGGTAAGAAGGCGACCGTATGATTACTACCTTATTACAGGATATACATACAACTTGTAGTAACTGTATCTAATGACCTCCCGTCCATTTCTGATAGGGCTCCGTGATTCAATATACCCGACCATCCGATCTGAAGCGTGAACTCAACGAACATTTCCGGTCAAGACACCCCACCATCGACCCCTCCATCACACTCTCCAAAATCCGAAAGGTCAAGACAGATCTTTTGGCAATCTCGGAGGAATTAGATCTTGAAATTTCGACCGCAGCCCTAGCCTATGCCTACTTTGAAAAGCTCATTCTCAAGGGAAGCTGGAAGGGTAAAGAGTCCAATCCGCTCTCAACTGAGGCAAACACGTCTATCGTCACCAAGGAAAACCGCAAGATGATTGCTTGTAAGTCATTGTCCACATTTGATGTGGTTTTTGAATGACAATGCTGTAGTGTCATGATCTAATATCGTTATTGTTTCTATTAGGCGTTTGCTTGTTGTTAGCGTACAAGGTGAATGAGCCGAAGACGTCTTCAGGCGAGTTTGCGACCCTCATGAAGTACATGACCAAGCACATGGAGGTCAGTGCCAAGGACATCAAGGAGAACGAGTTCCATGTGTTTTCCTTGCTGGAGTTCAATCTGTACCTACCACGACAAGAGTTCCTTCCACATTTTGAGCAGATCCTGTATCGGCAAGGTGAGTTGACATTTGACACGGCCAAGCGGAGAGGGTTGTCCTATTTACCCAAAGTAGCTAACAAATGATCCCGTTGTTATATTCGACATAGATTATATCAATGTTCAAGAGTACTTGGGGGAGGACGAGTTCTACTCGGTGATCACTCAGCCCCGGAAAACAGCAGAATAATAGTGTTTTGAGTTGTCATAGTTGGAGCTGACAAGAAACGTATCGGCTAACGAAACGTTAGCCAGCCTGCATTCACACCTTTACTTTGTTCCCATCGTGCGTCCCGTCTGTGATATCGTGATATCGATTCCAAAGTGCAATTCATTTGTTTATTAAGTTGTTCAAAAGCCGTCGGAATCGTCATCTTCGTCCGCGTCAGCATTTTCCTGCTTCTCTTCCTGCTCCGGTTCACTCATATTCAAGGACTTTCCTTTGTTTGGCTTGCTAGTTGTTGCATCGTCATCTTCCACTTCCTCGTCTTCTTCCTCCTCCTCGCCCTCCTCGTCTTCTTCGTCATCTTCCTCCTTGTCCTCGCCGTCCGTAAGCATGTCGCTTGGGGTGTCTTGTCCATCTCTGGGGTTGGCTGATGTGGATGATTTCCTGGACTTTGCTGCTGTACTCGATTCCTCTGATGCTGGCTTTCTCTTCTTTGATCCTGCTGCTGATGGCGAGCTATCCTTGTCCTTGGACGCCTGTGCAGCAGTTGCTCTCTTTGCCCGTTGAATAGATTGGAATGCTAAGCACACGGTTGTCATGGAAACATAATTTGTATCAACATATTACGTTTCCCGTTATGAACATCGCAGATCACTGGGCCAGTGCTGAAAAAAGACGCTAGTATGTACCTTGAAGCTCCTCTGAGAGTCTGGGCAGCATCTCCTCAAGGTCTACTGTCTCCAATGCTTTGAGGACATGAGCTCCGCTGACAATCTTATGTCCTGCATTTGCTGCTACTTCGTTCGCTCTATTTTTTGTTCAAGGCGAAAATAAAGTAACAAAGGACCATACGTCAATGTTAGATGGTGGCTCTGCTGTCAATATGTTCCTGCACTTCGTCGTACTCATGCTGTAAATCGTCTGATAACTGCAAACGAAGACACGTACGCCGATGCCAGGTAATTGATGAAGAGGGTGGTTGACTTTGTCATGGCCAGCTTGGCATTGGCCTGGATATTGGTATTCTCTGGCAGCTACTTGGAAAGAAGTGAACAACAGCATCAGATCTTTTGTACTTTTGTGTTACATGGCAGATTCGGTGCAAAAGAAATAGGCGAATAAAGGGGCTAAGTCTAGTACCGCTTGCTTCATGATGCGCGTCAGAATGGCCTTTGGCAGCTCATTGTCCTCGATGGATGTCGACATTGTGTGTGATGGTAGCTGTTTCCTTGCGGTGGTGGCGAGAGTGAGTTTATGAGAGAGAAACAAAAGGGAGCCGTTTGTCGCGCTTGGAATATTGAACAGATTCGACTAAGCCACTCGTCAACACACACACAGAGGGTAGTTGCCACCACTCTCTCTTCCCCTTCAACGCGTCCCCTCTTTCGTTTGTCACTCTCTCACTCCTTGTCACCCTACCACATTCCACATACTGCACTTTTCACTCACCATCCACAATTCACAATTCAACCAACACTCACTCATTCGCCACCACCACAACACCAACCACAAGACACTCACAATGGCTGACGACGACGACTTCAAATTTGCAGACTACACGGACAGGATCTCGGCATCAAGAGAGCCAGACGTCGAGGCGATAGACCCAGTCGGGGACGTGGCCCACCTCACACAAGCCTGGGTCGACGAGAGAGCTGCACCAGAACTACTCCAGTACCAGGAACAATGTATTCAGAGGCTACTTGCCAAGATTGAGGAACAGGTTAGTCATGCTCCTTTCTTTTCGAAGTTGCAATGGAGAGCTCTATCTTTGTGTGTTCGAGGACAACTATACCAACACCACTCTTACAGACTGTACCCCTTTGTTTAGACATTGGTCGTTGAAGAACTGGATCCTAGGAACGACACATCGGTGATTCTTTCCATCCTATACCAGACCGAGCTCGAACGCGTCAAGTTTGTCCTCAGAAGCTATCTCCGGACAAGGATATCTAAGGTACTCGCTCTGATCTTGTTTTTGCCGAACGGATTGAATACTGAGATGTTACCTTATTGGCGGCTAATCATTGCTTGTGGTTTTTTTAACTTTTTAGATTGAGCGGTTTTGCGCGTATGTTCTCAATGACGGACCTACAAGGAAGCGATTGTCAAGAGCAGAATTGCACTATGCCGAAAAGTATGGTTATTCCACCTAATAGCGACTTGTGCCTTATGCCTGTAATTCAGTGGTGGCTAACAGATTACGGCCTTTCTCAGTTACTCTAGGGCGACCCGACAGCACTATCAAAACAGTTTTCTGTCATCCCTACCACAATCACTCCAGTCTCAGGATGAAGCGGTCTTTAGTAGAAAGCTCAGCATGGGTATGTCATCAGAGAAAATAGGATTTTCATCAACAGAAGTGTTTTGGTGTTTTCTGTTGGCAAAATTGCTGACCTATTTTCCTGTCCCCGTTGTTCAACGACGTATTATGTTTTAGTTTCACAACCCATCTTGGACGAAGCAGTGTTTTGTAGGATTACTGAGGACATTGGCGATTATCAACTAGACGAGTAAGTTATCTTTTTTGACCTTGGCTATCATGATGTTGGTTCGCGCAAGCGATACACTTTTTCACTTTGCTCACACAGTGGTTTCCTTTTTGTGAACATAGAGATGAAACGGTGGAGTTAGAGAAAGGACAGATCTACATCTTCAAGTATAGAAGCGTCCGCACGTTACTCCATAAGCGACAGATTCACCTCATCTAATAGTCTCCAACCGCCTTTCGAGCCCTCTCTTACCTTTTAATGAATGAAGAACGGTCACAAGGTTGTTCCCATTATTGGTGTAATGGGTCTGTGGGTTCGTGCTGAAGTGATTCTATGGTAATGGGCTCAATCGAAACATCGTCCAAGAGTTGTGTGGTATTTGTGGTGCGTCTTTGCTCTGCAGGTGGCACGTATTCAGGAGGATGCGGGTACAGGTGGTCAGTAGAGTCGTTATTCAGAGACAGTTGATGTTCTTGATCTTGTTGCCACTGCTGATGGTCGACTATAGTAGTATCCTCGCTGCTCCGCCGCGATGAAGATGGAGACGTATCGGCAGCCTGGGGCAACCACGATGATGAAAGATGGGATCGATTGGCCGGTGGGTTTGTCTGGTAGTGGTGGCTATGTGTCACACTAGATGCAGATCCGAGGCGGATGATGGCGCCTGTCCATGAGATTGACCGTCGAGAACTGGAACGCAGCTGTTCTCCAGGTAGTCCTCGCTGATGGGAAGAAGCAAACATGTGTGCGGGCATTCCATGAGAGGGTGTGTTAAACGATCCCGTCCGTCGGTGCGGCCGTTGCTGTACTGGCGCGTCCAATTCCTCTCGGGTCGCTTCAGGTCCATAAGTATATTCCTGGTCGAGCTGTATAAGGGGTGTGGAGCGGTTGCGGGTGTTGCGAAGAGGACGATGATGGCGACCACGATGCGGTGGTATATGCAGAGATTCCCTCCAGGCTGGGTCATAGGACGGAGGTGCTTGTCGTATCTGTTCTATTTGGTTGGCGGGTGGATTACTGGTTGTTCGATGGTGTGATAGCCAAGGGCCTGCGTAAACTCCGTGCAAATCGCCATTCTCGCTCGCTTCCCGTGTTGCATCCCAGGAGGGCCGTTCGTAAGTCATTGATGATCGAATGGAGGTTGCTGTTGAGCGAATTGAAGGAGATCCCAAGTGAAGTCGTGGGGACTCGATGTCGATTGAAGAAATATTAGAGTGTTGCCGGCTTCCGATTTGGATCTGAGGCGAGTGAATGGATTGTGCGGACGATAGGATCGAGACCACTAGACTATGCCTACAATCGGCAGAAACACGACTAATAGCCTCGACGGCTTCGGGGCTCAAAGGTCCAAGTGGCGAGGTTGTCGAATAGGCTGGCGCAGCGTCGGGTGTTTGTCGTCCAGTCTCTCTCATCTCGCCGCCGTTCGGGAGAGGAAACGGGTCCTGTCCTGTTATTGGGTCATGCTGAAACCGGCGTCGGGCTGCTCGTGAACAGAAACAACAGACAACAGCGATGACCAATATTGCAGCGGCACAGCCTGCAAGTATTTCAGCTATGAACAAAGCCTTTGACGTGGACGTGTGCCTATTTTACGTTAAAGTTGTCGTTGTCGTTGAACGATGATTTTGGGAAGGGGGCTGGTCAGCGAAGGGTTGAACGGTAAGAGGACAAGGTGTGGTGGTTAGGAACAAAAAAGAAAAAAAAGTTGTTACCCGATAGCGATGTCGTTGGGGTCCATGTCCGCTGTGAAAGAGGGAAGGAAGGAAGGAGGGGAAGGAATAGTCGAAGGCAAAACAGCAAACAGTTAGGGAGTGCAAAAAGGAATCATAAGAGAGAGAGAGTGAGTGAGAGAGAGAGAGAGAGTGAGTGAGAGAGAGAGAGAGAAAGGTTGTACAATGAAAGCAGATGCAAGGACGAGGATAGCGGACGATGAAAGGCGAGCGGCTCCCCCCTCTTTGTTCTGAAGCTGGCTAATATGAGTGCATCGATAACAAAAAGAGAGTGTTCCTTCAGTGTTTTTGTCTTTGCCGGTTGTTGCTGTGGGGTTCTGCTGTCTTTTTGTATGGATTGGGTTTGTTTGTTGTACGGCGGGAATGCGAGAATGAGGGAGAGAGGGGTCAAGGATAAGGGACCTCTCTCAAGGAGTGCACGGAAGCATACCTCCTGCGGACTTAATGACCTTAATGCTGATATTTTTCCGAGAGGATTAGGAGGCTGATAATAAGGACAATAAAACGAAAAGAGAGGGAGAAGTGGAAGGATAAGAAGAGCGAGGAAAGGAAAAAGGGGTGGAGAGAACGGAAAGAAAGAACACAAGAACAAGTGCAAAGCGAACAAAGACAAAGAAAAAAAACGATGAAAGGGCAATGTGGATGTGCTAAGGGGTTCAGGAGAGAGAGGGGGGACAGGCCAGAAAGGGCACTTGGACTTGTTCTTATTGAACTGACTGACTCCACCGGGGAACAGTTGGACACGCCCTTCAATCATTGGGCATTAACAGACAAGGGCGAGCTGTTTATATGGGGTTGAGCATGGGTTTGTATGTGTATGTGGTGCCCTTCTCAAGTGCAGAAAAATAAAAAACAAAGGGGTAACGGATGAATGGATGGGCTGGCTCAATTGTCTCCCTCTCTTTCTCCATTTTTACATGCAGCAAGCCAGGGGAGAGCTAGACGGGGAGAGAGACGGAAGAGGGAGAGAAGGAGAGCATTGAATTGACTAGACGGACACAGACAGAGGACACAGACAGAGGACACAGACAGAGGGGCTGACTGACTGACAAGAAGAAGGGATCCCAAGGGGGCACCGATTCACATTGTATCTTCATTATTAGTGTGGGCCTCCTTGTCCATTCGAGCATACTTGGAGTAAAGAGATGTTACGGCATTGCATGCAACTTTATTACTGTTGCTGCTCTGGTTCCCGTTATTCTCGTTATCCGTTTCTTTATCCACCACCTTGTGCCTAGTAAAGAAGAGACAACGCAAGACCAAGGACTCCTTTTTTAAACTACTTTGTTTGTCATTCGCCCTTTTCTCCCTCTTTCCCGCCGTGAACTACCTAAACCAGGTGGATAGATATTCATTGGGGTGGCAAACAACATCATTTGGTCTTTGATCAACTAACATTTGGAATAAGTCATATTAATGGTTTCGAACTAGTTTAAAGAACATATACAATATGAACATGACATGCTTGAGACATTACAGAGGTGGCTGGGTGGCCGTGGCAGTGGTGTCCGCGTTTGCAGTAGCGGTGGACGAGATTGCATTATCGGTAAACTTGGGAACGACCTTGGTACGTCCCAGCCAATTCTTCTTCTCCTCAAAAGCAACAGTCTTGTCTCCCGTAGTGGTCGAGGGAACATCGCTAATGTTAGCAGCTTGATTTTGAGAGGTGGATGGGACAACTGGACCAGCTTGAGAGGAGGGTGCGGCGACAGGTGCACCGTGAGTGGGCTGGTTGAGGTTGTTCTGACTGTAGACGGGTTGGTAACCCTTCTCGTTGTACCCGTGGTTGTATGGGTTGTTGGCTGGGACTGGTGGGTTCTTGCGCTTTCCATACCAGGTGTACTCGGCGGGTGCACCCTGGTTCTGGGGGACACCCAGATGGTCGCGGCTGCCGTACTGGCTTCCTCCATACTGGCTTCCGTACTGGCTTCCTCCATACTGGTTGTCGCGGTTCGAGGTGCCATAGGGGCCTTTGACAACGGGGACGTCATGGCGTCTTTGTTTGCGCCTGTGGAGGAAGTAAAGTGGAATCTGGAAGAGGAAGCCGAGCAAGAATGCGAGCGAGAGGACACCGAGCATTCCATAGATACCGCTGTACATCTGATATGGGACGTTATTGCCGGTGCGGAAGAGTTGCTTGTAATTCTCGAGGAAGCCCGTGCGGAGGAACATGTCAAGACCAAGTGTGAACATGTATCCGCCTTTTTTTTTTTTTTTTTTTGCGAGATTACATAACACAGGAGCAATAGAGTGTGGTTAGATACAACCAGTAACGCACAAAAACAACAAAGGGGTGTGTGTGTGTGTGTACCATAAACGGAGTGGATGAATGACACGTACCAATAAGGACGGTGGCAAAGATAGAGGTCAGCTTGCCAAGAAATATCGACAAGAACATGCCGAGGGCAGCAGGGCCGGCCATAAGAGCGATACGTCCAGCAGTGTTGTGGATCAACCCACCAGCTCTCCAGCTGAGAATATAGACACCCAAAGCAAGTCCTATGAAAGAATGCGCCATTAGTGCTACGTGTTATGTAGGGTAGACACGCTCACCATCCAAACCACAAGAAAGAGGGCTTACCTCCTGCGCCACCTAGGATCCAAGTTGCATACTTGTTCAAGCCCAACATAATCATACCAACCAAGAGTCCGGCGGCAATGCACACAGCTACGTAGATCAAAATGCGGTTGGACCACAGACCATCGGGCTCAGTGTTGAGCAAAATGGCATAGGCAGCGATCGCTGAGATCAAGAAAGCAAACGAGGAGACGGTTAAAGATTCATCTGCTTCACTCAAAACGCACAGACAACATGGACATATCAGACTATAATTGTTATTCTTACCTCCTCCGATGAATCCAGTCAGTAAGAGAGAGAAGCGAAGGCTGAGAAAGCCAAAGAGGCAGAGGAGGATACCAAACCCCATGAGAACGCCTCCAGAGATAGCGCGCTGCCACGTCAAAGGAACCTGGATGCGATTGTAGTTGGATGAGAAAAAGTCACTGGCGCTCGACTGCACGGTGACTTCCAACTCTGGGGCACTGGCCATGGCGAGGGTGGCCTTATCATCTCTGCTCATAGGAACAATTGGCGAGGTGGCAGGTTGGTATGCAGAGATGTGGACCTTGTGCACCGAGGCATCTGCATTGTTTGATCTACGGGTCAAAGATGAATCGTTGTCTATTGAAAGAGAAAGGACTGAGGTGCAGAGGATGGCTAGCAGCAAGAAGAGAAAGCCGAGGGAGCGAAAGGAATCCACCATTGTTGATAAAACTACCACAGGAGAAGCGTGAGTGGAGAGGGACGCTCGAAAGAGAGAGAGAGTTGTGAAAGGAAGAGTAGGGAAGATGGTGAAAATGATGTATGAAGAACGAGAGGTAAAAGGCGAAAGAAAGGGCGAAAAAAGGAAGAGAAAAGGGAGAAAAGAAGCCGCCGATCATGAAAGGGTCCGAGGTTATAAGAGGAGGATATTGATTTTCCTTTTGGCTTGGAGAATGCATTGCCCGAGACGCGATTTTTTTTACTTTTCGACTCCAAGCGACTCGAACGTCAATGGCGCTCCCACCATCCCGCTTCGAGCATGGTTTCAAGGTTTCTCTGGACGAAGTCTTTTTTTTTTTTCCTTTTTGTCGGTGAGGAAGGCCTACTCATGACATATTGCCCAGTCTTTTCTTCACTAGGCCTGCTTGCACCCCAGTAGTAGCTATCTTGTGTGTGGTTCCCGCCAACCTTTTTTTTTCTTTCGTACAAAAGAAAGGAGGGTTGAGTGAAACGCGTATTTGGCTTTCGCGGTCACCTTTTCGCCTCTGGTTCCTAGACCTCACCAGTTAGGTCGTGCCTAGGCGAAAAAAATAATAATAATCTTTGTGTCTGCGAACGAATTGCATCCAAGTGAGACACCTGGGTTCTGACAGCACAATAATGACAATGACGATCCTATTGCCGTCATTCGCGATAATGGAAAGAAAACAGTGGTATGCTCATGGGGTTCCATTTTGGGGGCCACCATACACCATCTCGTAATCATATTTGTTCTAGAGAGTGAGTCGCGCATGAAAAAGACTTTAGACTGTAGGACGGAGTTGCCAAAGAAGAAGAGGATATGACGTGTATTCCTTCTGGGAGACGTGGACAAGACAACAGAAAGAGAGACAGAGGACTGATCGCGACTGTGCTTTTGGACGACGCGTCCAGTCTGGGTTACCGTGTTATCGATGCGCTGGTGAAGATCAACGAAGAGGAGCCAATTTTGGTGGCAAACCTCCATTGATGTGATCTTCAGCAGTGGCACAGTAGTGTTCTGACCTGTGCAACCAGCCACCACCAATCATCGCGTTCCTTCAGCCTCAGCCATGGATGGCTTGGACGGCCTTTTTCACAATATCTTGCCACGTTCGCCCCTTTCCCCTATCGATGACTATTTCTGAGCAGCTACTCTTTTCTGCCCTTGTTCATCATCCCTCTCGCTCTCTCTCTCACTTTTTCCTTCTTCCCCTTACTTCTCATCCCTATCCCTATCCTCATCCTCTCATCCTCCATCTCTTCCATCCTCAGTCGTCATCACCCTAGCCTCCCCAGATACCCACTCCCCTTCGACTGATCCCTTGTTCATTCTCTTTCTCTCCCTCACTCTCTTTGGACAACGGCCCATCCTCACCCTTTTTGCACCTCACATCAACACGACCCGACATCATGCAGATGCTTACAAAGGTAGCCCGATCCCCCCCCCCCGTTTTTCTGTGTTTTAAGGAATAAAGACTCGACCAACCGACCATTAGTAGCAACAGCAACTCGGACCAATCATCCTCCCTCTCCCCTGACTGATTCTCATCATCATCCAATTAGTTCGAATCCAAGAGCAATCGCGTCAAGGGCATTGCCTTCCATCCAAAGCGCCCCTGGATCCTCGCTGCCCTTCATAATGGCTCCATTCAACTCTGGGACTACAGGATGGGAACTCTTCTCGAACGCTTTGACGAACACGATGGTAAGTGTACAACTCGCTCCAACTACTGGGACGTAGTATGTTCGTATAATAAAATAACACAGCAACTGACTTGTGGTCGCTCGTTCTCATAGGTCCTGTCCGTGGTGTTGCTTTTCACCCCTCGCAGCCCTTGTTCGTGTCTGCAGGAGATGACTACAAGATCAAGGTCTGGAACTACAAGACGCGTCGTTGCCAGTTCACGCTCACAGGACACTTGGACTATGTCCGCACCGTCTACTTTCACCACGAATGCCCATGGATCATTAGTTGTTCCGACGATCAGACTATTCGTATCTGGAACTGGCAGTCGCGGAGTTGTATCGCCATCTTGACAGGGCACAACCATTACGTCTACAGTGCCCAGTTCCACCCCAAGGAAGATCTTGTCGTCTCTGCCTCTCTCGACCAGACCGTGCGTGTGTGGGACATTTCAGGTACTAAAAACGCCTTTGTCTTTCGTCTATTTGATAAGACTTGTCAATGCCAACTTAAACTTGAAGGAATCTGATGAAATTATGTGTCCGTTGTGCGCACTCTCTCATATCATCCAACAAGGCGGAGTAGTTAACATTTAATTAATTTGCTGCGAACATATAGGGTTGCGAAAGAAGAACGCCGCTCCTGGAACAGTTGCCTACGATGAGAGTGCCCATCGTGCCTCGCAACAGGCTGACATCTTTGGAAGCACCGATGCTATTGTTAAATTCGTCTTGGAAGGCCACGACCGTAGTGTCAACTGGGCTAGTTTTCATCCTACTCTTCCCTTGATTGTCTCTGCCGGTGACGATCGTCAAGTCAAGCTGTGGAGGATGAACGGTACGACTAAGCAGTTCAGAAGCAGAGCACTTGAAAATGAACTCATGAACACTGTATCCTTTCGGACAAGAACTCATGTCACACTCCACATTCTACACCTCCGTCCAAATAGATTCTCGAGCTTGGGAAGTGGATTCATGCAAGGGGCACACCAACAACGTCTCATGCACCATTTTTCACCACCGCCAGGAACTTATTTTATCAGTGGGGGAGGATAAGACTATTCGCGTTTGGGATATGTCCAAGCGTACCGCCGTTCAGACCTTCCGTCGTGAGCATGATCGTTTCTGGGCCTTGACTGCCCATCCTGAGCTGAACCTGTTCGCTGCTGGTAAGGAATCATGCCTTAGGAGTCGTTAGCAGATGGTCTTGGAAAAAACGAATTGGTTCAACTAACATCTCGAAAATACACCCATGCTCTATAGGTCACGACAATGGTTTGATTGTGTTCAAGTTGGAGCGTGAGAGACCCGCTTACTCGGTTCACCAAAACAACCTGTTCTACATCAAGGACAAGTACTTGCGTGTCCACGACTATGCCAACTCGCAGGACACTGCTGTCCTTGCTGTGCGCCGCACCGGATCGCAGTTCATTCAACCCCGCGCCCTCTCTTACAACCCCGCCGAGCGTGCAGTGTTGGTCACTTCGACTGTGGACGGAGGCACCTACGAGCTCTACAACCTCCCCAAGGACTATGCAGGAGAGGCGCGCGAGCCCTCCAACGACGGCAAGCGTGGATCAGGAAACTCGGCCATCTTTATTGCCCGCAATCGTTTTGCGGTTCTCGAGAAGGCGACTCAGACGATCACGATCCGCGATTTGCAGAACAACAGCACAAAGTCATTCACTCCTCCCAACGCTGTCAACGAGATCTTTTATGCTGGCACAGGACAGCTCTTGCTCAGCACGCCTACATCGGTCATCTTGTTTGACATTCAGCAGCGCAGGACGATTGCCGAAGTGACGACTCCTCCTGTCAAGTATGTTGTCTGGTCGGCCGACATGTCTCATGTTGCCTTGTTGAGCAAGCACACGATTACAATTGCGACAAAGTCGTTGGAACAGACCTGCCTGATTCATGAGACGATCCGCATCAAGAGTGCGGCATGGGACGAGAGTGGAATCTTGATCTACTCGACCCTCAACCACATCAAATACGCTCTTCCTCAGGGGTAAGTCACTCACTCAGAGTAATGCCTTTTTTTAGCACACAGTATGAAGAAGACCATGATCTAACGCGGATATATCTTAACTTGTCTTTCTTACTCTAGTGACAATGGAATCATCCGCACGCTTGATCAACCCATCTACTTGACGCGCATCAAGGGCAAGAACGTGTACTGCTTGGACCGTGATGGCAAGACCCGCACCATTGCCATTGACCCCACCGAGTACCGCTTCAAGCAGGCATTGACCAAGCGTAACTACGACGAGGTCCTCCAGATTATCCGCAACTCGAACCTTGTCGGACAATCGATCATTGCGTACTTGCAGAAGAAGGGCTACCCCGAGATTGCCTTGCACTTTGTGCGCGAGGACAAGACCCGGTTCGAGCTGGCTTTGGAGTGCGGCAACTTGGAAGTTGGTCTGGAGACAGCCAAGGTCATGGACAAGGAGGAGTACTGGGCCAAGCTGGCGCAGGAGGCTCTTCGTCAAGGCAACCATCAGATTGTGGAGATGTGCTACCAGCGCATCAAGAACTTTGACCGCCTTTCGTTCTTGTACCTGGCCACGGGCAACACCGAGAAGCTGACCAAGATGCTCAAGATTGCTGAGCTCCGTGGCGATGCCATGTCGCGTTTCCATAACTCGATCTTCCTCGGCAACGTCGAGGAGCGTGTCCGTCTCCTTCGCGAGGTTGGCCAGAGTAAGTTGTTTTTACACGCGATGGTTTTGTTTCCCATACCGTTTGTTACGCATTATTTGCCAATGCTTAATGCTACAGCCGTGAACCACGCTGACTTTGTTGTATCTTGTCTATCTAGCTCCATTGGCGTACATGACCGCCAAGACACACGGAATGCACGAGGTTGCGGACGAAATCCTGGAGAGTGCAGGATTGACCCCCGAGGATGTCGCTGACCTTCCCACACACGGCACACTGTTGGTTCCTCCCCGCCCCTTGATGCGTGTGCACGACTCGAACTGGCCTCAGTTGGCAGTCTCTCGCAGCTACTTTGAAGGTGCTTTCACCGGAGACATGGAGGGAGTTGCACCCCAGGCTCCTCTGGTGGCCAACGAGGCCGAGCCTCAGGCGGATCAGTGGGGTATGGACGATGAGTTCAGCATCCCAGCTCTTGATCATAAGGGAGCATCGCTGGCAGTCAACAACGACGCCTTGGATGTTGATGGTGATGGTGGCTGGGACTTGGATGCGGATTTGACTGCAGAGTTGCACGCTGAGACTGGCGCGATTGTTGCAGAGGATGGCGGATTGGCGACCCCTGTTGCTGGACAGAGCGAGGCCGAAGTTTGGTGCCAGAACTCTCCTCTCGCAGCCGACCACGTTGCTGCTGGAGCATTTGAGTCAGCCATGCAGGTAAGACCAGTGGATGCATTGTGTTTTTGGAGTTGTTTGATGGGATGAATAGGTGATTGTTTTGCTGGGCGGTGCATACTTTGATCTATGGCGTTCAATTTGCTGACATGTATACTTTTTACTGTTGAAAAATAGCTCCTCAACCGCCAAGTCGGCGCTGTTAACTTTGAGCCACTGAAGGACCAGTTCTTGTCAATCTTCCAGGCCAGCAGGGCGATTCTGACAGGCAACGAGGGCATGCCATCGATTACACTTCCTGTTCGCCGCAACCCCGGCGAAGTTGACCAAAGGAAGGCTCTCCCTGTCCTGATCAAGAACTTCCAGGCTCTGATCGCGAACGAGTTGCAGGAGGCATACAAGGCTACCACATCCAACAAGCTTACCGAAGCTTGCACACTGTTCCGCAGTATCTTGCACTCGCTTCTTCTCACCATTGTCACGCAGTCGTCCGAGGCCGAGGAGGTAACTTGCCTTGATATATCTCTTGAATTTTGTTCCTTTGTCCTTGAATGACGGCAGCAGCGTGTCCTAATATATCTCATCCTTCCATTTATCTGTGACCAATAGGCGCTCCAGTTGGTTGGTGTTTGCCGCGAGTACCTTCTTGGATTGAGCATCGAATTGAGCCGCCGTGAGGGACAGAACGACACATCGCCTGCTGGGGTCAAGAGAATGTTGGAGTTGGCAGCATACTTTACGGGAGCACAGTTGCAGCCCAAGCATATGATCATCAGTTTGCGCACGGCGATGACGGCATGTTACAAGCACAGGAACTTGCAGTCGGCACAGACATTTGCACGCCGTCTGTTGGAGTTGGCACCCCCAGGGCAGGCAGCCACACTTGCTCGTCAGATCCAGCAGGTTGCCGAGCGCAACCCCCGCGACGAGATCCAGCTCGACTACGACCAGGTATGTAACAACTTCCTTCATCCTTGTTTTGTCGTTCATGGTTGTTCTTTTTTGCAATAGCGTGCTGATATCTATTTTCTTGTATTCTTTATTTTATCTAGTACAATGCATTTGTGGTGTGCGGTATCTCGTACACACCCATCTACAGAGGCTCACCCAGCGTGCAATGCCCATACTGCCGAGCACATTTCAAACCCGAGTTTCAGGGCAACCTATGCACGATTTGCGACATTTCACAGATTGGTGGATCGGGCACAGGAATGGTGTCAATGGCATAGATAATCAAAATCGTTAATACATGATGGGTACGAGAAGCGGAAGGGAAGGTATTGTTGCATTGAGATCGTCTTTAAGTGCAGTTGCTCCATTGAAGGAATATGTTATATTTCATGTCTTTTGGCTCTTTTTTCCAAGGCCATGTGAGGCTATGATTTAAAAGATTACACATTCATGCAAATAGTAAAGTATGTGGCAACGGTGCTTGATATGTCAGAGCGAGTAAAGTGTCTTTGATGGCGGAAGATGCGAGAATTTTTTTTTTACTAAGCAAGCTATTGAGTAGGCGAGCATGTTTGTTCTTGTTCTTGTTCTTGTTCTTGTTCTTGTTCTTGTTATTGTTGTTGTTATTATTGTTGTTGTTATTATTGTTGTTGTTATTGTTGTTGTTATTGTTGTCAAGCAAGGACAAGTGTCCTGTGAGTCTATTAGGAGGAAGAGCAGGAGTGATTACCTTTTTAGTTGGAGAGAAGAAAGGAAAGGAAATGTTATGATTCTGTGAGGGCGTGTGTTGATTTGATGGCGGAGTGACTGTGAGAGCGTGTGAAGAGAGCGAGTGTGCATAGAGTCACTGTTACTCTTCTACTCTTCCCTCTCTTTCTCCTCTCGGTCACTTTTCTTCCTCTCCTCCTCTTCTACTCTCTGAGCAGCCGGAACGCTCATCCTTGTAATTCCATGTTCAGAGGAGTGTCGATAGGTTCAGAAAAAAATCAACCAAAATTCTGTTGTTTGACAATGGCGAGAGGCTAAGTTGAACACGTTTTAGGCGGTCATGGGCGTGGCACCGCCCTCTATGAGTATAGCCGGAAGCCCTCAATCACGGCAATACAAAAGGGTTTAGAGCCTGTTAGGCACATCTCTTCGCAGTGTAACATAGCATAACTTGTCGTTTATAAAAGAGAAGACTCTTTGCATGTTTGCTACACTGTTCATCAGCTGCTGCGACCACTTTTTTATCACAGTATATGGTTTTTTGTAAGAACATTGTGCTGAATTGGAAACTGATCTCAACAAGTACTATAGATATGACAAGTAAGGGCAGGGCCGTCCTTCAAAGGCGTGGTCGATCTGACGAAACAAGGTGGAGTAGCACTCCCTTGTATTGCATATCCAGTTTCAAGGAGAGACTACATGCCTCGCTTCTTGCTAGGAGAAAAGGTGACAACGTCACTAAAAGGCTTGACTTTCCGAGGCGGTGTAGTTGGTCGCGAACAGGATACAGCTTCCGAAAATGCTCCCATCTCTGAATCTCGGTCGTGATGCTCCTTAGCTTGTTTGGTCCTTGGTCCTTGGCGCTCGAGATACTCCTATGAAAAGAGTATAACACCACTCAAGTATCATATGTGTCATCTCTTTTCTTCGCAAACACATACAGGCACATTGTATAACTTACAGTATAATTCCAGATAAGGGCCAATGAATTGCTTTCGAGGAACGATTCCAAAGATCCAGGGGTTGTAGGGATTTGCACTGTCGACTTCACCATCTTGCCTGCAATCCATATTTCGTCCATCCTTGCAAGCTGATGGAACATACCCACGGACCCTGTCAAGAGGTAGAGAAAAGTAAAAAGTCAGTGGTATAATCCAAGTACATACTGAACAATAAGTCTACATTCAGCTCCAGGTGCACCATATTTACCAGAGACATCTCCCATGATGACGGAAGGATCTTGCACTCCATACCCCTTATGTATCTCCTGGATACACCTACCGAGACGAATATTTTTTCGGCTCTGGATAATAATGGACTGGGTTGGAAGGTTGGGCCGTTTGAACTCAATATTTGAGATTTCAATATCCTTGAACGCGAAGGCAAGATCAACTTTCCTGCCAGTATCACAGAGGTCGCCAAATTCCGCCGCCTGCTGCCTCCTGAGCAGTTTGGACGACTCAAGCATTCTTTCGCCACTCAGAATCGACACCTTGTCTGCTATAATTCCAAAGACCTGTGCCCAGATTAAAAGGCAATCGTTTTCTGAAGGGTCCGTAGTCTTGTAAGGAGGGCTGCAGACGATATGGCACCTATATATTTAAAGACGCAACTTAGTAGATGCAAGCGTCATGATAACAATAATTTGAAGGAAAGAGCGAAACAAATAAACAAACGTACAAATATTCTACAATCCTGAACACCTTGTCTTGCATAATGACCTTCTTGGGCAGCAATTCGTCCAGTGGATATTGGGCAACCAGCCCTGCTCGGTCCAGCAACACCTTGCGCGCCAGATAGGTGACGTCGTGTTCATGCAGGACCTCCGAGTACGGCTGCAGGATCGCAAGGCAGGAGTGTTCACCAAAGGTTCCAATGGCCGCATGGTCTACTGCCCGCAAAGGACCTGATCTTCCTTCTTGCGGGTGAAGTGTTGAACAGCGCGAGGTGACATTGTGTTGAGTACGCGGGACATTGCAACCCTATAGCATTTTTTTTTTTTGATAAGGAGGCGAATTAGCATGACATAGTACATATGCATTGCCTAGAAAGCATATCATCCAGGATCTCGTGCACTTACTGAGCATCTTTAACGAGCGTCGCATCTTTCTCTTTGTCCTTCTGTTGCTGGTATCGTTTCAGCATGTCAACTGCGTGGTCGAAGAGAAGCTCTTGCAGGTCCGGCATATCTGGTGACGCAGCTGGGAGTTGCACATTCTGAGCGTTAATCTAGGTGTCGTTTGAAAATATCCATATTAGTAAGCATCATCATCCGCCATGTACTGAATAGTGACACGAACTGTTTGCGACTTTTTGCAGGGCTTTGGCCAATGATCCCCAGGGTTCCTCTGTTTAAAATGTCATCTTTCGTTTCCTGCTATTGCGTGGTCATGATGGTTCGACATCACTGGGAGGGTTGACATCGTTGGGAGGGTTGACATGAATTGAATCATGTTTTTCCTTATTACGAATCGTCGTAGAAAATGTACTGATGCACCTTGATTGACGCTGGTTGATCTCCTGGAGGGGGTCCTCAACCCCATTGCTGGCGGAACCACTTTCTGCATTATAATGATCTTCAGACTCCCGGACTATCCCTACTGACACGTCTAGTCCAGTCTCGACACCAATTTCCAACTCGGTCGTCTCCTGCTGTAGATTGCCCGATATGGAAAGGTCATGTTTCCGAGTTTGAGTCAACTCTATAATTAATGGCAAGTACAGAAAAATTAGTCCTGTGCACAGTAAGCTCTATTACAAGTACAGTACTTCTGTCAGGGACATTACCAGTGATGTCTTCTGCATGTTTGACGCCTGCCACTACCAGTTTGGACACATCCTGGAGACTCTCACGCACGTCGGAGAGAAGAGCATTTTTGCGTGCAGCGGTGCAGCTTAAGGCAATTGAGATGGCGGAAATTCCAGGGAAATTAGCAGACAGGCCTCAGACAATCAATAAACTTAACTAAGGACTTTGGAACACTCTGGATACCTGCTCTTCAGAAACTCGTTTCGCCTCCTAGAATTCATGTCGGATGTCACGAGAAGTCTGAAAAATCGATTGTAGCCGCTTTGCATGAGTCTTGCTTTCTTGTTCGACAAGCGGGGTAACCTCCGAAATCCACTTCGCAGTTGCAAACTAGCGGTTCCGAGCCTGGAAGTTATAAAAGCGAAGAAGTCGCAGGCATCAAACTAGTCGAATGTTCGAGCGTCGAAATACCCCTGATAAGGATCGAACTTGCCCATTTTGTTGATGGTGAAGGAGAGAGCAAAAGTGTGGGGAAAAGTTGGCCGCGCGCTTTAAAGCGCGCGCATTACATCACCGAAGATTGATTAATTTGCGTTATTAATATATGTTCACTCTGCTCTTCCTCCTCCTTCACCTTTGTCCCCGATGCGACTCGAGCCATGATTACCCCTCATCGTCAGGCTGGGCCTCCTCCTCCAGATCTTCGTCTTCGTTATCAGACATTCCTCAGCCAAGCATATGCTGTGACGCGTTACATCGACTTGCCATAGGATCAGGCAAAGTGATAGATGGTACTCCGTCGGGTTGGCCAAGTGCGCCACAGGCTTGCCATGGTCTAATACATCTTACTCAGCCTTGACACACATCTTAGCAGTCGTTGCTCTTGGTGTACGGTCATTGTCCTCCCTATTGAACCCAGTTGACCGCGGGTAAGAGACGGAAAGACAAAGTGCTGTGTAAGATGGGTTATCCTTGACTTCAACCTTTGCTCGGAGGTAAGTGGTGTGTCAGCATTGATTTTGTTTGTCTGCTCGAATAGATAGACTCGCTCTGATAACAGTTGCATGTGAGCTCCATGAGCACAACAGACAGAGGCAATGTTGCCGGTAAGCACATGTGCTATATGGCACTTTGAACAAGAGGAACAATGGGCGCATAAATTAAGTCGCCATTGACATGACCTATGACTATGGCAACACTCAATAGCTGTCAATAGTTCATGACTCATTACCCATCAGTCCGCCCTCCTCCACGGCCTTGCACTTCGACAACGGTTGGACTTGGTCGAGGTTGGTTGTCGTCGATCGCCTTGCAAATCCTGGACTGCCGAGATGGAGTTAGCCATGTTGTGTGCAGCCATCTCATCCCTCCGGAAGTACATTTACAAGAAGGTACGCATTGGGTGTTTTTATACTGTCACTACTCTGTTCAAGCACTTCTCCCGAAAAGAAATAATATTACCATTTTGACAGGCTGAGGTTATGAAAAACAGTTTCAACACGCGACCCACCGCCCGGAGCCAAGAGAGTCGGACAAAAATATGCAAGCATATCATGGGTGCAACGGCTTTTGAAGTATCCTCGCCAGCCCGCCCGATTATGCGCTTCATTTCTTCATTTTGCAGAATAAATGAAAGATACCAACAAGGGGTCTATGCCTACGAGTCGTTTATATTATTATGTGTTGTGCATGTTAAAATTTAAAAGTGTAAAGACGTAGTAATGGAAAATAGAGACGTAGAACGTGGAATAGGGTCGTGACTGCCCGATGCGATCTGCCTGCCGCAGGGTGAAATGCCACTGATATCACCCAGTCTGTGTGCCCCTCCATGACCAATAAAGTCTTGCCACTGACAGTATCCTACAATCGACAGTTCCCGTTTTTGATCCCAAGTGCAAGGTGTTGGTTGTTAGGTGAAAAGGCAATACCCAACACTTCATCCGGTTCATTGTGTGATGAGCTCGAGTCCTTGTGGAGTGTCGTAAGTAGTGGGACCTCCATCACTTAAGCTGGCAGCAAATATCTTCACATCTTATTGAGCGAGAATGCGACAGCATTGAGTCTAGAGCGCTCTTGCAAATATGGCACCTCCTCAAACCGAACACCATTCATCTGTACGTTAACGAAATCCGCCTGCCTTAGCCAACTCCTTGCAAAGTTGACACCCGTCAAATCGGTTCCTTGAAATTGGGTCGAATCAAACTGACCGTTGGAGAGTTCCGCTCCTGCGATGTGGATGACGCGGAGGTCGGCACTGTTGAAAAGAACCCTGGCTCGGACAAGAATGGTGATGGAGTTGGCGGCAGCGGTGGCAGCACTGGCATCGGTCTAGGACTACTGGCGTAGACCTTCTTTACCCTATGGCTGCGTAGGCGTGTGTGCTGCTGTGAACTGAAAAGGTGTTGACTGATTTTTTGCGTGTATGTAAGAAAGGGTGCCAAGTCAATCGATCTCTTGGTCCTCCTGAGTGCTCTCCACTCTGGTGGTCTGCATCTCGAGCACGTGATCTTTTTAATATTGATGACGTTTCTTTCTTTATATTTAGCAGGACAATGGACGCCATAATTCTCTTGTTGGCTGAAAGAACCTATGTGATCTTTCCTAATATGGATCGAAATTAACTCTCACAAGACTTTACTGGACTAGTGAAATGACACTCAAAGCTGTTTCTTCCTCACCATTTTCCTAACCATTGCCTTGAAAGTGTCCATTAGCGGAGAGTACTCCTTTATGGGTCTCCGTGTGTTAAAAAAACTAATACGTATGCTCCTTTGATTTTTTTTCTGGAATTAGGCCCGCTCTCTCGGTTACATTATCGTCGGTCTGAACGAGTACTACACGAGTAAGAAGTGCCCTCACTGCGGCCACTTTGTCGCCCAGGTCACTCTCCGCCGCTTCTACTGCCCCGAGTGCCAAGTGTATCATCATCGCGACGTTATGGCAGCCGAGAATATGGCGAACATTGTGCGTGGATATCTGGAAAAGCAAGAGCGGCCTGAGTATCTACACCCCGTAGCCGCTGACGGCTCTCTCCCATGGATGGCAAAAGCCGGCGCTGGACCCGCTACAAGTTCCACCGCCGCCTCCTCCAGCAGCAACACCACCACCGCCATCAATCGACCAAAGGGATAGCGCAAGAGGGCAGCTTCGACCTCCAGCTCAAGTCGGGGTCGTCGTGGGAAGGTGGCTCAAGAGGATAAATAGAGCAGCTATACATAGTCTGTGTGACGGTTCGCCCACACACATTAGTGCAGATAGGAGGGTGTGGGTGCACAGATGCGTCTTCGGTGACGTAATTTAGGCGCCCATTCTCCTCTAGTATATTTGCCTTCCTACTCCATTTCATCACTACCATCCTTACCACTTCTTCAGCGCTTTTCCCACTCCCACACTTCCCCTTCTATTCTTCTGCCTTCGCTTCCACTTCTTTTTTTCATCCCTCTCGCCTTCTTTCTTTTCCTTCTTCCCTCGCCTCCTCTCTCTCCCTCTTTCTGTGCGATACTTTCTCCTCTTTCTCGCCTATTTTTTAAGGTTCGTGATACATTGGACATTGGGACATTGTGTTGGCAAAGAGGTGAAGAACATAAATTATATTCATTCAATCATTATGCGCTGGTACTTTTTTAGCGAGCTCCTGTTTAGTGCGCGGCAGGAGGAGGTACGGAAAGTGGAGTGCGATTGAATGAAATGATTTGTGTTTGAACTTGCCGCTATTTCTGGTACTTTTTTAGCGAGCTCCTGTTTAGTGCGCGGCAGGAGGGGGTACGGAAAGTGGAGACATAGTCTTTTTTTTTTTTATCTTTTTTTTCTTCGCTTTTTAGTGTTGTTATGTTGTGCTCTAATCCATTATTCGTGAAAACCTTTGCGTTAGGACTACTCAAGGCAGATACGCTCCAATGGACTCCACTGTTTCCCAGGCACATGTGGACTGGTTAAAAGAGAATATCACCAAGGCTTGTGCCATTACTATGCCGAAATTCGCTCTGGAGTTTGAATATTTTAGCAAGAGCGATGCGGAAGAAGCCTACTCCGCTCTTATTTCAAAAAGCTTCCTTCCGAACACGGTAAAGAAAAGCCTATCGACCAAGTATGCAACCTGGAAACGCAACGAAGGCGACAACTTTTGGGCGACTCGAGTAGTGAAGATATCAAAAACACGAACAGCCAGCGAGTTGGTTGCTGGTAGTGTTCCTGTGGCCAAGGAGATGATTTGGGAGGGCTCGACATCAACCGCCGCACTGCCAACAATTCAGCCAAACGATTCAGGTGATCGTACAGAGAACCAATCATCCGGCGTTCCGGAAGGCGAGGAGGTCACGGCAGGCAAGTTGCATTGTTGTGATTTAAGGCGTCCATGTTTGATGTATGAGTAGTAGATGATAACACCTGCATCCATGCTATGATGTGGCAAGTAGGTAGTCGCGGTATGCATCCCTGTAATCCCTCGGGCGAACTGGACGAGTCATCGCCGAAAACACGTCTTAACGCGGGTGAGTACATTTCGGGGCGGCAAAGCACCGGCCCTTGATGCCTGCTAGGCTAATTTACGTTATATAGAAGCTCTAACTCATTGCTTCATGCTTATTTTCTAGAATTCTATGATCCGAAGAACCCTTTCCTGGACACAGGCAAGCCTGCATCAAGTCCCAAAGCCACACTCACAGAAGCTGAATTGGACGATGTTCAGGTGCGATCGGATGCCAGAGCAGGAAAGCGAGGAAGAATGAACTCTGTACGTATAATATCTTCTTGACAGTGGCTGCGACCGGTATTATGGATTGAGAAACTATGTAGTAACTCTCCAGGTCTGACCCCAACATATAGGGAACACCACGGCCAGTGGACGGTGAAGCCAGCGTCATCAGCTGCAAGCACATCAAGGATCCGACCAAGGAATCGGAGAACCATGACAACAGCAGAGCCACCAGCACAAGTAGTGGAGAAACCATTACCGCAGAAGAGCTTGAATTTCCAGGTACTCACGCGATGTAGAGAAGATTGTGCAGTCTGCGCACAGTATTGACCAGCAACAACTCACAAGGTTTTCCGTTCTTTTCTGCTCATTGACAGATCCCACTGCCAATCTCGAGCAGTTAGTGGCGCTGAATCAAGAGGTGGAGTGGATTGTAGAGGAAGAAGATCTTGTTCGAAAGTTCCGGGAGTTCAGAGCGCAAAACCTACAGGACTTTTCGCTTGCGCGCGATGGCATAGCTGATATGACCATCAACTCAAAATTCAGGAGGAGTCTGGCTCCAAACGTTGGTAGAGCTGCGAGTAGGGTGGATCCCGTTAGCAACCTTCACGAGCATTGGCCCACTTTGACAGATGTCCTCGAGCGCGTATTTGCGAATAGCCACTACGACAGCGTGAATGATGCGATTGCAGAGGAGAGCATGGGGGATCCTGTCGCGCGCTACATCATGTCGATCATTCACTCGTAGTAAGTGCTGGACATACACCCACATTCTATATGCTTTTGAAGCAATTGGCAGATCAGCAGACTGACACTTCCTCCCATCATCTTCTAGCTCCCACTACTTCTCCTTCCATGACGCCGTCCCGACCAACATCAACGAAAGGCAAGGGTTCGCAGACCTGACGTGGTGCTTCATTAGAGGTGCAATGACCATGACGGGACTTGAGACGCAGTACTTGGAAGTCCTCATCACAGGCGTACAGGAGCGCAAGAACTGGGCACGGAATGATCTAATAGATACAAAGCAGATTGGCCAGTTCGCCGACGGTGTCACGATATGGGAAGGCTGCCAGCTTTGCCTTTCAGGAGCGTCGACCATTCACAACGGCAAGGCTGAGAAGTTGCGACAAGACGAGTTCAAGCTTGCCAGGGCTATGAGGGATTCTTGGGCCAGTCAGGTGAAGGCCTCATCCAAGCACTCGATTCCTCGGCGTGGGATCGCTGTATACGGATCTAGCACGTTCAACGACGAGACCAAGCTCTGGCGCCTCGACTTCCGTGGTGTTTTTCGACTCCTTCACTTTGATACATTCTTCATCCCTCTCAAGAAGGGTGAGTTCGGAAAGAAAACCAAGGAGGCTATCTTACGGAGTCTTACATTGGCGATGCGTATCAAGGCAGAGGTGTCCGCGCGAGAGGAGGAGGCGAAGCCTGTGGATCACGAGATACGCGAGATGTTGCAGGAAATTGTAAACTCCATCCAGCCCACGACAACAACACCAACAAAAAACTACAAGAAAAGACCGGCAGCATTCTACCCGTGAGCATCCATGAATAAAGTCGTTATAAGGCATGCATGTTACAGCTTTCATGATTGACAATGGCAATGCAAAATATGCACACACTCGTTTGCGCTCTGATCTGGCGAGGTCTTTCAATAGTGTCAAGACGGCACAGGGGTTGAAGTATTAGTTACATGTATGTGGGTGAATGATCAGAGATGTCTTGCTATGACTGATACTGGTTCTACGATTACATGTGTATCTACCAGACTTGTTAAAACATTGAAGGCAATGATCATTTATGCAGACAAGAACGATGACCCCATTCAATTAGCACATGCCAGCATCACTGTACCTCGTATTGGTGCCACTGTACCCTTAGCACTTGATACTTCAGAAAGAGTATGCATGCATGTGAAGACTTAGACATGCCTCATGGCTATGACTTGCTAATTGGTTTGGATACTTTATTTACATTTTGATTTGGAATCCTTGGATTGCCAGGACTTGGTAAGGATGCAAACGTTTGTGTTCCGCGTCCATTGGAGGACAGGTATGAAGCTCTTATACCAACCCAACCTCCAGAAGCCGAGAAACCCCTGCCTTCATTCATTGAGGGATGGTTTTCTTCAATCCATTCGTGGTTTGCTTGATGAGAATGCAGCAATTTCGCAGCAGAGTTTCTGTACTCTGGATGAGGCTCCAGTGCGGTTGAAAACGCCTGATGGTGTTACGGCATGGAAAAGACAGTACCCTATTGCCTTTCACCATGGGCAGTTTGTTGATGAAGCGATAAAAAATGGTTACTTGTTGGCACCATTGACACGCTCGTCCTTTACACCATTAATTTTGGCACGATAACGGCAAGAGGACTGATTTTCGACCGTGCCATGATTTTTGCCATCTCAACGTGTTTCTTGAAGATGAAAAATTTGAATTGCCTGGTAGTAGGATACTTTCTACTATTGATCTCAAAAAAGTGTACCGTCATTTTAGAGCTGTACAAGACATTCACAAGACAGCTTTCACTTGGAGATATGTGCAGTATGCCTCTCAAGGTGCACCTTTTGGCTTGAAAACCATGCCAAGTACATGTAACTCATGTTGCGAAAATTCAAGGTGATATTTTCGTCGCGATCGAGTACAAGAGAACCAGATTTTATTATGTACAATGTCACGTCATCGCCGATCCAAATTAGCCATTTTTGACCATTGTACAAGTCGATCAGTTTTGTTCAATGGACATCGAACTACCATCATTGGATGTCAATTGGAATGTCAAAGTCAATCCCGTTGAGCAGGCATGCATACCCTGCCGGCGTCATCGTCGGCGTTCACAAATGTATGGTTTTGTGAATTATCTCGACATCTCGATCAATATCGCTCGCATGCATGTCTACTGTGATATGAACAGCTGGGGAGAGAAAAATGGTGAGAAAGGAGCCGGGGTCTTTATTGAGTCCTAGGAGAATATATGATATGGACTAATGACTACTACCCTTAATAGAGAATGAGGAGTGAGTGGACAGACGCTGAGATGCTACAGCTCTCCTCCCCTGTGAGAACGAGGCACGAGTTCGCAGACAAAAGAAAGCAGTGAGGTGGATGGACAACGAAATGACCCTCTTTTTTTTTGTGTTGATCCATCATTTTTGCTTCTTTGCATCTCTTTTTATTATGTGCTCGTGTGCGTTTTCATTTAGGTGTTCTCTAGTTATTGTTTGCTTTACTGTTTGTTTCATTTTCTGATTCGTATTCTGATTCTGGATCATGAAGAATGTCATCTTTACGGATGATGCAGGGTTTAGGCTGTGCACTAATATGTTCTGTGTCTTTCCAATAGTCAGCGATTGCTGTTTGTTCAATAAAGTTCTCCTCTCAACTTGTTGGAATAATTTTTCATTTGACCAAGTACTCTTTTTTGTTTGGTTCAAGGAGATGTGGTCTGTGTGCAATGTTTTTCTCTACTTCATATGTATTTGATTCATCAGTGTCATCAAGAACAAGTTTGAGTTGAGATGGCGCACAGGATAGCTCAAGAAGGGCTCCTGTGCCATCACGTAGGATGTATGCTCCGCCGGCGTTGCGGCGCACAACAGTGTATGGTCCTTCATACCTAGGTGTTAATTTGTCACCAAGTATAGGGTCAAGTGTCATTACTTTTGCTCCGTCAGGGAACTCATTTAGTAATACTGTTCTGTTGAAGCGTTCAATCATTCGTTGTTGAGTTTTGTCACTCTTTTCTTTAATTGCTGGGAAGACAACTTTGGTCATGTAATCCAGTCGTTCGACTAGTTGTTCTTGTGAGAGAAGATTGTTTTCTTCATCACAGAAGTTACTGAGTCCATTGTATTGACGTGCAAAAAATAATGAGAATGGAGATGAGTTATGTAATGATACAGTTCGAGTGTTCATTGATAATTGAATAAATGGGAGATGTTCATCCCAAGTGTGACTTTGTACTTCAACGTCTTTTCTGATCATTTGTAAAGTAGTTTTGACATGGAGCTCTGCGATACCATTGCCGCGAGGATGATATGGTGTCACAAGAAGATAATCAATTTTCATGTTCGTTGACATGATTTTCATAATATTGTTGACAAATTCTTTGCCATTGTCAGATTGAATAATCTTAGGGAAACCGATAGTGCAAAACAAATCCCAAAGGGCCGTAACGACAGTGATGCCTTCTTTGTTCTGAAGAGCACGAAGAAAGACGAACCGAATGCAAACATCAACAACCACTAGCAGTCGGACGTTTTTGTTCTTGGTCATCGACAACGGGCCAGCCAGATCAATGGCAACTTGTTCGCCGAGTAGTTGAGCACTAATGGCTTTCATGGGATGATATCCCTTTTTTGCAATATCGAATCGTTGACATTCTCGACATCGTTTGATGTAATCGAGACAGTCTTGTGATAGATGTGGCCAGGTCACACCCTGTTCATGGATTGCTTTGACCATAGCATTTGCTCCAATGCGACCCATCGCGTGTGTTTTAAATAAAATGTCTAATCGTTTAGATTTTTCCACTTCTTTGCGAATGGTGTCGCTGTTCTGCAGTAGATGCATGTAAGACATGATGGTCTTTTTTTTTTTTTTTTTTGGTTTGACCCTTTTTTTAGTTCAAGAGGATAAAGACGAGAGAGAGCAGCAGGTAGAATATTAAGTATACCTGATCTGTAGTTGATAGTAAATGTATAGTTCAAAATTGTTCCTTGCCAATTCGTTAACATGGCATTGAGTTCAGGTTGAGACTGAATATACATGAGTGCTTTATGATCAGTGTATAGTTCAAAGTGTCTACCTCAAAGATAATAATGGAATCGATTGAGAGCAAGGACGATCGCCAAGAGTTCTCTCTTTGTGTTAGAGTATCGTCTTTCTCTTTCTTGGAGTGAGCGAGACACGAATGAGATATAGTTGATATGGTTTGAGTACCTTGGACCCTGCGTCAGTGGCGACATAGAATGGTAATGAAAAATCAGGAAATGATAAAATAGGAGCATTTAATATAATATTTCGCAAAGCATCAAAGGCTTGCTTCTCGTCTTTGTTGAGTATGAATGACTCATTTCTGTTTCGTAATGCATCAAGTGGAGCTGCGACTGAACTGTAATTAGGTATGAATTCACGAAAGAAGTTGCATGGCTCTGGGTCACTTATTTCTTATTCACCGAAAACCAGTGGGGTCATTTTCATTTATAGGTGGGACGATTCGCTTGATTTTTCAGTCACTCACACCTTTTTTTTGTAATAAAGCCATTTTATTATCGCTGACGCTTTCTATTATATTCACAGGATGAGGATGTTATGCCTATGATTGTACTTCCTCTCCGTAGCCGATTGACAGTAGGAAGGGGAATAGGCGTAATAGAAGCAGGGGCCGTAGCAGGAGCAACACTTTTGCTCCTTGTAACTCGAGGGATTGCAATCCTGGGCTTTAGAGGCTGTTGGTTCACTCGTTTGGCTCCTAGCGGTTCTGGAGACTCATCACCTTCATTTCCACCATTCTCACCTTGTCCTTGTCCCTCTACCCGCTCTGCACAATGCCCTTCCACGCTCTGGATCACATGCCTCGGTTGCTGGTTCAGTCTGCGTCTCACCAGCGGTTCTGGCTCCACCTCCTCATCCTCGTCTTCATACTCGTCGCCTCTCCCATGGTCCTGAAGCCCTGATGACGAGGTTCCAATCGCATCCGCATCTGTATGTTCCCGCTCAAGATTTTTCTGATGGATAGACTTGAGAAACTGTCTGACCGTATCAGCTGCCTTGCCATGGACATCCTTCACATTGGCCTCGTTTCTTCCCTAGTAGATAAACTCCATTGCGATGGAATTCCTCTGAGAATACTTGGCGGAATCTGTCTTGCGCATTCCTTTGTCCAGGAACGAAGTGGGATTAGCAGTCCTTTGCTTGGGTCGCCGTTCTCCCACTGTTCTACAGCATCTTGCCACTTCGAGATGGTAGGTATACGTGGAGCAGCCGGCGGGATGACGCATGGCTGTTGCTGTTGCTGTTGTTGGATTACTTGACCAATGCGTTGAGGTAACTGGGGTGTCTGCCCCTGAGTGACTGGATCTATTGGATGCTGTACTACTGCTGATGGACGAGTTTCTGTCACTGTTAATCGCCGGATAGCGTCCAGAAGTGTCTTAGTCGACTCTTGGTGGCGTCGCTCCATCGTCTCATGTCGGTATTGCATCTCCTGCTTTAGAATAGAGAACTGATGAGCCGTCTCCTTGTCCACTGTTGCGCGTAGCGTTTCTAGGACGTTGCAAGACCTTGTTGAGTGGCTGGGGCCATTCCTGGGGTATCGGTTTCTCCCATGAAACGGCATGTCGACTGTCTTGTCGTACTGGTGAATGTATATCTGTAATGGTGTTCTGGGGGTGTTGTGCTTTTTTGTGTGTATTAATAAGCAGTCGGACAAGTCCTCGGCGAAAAGATACAATACAGTCGAAAATGGGTTTTGGGCCCATTTTACTAGTGAAAATGGGCCGATAAACGAAACAAACAGACTGAATTACCTCCATGAAAGA